GGCTTCTTAGGCAGCTCGCACAAATGTGTCATGGGGATATCCGCTTCTCCTGTTGGGAATTTCATCACATCGCCGCTGGATAGCTTGATAGATGTCCCAGCGGTCCTGGATGCTGATGCGTCGTCGGGTCCTCCCATTCTCGCCCTTGCCATAGCAGTTCTTGCTGTTGGGCCTGCATATTTTGAGAGCCCGGGAAGGTTCCGTGGAGAGATTCTGGTGACGCATGCAGATACCCAGACTAGCATGCTGGTCATTCAACTCTACATTCTCCAAGGCTTTCGCGTTGCTACTATAACGCAACATGCGACTGACTTTGAAATCAGCCGCCTCCCTAATGGTCATTTTAGTTTCATCGTCTCTGAATACAGCGACACGGCAACGCTTCACCTCTTATCGCGTCTCTTGACGGCTGGCGGGAGTACGTTCCCATGGAAGCATCCTACGAAAGGCTTGCAGTCTCTGCTGACCTGCAACCCTTGGTTGATTGGCCATGCCATTCGTATTGGATCAAACATAGCTGGCAAGGAGTTCGATATTCCTATGCACAATTTCAGCGAGATCATAACTGTCAAGCCCGGCGATCCCGTTTATGTGAAGAAACATCTCTTCAGCGACAAGAAGGCTTATCTACTCGTGGGAGGCGTCGGTAGCCTTGGACTCCAGATTGCCCAGTGGATGTACAAGGTCAGGATATCCCTTTCCACTGAACTCATTTAGTCATGCTGAGTCGACCAATTAGAACGGGGCTCGGGAAATTGTTCTGACTTCGCGGTCCGGGCGGGCTGGAATTCTGCGTAGGGGAGATACTGCATCTCAGCGCACTATCGCATATCTCGATAACCTACCGGATTTGAATTTACGCATTGAGGCAGTCGATGCCCTCTGCGAGCCTGATATGAAAACGTTAGTGCAAGAACTACAGAGTCCGCTCGGGGGATGCATGCTGCTCTCTGTGGTTTTTGCGGATGGCCTCTTCTCTGGGCTTTCCGCTGAAAACTTCAATGCACCATTCCATGGGAAGATCAGAGCATTCGAGGTGCTATGCAATACGATTGACACAAGCAAGCTGGATTTTCTGATTGCATTCTCCTCGGTTTCGGCATTATTTGGCAATGCGGGTCAAATCAATTATGCTGCGTACGTCTTTCGAGTCGTGTGCGTAAATCGACGGCTCACATTTCTCAGAGCGAACACTGCGTTGGACGGAAGACTGCGCGCCATGCCCAATGCATTCTCTATTGTAATTCCTGCAGTCACAGACTCGTTCGTCGCTACAATGAAAGCGACAAAACTCAAACGCTTGGCGAATTGGGGGATGTCATCTCAGAGTGAGTTGTTCCCTCGCCATAATGCGGAACTCGGCATCATATATCTTTAGGGATCCTCCAATTCATCGGGGAAGGCATTCAAAAGCTTGCTGATGGCCCTTTCTGGTTCTATATTCCGGATTTTGACTGGGAAGCAGCCCGCATCACGCTAGGAAACGAACACATGTACAATCACTTATTGCCCGAGCGGACTATCGCGGAATACGGAACGTCAACCTCCAACGACAGTCTTTCGATCGGGGACATACTGTGTGCCACCCTCGACATTGCGCACGAAGACTTGTCTCCCGACATTCCTTTATCGGTGTACGGTTTGGATTCCTTATCTGCCGCGAGGCTATCCTTTGCCTTGAACCCCCTTTTATCCATCAGTCAGACACAGCTCCTTGCGAACGTGACCCTTAGGACTCTAGAAGCCCGGTTAGAGGACCAGCAGCTGTTCACCCTCACTGAAGCAGAACATAGGAGCGCATCCGAACTTCACAAGGTGTCTGAGATGAGGTCCTTGGTCGCCAAGTACACGTCTGGATTCAAGAGCCCCAAGACGCTGCTGCCTTCCTCTCTGAGCTCACGGGACTGCGTCGTTCTCATAACCGGTACCACAGGCGTCTTTGGCGCACATCTTCTGGAATGCTTGCTCCGTGCACCACAAATCAGTCGTATCTTTCTTCTTAATCGTACCAAGCCCGGAACACTGACTATGTTGGAACGCCACCAAGAGATTTTCCAGGCACAAGCACTCGACCAGACGGGACTAGAAACAGACAAGGTCATGTATTTGGAAGGCACGCTAGATAAAGATTATTTTGGGCTGTTGCCTGCCACGTTCAACGAGGTGAGCATCATTTTTACATAACATTTCAGTGAATTTAATCTTGTCTTAGATGGTTCAAAACGTCACCCACATTGTGCATGTTGGTGAGGAATATCTTACGTTATTTCATATTCACACTGAAAAGCTTGTAGCTTGGCCAGTGGACTTCATCATCCCCCTTGCTGCATTCGATCATGCTCTTCACGGTCTGCGAAATCTGGTGGACTTCGCCATTTCCTCGCCCTGGCAAGTTCCCCCTCAATTCCTTTTCATAAGCTCGTTCGAGGTATTGAATGGTTACGGTGAGGTACTTTGGGTGATTTGAGATGCACTAAATCACTGACATTTTGGCAGGTCTGACGTCAACGAGCGCAGCAGAGGAGGCTCTCATACAGGATCCCAGTGTATCTATTTCCACAGGATATGTCGAAAGCAAATGGGTTGCAGAGCACGTCTTGGCTGCTGCTTCCGATGCCACACGACTGAAGCCAATGATTATTCGTGTGGGGCAACTCACCGGAGGGCGCAATGGACAATGGAAAACAACGGAATGGATCCCATCCATAATCGGTTCAGGCCTCAGCCTCGGTGCCTTGCCTGACCGTTCTGATGTGAGTTTTCCTGAATACCATCCAACTATCACTGAACTTTGTAGACTGTAAACTGGCTTCCGATTGATGTGGCGGCGGCATCGATCGTGGAGATGTTCAATTCACCCCCTGGCGTGTATCACTTGACACATCCGAGTCCTGTTTCATGGACTGTTCTGATGCAGGAAGCTGCTCGCATCATGAATATTCCGTTGGTCCCGCCAACTCAGTGGCTCGCTTCTTTAGAGGAACAGGCTTCATCACAAACAACAACATCGCAGAACAATCCTGCACTGAGGCTGCTCGACCTGTTCAGGTATACCCCTCACAGAAGCAATCTCACAACGAACACCGTGAACTTAGAACCGGAGCTCTCGTGCGCTAAGGTATTGCAAGAATCTCCGACACTGCGATCAACTATCTCAAGCCCACTGGGAGCGACGGATGTAGCTAAATGGATTGGATACTGGCGGAGCATTGGCTTTATTCCCGTTTGATTTGAACTCAACAGTCTCTCGTGCTAAGGTAGATATGTCCGTCCCATGCCAGCATGTACTTCTACATATCTAGAGCTACAATCAATATACTGTAGGATGTCACACCTGGGTTGCTGTATTATTACACTTGGTAGTAAAGGTAGATGTCTTTTCAGACATCCATGGTGGCTATCATGGTGTACTACCAATAACTCAAATTTCTCGCATGGTAGTGGCTGACTTGAAATCACAGACGGCAGGACACAACAATGAAGGCCACTGTGGGAAGTAAATACATTGAAAATGAATGTATTGAATACTGAAAGTTGATGTCCAAAATACTGACTTTTAAGGATTTTATGTATTACAAGTGCTTGCTGCTGCGCGGCTCGTTGGATAAATCTAATTGTGTCTAATAATAATTCTTTATAAACAACATTCAATGTCTTGGAATCAATATTTGTTTCATTTTACGGCAATAGGATGTGGGAGTCGTCTTGTTGACCATTGAGTTCTACTAATTGAAAGTGTTTCCTTGTTTCAGCAAATTGAATATCCGGTATAGTGAATAGCTGGTGCGTCACTTCTTCGAGGGCACAGTTGATAGGACTAATGTTCTGCGCGGGTAACCCACGGGTATTTTCAGCTTACCCCTACCCCTACCCACAAATAGTGATGTGCACGGCCCGGCTTCAAGCCGTGGGCCGAGCCAAGCCGGGCCAAATTAGGCCAGGCCAAGCCAGGCCAAACTGACGGCCTGACCAGGGCTTTGGCCCGGCCTGGAATTCTGAAGAGCCGAAGCCGACAGCCTGAGCCGCGGCTTTTAGCCACCTCAACCATCGACAACGACCATGAACATTCCGACATCAAATTGGAATTTCTTCAAAGAACTGTTGTGACCATCTTCGATACTGGTCAAACCGTCTGAGCTCTGAGGTTATCGTACATTGTACATGTATTTTGTTTCCTTCAATTTCATGGATCATTAAGTCTAATGATACATCTTGCAGCAGATAAACACAAATACCCTTCGGCAGTGAGTGCTTTCAGACGATGGCGTGATAAGGGGTACATCAAAGGTTGAATTGACTTTAGCTCTGCGAGGAATAATTGCTCACAGAAAGGGCACAGATCCCTGTCAATACAGAACGATTGCGCGCGTTCGAAATCATTTCTCTTGCCAGGTGTCGACTCCATGGGCCTCAGTGATCCTGTCGAGGTACTGACGTCAGGCGTATTTGTAACATGACAGTTGTGATATTGTCATCGTTTTTGCCCAGTTCCGCATTTTTGGCTTTGTGCTCCTCCCTGCGTTCTCGACCGTAGTCCTCTTCTTGACAGTCCTCGTGTTCCTGCTTTCAAGATGGTACAATCATATGTCCCACTGGTCAGTCTCTTCAGTCGGTGTCTCTCAACCCAGTGGGTTGTACTGCTCCTCTGTTCACTCGGCCATTCTGGGCGATCCACGGCTCTCAACAGGCTTGCGAGCAGCCTTGGACAGCAATTCAAGCAGCAGGGTGTCGTGTCTGACCTTTCAGGGTATCGCACTCGTGGGGGCAGGCATCATTATGAATTTCCAGTGTATCAAAGGAAGAAGCTAGCTGAGTTCACGTGGAAACATCTCTGCAAGGTTCTTTGCAAGCTTACCTAGGAAGTACTGCAAAATGACAGTCGCCTGTGCTATTCGAACTGGGACTTACGCACGTCTTCCACTAGCTGCAACTGAGAACGTAAGTACAAACATGCAACCTACCTTTTAACTTGACATACCTCCGATCAATAGAACACTGCTACATTGCAAATCTTTGTCTTGACCATGTTCCTCTTTGGCGACAAACAGCGCAAGGCTCAAGAGGAGATCGATTGTGTCGTCGGCGCTGACAGGCTGCCAACCTACAAGGACCGAGATTCTCTTCCATACATCGAAGCCCTTATCTGCGAATTGTTGTGCTGGCATCCCTCTGTACCGATGGGTTAGTAATTTTAATCTTCATTCATACCAGCAATGAAACGTTGGACAGGCATCCCTCACTACTTGACGGAGGACAATATATTCGAAGGAACTCAGAATCAAAGCATTCCCTACTCGAGCCGCGGCTCAGGCCAGAGCCAGGCCAAAGCCAGCCGTCATTTGCGGCTTTGGCCCGGCTTTGATTTTTTGCAGGCCAGAGCCGTCTGAAGCCAGGCCAAAGCCGTGGCTTTTGGGCCAAGCCAGGCCGGAACATCACTACCCACAAAAACCCATACCCCTGGCCAGGGGTACGGGTTTTTTCACGGGTACAAAGTTTTTGCCAGGGTACACCCCTACCCGTACCCGTGGCGGGTAACCCGCGGGTATTTGTAGTACATATTGTAGAGCTTGATCAGGCGATTAAAACAGTGGTCTGATCATGCAAAACGGTTAAGATTTGAGCAAGATATGAGCATTACAAGATAGGATTGCATAGTTAAGGAAAATGTGAATGTTGTTAAATGACTTAGGTGTCTAATCTGAAGCTAGTGTTATCTTGATTATCTTGTCAAACACTTGAGGTATGTTTAATGTATGAGCTGTCCTTTCATTTTGCATCCTTTTCTTATAATGATCATATCTTGCTCAAATCTCAACCGTTTTGCATGATCAGACCACCGTTTAAATTGCCTGATCAAGCTCTACACTATGTACTACAAATACCCGCGGGTTACCCGCCACGGGTATGGTTTTTTTGCGGGTTAAATATTTTGTACCCCTACCCATACCCTCCAAAAAACCCTCCAAAAACCCGCGGGTTACCCATACCCCTGCATATCACTAGATAGGACTCAACAGCTTGTGGTCCAACAGCTGCAGCTGGAAGTATTTACCTTCCAGCTCCTTGTCACACATAAGTGTATCCAGTTTTTGGTAAGCACATATTAATCTCTTATGGTACCAGCAGGTCACATTTAACTTGGCATTGCTTAGATATACATCATTGGCCCACACTCGAAAGCTCAGATCCCCATCATGGATCTCGAACATCACATTTTCCCTGAAGACTGTTTGTTCACAGGTGAACCACTTGGGTGAGTTCACTCCAGGGAAGTTGCACTCACTGTTCAGTATATCACTGACTCTCAGCGATATAGGGTCACCCATGTTGCAGCAAAGGTCGAGAACGGTCTCATCAAGGGTAAGACCTTGGCAACCATTGGAAGTTGTTGCATATGCAAGATGGAGGGGAAATTGGAGACAATGAATGGTCCAACTTGCATGTGGGGGTGTGAATTTGAAGCAGATGCGAGGGATGCATTGAGTATCCATCAGCAAAATAGTCAGTACTTGTACATAGTGATGGACAGGTCCAGTTTGGTCCAGTTTGCTGGCAAATTTTGGGAACCGAGAACCAAACCATAGGTCCAGTTCTCTCCACAAACAGAACCATGGACCGGACCATCGGTTCAGTCCGATAACGGTCCAGTTCCAGTTCATCAAGGGTCCGAACCCTGAACCAGACCATCCAAATCTAAGCTCAAAGAAAATTTCATTTTGGCCGAGATGTAGAGTGGTATACAACAAAGAGAAAATAAAACTACTCACTATCTTCATCTGCATCATCATGGAGGGCAGCAATCAGTGCATCCAAGTGCTGCTTGGCATCACTGGCAGTGGAGATGTGACCATTGCGGTACGCACTCTTTAACAACTGCAAGCTCTCAAAAATGTCTGATTTGAGACAGTTCTGCCGCTTTGTTCCTGTCAATCCGCCACTCTAAAAGGCACATTCCGAGGGTGTAGAAGAGCCTTGTATGGGCAAGTAGTCCCTGGCCATGCGTGAAAGAGTCGGGTACTGCGACTGGTGGTGCTGTACAAATCTTCGTTAGTCAACTTGTATGCTTGTGATAGCATAAAAACTCACCCCCCACCAACCTACAACATCATCAGTCTGCTCAAGAGGACATCCAGAGTGGTGTTCACTCCTTTTTTTCACAATACATGACCTTTGGTCAGGGACCCTAAGTGTACATTTCATGACCTTTCTGAAAAATTTCACACTTGTCATAAATTTTGAAATATACTGATAAGTCAGAAAACACTTAAAATATCTTACCAGGGCACATTTTTGAAACACAAGACACATTTTCAAAACTCAGTCTGGGTGTCTGAAAACTGTTAGATATAATGTTTTCAAAATGTGTGGCACATTTTCAAAACATATGACCTGTTTTCAAAACTCGGTCTGGGGTGTCAGAAAACTGTCAGACTCAACCTGGCCGCATTTCAAAAAGACCCAGACACATTTCAAAACAACTGACACATTTTCAAAATTTGACCATGACTACCAGACATAGTGGAATTATACACCGGCAAATGAATAATATCAACCTAACACTATGTCAGCTTACCAGAAGAATGACACAACAAAAATGAATGAACCTTCAAGCATATCAGGGTCCACATCCTCAATGACATCATTGTCAGAAAGAGCATTGACGTGGTCGTATACTTTGTCACATAGGGCCGTAGCACTGCCACTGGATAATGAGATATATTTCGACTGCCACACTGGCTCGACACCGTGACCCTTCAGGACAGGCAACCATAGACGGGCGAATTTTGTAGCCAGCTGAGTGAGAATGGAGGCCTGCTTGTGCGCATTAGCAGACAGTCCATGGCAAAGAGCTGGGGTGATATTGGTGCAAAGACTGGCCTGCAATAACCACCACACAGCCTTCCACTCAAAAAACGCCAACACTTGGCGCATCTCCTCAACAACTACAAGTTCCTCTTTGTGCCAGCGCTGGACTCGCACACGAGCCTTGGTCCACTCAATGCGAACATTATCATTGAGACCATCAGCAGTGGAGGTGATGGCTCCATCTGGAAGTGAATCATTGTTGGCAGTGACACGGGGGACCATCCAGATCCACGAAGGCTCACGGCGGCCTTCACTCTGCCTGCCTTCAAACTCTTCGTCATCCTTTCCAGGACCTCTGATGTCGGCTCTATTCAAAGGGCAAAGTTGTGTTTGCCAGTTGCCACCCAGCGCAAGTGCCAACAAAGCCTTCCGAGCATGCTCATAATGATCCGTGGCTGCAAGTGACTTCTCGACGAAGCAGGTCATGGTTGTATGAGAGCGTGTGTTGGCCTTGTTGCCTGTTCCAGAGATGTTGCCCTTTTTGAACTGGTAAAGGGACTGAGTGATGCAGCGATTACAACGAACATCTTCTAGACTGTCGTCAGCCTGTGCAACACGAAGGCGAAACTCCAGTGATACGAGTTGCGTAAGGGACAGCAGAGTGACAGTGGGTGAAGGAAGTGAGGACGGAAGATGCAGGCAGAGGTCTTTGGCATTAATTGATCTGGTGTCAGTGTTGTTGTCCTCAGATTGACGGTCCTGAGATGGCATGACACATGGCATATACACCTGTTGCATGTCACGCCAATTCTGGATGCGTCGAAGCAGAGCAGTGCGCTTCTGTTGGATGTCTGCGAGCTGCGAACTTGTCCCTTTGCCCTTGAGCGCAGTGATGGATGCAGTCAATGTGTATCTACAATGATATTAAAATAAATTGATGGGTCGCACATACATAGAAAATAAATACTCACTGTTGGTCTTCAAGTTCGAGGCCATTGATAGGGAAATTGCTTGGAGTGACTTCATGCATCGAGACATGGTCCTGCGTGGCAGCAGCCATGTCTTCTTTTGCTAGCTGAAGGCGGATATCCGCAAGTGTAGTACCTTCACTCAATCAAAAGGATCCAGTATGATTGAACGACAAAGAGGAGAGCTTACGTGACTGACAGTCCCTGTAGGGATTCGGCTTTGACATATCAGCTTCCCAGTCCTCAACTGCCTTGGACCACGTGCAAATAGTTGTGGGTGGGAAGGTCGTAGTGTAAGACTCCAGAAATTTCTGGTGTGTGTGATGCATGGCGAACGCTTCCTTGAACTGTGCTAAGAGGCTTGAACCTAGTAGACATGTGAGGGGTAAGCATTAAAACAAGCAACAACGTCGATGAGACATACCAAAGTTTACTGTTTTCCTCCAATTCCACGCAGTCCAATGATCATTGATTGTCTTGTGTCGTCCACCAGGCAACATCTCATGAGTACTTGTGCCAATGCCATTAAGATGAGCCCATGCAGTCTCGATGCCTTCTCCGCATGTCTGCCCAGAACCATGTATGTAGTTTAGTGAAAAGGTATCTTGACAATCCTTGCCATGATTACGAAGGTCGTATTTTGGCACAGCATAACACATCTCAGTGTCACCATGGTTGAAATGGAGTGAGGACGGCAGATCCTCCATGCGAACAAGGAGCCGCTTGTGATAGTGGCATGCAATGTCATATGAGAGGAATAACATGAGGCATTGAACGCCAATGAGCGTCGAAAAGAGTATGTAATCCATGTTGATATACCTACAGTGTGGAGCAATTAGTAAAACAATTTGAGAGCGACCATGCAGACAAGGCTTACTTTTCCCCTTTCTGCAAGTCTGCAATGCCATTGCACCGAACTAATATGTGCCTTGCACACATCACTGCACCCAGCCCAGATGTGATATACCCATCTTTATTATGGACATTGGCATGAACAATGGCATCATGCTCGACTTGACATGTGCTCCCCTCGTTGCACTCCCCAGACTCAGCTATTACAGCTTGAAATGCAGACTCCTCCACAAAAAACGACTACCCTGGGGCAAGTTCAATATCTCTTAAGTGGCTCTTCAGAGGAAGCCGAAAGTTTGTGTCCATTGACAAATATAACGCGTAAAGGTACCTAGTAAAGTACGAGTCAGTTACAATCACCATGACAGATAACAATACAAACTCACTAGCATTTCAAGTAGTAGTTTCCCAACCATCAGGCAAGTTGCGTCCTGGATGAGGGCAAGCAGCACATTCTATGACCAACGATCCTGCACTGGTAGCTTTTATTCTTGCTGGATTGTGTCCATGACCGGCTTGCTTGAGGGACATGATGTGATGCCATTGACGCATAATGCGTGAAAGGTCGTTATAGCGATTCTAGTAGAACTACAATCAGCCAATGACTTGATATTGATGAATGATACATACCGTGAAGTCTGTAACTCCAGAGCCGTCTGAGATGCGGAGAAGGGCATTGTAAAAATCAAAGATGTTGAGCTTCCCTTGCAGGGTCAACTCGTGAAAACATTCCAGCACCGTAAATGTGGCCGCTGCGTGAGGTAGGTCAATGGTCATTGGATACCAACCCGCACGGAGCAATTGGATGTAGCGCGATTGTGCATTGTAGCAGCCACAAAAACACAGTGAGACCACATGTACCCCCACTAACATCCAGGACTGTAAAATGATATGAAGCTGGGATGGGCGTTGGACAACGATGGCCACAATGGCCAAGCTGAATGGATGACCCCAGCGAGCATAGAGAGGTCTGTTGGAAATGAGTGTCTTGCCAAGCCTAAGTGCATGAAGGATCAATGTCAGTTGTCTATCAACAGTGCAAAGGTGCTTACCTCAATGTGGTGAAGGGGAAGCATTAGATGAGCTGAAATGATACATTCCTTGCATGTCAAGGTACCATTGAAGCAGTCACAACAACGATATTGGCCGGGTGACCCGCATGTGCATATCCCTGATAGGTTCTCCCAAAATCCATCACGACAAAGTAGTTCATCGAGAACAGTAGAGTGAAGTTGAAGCCATGCTTCTAGTTGTGACTAATTCAAGTCAGAAAAATCACGAGAGGAACATCAAAAACTTACTGGTCCTGAAGGCTTCCCCTTCTGATGCCGTGGGTGAGAATATCCCTCATACTGGTCGGTCACTGGATCATCCATGATCAGAGGTGGTGGTGGCTGCGGTGGATGATGTGAAATGGCTTCTGCAACCCGTCGCTGGCCAGGACACCCGGTTATGGTGTGTGTGATGGTATAACTGCGAAGGACATTGACTCATGGTCGTGCATGACGTCCACTCTCGTCGACTACAAAAACACGAGTTTTTTTGCGAGAGCCTGCAGTAGAGCTGCTAGCTGTACATTTTGACATTGCAAGGAAGAGGTGATTAGTAGACAAACAATTCACACATGCAGTGGCTATTATGTCAAATGCACATTACATATGCATATTTCTGGTGGATACACGAAATAGCTAATAGCTCTAAATACGATTGTACCCTTATGCATCCCGTTGAATTTGTGTGCAGTAAGTCACAAAGTCGTAAACTGCATTCCCCTTACTACGAAAACCCTTGTATTCCGCCCTAGGGTAACGATGCACTTGTTTTGAAGTCTCCTGCCTGAAAAATATGTTATCTAAAGCCCAAAGCACGGAGAAAACACGTACCAGGAGCTGAAGACACCTATCTTGCGACCAACACGAACTGAGTCGAGGAAATCAAGTGCGCCCTCTCGAAGCAGTGCAGGTGATTCAACAGGCAGTGGATGAACAGTGATGCGAGGCACTGCCATAGCAGGCTGGTGTGCTGGATGAGAGCTCCAGTTCACTCCTGGAGCCCTCCTGTGCTGATATGGTGGTACTGACAGTGGGTTGCTTATAATGGGTGGCGGCGATGAGGCTGTGGACATGGTGGAGGAGTGTGATTGATGTCCTGGAAGTTCTTCGAGAAGAATCTCTCCGGAGACACGAAATCCTGGAGTGGGGTCACAATTGGAAGCAATGAGTGGGAAGTGGAAATGCAACATTTTAAAAACTCACTTGTCATCAGATTATGGTGAGAAGCTCAACAGGGACAGACAGCAGCATCCGCAAACAGTGTTTTTTGTAGGTAAAGTCCTGCCCAAAGTCACACTATCACATATCACATCATGTCAGACCCTTGCATATTAAATACAAACAGGCTTACTACATAACTGCGGACAGTTTAAAAAAAGCCAGATTTTAAAACATCCCCCCAATTTTAAAATTCTGCTGTCCATCATGGGTCAAGCAGCTTGGGTAACAAAGGAACAAGTCATGTGGTTAGTTAGAGTCAAGACTCTCCTTGTTCCTTGCTGCTACAGACACAAAGGCATGCTGGATTTTCTGGAAGGACATTTAAAGAGAGTGGTTTGCCACCTATCCGCTTACTGCTGGTACTGAAGCCGAGCTGGTAGACGCCCATAGTAGTGCCGAGGATGTCAATTCAAATGACCGAAAGAAGAAGGAGAAGGTAAGCAAGGATGTACACACACTTTCAGTCTTTTTGACTCCCATGCAGCAGATCTACCACTGGTATTTTAATCATTCACGTGGCACGACAAGCGGTACAGGGTCACAAAAACTTCTCGACCTCGCTGGCAAATGCAAGGGCCAACTCCTGCCGTGGCAAACATACTCTCGCCTATATCACAAAGGCGAATTCAAGATGAAGATGGAGAAGGAATATGGCGCTTACGTGCAGGCTTTTGTTCCGACCATCGAGAAGGATAGTCCAATGAAGTTCCTTGAGTGGCAGAAGAATCGTTTCAACAAGCTTCTTCGAGAGGCAACACCGGAGGTCAAAGCAGAGGTTGAGCAGATGTGAAAACAGTCACCAGTTAATGAGGATGAAGCTGCTGACAGAGAGCAAGACAGTGAATACCTCTATGGTATCCAAAGGTAAGATCAACCACTATCCACACAAAAAATATATATTCATGAACTCACAGCGCAATGGACTCCTTGCCCAAGACACTTGATGCGGCTGCTAACCAGATATATGTGAAGACTGGTTGCGTGGTTGCAATCCTCGTCGGGGGTCCTCAGCCACGGCTAGGCGGCCAGATCACAAGTTGGTTGTAAGTATTATATATGTTGATCACTCATAGTTTAGTGCTGATAAGCAATATTTACCTTCAGTGTGCATCGCGGTAAGACAGCGGGTGATGAGTTAGAGTTCGACGAAGCACTACCTGATTTGGAAGGTTGGATTGGTGACTTCAACAACTTCGTTCAAGACATCTTTCATGAGTCATGAGCCCTCGATGTTGCAACAAATTCTGATCATCTCTCCAGCGCCTGAGATATGTGAAGCTCGAGCACTCCAACCTATTGTATCACTGTTGACCTCACATGGCCTCACACCAGTGGTTGCTGTAGCCACGCAGCCCACAGCCCCGTCATGTAGCCTCATGCCAAGGGTTGCTGCAGCTACTCAGTCTGTGGCCCTGCAGCCTGCAGTAAGTGGCATGCCAACCGATCTTGCAATTCAACCTACCGCAATGGAGCCTGTAGCACAGCCTACTGCAATGGAACCTGTAGCCCAGCCTGCCGTGGCTTGTACACCCGGTGCTATCACCACCACCATGTCAACAATGTCCACTGCGACCAAGTGTGGTATCACTCCAACACTCACTACTGTACCACTGCCTAGTACTGCGGTAACACCCTCTACTACAACTACTGCAACGACGGCACCTGCTACATCGCCAACTCCCTCACCAACGCCTGCAACAATGGCGGCACCTTCTCCCTCACCAACTCTGCCAGCAATGGATGTTGATATTGCGTCGTCAAACAAGACAGAGGTTTCACTGTCCACTCATGTCCTGATTCCGGTCCAGTGGATCAAGACTTGGTTCGATTTTTTCGGAGGTCTTGAGTTTGAAGATCCGTAGAAGAATATTGTGGGGATGTGGATCAAGTTGGAAGAGAGTCTTGGTTTTTCTGACAGTTCGGTATGTTGTATGTTCTACTGGCTTAGTTTGATATACTAATGATAAATAATCCATCTATATAGGTTCATTCAGCCTTCCTTCCATCCAAACAACGACCCCGTGAGGTTGGAGTATGGACAAATAATAATCGCCCCATGAAATCCCCCTTGGTGCCGGTTACTGACATTCCTGGCTATGCTCAGCAGTGGTTCGTGTGGTGGGCCTCCTGCCAACCAGACTGGCGCAACAAGGAGGCACTCATCCGAGAGGACGCGCGTCCTGCAGGTGATTGGCTCTGTCTTCGTCGCAGACGGAAGAATGGGTTCTTCATCGTCCTTCTCAGCCTTGCATGTTGGTGTGAGGCTATTGTCAATGATACTGATTGTGTTTCTTTCACCAAGGCTATGGGTGATGTGGCTTGGGTGTTGAGTCAAATGACTGCTAGCACCCCCAGCATGAAGTGTGTGCGCAATGCTCATGACGATGAAGGTTCATCTACCCTCCGCAAGTGGTAAGTATTTATTTTTTGTTGGTCATTATCCACTGACGTGTCCTTGTTTAGCCTCCGTAAATGATTCTATTCGTCACTCTTCTACCATTGTGCCTACCTGTGTATCCCCCCATCATTACCTACCACTATTCTAATGCTGCTTGCAATATTAATGTTTTGAAAATGTGCCGTGCATTTTGAAAACATTCTACCTAACATTTTTCTGACATGCTGTGCGTTTTGAAAACATTCTACCTAACATTTTCTGACATGCCATGCATTTTGAAAACATTATATCTGACAGTTTTCAGACACCCAGACTGAGTTTTGAAAATGTGTCTTGTGTTGCAAAAATGTGCCCTGGTAAGATATTTTAAGTGTTTTCTGACTTATCAGTATATTTCAAAATTTGTGGTGAGTATGAAATATTTTACAAAGGTCATGAAATGTACACATAGGGTCCCTGACCAAAGGTCATAAGTTTGTTAAAATAAGGAGTGGACACTAGTGAAGTACAGGCGAGTCCGCAGCGGAGTAGTATGTAAATAATGACAAGTGGCCTCATGTATGGGAACACATATGTAATACGGACTGAGGATGATCAGGATGACAGAATAAGATAAATGACTCACCAATGGGGATGGACAGGCATGGATAGGACATGGATGGATGGAACCCGAGGGATCCTGGTGATATCCGCTACAGAAAGTGTATCTGCCAGGTGTATGATGGGACAGATACTGACAGATGTGAGCAGATGACCACGGAAATGGTATCTGACCAGGTGAGCACCAAAGGATGGATAATTGTCCATTGTGAGGCCACAAAACGGATGGTTCCTATACCGTTCCATGTGAGCAAGTATTTTCGTCCAGCAGTGAGACCGACACAAAGAAATGCAATCACATCAGCCCGGTCCTGATGGAGGCCCTGCAGGTGGTAAAGTTTCTCATGAAAAAAGAATGACTTAACTTTATGAAAGGTTGGGCAGTGTCACAAAAGGCTATGGAGTATAAGGTGTTGGGCGAGGGAGACAAGACTAACACTCTTTTGACATTTTCCAGCAGCAGAATGACAGGTGATGTATATGACACCCTCCTCAGAGCTATTGCAGAGGAGGAGTGTGATGACATTGATGATGTTCCTATTACCTACAACATGTGATGTTTTCTTTTACTCTTTGTTTTACTTATTCTGGTTGCCTGGCATCTTGCAATGTCTCTCGTGTTGTATTATGATTTCAATTTTCAACTATTCTCTCTTTGCTTGCTTGACTGTCTCTTTCACCACTTTCATTTGCTGAGTGTCACCTCGCTCTGATGATCTGACATCGTGAAGGTGACAGTATCTACAATGCATCTTCTGCGCTATAATCCTCTCAGTACCAGGTGCCCCTTTTTTTCTCCCATCTTTACGATCGCTAAACCATTGCCCCACCAACCACCAACATCACCTTCCCCATGTTTTCTACAACTTGTCCCCCCTGCAGCTGGCAATACCATTGGCCTACCTCTAATCCCACTATCTCGCATCCAGCCCTACACAATGCTCGCTATGAAGGGTGGCCCCATCCCCCACTAGAACTTCCCCAAGTTGCTTCACCTCCATCTACTACATGGCGCGCTGCTCTTGCATTTGATGTTCCATCGCACTGTCTGTATGAGGCTAACACCACCCATACCCGTGAGCTTTGATTCTTTTTCTATGGCTCTCTGCTCATCTGTCATTAGAACCTCATCCCGTTCATCCTCAGTATGATGCTCACCCCCGCACAAACCTTGGACTGCAAGGTAATCACCTTTTCGTTCTGTTAGCATCCGCAGATATAATGGGTCCCGTTGGCTCTCAACACCACGACTTCCCCGGTTCATTGGCATGGAATGGTGGGTTCTCATTGTTGCATCTTGTCATTACATGATCTGACATGGCTGATGCAGGCGGCACTTACACTCCATCCCTCCAAGGCACTTCTGAAATGTGCACCACAACTTGAGAGAACACACAGCTCATATGTACGTGCCTTGTTTTGCTGGCTTGCGACCACAATCATTTATCATTCTTATCACTAGCCTATGCCCACCTATTTCTCGCAACACCATCCATGTCACTAACTTACAACCTGCACTTCCCACCTACATCTCTTGGATTTCCATTGTCATCTCCATATGCAGGCTCCGGGTATGAGCTACTCCGCGTCCCAATTTGCTATCAGAGTAGAACAGCTGATACAAGTGTAAGTCCCTCACCAATCAACTAATGCAAAACAATTTCAAGGAACATTTTACCAGGGCAATACAACACACATCATGGATGAACCCAAAGGAGACAAGAATGGATCTGATAGTACTCAGCTGACCAGCGCTCGGCAAGTGACACATTTATCGTTTTGATTGAGGCTTATCAAAATGTTGTTTCACACAGTGATGAAGCGAGACAGCAATATGTATTCAGCCCGGAGATGAAGGTGAAATAACAAGACAAGGAAGGATCTCTACTTGGTATGTCTGCTCTCGACATCATGCTACCCCCGGCTCAAACGAAGCTTCCTCAACACCCCTTTCACCCATTTCTTCACTCACCCTTCGCCTTCCCTCGACTCCCTTGATGTTTCTTCTCACCCCCGTTTGCGATGGTCATCACTTTCGCAAAGCCGCATTCATCATCTCTGCTTGCTCTGCCTGCATCCTGTGAACATGATCCAAGCTACAGTACAACTAAATCGGGTAAGTTTTCCAAACATCAGATCAAAACATTGACTTACATCGTTTTGGGGCCCCATATTGAAGGACAATTGTCGATATCGGATGCAAGTTTAGATTCCAGTGTGTGTTGTAGACAGACATTAGCGCTGCCTAATTTGGAACCCAGGCCTTGGGCCTTGGCCCTTGGACCTTTGCTATTATTATCACTTAATGTATTTACTATTTATAAATCAATACAAATATATTTATATTTTATATCTATTCTAATTTTAAATGTGGCTGGAGCTAGCTTAAAGACCTACGAAACGGCTCAAATGACTAGACTGAGCCATATATTACGTAAGCTTAATTTGGTACACAGCTAGCCTAATTGTAGCTCCACTCTCGGCTAAAGCCAGCCTCAAGCAAGAGCTGTGGCAACACTACTTACCAGAGTTCAAAGCACCAGCTCCAGTACCAGCACCAACAACATCAACACCAAGAGAAGGATAGAGAAGGAAGAAGAGAAGAGAGGCAAAAACTCGAAAATTGTAAGAGAAATATGAAAGATAATCTAATGAGGCGACAGTGGGGGGAATAAAAGAATAGGAAAAGACTTATTGGTTGACCACATTTTTGCTTACAAAAGTAGTGCCAAACAAAGCCACAACACAAGCTCAATTTCGAGTATTTTCCTTATAACTCACTAGGATCTTAACCTATTGAAGTCATATTCCCATGGTCTACTGGGTTCACTCAACATCACAGCCACTAGTAGCTACTGTTATATTTATTAAAGTTGTTAAAGCCAGGAATAAAATGTGTGGTTACTATAGAGCTCTTTATAGAGCTATAATAGCCCAAAAAGGTGTTATAGTTGGGCCCTTTTGGACCGCTGTCTATAAAGCTCTATATCACAAAATAGTTTTTCCTGATGCATGCATCATAGGTCCTCAAGCTGTATCATTGATTGATACAAGTGTGTTGTAACGGTGTCGCCTCATGTTGTAATATGTATTTTTTGTCCAGCATTTCTTCTCAAGGTCACAGCCTCTGTGATCTATCTCACTAATAGCAACTCATGTGCCAAAGCGATTGAGTCAAATCATACAATGTAATTATTGAATCAACTCACATCTGTTATCATCTCACTCACTAGTAATAATGCAGATGGATTCTTGACTGTTCAGGGTTGTCAGAAAAATCAATATAAAGACCTCATGATTGATTCAGTGAGTTCATTCAGCTTCTGAGTTGCTCACACATTCCTCTCTTTGTGAGATACTGTCAATAACTCATGTTGGACTCTCCGCTCGACTCTGATTCAAACCTGGAAGATTCTGATTCTAATATCTTGTCGGATTCAGAGCATGATTCAGATGATGCCATCTCATGGCCTGTGGCACCACCAAGCACAGATTCATCTATGAAATATCTTCAAGCAGTAGGATCTTGTTTGTTTCCTTGACTCTCATCCATTCCCTAACTCATTTTATCTAGTAAATTAAACAACTTCTTCAACTTAAGAAAGGAAAGTTGGAAGAGCGTAACACAGCGCTGAATGCAATCAATGGCATACTAGCAGCACAGCAGTTGAAAAGCTAGCTCCCAGCCCTCCAGCATCACTCAGCAACTACTCCAATTCCCATAGACCCTGTTCTCTTACCACAACCATCAAATAATGTTGAAGTCACAGCACCAAGTTCCCATAGCACATGCGACACTGCCATAATGATAGATTTTCCTCCTACCACTCAGGAGATCCAAGTTATGGCAGCTGAAACCTGGGATGTATCCATCATGATGGAAGCTCCTTCTGCAAATTCATATTCTCTCCCCAATGACCACCAATCTGAACCTGCACCTCTCACTTTGTCAACTGTCGCAGAGCTAGACATGGACCTGGCAACTAATATCATCAGTGTTAAAGTCTCTAAACAATCAGAGACTATTGAATGGTCTGATGGGCACACCACAGTCCTGCCATGTGTTTGGGAAGATGGAGTAAATATATGTAAGGATGAGGTTACATTCATCAGATTCCTCACTCAGCTTCCACAAACCCTCCCGGGTTCAGCCTACATCATCCATGCACAGTATTATGATTAGAGTTCAAAACAAGCAGAGTTACACGAACAGGTTAATGCCTCACTTTGCGAGGGCATATGCTTTCTTCTTTGTAGGCTCTCTAAACCGGAGCCAGTCAAGCTTGATGTCAACTACCTAAAACAATGTGGAAAGTCATCTATGAGGCCTATTATTGCACATGGCAAGTCTGTTATTTCACATGGCTTCTCAGTTTGCCTTGTGAATTACAAAAGATGTTAAAGCATGTGTAGCAAACTTCTCATATCCACATAAGGATAGCACAATCCAACAGTTTATTTGTGACATCAACAACTCAAATATAATTCAATGTGTTCTTGATCTTCCATTTTCTCAGGGTGGTCTACTGTTCTTCTTTAGGTGAGTACTGTGCTGGCCATTCTCACATTTTTATCTCTAAAATAATGTACCTTAGTACTCTTGATCATGGCATGGTCTATACTTGGAATATGACTTTAACATGCAAACTACAATCAGTCCATTCTGACAACTTCCTTATAAAGGCATGGGCCTTATTTCATCACACTGAATTCCTTAAATATTTTCACCATGACTCTGACAGAGGAAACACTTATGTTGAGGTAGAGAACCACACTAATGTAAAGTTTTGGTGTCTAGCTTTCCTATAAGATGGGGGTGTGATTCCCCAGACCACCTTCAGTGCAAATTTCGCACTTTTGGCCAAATTTTAAAAAGAACTGCAAGAAGATAGAATCCAAATGGGATTTTGAAGCAGTCACTGTCTTACCTAGAGATTTGCTGTGAGTCATCACTTTGTACAATTTCTTAGTTTAAGCTTACATTGACAAGTATCCAACTGCCTGGACAGTTTCATGCAGTCTATACACCAATAGCAAATGTTGCCACTGGTGGCAATTTCTACAACCACCAGTACATGCATTTGATGGAGCTTTCTTGATATGTAGGCCACACAAAAGGCACAACCTTCACTATACAAATATATGAATATTTTATTGCTACTTTCTAGAGAATGATTATCAACCTGCCATACCTACGTAGTTGCATCAGTACATGGTAAATCATTGCCATGTGTCAGCAGAATTTAACATCATTCAAAGCCTTATACAGTAGGTCTCTCACCACTCTATATACCATGATCCTAGAGTCTAAAAAGTACATAGCTGCTGGCACTGGCAAGAAAAAGCAGAAACATTAGATACTATATCTCATTGTCTGAGAGTTATTAGGCAAGTCATAGTAAAAGTGCAGGCAGGCACAGTGCCTTGAAGTAAAACTAAGACAAACTTCTACTCTAAACCTATCCCACTAGCTGAGAGTGAGATCAGGCAAGACATAGTGAGAGTGCAAGTAATATTTTGACAAAGCAATTTCAAGTTATGATAGAGCCCGCCAGGGGTTATGATTGCTCACTGATTTATTGAGCTAAGCTCCATATACACACAACAAATATATATCTCTTTTATAGGAAGGGAGACATGAAACAGGAGAATACGACAAAGTTAAAACAGACTTTCATAGGTTGAGACACAACCTGCTAGGTTAAAACATACCTATCATATTTCTATTCACAACAAAACCACAGACACATTCCAGTATAGTTTTTTTAAACAAAAAGGTAACTTGTTTACTCTTTGACCACCCATAAACAACACATCATCAACTGAGAAGTAGAAAATCCATTGACCGTGAACTTGAGGAGCTCGCAACTTTTGTCTTATGAAAGTGCAGTTATGATTATCACTGCATTTTACACTTAATTTATATAAGACCCTTAAATAAGAAGACACCACTGTTTAATGAGACACTGAAAGGATGACAAAAGGTAAGGTTGAGCCCTGCCACACACATCAACCCCAGATCAGCCTACAAAAGGCATCTCCAAGTGCATACAGCCTACAGAGTCACTTCGCCTACAGAAGGCTTAACAACTCTGGAAGATGTTGAATGGGAGGACAAAGGAGTACATAATAATAATTACTTACAGCAAGAGCTTCGAGTCAAAAATGTGTTGCATCAACAGTGAACCCATCACTGATAGTGTTCCTGTCCTCATCTAAACATATGTTAATTATAATGAAGATGTCTCTCACTTAAGTGTAGATAACACTATGATTTATAGAGCTCAAGGTCTATAGGCAAAAGAACTATATGAGTAAGGTGATGGATGTAAGAGTAGGAAAGGAAAAGTCTAATTGTGGCACTGTATGTTATGTAAGGATGAGTAATATAATTCAAGCTCCGGTGGTGTAGGAAACCTCCAATCTCTGGCCTCACAATTGATACTTTACTTACTTTATATTGGTACTCTTATTGCTTACATAATCCAGTCAATCTTTCACCAGTACTAGCTTAAGTCTGAGTCTGTCTGAGTCTAGAGTCTTTATTCTTGATGTCTTTCTCTCTGTGAGCACTAAGCCTAGAGCAGAGACCCTATAGGGTCGAACTAGCCTAGGCTTAGCAAGACCCAACATCTCCCTGCACCTTAGCAGGATTGTTGTACCCACACCGGCTTTGTCCTTCAATCCCAACAACATAACATATATACCAGAACTTGCTCACTGAGTTTTAAAGATGAGTTGTCATCCCTATATTATAAATGCCTCTCAGAAAATGGTCTCTTCTCTGATCTATCACCTACCACCCGCAATATTTACTATATTGTAAGGGCATGGGCGCTAGTCCCTGACTCTCTTTCATGGTCAACCCATTTTTTTCTCAGCTTTTTAAACCCCACATTTTTGTATTTTCTCACATTACAGATCATAAATCATGATACCCAACTCTTTTTTATTCTTTCTTTGCCCTTTTTTGTCCTGAAATCCCAAATGATTAGATCATGCAAGCATACAAATACAAGTATGAGCCTTTTTTTTTAGAGAAGTGGTCCTTTGCTTGAGTTCCCAAGTTTGTCAGGTTTTGGTTCAAGAATGCCTAGTTGTTTGTAGGAGTATTTGGAGACAGCTGCCACAAATTACTCGTGTTGATAGCTGGCACTGGCATCTGCTAGAAGAACAACTCCTTTGACATTCATGGACATGTTTTTGTGAAGTCCAGGAATACAACTGGTTCTTTTGTAGTCATATGTGGATACAGTGAATAATACAAATACTGCTGAGCAATTTTTTTGATTTTGTCCTCAATTTTTGGCTTCTTCCAGTAATCTTGGAGATGTATTGCTGTTCTCCACTTTTTGTTCATGATAACACCAAGATTCCTGTCATGCAGAAGATAATAGGGACATTTGTGAGTCGTCGCTTGCAAGATCAAACAGCATTCCATAATCAGAAGGTCATATGGAATTAGGTAGAAGAGGGAAACATTGTCATGTTCATCTACTGCATCCTTGTGTTCATCTGCACTACCTTCATTTGTGCCGCCTTTATCTGTGCCATTACCTACTATATTTATCATAACATCTGAGACCATCATCGACATAGCAATCTTGAGTTTGGCCAAGAAGTATGCATTGAAAACAGAGATATTCCTACCTAAAAAGGTCATTTTTCAGACAGATTTCCCTGACCCTCTGGTTGATATAATAAGCCCACATTGTTATATAAAGAAATCAACATCTTCCCTCCCCCCTTCTCTTTAGGAAAAGGCAACAGCTCAGCAATCTGACAGCAACCTACTATTTAATTCAATTCTAAAGTGAGCTATCATATAGTTAAATCCTATTCTTCATGCTAAACCCTTCTCTTGACTTTAGGATTCTCTTAGAAAAAAACATTTTGTGTAGCCCACCATGGACTTTATATACACTACATTCTACAGCAGAATGAAATTTATCTGGTATCAAATTGTCCTTGAGGCTTAGAGTGAGTAGAATAATACCAGATTCACAATTGATTCTGATGGCTAGACAATCAATATTCTGGATGCCTATTGTGTGTTCCATCATGTTCCTTACTCAGAATTTGCATCACTTGCCAGGGATGCCATCACAAATTTTGCTCGTGGTATTCAGACTGTATTGTGCTCTTCTAGTAGGAATCTCTATGAGACTTCACTAGTAGCACTCTGACAGATGACCTCAATTGTCAGGAGTTAGTCTTCCAACAGCCAAGGAACCAATCCTGGCTGGACCCTATGGTTGATAGACTGAGGTTTCCCACTTCTACACAGACGTCAGATAGATTATTCAAAAGCTACCAACTAATTACTCACACAGACATCCCTTTGAAACATTGTGCTAGAATTTATTGTATCATTAGGTTCTGCCATGAAACAGCAGTGAATAACTCACAGAGATGGTAAGCATCCGTCGGAAACTGCTGCTGGTTTTTGCCTCCAGCAACTAGCACACACTACTTGAGTGGAGATTGTGGGATCCAAAAAATTTTCTTATGAATTTCCACCTCCGAGATTACATATGAATGAACTGTAGCAATGTTTGCAATACAGAAAATCAGTGTGTGACTAGAATGATGTATGTTTGTGCTGACCAAGGCTACCAACCATGACAGTCTTGCTGTGGCCTCCTCTGACCATGTATTCAATGAATTCCAGCAACAGTCCCTCAATAAGCCTCGTGCACTGTCCAGACTATTTGAGGAAGAATAGCACATTCTGTTGGCACTTGTAGCAGTTTTTTTCTTAACATCTGGTGTCCCTCCGATCATCTCAGGTCAAATCACTTAAATATGACTGGAATGCTTAGATAGGCTCAGCAGGAAATCTTTTCATTATCTTAGGATTAGTGGCATTAGCCAATCCTGCTGCAAAATAGTGGAGGAAGAATATACAGGAGTGCCTGTAGGTCTTATCTCTCTCCCTTACAACCTCTACCATGTTTTTTCTTAATATTATTAGTCCTGCCCTGATTGGCCTCCTTGACTAGCTGAAGGAGGATGTTTCTAAGTATTCCATGCATATATTCGCATGCCCATTTCTGGTGCAAAATTCACTTCTGTGGAGTGGAAGTGATGTGAATGCTGCTCTGTAAAAGCATATGCCTACTATTAACATCAAGCTCACTAGAACATTTCTCAGAAATGCTACCACAGCTATGCTGCAGAAGTTCTTCCCTTTGCTTACCAGCATCAACCAGCTGCACAACTCACTTCTGGATTAGCAAGCCTAGCACCACCGGTCTACTGGAGACACACACTATGGCCGTGATCTGGATATCCTAAGGAGTTTTGCCATGACAATTGACAGGGCACGAGACTATATTGTCACCAATCAGGCTATCCATCCAATCTATGGTCTGGGAATTCTCAATGAGTTTAGTCAGACAATATTTTCTTCATCCAGGCTGTACAGAATATTTTGACAGACACACTATACATTACTGTCAGCCATGTAAGTTTATCATATTGGCTTCCCAAATCCTTAGCCCCGCTTACATACTATTTTTGTTGAGAGTATGATTGGAGATAGGGTACTGTTTAGAGATATCATAAGTCTTCACTACATAGGTCATAGGCAGTTATGAAAGTTCAGTTTTTATGTGTTTGAACTCCACTATTGTTTGAACTTCTGTCTATTTGAACTTGTGGATGGACTTGCATAACCTCACTTTGTAAATATTATTTACTTTACTCTTCTTCACCTCCTTGGCAGTTGCATGGGAGACAATGATGAAATTAATATTAGGCTTATATTTGGACTTTCTGCCTAAATAGTGCATGTCGCGGTGTAGGGAGTAATATCCCTACAGGCTCATATCCCCTGATATATACATCGACCTCATCACTATCCTCATGTATGCGCAGTCCAATAGAGTCGCGCGCAACACGCGCGACCTTCCGCGCTCTTCTGCGACGCACGCAACCTTCCGTGCCCTTCTGCAGACTGGCGCTATCCTCGGCATACCCTCCCATGTCCTGTCCTGTCTGTCTGGTACCGTTGGTGCGTACTCTCACTGTCATCTCCGTCTCTGACCACATCCAGGGTCTTTTACATAGTGTTACATACTTATCCGCTTCCGCGCAGCCTATCCGCTTCCCTTACGTTTCATTACCCTGAGAGCGCGCGTAGCGACCTACATATCTAGAAGACTCAGAGGATTTCGGACTGACTTACTTTTCCCTTACTTGGACTCACTATCAGTTTTCTGTCTAGTCGCGCTTAGAGCGCTAATATCATTGCAGTCTTTGTCTATCTTCTTCTTTGTCTTGTGAAGTTTCATTCCTCATCCAAAGGGAGTTCCTACTATCCTCTGCAACTCTTCTCCTATTGTGCACGTACCGCGCGCGTTCTGACCCTTCCGCACGACTCGTGCGTTCATCACATCAGCCTCACGTGTTCCCGCGCGCCTTCACGTACTTTCCGACTTGAGCCTTTCTCTTGATCCCTCTCATCATTTAGAGAGATTTACTCAGTAGCATCCCCTAAGGGACGATTCTACTAGCTCGCCTCTTGAGGTAGATATTCTTGTGACTCTCTGGAGTTCGCATTCCTATTTCCTCACCCACAGCGGTACAGAAAACTAAAGGGACTTGATCACACAGACTTAGACACAAAATCCAAGGGAGTAGAAGGAAATGATTATTGGCAGAGGCCAGTGCGACCATTTATCATGATCTGTAAGAACTCAGAATCCTCCTAAGCAGCAGCGGTAAGTACAGGCGAGTCCATAGCACGGTAATATGTAATGATAACAAGCAGCCTCGTGCATGTGGATGCTACCTCTCTGCCCCTGAGGCTGCATGGAGAATACTAGGTTTCGAGATCACCTCAAAGGATCCATCTGTAACTTGCCTCCCAGTTCATCTCCCTGGCAAAAATATCTTGTAATTTCTACAAGGTACTTTGGATGAAGGGTGTAAGGGCTGCTGTGAGTTCAATGGGGAATTGATTCTAATGAGGCATTCTTGTAGAGACTTAGATAGACTTGTGAATATAGAAGGATTTTGGAGGACTTTCTGATAGGACTGAGGTCGTTCTTGGAGCGGGAAATCAAAGAGTAGATTCTGCTAATTAGTGTAGGTAGACATGGGTGGTATTTATATGTTGGGGAGCGATTCTACTATACCAGAATTGGTGTAAGGAGCATGTGGTGCTCTTGAAAATGCTCGGTGAAGGATGGGGATGGTGAGGTTGGAGCACAAGGTAAGGTACAAAAAAGACATAGAAAGGATATAGAGGAATGTATCCATGTACTCAGATGCGAAGAGTTGTACTCTTCGCATCAGTGAGTCATGTGGCTGTGTTCAAACTCGTCATAAGTTCAAACTCCTTGTTTTAAAGTTGGTTTGGTGCGTAAAGAACATATGGTCCTTACAAGGGTCAACAATGTCCCTGCTGATTCGCTATTTCCACCATCCAAACCTCCCCCAATTTGAAAATATTTTGTACCTCAATTACTTCCAACTATACGTGCTCTACAGATTGAAACACGGTGACCCTCTTGATGAAGATGAATATCTTGAAGAACTCATCCACCACTCCACATGAAACAAGGTTCGCTCACATCATCAAGGTCAAAAAGTCACCCGTCTCCACACTATCTCCCCAAGTGCTGGAGAGTTATTCTACCTCCGCTGTCATTTGATGCACCGTCCCGCAAGATCTTGCTGCACACAATCAAAGAAACATTATACCACACCTACCATGAAGCTGCACTTTCTGTGGGCCTCTTCAATGACATCAATGAAGGATACTTTGCGCTTGAAGAAGCTGTTGCCAATCACCAGCTGCCTACTCAACTCTGCTTTCTCTTTGCACAAATTATCCTCGAAGGTTACCCTGCACTACCTTTATGGAACCATTTCCGCGGTGGTCTTGCTTTCAATTACATCAGTAAAAGTGGCTCTGAATACATCAGCACTGATAGTGCATTGCAACAAATTGCAAGCTACCTCGAGGATGGACACCACTCACTCAAAGACTTTGGTCTGCCAGAGCCTCAACACCAAAGTGCTGAAATCATCACTAAACTTGAAGCCTTCAGTGATTGTGAATCTGAATTGGAACACAAAGCTTAGCAAATGTACAACACCATGAATTCCAAGCAGAAGAATATCTTTTGCGAGATTCTCCATCACGCAAGAAACTCTCATGCCCATGTGCCCAACAACACTTTCTTCATTGAAGGAAAACCTGGCCGTGGAAGACCTTTTTAGTTGATGTGCTATGTTCTCAACTAAGAAGCAAAGGAAACATTGTTCTCATAGTCGGGACAAGTGCATTAGCTGCAGCCTTATATGAACAAGGACGCACAGCTCATTCATATTCCTGTCATAGAGGTATGTACAAATCCTATTAACATACTGCCGAGCTTTCAAGAATCATACTGATATTGGTACTTAGGATAATGTTGACCTCCACTTGAAGATCAAACCTGGCACATTTCGTGCAGACCTCATCGAAAATGCTTCCCTCATTGTGTGGGATGAACTTCCCATGGCAAATGTTGCCGTTGTAGAGAGTGTTGATGAAATCTGTCAAATCATCACTGGGAAACAACAGCCTTTTGGTGGCATTCTCTTCATTGGTTTAGGTGACTTCCACCAAGTTGCACCCATTGTAAAAGGTTCTGGTAGTACACCATCATTACTTGTGTCAGTCAGGTCATCTCTGCTATGGTCAAAGTTCAATATCAGAACATTGCACTGTCCCATCCATGGAGCCAGAGACTCCAAATACACGACCTTCATTGACCGTATAAGTGAAGATCACACTCACTCTCATGTATCTCTCAACATCTTATCTCACATAAACACACTCGACAAAGCAATCTCCTCTCTGTTCCCATGCTACGTCCTTGCAGATCTGTCCATCTGCTTACAGTGTGCACTTCTTAGCCCCAAAAACTCCTACATTGATGACTTCAACGTGAAGATACTTGATATCTTGCCTGGCGAAGAAGGTCAGTTTCTCACCTTCTCCCATTCTGTCTACAAATTGAATCTGCTTTACTGAGCAATGTATTACACAGTAGTTTACTACAGCGCCAACACTGTAAAAGGAGACAGTCAGCTCATAGCAGATCACCCGACTTTCTTGCAATTCTCACACAGAATGGAATTACAAAACACGAACTTCATCTCAAGTGCAATTGTATTTGTTCACTCATGCGCAATATGTCTATTCAGAAGGGACTAGTGAAGAATGTGAGTCTTATTGTACAACAATTACACCACCGCTATGTTGAGGTTCGAGTCATCAACAACAGGACAGGTCAACTTGGAGATACTCAATGCATCCCTCGCATCCGCTTCAAATTCACACCCCCATGTACAAGTTGGACTGTTCATCATCTCCAGTTTCCCCTCCATCTTGCATATGCAACCCCTTTCAATGGTTGCCAAGGTCTCACCCTTGACAAGACCATTCTTGACCTTCGCTGCAATGTCTTCACACATGGTCAACTGTACACAGCCCTTTCACGGATATGTCAACGACAGGACTCGCACATCCTATTGCCGGAAGACAAAACAAATGTTGGTTCCAAGATGTTGAATGTTGTTTATAAAGAATTGTTATTAGAAACAAATTAGATTTATCCAATGAGCCGCACAGCCACAGCAAGCACTTGTACATTATAAATACAGTGTTATCTTACAAAGCATGATGAATCAAAGGTATGAGTCATCTCATGGATTGGTAAGATTGTGCCTACAAACCAAGCCTTTTGGTGAGCTGAGTCATCCTGGTTACTAAAAATATTATAAATACAGTTGCAAGTCTTACAAACCATGACAAATCAGATTATTTCCCAGTCACATGACATGATTACAAACATGATCAGTCAGCTAGTGAGAAAGTCTGATGAATAAGCCAAGAAAAATAGAAAGATAGAGAAGGTCACAGAACAAAATAGAAATGCATAGAAATTCCAGAACTTTGAGAGTACGTGGGTAGACTCTACCATAGACTACGTGTAGAAAATTGTAGAAAATCCGGGAGCATTACTAATTCTTTTCGTAGAAAGTGAGCCAAATCCATAGACCATTCGTAGACAATTCATAGACCTGCGTAGACTTTCCGTAGATCGACCAAACAACTTCAGCGGAGTTTATTGCCTCGGCTGTGATCATTGCCTGGAGCAGCGTCGGGCATATACGGCAACGGCAAGCCAATGTTTTCGCCATCTGCCCCACCACTATGTCACTTTGCCTGGAGCAGCATCTGGCATATAGATGGCAATGGCAAGCCAATGTTTTCGCTATCTGCCCCACCGCTATGTCACTTGGACCTACACTGGCACCTGCTACAAGTTAGACTGTTACTAATTCAATGTGCACAATATGTGCACAATATCCAGGACAAGTCGCCGTCTCAGTATAAAATTTGTAGTATGTTCACAGTGACTTTTCTTCGTAGCTTGTCTCACTGACGTGGTATGACTGATACGGTCCTGTGTACCAAAGCTGACTGCCGCAACTTGAAGCAGGGTACTCAGCCGCGGAAGGCCAACAGGAACTGCATACGACGCTACTGCAAGCAGTGTTGTGAGGTGGTGGGAGGGTGTAGGGTCCACCGAGTCGCATCCATATCTCCTCCAGTTGCTGCTCAACAGCATGAAAGCTCGATCATACCACCACTTGCCACCGTTAACCCCACGTCTACTCAGCTTGACCACCCTCCAGTTAATATACCTGAGGGCCCCTCGCCTACATCCCAATCTTTAACTACCACTCAGTCGCTCCCAGCTGCTTCACGAGTTTATGCCCGGCTGTTAGACCCCAATTACGCACGGAACTATGTTCTTGGGCACCAGCGGACGTTGGTGGCTGAACAGCGCTTTCAAGCTGACCAAAGTCTGAGTATCATGATCCGCAATATGATCGACGTAGTCCTCTGGTTGAAGGTGCAGTCTTCTACATTTATTTGATGGTTTCTTGGCGCTGACTACTCAACTCGAATAACGCTAGAACAACAACCCTCCCCACCTGGTGAGGCTTACATGCACCACACCTGGAAAGTTTGTGCCAGGAGACCATTCGCTATTGATGCGATTCGACCTCGGAGACTATATTGCAGTATATTGCAGTGATCAGCATGCCTGGATCGAGCAAGATATCAAGACTCCACTTCTCAGTCCCCCCAATTCAACCATCCTCCTGCGCTCTATTGATCTCACTGACAATCACACACTACATGGATTCGCTGAGAGGGTCTTATCCCTTAGTCGCACGCCTGCGACTGTCCAATCTCCATCGAAACGAGCCTTTAGTGCCACGGGTATGCACCTCTCCCGATTGGATGGGATCACCTCGCCATTGAAGCGGCAGAGGAACGCCAGTAGTAACAACGCTGCGAGCCTGGTTCTCGTCTCTCTGCGGTTGCCCACTCCTTTACCACTTATCAAATCACCTAGTCCCACTGCGACATCACCTCTGTCACTCACCACTGGTGACTCGGACACGTCACCTGTATTAGTGCCTGCGCCAGCCATGGTCCAACCCAACGCCTCTGCTACTGTCCCTCCAGGTGCCCAAGCACGATTTCCTTGGAAGTATGCATGCGATATGGTTCCCCGTATTCAGCTCTTCGTTGATTTATCAGACGATCAGATGATCCAGACCCTCTTCACTACTACTTTTCCGAATTGCACCTATACTAAGGCGACATTTTATAAGCATCGTGCTGCTTATCGGGCAGCTATCAAGAATTCAGGGGATAAGGTGGAATGTGCCGTCAATGCAGGATATAGTCCTGCTGGCCTGTGGAACACTCTCTTGGCGGAAATCAAAGCTAACACCCCCAGTCTTACTGGTAGTAGTGGCCTGGGTAGCATCTCAAACTCGGATGTGAAGTGTAAGTGTAATCTGTTTTACTACTTCCACGATTGGCTAATCCTTGTCCTTCAGATCATATGCTGCCTCCGCTTTCATTGCCAATGGACCCACCTACCACTGACACTGGGTTACTCCCTACTCCGAGTTTACTACTAGCGGACCCATCTACCACTGACACTGGGTTACTCCCTACTCCGAGTTTACTACTAGCGGACCCATCTACCACTGACACTGGATTACTCCCTACTGACTTAACTGGTGAGATGAGTGACACTCTCGCATCACTATTCCGGAGCATAGACGAGATGAACCATGATACCGCAGTTACCACCAATTCTGAATTTCCATTAGATCTTACGAGTTATCCTGAAAACGATCCCTTTCCCGTCGATACATTTCCCGCTTGGTTAAATGATCCCTCTCTCCTAGATTATTCTTTTATGGGACCTGACGGTCAAGTCTTACCATCCTTACCACCTTTTCAGTTAGATTAATTATCACAGCGAAAGTTCTACTAGTTGATTCGACTGTTTATTATCCATGAAAATGTGACTGGAATATGATCAATCAAACTTTCCATGAGCCGAAAAGTTTATCGGCTTGGGCGATTCTGAACTACACAAGGGTCAGCGATCACACGATCAGCCGGTTTGTAAACACTCTGATCAACTCGTGCAAAAACCTTCTAAATTATCGGCTTAGGGCGATTCTGAACTACACAATCAGCCGGTTTGTAAACACTTTGATCAACTCGCGCAAGAACCTTCTAAATCTGTCTTTAAGTCGCTGATCGTTGTTTGCCAGATGTATCCTAAACAATCGGGTGACCTAGACAATGTATGTAGTGTGAACGAACTAATGCGAACGAACTAATGCGAACAGCGCCAGTGCGCTAGTCACTGCCAAACAGAGCATCCATAGAAATCATCCAAGGAGAATGTCCTCGTCTCTCTGACTCCGAGATAACATAGCGGTTTCGACGTTTGATCATCTCATCAAGATAAAAGTTATACCGGTGTACAGACATGTCCCGCAGGATTGCCTGATACCCACCTAGCCATACATTTGTCTGTTCGCAAATCGAGGTGTTGAATTGCCACTTGCCACCGGAAACAAGTTCTGGGAAAGCGGCAGGGTTGCAGTGCTGCTGACAGTAGGTGTCAGTTTCCTTGTGCTTCGAGTTGAAGTGAAACACGTCCACAGGCATCCCTGTTGCGGCAAAGTGGTCATCACCAATAGCATCTTGGTGAGCGCGGAGCTTGCAGTTGTTGTCGAAGACGAAAAATTCGGGTGTTGATGCGGCAGTAGGGAATACCATCTTTGCAAATTCCTTGAGTTTAAATGTTAAGGGTTAGCGTGCATCAGTGAGACTGTATACAACTCATGTTAACAGCAGAAACAGCCTCGGACCCAAAGAACGTAGCGCGCGCTAATATCACACCACAAGGCCGCATGATAAGCTGCTCGTTATGGGTGCGGCGTCAACCAAACCTTGCTCTGAGGTGCCTGTTGCCGTTCTCCGGCTTACCATCACACTCAGAGTCAAGCTCGAGATCTTCGTCAGCGCTGTTAGAGTTGCTACCGCCAGTATCAGACGCCGACGGAACAGAGTCCAAGGGCAATGTGATGCCAGCCCTCTTGAGCCGCACTCGCAGCTGGAAGAGAGCTTTCGCAGGCTTGAAGTAGGCGTCTTCAAGAGCCTGGTGGTCCACATTGCCGCATGTTCGAGATCCAGAGGTATGGAGCTTGTCACAGCCATTGACTGTGCACCGCTGGTTCAAGTCTTGATGGTCAGGACAGAAACGATGACGGTTGGTCATAAGTGGGACTTTGCAGTCGTGCACTGTGCAACAAGGGTGCCCGATAGTATTGCCGTCACAAACAGCTGCTTGGATCTTTGCTGCGGCGTGGAATCAATCTAAGCATGACACCTCGCGCTTAACAAATGATTGACTTACTTTTTGAGTCGTCGCCAATGACAATGAAGCATAGGTCACAGGCGTGCGGGTATGCTTCCTGCCCAATACCTTCCATTTCTTTGTTGCGCTCACTCAGCGCAACATCAATTCGGGTCCGTTGTTGCTCGTCGTGGGGAAGAACGAGGCAACTGTTATGCTCTGCCTTCTCCAGTAGCAGTGAGTGGATGAAAAATCCATTTAGGACGTCAGTGTCGCGCATTCGAAGGGTATACTGCCATGAAAATTCCTTGTCGAAAGCTTGCGCAAGTGTAGCGTCAAAAGCACGCCTATTGTTTGACATGTAGGCGTGCCGTTGAGCAAGTGCGTAGTTGTACACGCGAGCGCAGTTCATACTAGACATCCTGAAACAAAAGGTTACCATTAATATCATCAGAGAAAGACGAGAATTTGAAACATACCATCCGAAGACTTTCGTTGCTGCAAAAAGTTCCAACAGCGCAGCTTCAATATAGAAATGCCTTGCGGCCTGAATGACGCTGGGAACACCAGCGTAGTACATGCGTGTCGAGTCGGCATTGTGAATCCGATAGTTGTGGTAGTATCTGGTGTGACATTCTGGGTGAAGTGGTCAGTAGGCGTTGCTGGAAGATAAAGAACATACGTCGACAATATGTTGATACCGAATGGACCGGGAGGGAGCCATCTCGTAGCGTAAAGAGGCTAGCACGAAATTTATTGACATCCGTGAGAGTGGCTACTTCATCGCCATCACGGTAGTTGGTGCACTCAGGACTCTGGCACACACGTGTCGGCGGATACAAGTCGTGATATCCTATGAGGTTCAAACATGTCAGTGAAGGAAAAGAAATGATGAATGGCGACGCACCAATACCACGCATAAGTCCATGACGGTTGAAAGCCTCAATCTCCTTGTCAGTTGGGAGTACTGTACCGTGAGTCCAGATGACTTGACGCAACACTACCCAGCACGCAAGGATAGTGGGTCGGTCTTGGCCAAGTGTGCCAGCAAGAAGGAGTATAACAACTTCTGGAGGGTGGGTGGGTGGATGGCAGATGTCGGTCATGCACTGGTGAATGAATGGTTTCGCCATGCATGCAAGCCGAACGAAGGCCGTGAGGTCGGAGAAAGTGAGATCAGATGCATCCAAGGACGCAAGCAACTGACGGATGTTCATCATGAAGGGGATCAGAGGGACGTCAATGATGATGAGGAAGGGGGTCAGAGGGACGTCGATGATGGCGATGAGGATGAGCATATATGTCGCTAACAACATTGTTTGGTCGTTCTACATAGACTCGCGTAGACTGCGGTAGACTGCGGTAGACAGTCCGTAGACTCAGGTGGACTGCGGTAGATTCTGCGGAGTTATCCGAATGGAGTCTACCAATTTTCTACGTGAGTCCACGGTAGATTCTACGTAGATTCTACCCATGCACCTTACATGCCCTCAGAAATTCATGTGTCTGACACGAGAAATGAAACTTCAGAAAATACGTGAGAAACAAGACTTCAGAAAACAGACTGATGAATCAAAGCAAAATGATAGAGTCACTTTGTGATAGGGTAGAGTACACTTCATTATACCTTCCCTATCTTTTATATAGCACACATGTCAAGGTATGAACTGCATACCATGCATGACACCATGCTGCTCACTTTTTCTGACTGTCACTTTCACTTTGACATTGTTTACACTGCAAAAGTGTTCAGTTATCTCTATAAGTATCTTTACAAGGGACCAGACACCGTACTTTTCACCATTAAAGAAGATGCTGAAACTGAAGAGCCAGCAGCTTTGAATGAAATCATGGACTAACAAAAGGCAGATATTTATCGGCACCAGAGGCAGCTTGGCATATACTGAGCTTCAAAGTCAGTCGAAAGGAACCTTCAGTTGATTGCCTTCCAGTCCATTTACCTGGTCAAATACTCCTCAATTTTGTCAGCGAGCAGGTGAGAGGTCGATGACCTCTCTTTTGCACCGTTATTTCCTTCGTGCACATCAGCTGGCTCAACTTCGCTACGAAGAATACTTTGGACAATTTGTTCTCTACCCATACTCCATGGAGGATGATCTCACAGCTAATGACTACCCTGAAAGACAAAGACAAGGTGTTACACAGAAGAAAGCTTCACAGTGCATTCATTCGGAAAAGTTGCTCAAATTCAAATTATGCCAATTCATTCTGGAGAGCCTTTCTATCTTCGCGCTCTACTCCTCCATCAACCCGCAACTTCTTTCATCGACCTTTGCACAATTGAAGGGCATGTGTTCGATACTTTCCATGATGCTGCATGTGACCTTGGATTATTTGACAATGAAAACAAGGGATATCTTGCCCTTCAAGAAGCGGTCAAATCCCTCCGCACTCCCTCCCAGCTTCAATTTCTATTCTCGCAGATCATTCTTGAAGGGTATGCAGCTACTCTGCTCTGGATAGAATTTTGACAGATGCTGGCCATTGACCATATTCAGAGGCTTGGAAATGAATGTAGTGGCTATGAATTCTCACTACAACTTATCAATGATCTACTTTCTCACTCTGGAAGACACCTTGCAGATTTTGGTCTTCCATCCCCTCCCAGACAATCTGTTGAAGTCTTCAATGAAGAATTGTACCTGCAAAACAACCATGTGACATTCGAAGCACAAAGCCACAACATGGTTGAACAATTAAATGTGGAGCAACAACACATTCTCAACTGCATCACAGAGGCAATTGTACCATCGAAACATTCACTTTTCATTGGAGGTTGTCCCAGTTGAGGAAAACTTTTTTAATCAAAGCACTGTCATCAATACTACACGCATAGGAACATATTGTACTCATTGTTGGAAGCAGTGCATTGAGTGCCACTGCATATGATCACGGATTAACGGCACATCATATGTTCAGTATCCCTGTAACCGACGACAATGTCAATTTACATAGCTCTATTCACCCTCATTCACCTCACGCTGATCTCATTCAAAATGCAATGGCTATCATCTGGGATGAACTTCCCGCAATCAACAAAGCAGTGTGGGAGAGCATTGATAAACTTTGTCACTTGGTTTGCAATCAACCGGGAATACTGTTTGGAGGACTTACCTTCATAGGATTGGGAGATTTTCACCAAGCCAGTCCCATTGTCAGTGGAGCAGGAGAAACAGCAACTCTTGTGGCATCAGTGAAGTCATCAACACTATGGCCAAGCATGTGCACCTTCAGTCTCAATACTGCAATCTGCAGTATGGGTGATCCTCAATTCACAGCATTCATTGATCGCATTGGAGAAGACTGCTCCGGAAATCAAGAGAATCTCAGACTCATGGCAGCCACCACCGACTTCAACAACACCATTGACTTCCTCTTCCCACCTCACATTCTCACAGATGCAGAAACCTGTCTCGACTATGCATTTCTATCCCCACTCAATGTCTATGTAACAACAAAATTTTGGATCAATTACTAGGCGATTTTCATAAGCATTGTGAATGACATCAGTTGCTCTATGTGCTCACAACAAAACATAGAATCCTATTTTAGTTCAGACAGCTTGAAAGAAGCAGAGCATGCTGCATTAAGCACACCAGAACGTACACCCAACTATCTTGCATCCTGGAGTACCACCTCATTGTCTCGATCTCAAACAAAACTGCATTTGCGCAATTCAACACATCAGGAAAATGTGTTTTTGCCATAACAGGTATTTGTTCCTACAAGTAGCTACTGAGACCTGCTAAGAGCTACTGAGACCTGCCAAGAGCTGCTAAATGCTATTACCAGATGTCATGAAATTTTTTCACTTGAAGTGAATATACTATACTACTATCAATTACTAATGAAAGTTGTAGTCCTTGTGAAGGGGAGTCTATCCATAGTCTCATGATGTCCATAGAGTAAGATCCTAGTGAGTTATTAGCAAAATACTAGAAAGTGATGTGTTCAAGAAAGTTCAGGCACACCAAATATTAGTTGGTTGAAAAATTTCCCACGATCTGCCCTAGTCATTCCTTATCATTCGAAATCCTAGTCACTATTAAGCAATCATAGTTTCATAAGCAAAATATGGTCACATGACTTGTGTGCCTGAACTTTCTTGAACACATCACTTTCTAGTATTTTGCTAATAACTCACTAGGATCTTACCCTATGGACGTCATGAGACTATGGATGGACTTCCCTTAACAATGTCTATAACTTTCATTTTGGTTGAAAACTTTCCCACGGTTTACCCTAGTCGTTCCTTATTCTTGGCTTAATCAAAAGGACTTGGATGAATTTTTGCAATTGTGATGATATAAGCACAAACACAAACAAACATGAATAATGTCTGACGTCTCTTCTCTTTCTTACCTTTTGGTTTCATTTTGTTCTCTTCACTGATAACTGTAGGCACTGTGGGAAACAGTGAGCGGGAGGGCGGGAGGCGCTAAAGTAACTGGGTTACTTTCCCGCCCATCAACAGTGAGCAAGCATAGGTCTTTTTTGTGAGTTTTTCTAATGTTTTTTTCTTTCTTTCTTGCTCTCATTCACGCTCTTCCCTTGGCAATTTCTGATCTTTTTTGTCATTTGGTGAGTCCACTCTTCTTTCCTTTGTTTTTCTCTGATACTCAGGCTCTGCTCCTGCTCCTGCCCCTCCTCTTTTTCACTCTCCTCTCTCTCTCCAGCTCTCTGCACCTGCACCTGTTTTCACTCTTCTTTCTGCTCTTGCTCCTGCTCTCACTCCTACACCTGCTCCTGTTGTGGCTTTTGGTATGTTTTTTTATCTCTCTCCGGTTCTCTCTCTCTAACCCTCTTTTGCTAGCTATCTCCCTTCCTTCTTCTTCTACTAGTATTCCTCAAAATTCAAGATTTTGACTTTTTGGTAAGATCTCTTAGATATTGTAGTTAGTATTATACGCCCATGTATTAGTTAGTATGAATATACTTGAATTTTCACTTTCTGTTTTGTGTCATAATGCCAACAAATAGCTACTAAGAGCTATAATGCCAAGGTCATTGAAATTTTTTTGACTTGTCCATTATAGCTACTGGGAGCAATTATAGCCATTATAAAAAATATGCCGCTATTATGAGGGCTATAGAAGGGACTTGCCAATAATTGGCATTTATGCTATAACAGCTATTATAGCTCCTAGATACTACTAGGAGCTATTAGGAGCTATAATTGCAAGTACACATTTTCCTGATGCATAACCTCTCAGTGGAAAAAGGTTTGGTGAGAAATGTGCGGGTGCATGTCATCACTCTTCATCAACACTTCATCAGAGTACAAATCCTCAACAACTTCGAAAGCCACTGTGTTCCTCGCATTAACTTCTCATTCAATCCTGGTCATTCATCATGGACGATAATGTTAAGACCCTGTCCAATGGGTTGGACCAGAGGGGCTTAGCTTCAGCTCGTGTGCTGTGCTCTTTACCCGAGTATGTGCCCCTAATTTACAGGGGGTAGATTTCGTCGGCCGAGGGGTATGGATAAGGCCGGACGAAAGAGGGAGGACTACCGAGACTAATGTCCGGGTAGAAACTAATAGGGTACGGACTACCTGAAGGTAGAGGCGGAGGGATTTAGCCTTAGGGGTATAATCCCGAGGCTCGGAGGATCAGACTAGGATGATAATCCTAAAGGCCGAGGGGACACAAAGAAGGAACAGAGTCTAAGATGATATTCGAACTGAGGATATACTACGGGTTACAGGGGTTTATATACTATAAGGGATCTGACGGATATCCGGCCAAAGTGCAGTCCTCAGAACATAAAGCTATGTAGAAAACATACTAGTGAATAAAACATAACTGCGGACGATCAAGAGTGGAGCTGGATATGAAATAGAACAAAGGGAACAAGTTAAATGAAAGGGAAATGAATAGACTAACAGACAGATCAGAATGGAAGCAGATATTAACTGTCAGAAGGATCCGGGCACATAGGGGCAGAAAGAAGTGTATACAAATGGAGACTCGGGGGAAATGAATTCTAGACCGGGCCCGATGGATCAGGTGGATCGGACCGGATGAGAAGCCTCATGTATGGGATATGACAGATAAACAGAAAACAATTTCCTCTGCGACTTTTGTATGCAACTATGTTCAATGGATGCCAAGGTTTAATGCTATTGTGAACCATTCTCAATCTCCACACTGACTCCTTCACTCACAGTCAACTATACACCGTGCTATCAAGAGTAAGGACACGAAGAGACACACTGTGCTCATTTACACAGGCAAACAAAGAGCAAGATTGTGCAAATGTTGTATTCCCTGAGTTACTGCTGTAGACACGATGATAGCTGACTGTAAGTGTGGCTTACATCACAGTTGATCACATCATTCCATCATAGGTGATCACATCACAGCTGATTGGACACCATGTAGTATTTACCCCTGTTTGCATTGGACACTACTTATACCAAGACGCTAACACATGTATTGCTCATCACCCCTTATTCCTGTTCAATCCCATATGCTTGACACATTACCATTGTCTGATCTCCGCTTGGTGTTTCTACCCTCACAGGTAGTTTCCACCAACTGAAGGGAGTCCTTGTTTGTAAAAAGTCAGGCGACCCTGTCATATTGATGCAAGAATTGGTAACAGTTGTAAGGCATCAATTGATGCAATACTCTTACAATCTATAGGCAGGTAAATATATTGCATTATGATGCATAATGCATTAATAGGCTATACATAATGCATCAGGCCTTTAAAATAGTATGGCAGTGTGATGCACCATCATGCATTGTTTCCTTCCTCCCGCCACCACATGCGCCATCCCCTTTGCATGCGCTGTATTTTCTTTGATGTGGCATTGTTGTCCATTTATAGTAACCAGTGCTAGCCTCCCGCCTCCCGCCTCCCGCCTCCTGATGCACCATGACACATTGTTTCCTTCCTCCCGCCACCACCTGTGCCATTCCCTTTGCATGCACTGTATCTTCTTTGATGTGGTGTTGTCTATTTATGGTAACTAGCGCTGGCCTCCTGCATACTGATACCTAAATGCGCATTCCTCCTGATATGCACAGTGTGTTTCTGCAACCCTCTTGACGCCAGTGACATAGTACAGAGGTACCTGTTCTGCCCGCTTGTATTTGTCGTCAAACTTCTTTATACTGTAGTCTAGCACTAGTAATATAATGCTATATACCCGTATCTATTGTTGAAGTTCCAATGATGCATCACACATCTGACCATACTTCTTAATTTTATGAAGTCCATTGTAGGAGACGATCTGGCTGCAGCCCTGTATGGCACCACTTCCCCTAGTTCGACAATGTTGCATCTATCTCCCACGGATCGTTGCGGACCATTGCACGTGGTTGCGGAACCCGCACATTCCTCACATCATCTCGCATCGCCACGCATCCCCGTCCATATCCTATCCGAGCATGTCTGCCCCCACTGGTGCGTTTCCTTCTTCATTAATCATCCCTGATCATTCGCAGGACTATTTGCATACTGTTTCCCATGCACGAGGTCGCATAGTGCTACTTACATATTACCCCCCTCTGACTTCGCGTACATATGCATTCACTTATACAGTTCCAGTTTCTTATGGACTCTGTTATATACTACTTCGCGGACTTGTATCCAGCACTTTCCTACATTCCCTCTCTCTGGTTGTGTGTTGTGGAGTCACTAGCTTAGTCTTGTCACCGGTTGCAGGTAGGCGCCAATTGGTCAATAATGTAGGGTAAAAACTAACTAGACATACTACAGAAATGGAACAGTGAATATTTCAAATTTGCAAGCCTGAAGAGCCTTGGTCTCTGGATTCAGCTCGGTCACGCACTAGGCCATACCTGTCCCAAACCGCGTTGTGCGTTCAATGATGACTTCGTCATTATAGATTCTCATGGCATGCACAAAGTATTGTTGAATTTTTGTGACTGCACTCTGGCAACAACCCATGTACAACAACTGCTGCGCATGTCACTGCTCCCTGCAACTACTGCGGACCCCAAAACAGCTGCTACGTTTCGTCTGTTAGAAGAATTTCACCTCTTGTCTTTGGAATCAAAAGTATCGGGCTATGAGTTTTATTACACCCTAATGCGGAGGTCTGATAACACAGGGATCAATCCTATCAAAGTGGGTCCTATTCCTATCCTAACACTTTGTGGGGACATTGACTTATTTCCCTTTAGGATTGATATGACTCATTCTTGAGAATGGTATGTGAATGGTGTCACCTCAAAATGCTCAAGCGATCTGGGAGAGTGCATGATCCCAACGGCATTAATGCGATGGCGGAGGGTGCATGCACTGTTATATGTACAGCCTGGGAAGAACCTACCGTCCAACTGGAGAGAGGCCCCTCCCGACAAAGCTGGTTGTATGGCCTATTTGTGGCCATCAACGCGAACTTCTGGCTGAAATGGAGAGTTGTGTCAAAAGATAGCATGGACCCTAGCCTTAGTAATGGCTGGGGATACTTTGTTGAGGAAAGTGTGTACAAGGCCTTCCTGAACAATAAATCTGATGTTAGCCAAGAGGTGAGTTTTTTTCGTAGTCGTTATTTTCTATAGTGATACCCTATTAAACAGAAGTCCACCTGCTTGAGCCACAATGCTGTAAACATGGCGGATACTAAATCAAATTGTGGCCTGGCAGCTACAGGGCTCGGAACCATTGACTGCGCCTGCCACAACATGAAGTTACCGACAGCAGCTGGGGACCTCCAGAAAGGAGAAAGGTAAGTTTGTTACGCTTCAGACTTAGGCGCATCGAATTAACTACATCTAGGTACATAAATATGGATTATTTGTTTTTCTCGGCCCTTCACCATATGACTGTCGATATTCTCAACATGTCGTACAACATTGCTTGCCAGTGAAATAAGAATCTATGGCACCGCATGATGTCGTTTCCCCCTTCCATGCAGCTGAACCACAACAACAACAAGATCACATTCTTTGTCCCCAAATTCCATCTGCCAGCTCATATTCAACAGTGTCAAACGAGATTTTCATTCAATTTTACGCCTGGTGTTGGACAGACAGACAGAGAAGCCCCTGAGCAGGGGTGGGCGAATATCAACCCTGTAGCGTCGAGCACCAAAGAGATGGGCCCAGGCGCAAGATGGGACATGCTGGACGATTTTTTTGGGGATTGGAATTGGAGGAAGATTACTAATCTATGTGAGTTATTTTTACAGCGAGAGGCGCTACATACTGATGCATCACTAATGCATGAATAGGTCACACAATGTTGCGCAAGATGAAAGATGCCTTACCCAAATTATCGGAATATGAAGCGGCTCTGGACGACCTTGAGGAAGGGCTGAAGGAAGAATACTCGGAAGCGTTGAGCAGGTGGAAAGAGGAGGTCGAGGCATGGGAGTGTGATCCCTCCCAGCTGAACCCATATGAACGAAGTGTGGAATGTGAGTACGGTGTTATTTGTGTGTAGTATCTAATGTCACATCACACAGGTATCACCCTTGCCTCCGTGCATCTTGAACTCACAGGAGAGGAGGCATTGGAAACAGAACTTGATGGCTCCCGTGTGCTGCATGAAGATTGTTCACCTAGTACGATTAGCAGTGGACTCGAACTTGAAGAACAACAGTAAGTGATATTGATATTCAGCTGAATGAATATTTACTAATAAAATGCTTCAGACTACGTCTTGCAGCTGAGAAGGCGGGTCTGGGCATTCATGCCACAGATACCTAGGCATTGGCACAGGTAAACCCGCTGTGGGGACAACAAATCTGCTGAGTAGCAGTAGGTGTTGGGTCTTGCTGCCTAGCTGCTATGCCTTGAGAGACAATGTAAGACCCAGGCTTTCTTGACTAGGGAGTGCTCAAGCAGGGAGAGAGAGAGAGAGAGAGAGAGTGTGTGTGTGTGTGTGTGAGGGAGGGTGTCACTCCAGACAATGAGGCTAGAACTTGGTATCAGGAGCAAACTAGTGAGCTAAGAAGCCACAACCAGAGAAGCTACAAACTGGGGAAGCTACTACTTAACCCTAGAAGGGGAGCTACCAGAATATGAACTGAATACTGCTGATGAGTGGAAGTGTAGGGCGAAGATTTGATGATTAGGTAAGCAGTCAAATGCCAACATAAACAAAGGAAAGGGGTAAGTAAGGCTAGGTAGAAACTGTCAATACAAGGCCACAGGGAACTAGTTCCCTACACCGCGGGTATCCAGACCTCGACCCGCACCCATACCCGCAATGTACCCATACCCGTGTACCCAAGGGTACCAGGGGGTACGGGTCTTCGTGTGGATCGGAGCGGGTACAGCGGGTATGGTACCCATGAGGGGTAAACCCGCGGTATACATTCAAATCTAGCTACTAGACATGCGAGAACTACACAATGATATCATCCCAGCCCTCATCCAACTCCCGCTCTTCTCCTTCGAGGTCAGGCTTGCATGTCACAGCAGTAACATCCTTGTCTTTCACCAGACCAAGGAGACTCCAACTTTCAAGGCAAAGAAGAGCTTGTGTCGTTTGTGCCGAAAGTCTTGAACACACGTGAGAAAGAATGAGCCGTCCGCAAGAAAAAATGTGCTCGACGTCAACAGACGTTGCTGGAAAGCCACATTACAAACATCGAAGATTCACGTCAGAATAAAAACAAACTCACCTGGAATTGACAGGTAATCTAGGGCCATGCGAGAGAGGCGTGGGTACATAGCGCGATGTTTGTGCCACCAAGCCAGTACATCACCGACTTTTTCAACATCAGTGCTTAAATATTTGTCAAGCTTGTGTGATATGACTTGAGGTGCAGCCAGTGTTGGGAGTGAGTCGAAGATTTTCAATGTCTTGTCAATGACATTGTGAGCATCAATCTATGGCAACATTTAACAGCAATTGATTAGTTAAATAATGAGGGACACAGAGACATGAAACTTACCTTGTCACCAGCATTGACACCCTGAGCAACTGTTTGCACAGCATATGACCGGTCATACACCTCACACATGAGATGTTCAGCCGTGGTAACCCACTCATTCTCCCAGCCTGCATTCTGGAAGTATTGCAGTTAGTGCTGGGGATGAAGCACTGCCGGTGAAAAAAAAATATGAAGTTAGCATCATCATAAGAAGGAAGACTTGACAAGAGCATACCCATAGCCACAAGGTATGTTTCGGAGGTATCAGTGAGCAAATAGTATCTGTTGAGGGTTCTTTTTGCCAGTTTCAATGCCGCACGAATGGCAGGGTCAAGGACGTGAGCGTTAAGGATACCGTTGGTGAAGGTTGTGTCAATATGGTCCATCGCTGGGATGACCATCACAAGATTGGGAGTTGATCGCAAGAAGTATTGGGTGGCATGCTTGAGGATCTGTAGAAGGTCAGTCACAGCTTGTGTAATGTGTGACGTGTCACTTACCTTCAGAACATCTCGCAGCTGTGTCACAAGTGTCCACGCGTGATCATCTAATTCATACACTCCAAGTCCCAACTTACGCTTATCAGTCATCGCATCAATCGCTTTGCGGTGATCAATCGCAAACTCCAACATATCGAATGTGGAGTTCCAACGGGTTGACACATCACACGGCATGATCCTGGATCCAAGTCCTAGTTCCTCAGTAGCATCTTTCCATGCAGGGAGAAGGAGTGTAGTAGAGTGGACAATCTTGAAGGCGAGTTTGCGCAGCTGGTGAGTGGATTAATTTTTCATGTCTTTAATCATGTATAAACTCAAACTGGCCTTTACTAGTGTCAATCTAATGGGCCAAATGTTTGCTTCCAATGCAGTGCGTTCATGTGCTGTCAGCAGGTCTATTTTGTCGACCAACCCATCCTCATTGTCAACATCCTCTGCATCCGGGTCACCATCCCCGTTCTCTGCAATTGTGGCTTCATCCTTGCTCCTCATATCTCTCGCCATATCCGAGTCAAGTGCAAGTGACTCTGCATCAGTGGGAACATCTTTGGCCTTCGGTAAGTCAAACTGCTTTATTAACGATTTCGCCATGAGGTTGATTACATGCAAAAAGCATTGTGTTCGTGATGTGGGCCCTCCGAAGTGAGCTATGAGGTCGGCAAGCTCAGTCGTGAGTGTGTCATTAGAGCTTGCATTGTCGGCCGTGATGCTCAGTATCTGCAGGATGGTAAGCAGCTCTACTGTGAAGCGCTGTCATCTACTCAATGCCAGCACTGTAAAGCGCTGGCACCAACCCTCCTTCGCCAATGCCAACACCAACCCCCCTTTGTATAAGCACCGTCATTGTGAAGCGCTAAGCGCTGGCTAAGCAGCTGTACTGTGAAGCGCCATCATCTACTCAACACCAACACTGTGAAGCGCTGGCACCAACCCCCCTTTGCCAATGCCAACACCAACCCCCCTTTGTACAGTACGCATCATGGTGAGTGGTACTGACCTTGTCAGTTATTCCAAAGTCGGCTAAAATTTTAGCAAAGGCCTCTGCAAGATTGGCACCAGAATGTGACTGACTTGCCGTCAGTCTCAGGGTGATGTGAAGCTAATCGAGCACACCCACCTGTGCAACTTCAACAACATCAAGAACCATGGCCAGAGGTTTGCCCTGGTGTTCAAGGTGCACAGAGACCGCCACAAAGGCCTTATGATTAGGTGAGGTCCATGCATCTGTCGTGAAGTTGAGTTCACCATCATATTCCTTTCAGATTTTTAGTTTTTTTTTGTGATGTTCGACAATGGTGTGCATCACCTGCAGCATTCGTGTGATCCGTTGTCGAACATTCGCGAATACAAGTTTCACATCGCGTGACACCGTGGAAGGTGAAGGTAGGTAGTATTCAGGACGCCCCATCTTCATCAACGACTGAAATCCTCGGTTGCTGACAGTCTCAAATGGTTGTAGGCTTTCCGAGACCCAACGCACGATCTCTGCCCTTTGGCAATGTGTCAGTAGCGTGTTCATGTACATACTAGTGAGTACTTACTTGGTTTCAGTCTTTGTGTGTTGCCTATGTGAATAGGTCACTTTACCCTTAGATGTTCTTTCGAAAGAGGACGTGATAGTGCCGGTGTAGGAGACGATCTGGCTGCAGCCCCGTACGGCACCATTTCCCCTCACTGGACGAAGTCACGCATACCTTCCACAGGCCGTTGCGGACCATCACACAAGGTTGCGGAATCCTCGCACTCATCGCATCGCAACGCACTATCCGTCCATGTCCTGTCTGCATCCGTCCGTCCTCACTGGTGCGTTCTCATTCTTAGTTAGTCATTCCTAACCGTTCGCAGGGCCAGTTGCATATCAGTTCCCATACACGAGGCCGTGTACCATTACTTACATGTATCTCCTTCCGACTTCGCTTGCATATGCGCCCGCTTATATGGTTCCGGTTTCTTACGGACTCTGTTATATACTACGTCGCAGACTCGTACGGACTTCACTTTCCTACATTCCCTCTCTCTGGTTGTGTGTTGCGGAGTCACTAGCTTAGTCTTACCTTGTCATTCCTTGCTTGAGCAATCACTTGTTTGCCTTCTCATCCCGCGCGAACGCTCGCATCGCCATTGACAGTTGACTATTGCTAGTCCTAGTTGAGTTCCTTTGCAAAGCGGTTTCTGCACGTCTTCGCATATACCTGGTACCTAGTTTGCTCTACCTGATTACCTGTTCTGATACCTGGTACCCTACCCGTTTCGCATACCTGGTACCCTACCCGTTCGCATACCTGGTACCCTCTAGACATTCACTTGTTTCTCCGCATCTGCATACCTCGCATCTCCGCATCTGCATACCTTGTATCTCCGCATCTGCACACCTCGCATCTCCACATACCTCGCATCTCCGCGCATTCTCGCATCTCCGCACCTCCTCACGTACACAGCCGTTCTGTCTTCAGCGCATCACTTCCTTCTTCACTGTTCCCCTCGCTCATACTTGAGGAACTGCTCTCAGAGCTATCCCCTTGGGTCGACTACTATTCTCGCACCCAGCAGGATCGGTACGCTATCACTATAGCGGACTTCTACGATTTCTCCCACACCGGATTTCAGTAAGTTTTTGATGACGCCTTCACATGCTGCTGCTGCTGATTTAGTCTCTTGTGCAGCATCATATGCCTCTGGCCCCCAGCAGCTCTTGGCGTGCTTGGCCATGTTGCTCGTCAACTTTGCATCGCCCTTGTCGAGGTAGCGCCAAATGCGCTGTTTGCAACCCTTCCCCATGCACTGGAATACATGGGAGCGCCACCCGAGCCAATGTTTGCATCGCAGATAATGGGCTTTGTGTTTGACAAAGCTCACTGTATCACATCCTGGGGAGAGGTTTGCAATGAATATAAAGAGTTGGAGCGCTTGCGGTACATCTTACCTTGCTATGTTCCATTTATGATTGCATCGGCAACGCTCACGCCAGATACCCTACAAGATGTGCAGAGGTTGCTTCATATGCATTCGGAGAATCTCTTGATGGTCCATATGTCCACGGATCGACCAAATATCAAAATCTGTGTCCGCAAAATTAGATATTCTCTCTCGTCATACGTGGACCTGGGATTCCTCGTACCTACAGGCTGGACACCAGGGGATCAAGTACCCCAAAAGTTCTTCATCTTCTTCAATAGCATCCAGGACGCAATGGGAGCTGCAAAGTACTTGCAGAGTTGCCTTCCACCTGAACTGCGAGAGAAAATCAAATGGTTTAATTCAGACATGACATCAAAATTCAAGGAAGCTGAGGTCGACAACCTCGTTACTGGAGATACATGGGGACTCTGTACGACAGAGTCCTTTTGAATGGTGAGTCGTTATGGTCGTGTGGACTCTCAATCAACATTGACCACTCTGAAAGGGAATGGACATACCAGATATTATCCTGGTCATCCACATCAGGAAAATGTGTACTTGCAATTATAGCTCCTAATAGCTCCTAGTAGTATCTAGGAGCTATAATAGCTGTTATAGCATAAATGCCAATTATTGGCAAGTCCCTTCTATAGCCCTCATAATAGCGGCATATTTTTTATAATGGCTATAATTGCTCCCAGTAGCTATAATGGACAAGTCAAAAAAATTTCAATGACCTTGGCATTATAGCTCTTAGTAGCTATTTGTTGGCATTATGACACAAAACAGAAAGTGAAAATTCAAGTATATTCATACTAACTAATACATGGGCGTATAATACTAACTACAATATCTAAGAGATCTTACCAAAAAGTCAAAATCTTGAATTTTGAGGAATACTAGTAGAAGAAGAAGGAAGGGAGATAGCTAGCAAAAGAGGGTTAGAGAGAGAGAACCGGAGAGAGATAAAAAAACATACCAAAAGCCACAACAGGAGCAGGTGTAGGAGTGAGAGCAGGAGCAAGAGCAGAAAGAAGAGTGAAAACAGGTGCAGGTGCAGAGAGCTGGAGAGAGAGAGGAGAGTGAAAAAGAGGAGGGGCAGGAGCAGGAGCAGAGCCTGAGTATCAGAGAAAAACAAAGGAAAGAAGAGTGGACTCACCAAATGACAAAAAAGATCAGAAATTGCCAAGGGAAGAGCGTGAATGAGAGCAAGAAAGAAAGAAAAAAACATTAGAAAAACTCACAAAAAAGACCTATGCTTGCTCACTGTTGATGGGCGGGAAAGTAACCCAGTTACTTTAGCGCCTCCCGCCCTCCCGCTCACTGTTTCCCACAGTGCCTACAGTTATCAGTGAAGAGAACAAAATGAAACCAAAAGGTAAGAAAGAGAAGAGACGTCAGACATTATTCATGTTTGTTTGTGTTTGTGCTTATATCATCACAATTGCAAAAATTCATCCAAGTCCTTTTGATTAAGCCAAGAATAAGGAACGACTAGGGTAAACCGTGGGAAAGTTTTCAACCAAAATGAAAGTTATAGACATTGTTAAGGGAAGTCCATCCATAGTCTCATGACGTCCATAGGGTAAGATCCTAGTGAGTTATTAGCAAAATACTAGAAAGTGATGTGTTCAAGAAAGTTCAGGCACACAAGTCATGTGACCATATTTTGCTTATGAAACTATGATTGCTTAATAGTGACTAGGATTTCGAATGATAAGGAATGACTAGGGCAGATCGTGGGAAATTTTTCAACCAACTAATATTTGGTGTGCCTGAACTTTCTTGAACACATCACTTTCTAGTATTTTGCTAATAACTCACTAGGATCTTACTCTATGGACATCATGAGACTATGGATAGACTCCCCTTCACAAGGACTACAACTTTCATTAGTAATTGATAGTAGTATAGTATATTCACTTCAAGTGAAAAAATTTCATGACATCTGGTAATAGCATTTAGCAGCTCTTGGCAGGTCTCAGTAGCTCTTAGCAGGTCTCAGTAGCTACTTGTAGGAACAAATACCTGTTATGGCAAAAACACATTTTCCTGATGCAGTGGCGAGCGACGTGCAGCTTGTCGACAGTGTGGCAACATTTCGGACGTGCCATCAGAAATCGTGCACTGCAAGGGACAGTGTCATTGTTTGCCGAGAAAGAACACTTTGATGATGTACGTGAAGAGAAGCCGAAGCGTCAGCAGAACAAAAAAAGGAAAGCAGCAGACACACCACCGAACCAGCGAGCTGCAAAGCAATGAGTCATTGATGAGGGATCAACTGTCCCTGTCCCACCCCCTACTGGTGCTCAAAGTACTGAGCCAGACGGCAATATTGTGACGGGTGCGGGTGATAGTGTGCTGAATGATACCTTGGGAAATGCGAGTGTAAGCGATGCGCAGCTCAAAGAGTTGATGAAACCAAACACGGAAGTTGCCTCGAAGCAGAAGAAGGAAAGGGAGTTGGATCCTGCAATGGATTGGCTCATTAATGCACACTTGTGGGGGATTGGATGTCGCCATAAGGTGTTTGACTTACATTTTGATAATGTGTCTGCTCTAGTGGGTGAGAATGTTTTCATAATCCGAACCCCTGTGTAATTGACTCACTTCAATTGAATAGATCACCTTGCATGTGACCAAACAAATTACGGGTGTTCTTGTTGCGCTCCCATGACTCCTGACGTGTGCTGTGACATCCATCACCCGTCCGCCTTCCTGTTATTCGACACTCACATTCCACAACCACCAAAACTTCCCAACCGCTCTCGTCTCCCTAACTACGCTATGGGCCCCAAGGAGTATGAGCTGTGCGAGGCACTAGAGGATTGGAGAGAAGAGAAGATGGCAGAGAAATATGGGCATTCTCACCTTATCGATATCGATCCGGCTATCATCATGGCAGATTCAGTTCTGGATTGCCTTGTCAACTGCGCACATCATGAGAAGATCAGGACCATTGAAGACCTTCGCAAGGAAACTCATTGGTCATCTGCTGACAAATTTGGCAGTGAAGTTCTTGCCATCATACATCACATCATTCCTGTCAAAGTGATCGTACGGGCAGCCTTGACCAACGCTCCCTTGCAGCGCGACCCTCTTTCAACAACTTCTAACCCACCAAGGGCTGGGAACGTCGCCCTTCCATCAACTGTTTCGGATGTAAAGAAGACGAATAGATGTAGTGCTTGCCAACAGGAGGGCCATAATAGTACATATTGTTATACGTTCTGCAGTAAATCTTCTGGACTTACGTTTTCGACTTATCTTTTCACCAGGGCACAATCGCATTTGTCCTTTGCATCCCGTACGCAACACGACTCGAACATCTTCTACTGAGAAGGAGAATGTACATATTTTCACACAGACGTACTATTGTCGATGACTGATCTCAACATGTTCTTCATAGACATTACCAATTAATACAGCGCAACACTCATAATTCTACTGTAACGTCCTCGATCAGCGCATGTTCATCTCGACCGTCGTCCATGTCCACATCCATAGCTCCCTCTTCCACCCCGTCCACTACATCTACTCCATCACCGGCGCTCATCAATTCCTGTCCCTTTGCAAGGAGGTCAGGGACCCTATGGTGACTCTTTCTTCCACGTATCACTTCGTTTGCGGAATGCCCCACCATGTATGTACATAGCGCTTGAAATGTTTTATCCATGTTTGATTCACCATGCTGTGTTGTGAGGTTATTATGCAAGAAATTGCTTTGAAAATTACTGTGCAAATTACGGTAAATTTGCACCAGTGGTGATTCCAATATGATGTGTTCTACTGTGCGATTCGACCCCTTGCCTCCGTTGATCACCTGTCACTCACATCACTTCACCATCTTCACAGCAATGAGGTCCGTTCACGCACCTTTGTGAAGAGATTGTTTAGCTCTATGCACCAGTCAACCCCACGCAATTTACCCTTCTTTCCTGTGGGTTTGATAAGGATATGATAACGAACCGCGTGTCTGCAACAATTGTAAGTCCACGTCTCTGTTTGATCGCACTTGACTTACTTTAGCCCTTCAGGATACACAAAGTGCACATTGCACAAGAACTCCAACATTGTATTGGCGTACTTGTGTTTGCTGGTCGCTTTGAACATCAGGATCCATGTAACAAGGCAAGTCTCCAGTCGACCGATATCACCGATGTTCATCGCATATGACAACTCTTCAAACAGAAGTACATACTTGTTTAGAAGGAGGCCATTTTCATGTTGCTGGTCACGCTCCGCTGCTGATTTGTTCCGCATACGTCGAATTTTGTGATCAGCGACATAATCCCGTGCAAGTGAGTCTGCCATCGCTTGTAGATCTTCGTATGACGGCTCTGATGCTGCAAACACCTCAAGATCCACATAATTCATGCGTTTTCTGGCTTCGATCCTCCAACAATCAAGACGATGGCATATGCCATCATAGCCAATCAACTGATGCATCCGGCAAAACCCTGGCTTCGACCCATAATGGCCTGTCTCCTTGGGACGCAACACGCCCATGTCTCGCATGAGACTTGTCTCATCAAGATGCGCTGCACTTGTTTGCATAAATGTTCACCATATGGAGTCTGCAGCCGCCATCTTCAAATGGAACATTCCTGGGACAAACACAACATGTTGAAATCGATCCCAAGGTGAGTTTTCAATTGCACGGTGCTGCTGTACCACTTGCAGTCGTTTACCTGTGCCCAGGTTGCCATGAAACATAACGACATACTCTGAGATATCAGGGATCTCAGGATCATCGAAGCTATTAGGTTCCGCGATCCCACCTTGCTCGAGTAAGTTGATAACACTTTGTATATTTCCGGCCACAGTAGAGTTGCTAACATCCATTGCTGATGCAGCCATAGTAGGTGTTTTAACGACGGGGATGCCCTCAACAAGCTCCGGTTCACGCAGCCAGTCTTTAAACTGCGTGAAGTATGGCGGTCCATATGTTATGAGGTCGGTAAGAAACTTCCAGGAATTAAAGTGGTCGCGACATGTAAGTCCTGATAGATTTGGTGTGTCTGGTTGAAGGCTGAGCAAGTCCTTCCACCCCCGTTTCGGCAACGCTTCCGCTCAAAGGTTGAGAGACGACTTCAGCCATAGCTCCTCAGAACATCTGAGATCTTCTTGTGAAGTGCAGTGCTGCAGGGGGAACATTAAGCCGGATGTAAGATGTTTCAGTGATTCAGTCGAGTTTTCGATCTTGTGCTCATGAGTTTTCAGGTCGACGTCAAAATTGTCATACGCATAGGTAGCGAGGAGCGATTGTCCGAGCGAGCGGAGTGTGCGGTGAGTTTGCGCCGATAATGAGTGTGTAGCTGTGAAGATTGCATTGACAGACACAGAAACTCCCATTCGTTTGAGCATCTCAATCACCTTTTGTGGGGTGTGCGTGGACTGCAGGAACATCCCCACCAAGCTTTGCAAGGTATTGGATCTCTGGTTTGTGCTTCTCATCATTATACTCAAAACTGTGACTTTTCTCTGTAGATTAACCAAATGTCAGTGATTTTAAAGGCTGACAGGATTAGTACACACCAGCAAAGCTTTGGCTTTCCGCTGATTCTCGAGACTGGATTCTGCATCATTGGTGAGTCCGGAAATGATTCCTTCGAGATCTCCTTCACCAAGCTCCTCCCAATAAGCTTCTTCGTCACTATCCATGCCTGCCACGAGCTGATGCTCATTGCGCTCTTTTACGGCACCAGTTTTTCGCTGCATTCTTGCGGACAACATTGTATTGAGGAAGTCCCATGTTACAGGTGCGAGTTTTTCCATGTCTTTAGCCAGTTCCTCAATACTGAAATCCTCTAATTGCTCTGGTGCTGTATGTACCACATCGAAGTGATAACCACTCTCCTTTGCCGACAGCACCACCATTTTGTGCACACAAATGTCCTTGACGAGATCCATAGCCCATTTAAGCTCAGTTCTCGGAGATTCCTCTGCACTCGTCGAAAGAGCATCAACAATTTGATGTCTGTTGTGTAGGATATCTTTGACAGCAATATGATTGATATATTTCTTGTTGGCAAGCAGCTCCAGCAGAAAGTGTGACACTGAGATTCCAACGAGCTGAAGGTTGTCGAGGACATCGTCTATCGGTGCCCTGGATGCCATACTACTAGTAACACTGATTTCAATATACCACAATAATATACATATACCCTATACAATTTAATACATTTTCAGACTCCGTTTGACACTATCGAGGTGGCTGACATTTGTTTACAAATGTTTTGTGCCAGCTGCTGCTGGAGAGGTTGAGGGATAAGGTTATGCTGGGTTTGAATAGTCTTAGTCATGTGATCTATCAAGGCAACACTAAAATTATTCGTAGACCGCCCTTGAACCTCTCCAGCTGCGGTGGGTACGAGCCTGGCTCACAATACCCTCCGCTCCCTACACTCTAATCTCTGTGCGCAAACTGCTGTCTTAAAGTACAAGGACCGGAACCTCCGTGGTCAAGGCGCTAACACCAGAGCACGTAACACACTCAAAGGGATCTATGGAAGGATCGAGGCAGCATTGAGCCAATATCAGGATGCACGCAAGGCACTGGTAGTTCTTGCTCCCCTCATCAAGGAGACAGGCTGGCAGTGCTCTCTGTGCCCGCTCAATCGTGAAGATATCCGGGGAATGTCAGATCTTCTGTGGGGCCAGACTGAGGGAAGGCGTAAGTTGTCTTGGATTTGGAATATGCGGGGCACACATGGAGATGAGTTGGACAATGACAGATCTATGGAAGGTATGTGCACTTACGGATTCATTACCCCGCCCCATATCTCACTTCAGCGCAGATCTTCCAGACATGAAAATCAAGTGGTGCAAAGCCAGGGCACGTGCAATGCAGTGGAACGAGGAGGTTGAGTTGTTACAGGAGGAGATGCAGAGGATCTTACAATTCTTCAACTGGCAAGCCACGTCTTGGTGCGAGCGCGCAAATCAGAGCTGGCCCGAGGGTCCTGCAGAAAGAGAAGGCAAGATCGCATATGCTCGGCGCCAAGCAGCTTTGCATTGTGCACTGTCAGTCACATGTCGTTCCAGTTGGGAAGACACATGCGCATTCATAGACCACTTCCACGCTGATCTAAATGCTCTCAGTCTGGGACATCATTAACAAGTTTATATCCATTTGGCATGTGTAGTGTACAGTATCATAGCTACACAATTGAATATACAATAGGGGAGCTCAAAGTTGAACGCCCAACACCCAAGCCCAACGCCCAACGCCCAACCTCGTGACTGAAATTAGGTATACCTAGAATAAATAGAAGTAAATATGGAGTAAAGCCACTGATGAGATAAGCTCCTTACCTAAACCTTGTCGCGCGAAGCGCCGAAACCTTCGCCAACTGTCTCCCCCTAATCCTCAGCATTTCTAAACCTTTTAAGCCTTTTCATCGTACCTAAACCTTTTTATACCTAGGAGACCTTGCTTTTTCATTCCTAATCCTGTTCAGTTATCCCTCATTAGACTTTTGCCACATGCTCACACAATAAAATCTATGACATGGGTTATGATTAGGGTTAGGAATAGCATTTTTTAAGTATTGAAAGGTTAGGAATAGAATATGAAAAGGTTTAGGGTGTGAAAAGGTTTAGAAATGCTGAGGATTAGGGGGAGACAGTTGGCGAAGGTTTCGGCGCTTCGCGCGACAAGGTTTAGGTAAGGAGCTTATCTCATCAGTGGCTTTACTCCATATTTACTTCTATTTATTCTAGGTATACCTAATTTCAGTCACGAGGTTGGGCGTTGGGCGTTGGGCTTGGGTGTTGGGCGTTCAACTTTGAGCTCCCCTAATGCATCTGTTGAAGGGGTGGGAGGATACAAAGAGCGGGAGGGATGCATCAACGAAGAGTGGGAGGGATGCATTAACAAAGAGCGGGAGGGATGCATGAACAATGGGCGGGAGGGATGCATCAACGAAGAGCGGGAGGATGCATCAATGAAGAGCGGGAGGGATGCATGCATGGATGCATCAATGAGGGGTGGGAGATGCATCATTAAGCAGCAGGGGGATGCATTAATTGAAGGGAGGGGATGCATTAATTAGCAGCAGGGGGATGCATCAATTGAAGGGAGGGATGCATCACATCACTGGAGGGGGCACACATCACACATGTCTTAGGACTGCAGTCTGTAGCATTGTTGCATCAAAGTAGTGTTACAGTTGTAAGGATTCATGCATAACTTTGACAGGAACCTGTGAAAAAGTAGCAACAACATACCTAAATCCACAAAACCCACAGGCTCACTGTCACTAGAGGAAGCCCCCAGGGTTCCTCAAACATTTTAACTTCAGGGGTGAAACTCACCCAAACAAAATTAAAAAAACTCGCAAGTCGTACGAATATTAAGTGTAGTTTTAGTAAGCTGCGTGACGACGAACGATGCGTGAAAATAGTTGATTGCGTACGTGTGCAATAAATGTGATCGACGCGAGACAATGGTGCAATGACAACACAACAATAGCAATATGCAAACGATGTTGTCTTTCGAGTAGAGTTGTGACGTGCAAGGCGCGACAAAGGACGGAAGCAGCCGAGCCAATTTAATAATAGAGACAAAGTTACGAAGCTATAAAATCAATACATTTCAGCGTTCAAAAAGGTTCGGACGCGTTTGGGACGCGTTCAAGGAATGCTGAACACTGAACTGGACCGTGGACCGGTTCATGAAAAGTCCGGTTCGAACCGCGGTTCAGAACCGAACCTCCGCATTACTACAGCGACAAGGAGGGGATAAGCAACAGAAGCGATTGTCTGAAGAAACTGCGGAAATCTGTCAGGCATGACTCTGCGAGTCACTATGTGTTGCTTACCGGGCTCCAATGAACATCTGGACAGACTGGCTAAGCATCTAGATCACGGTTGCAGCAATCACGGCGGGTGAGTACGTTTTCGCCAACGTGCACCAGTAGACTCACCTTCCCACCAGAAGGATAATCAAACACATTACTCCACTGCGTCAACGACTGCAGCCCGTCTGTTCCGTGTTTAGTATATAATTTTTAAAACCACGCAGTCACCTACTCATCATACAAGCTACAAACAAATTAGGATATGTTTGAAAATGACTCGAGGTATAGAGCTCACCGTCATAACAATATGTATAGGATGTCTTCTGTTGGCATTCTTGAAACATAACAAATCAATCACGTCCAGAAGCGTCACGTCGATGTATTCATGGACTTCGGGGTCGTCGCGGTGTTGAGCCACTGTTGACTCATAACGTGGGATGGGGATCTGGCGTCATGAAAAATTGGCACCTGCAGCCTAAGGAATGAGGATCGTCAGTGAACGGATGCATATCTGAGAGGGACATTTATGACGATACAGTGTTGATACAGCGGCATTTGTGCGGACAGCGATGTGACACGAAATGGTGGCAGCGCAGGTGTACTTACCCAGCACAACATAGTGATTGGAATCCTCCTGTAGCGTTGGCATTAACCCCCGCCAGCATGCAAAACTAGGTACAAAATAGGTACATACTGTTGAAAATATAATTATCGGTTCGGGGTTCGGAACGGTTCGGGACGTGTGGGTGCGTGAAATTTTTGCATGCACGCGCGACATCTGTACAGCCTATGATTTACGCGTACACAGCCATAGTATGATAGTATTACCACCTTGGTAGAAAATCAGGAAATCATATCAGATAACCCTCCGGATTCGCACAGATTCGCACCTTCACTCCATGCATCCACTATTTATCGCATAAAAACCTACGACAAATACAATCTAAGCTGAGCGCTAAATGGTTTTCGCGCTTGCTGCTGATAATTATAAATCAACCACCATCTCGAAAACCATGGGTCCAGAAGTGGCTGAAACTCTAGCCAAGGTTGAACGATCTTCGGACAGAAATTCTTGATGGCCCACAGTGTGGGGACCCTGCCAGGGTTCCATGCTGCCACAGTCCAAGTCTTGTCCTCATCAGCAATTTCAATCTGCGAGTTATCGTGGTTTTCAAGGATGTAGTTGCCCGGGCCTTTAAGGGACTGACATATGTTTAAAAGCGTCACTCTACTCATCTGCATATCAAATAACATGGTCTCTTCAAACGAATACTTCCCTGTCGCACTGGTAAGCTTGTGTACGACTAATTGTGTACTGAGCTAACATGTTTCATCCATCCAGGTTGGCATTTCCGCGGAGCTCCCAAGTGGTCCTCATGGAACAAGCAACCTTGACTATCAATCGTTCTTTGACTTTCTCATGAACGAGCACCAAGCCTACGAGAAAATCCCGGCCGATAGGTTCAACATAGATGCGTGCGTCTGTCTTCTTTAGCAAATCCCACCCGTCAATTACTGACCGCGTGCCCAGTCTTGAGGGAGTGAACATCGGTGAAGTGGCCACCGCACATGGCGCATTCTTGAAAAATCTAGAATTATTCGATCCTGTCGAATTCGGAATCAGTAGCAAAGACACTAGGATGATGACGATTGGAACGCGAAAGCTCATTGAGCTGTCGTTCCTGGCATTATTGGACTCTGGCATTGATTATCGAGGAAGAAATATCGGCACTTACATGTCGAGCGTCGCCCATGACGTTTGGATGATTGCCGGCGAGGTTGGTGATACCTGTCTTGTGTCTTGCTGACTCACGCCTAGTTTCTCAGCATGAAAATGAAGCCCGCGGTGCATTGTCAGGTTCCCCTGCAATGATCGCCAATCGTGTGTCATACCACCTGGACCTACGCGGACCTTCCATCCCCATCGACACTGCTTGCAGCTCTAGTCTTTCTGCCTTACATCTCGCTATTCAGGCCATACGCAATGGGGATTGCGAAGCGGCGCTTGTGGGTGGTTGTCAATTGAATCATAGGCAAGGATTTCTTTTCAGCAGTATTTTAAAATTTGACGGTTGAAACGCCTCCATGTTACTAGGTTTATGGATTGGCTAACGTACAGTCAAGCTGGGATACTTGCACCAGATGGTAAATGTAAACCCTTCGACGCCTCTGCTAATGGGTGAGGCAAATTTTGAGTCCGTATGAGTCATGTCCAATAATTCTTTCAAGATTTTCTCGGGCAGAGGGTGCTGTCGTTGTGGTCATTAAACCGCTTGACAAGGCTCTCCTCGATCATGACCACATATATGCTACTGTACGTTGTTCTCCAGATGGGATATATGTATCGGTTCTACATTTTCCACAGGTTCTAGGCACCGGCATCAATTCGTCTGGTTCATTGGCTCCTGCAAACTCTCCTGTCGCCTATGCTCAAAGGGATGCAATGCTGAGAGCCTTCAAGCAAGCTGGCCGCCAGCCACACGAAGTCGATTTCGTCGAGCTTCATGCCACAGGCAAGTTCCTGAATCTAGTCCGTAGGATTATTTAAACGTGTATGACTCTAGGGACTGCTTCCGGCGATCCAACGGAAGCAAACTGGGTTGGAGAGAGTTTCTTGAAAACTGATAACAGGGAGCTCCTTATAGGTAGCGTGAAAGGAAACCTAGGGTATGTTATCAGAATTGCGACAATCAGCTTGGTCTCACTTTGCTCCACCCAGTCACCTCGAAATTACAGCGTTTCTTGCGTCACTGTGCAAAATTTGCTCCATGTTTGAATCAGGAATAATCCCTCCCAATGTCAATCTCCTCAACCCTAATCCGGCCATTCGTTGGGAAGACTTCCATCTTCGCGTCGTCTCATCACCAACAACGTTGCCTTGTCAATCTGCCACTGGACGCTCTCTGATCTCGTTAGCCGGCTCTGGAATCGGCGGTGCCAATGGTCACTGTGTTGTCGAGGGTCCTCCTACAACCAATCCTGTAATACCGTTCTGGCGGTCAGATGTCGTTCGTCCACCTTGCCTTTTGGTGGCGGGCGGCCTTTCTCCGCGTTCAACAGTTGCCGTAGGAGAGTCTATACAGGCCATAGACAGTGAAACATTACCTTCCGTAGCGACGACCCTAGGACGTCGGTCCAGGTCTACGCCTTGGCGTTCTTATGCGGTTACTTCGTCGAATTCTCCTCCTCGTTTTACCGAGCCGGTTCTTGCTCCTCGCACTCCCCCACTCGTGTTTGTGTTTTCGGGACAAGGCCCACAGCATTTTGAAAGTGAGACATTATCCCAATCATTTCATGATGTGATGCTGATTATTTTCGTCAGTGGGGAGAGAGTTCTTCAGCTCATGCACTGTCTTCAATAGGAGCATACTTGAAATGGACGAAGTACACAAGCGTACAACTGGATTTTCACTCATCGCACGGACTGGTCTTTTCACTCAACAAGCTCCTATTGCAGAAGTACTCGGCGATATCTGGCCTATTTCGGTGACTCTTCCTGCTCTAACGATGCTTCAAATCGCAATTTTCGACTCTCTTGCGAGTCTTGGGATGAAGCCTGATGCGGTCGTGGGTCACTCTGCAGGAGAGACCGCATTGTTATACGCATCTGGAGCAGGCTCCAAAGCCATGGCTGTGGAGCTCGCAATTGCGCGTGGGCGGGCTTTGGCAAACGTCGAAGGCGCAATGGCGGCAGTTGCATGCTCCCCTGAACATGCCCAGAAAATTATATCCCAGATGTGCACCGAACAGGGGAAGGTCGATTTGGATATTGGCTGCTATAACACTCCCGACGCCATCACTCTATCGGGATCATCTGCGGATATCGACCTAGCAGTCCAGCGCGCAAAGGCTGCGGGATTTTTGGCAAAGCGATTAAATACCACCATTCCTGTGCATTCCAAACTGATGGAAGCTGGTCGTGACGAATTTATGCGACTGGTAACGGACATATTCGATCGCTATCCTTCCCAGCCGCCTCAAATACCAACATATTCCACTGAAAGCGGTATGTTGAAATACGACCGATTCAACGCAGAATATTATTGGTCCACTACGCGTGGCCCAGTTCAATTCACAGGAGCAATCCAGCGTATCATTCACGACATTGGTTCTCCGAACTATCTTGAGATAGGGCCTCACCCGGTTCTTGCTAGTTATCTGGTCACTCTTGGCGGCGAGAAAGCCACTGTTGTGTGTCCTCTGCGCAGGCCCAAGGCCAACCAAGGAGAAGTGGTTTCTTTTCTTGACGCTTTGGGCAAGCTGGCAGTCGCTGGACATTGCTGCATCGACTTCAATATTCTCAATGGATGCACCGCAGCAGATGTCGCCAAACTACCCGCCTACCCCTTTTCCCGCAAGAAGGTCCCCTTGTACCCGATTACTTCTTACATCAAGGGAATTCGTCAGCCTCGTAACGGCCCGTTAAACTACTCTCAGCTTCGCATCAACTCTGTGACACACCCTTACCTGGCTCAACATGTGATTCAAGGCGAGCCCATCATGCCCGCCACAGGTTTCCTTGAAATGGTACGCACTCACTCGCGAAATCTGAGGGCAACAAAACTCAACCCGTATTTTCCAGGCATTGGAATTTGGTGCAAGACAATTATGGGATGTCAACTTCATATTCATGCTATCTTTATCTGGGGATCAACCAGTGCCAGTTGATGTCAGTATCGAAGGACCTCGTTGGTCTGTGCGCTCTGCTCTAGTAAATCCATCGCAACTGTCCGACGCACCACCCCAAGTACGTGAAAAAGATATTTCATTCTTCGCTCTATGACTCACCGACGGTTAGTATGATCGATTGCATGCTGAGGGCTACCTATCTCTTGATTCTCGACCTTCACCCTTACCAGCAGTAGACATTCAGGCAATCAAGGAGCGCTGCACGCAAGTCAGCGTCGAAGGTCCGTCACGAATCATTATTCATTGTGGGGCTTCGTCACTCACCCCACTGTCTCAGGCTTTTACGATGGGTTCGAGCACTTCGCTCAATTTGGACCAGATTATCAAAGAATATTGGATTGTTACCGGGGCCCTCGCGGAGAGCATGAAGAAGCATTGATACAGATCCGTGGGGATGTTGGGGATCTTCCAGGGTGCGATCGTTCGTTTTGTTTTGACGATATGTTGACGGGACAACAATGACAGACTGGAAAAGTTCAAGTTCCACCCCGTCATATTTGACTCCGCAATACATCCTCTGGTCCACCCGATGTTTACCTATCTCACAGACAAATCCTTGTATTATCTTCCTTCTCATCTGCAAAATCTGACGATCCATGATGCACTCATCACGTCCCCGTTCCCACGGTCTCTATATACTCATGTTGTTTTCCGCCAGTGGACGCCTCGTGAGTTTTCTTATGATCACCTGTTTATCGGGGACTTATACCAAAGAAGAATCCATGACATTTGACATTGCCCTCCTGAATGAGGACGGAAATCATCTCTGCACGATAGAATCATTCGAAATTGCCCTCCACGGAGAGTCATCTCTATACGAACCGAAACGCCACTTCGACTTAGTGTATGAGCCCATCTCACTCGACCTGTCTTCGTGTCGTCACCCGACCCAGGAAGAATTATCAGCGGATGACCAACCCAGGGATAGCTTGCTAAACCTAGTGGGGACAGATGCTGGGACGTCATCGTCAGCTCCGCTCAACGTCATCGTTTACGAGCACGGCAAAGGGATAGAACTTCAGCCGGTATTATCCGTACTGGACACTACCGCACCATGCACCATATATATTACGGCACTCGCTGGTGTAGACGGAGACGAGGCTGTCGGGTTCGTGCGAGTGTTGCAGAAGGAATATCTCTTATGGACGATTTACGTTATGGTGTTCGACCCGACTTGGAATGATGAAAGCATCCAACGGGCAGTTGAAGTTGTGTCCAAGATGCCCCAGGTGGAGAGGGAGCTTGTGGTGGATGCATCTGGATTGGTACACGTCCCGAGAATAACACCTTGTGAGGGCCCGAAGAATGTCTCTCCTTTCGACTTCCACGAACCATGGCAGCTCGAGAAGTCCACGGTCGTTCATTGCTCGTCTCCCCGTTTGGATTCTCATTCGGCTGTCGTGCATGTGCAAAGTGCTAGCCGATCGGACAATCACATATGGACTTTCTTTGGCTTCTTAGGCGGCTCGCACAAAAGTGTCATGGGGATATCCGCTTCTCCTGTTGGGAATTTCATCACAACGCCGCTTGATAGCTTGATGGATGTCCCGGCGGTCTTGGATGCTGGTGCAAAGTCGGGTCCTCCCATTCTTGCCTTTGCCATAGCAGTTCTTGCTGTTGGTCCTGCATATTTTGAGAACCCGGGAAGGTTCCGTGGAGAAATTCTGGTGACGCATGCAGATACCCAAACTAGCATGCTGGTCATTCAACTCTACCTTCTCCGAGGCTTTCGCGTTGCTACTCTAACGCAAAATGCGACGCATTCTGAAATCAGCCGCCTCCCCAATGGTCATTTTAGTTTCATCGTCTCTGAATACAGCGACACGGCAACGCTTCACCTTTTATCGCGCCTCTTGACTGCTGGCGGGACGACGTTCCCGTGGAAGCATCCTACGAAAGGCTTGCAGTCGCTGCTCGCCTGCAACCCTTGGTTGATTGGTCATGCCATTCGTCTTGGATCAAATATAGCTGGCAATGAGCTCGATATTCCTATGCAGAACCTCAACGAGATCATAACTCTCAAGCCCGGTGATCCTGTCTATGTGAAGAAACAGCTCTTCAGCGATAATAAGGCTTATCTACTTGTGGGAGGCGTCGGTAGCCTTGGACTCCAGATTGCCCAGTGGATGTACAAGGTCAGGATGTCCCTTTACACTGAACTCATTTAGTCATGCTGAGTCGACCAATTAGAACGGGGCTCGGGAAATTGCTCTGACTTCGCGGTCCGGGCGGGCTGGAATTCTGCGTAGGGGAGATATTGCATCTCAGCGCACTATCGCATATCTCGACAACATACCGGATTTGAATCTACTGATTGAGGCAGTTGATGCCCTCTCCGAACCTGGTATGAAAACATTGGTGCAAAAACTCCAGAGTCCGCTCGGGGGATGTATGTTACTCTCTGTGGTACTTGCGGATGGCCTCTTTTCTGGGCTATCCGCTGAGAACTTCGATGCACCATTCAATGGGAAGATTAGGGCCTTCGAGGTGCTATGCAATACAATTGACACAAGCAAGCTGGATTTCCTGATTGCATTCTCCTCGATTTCGGCATTATTTGGGAATGCGGGTCAAACCAATTATGCTGCGTACGTCTTTTGAGTCGTGTGCGTAAATCGACGGCTCACATTTCTCAGAGCGAACACTGCGTTGGACGGCAGACTGCGCGCCATGCCCAATGCATTCTCTATTGCAATTCCCGCAGTCACTGACTCATTCGTCTCTACAATGAAACCGACAAAAATCAAACACTTGGCGGATTGGGGGGTGTCATCTCAGAGTGAGTTGTGCCCTTACCGTAATGCGGAGCTCGGCATCATATTTCCTTAGGGATCTTCCAATTCATCGGGGAAGGCATTCAAAAGCTTGCTGACGGCCCTTTCTGGTTCTATATTCCGGATTTTGACTGGGAAGCAGTCCACACCGCGCTAGGAAACGAACACATGTATAATCACTTATTGCCCGAGCGGACTATCGCGGAATACGGAACGTCAACCTCAAACAACAGTCTTTCGATCGGGGACATACTGTGTGCCACCCTTGACATTGCGCGCGAAGACTTGTCTCCCGATGTTCCTTTAACCGCGTACGGTTTGGATTCCTTATCTGCTGCGAGGCTATCCTTTGCCTTGAACCCCATTTTATCCATCAGTCAAACCCAGCTCCTTGCGAACGTGACCCTTCGGAGTCTAGAAGCCCGGTTAGAGGACCAGCGGCTGTCCACCCTAACTGAAGCGGAGGAAAGGAGCGCATCCGAGCTTCACAAGGTGTCTGAGATGAGGTCCTTGGTCGCCAAATACACGTCTGGATTCAAGAGCCCTAAGACGCTGCTGCCTTCCTCTCTGAGCTCACGGGACTGCGCCGTTCTCATAACCGGTACCACAGGCGTCGCGGGCGCACACCTTCTGGAATGCTTGCTCCGTGCGCCACAAATCAGTCGCATATTTCTTCTCAACCGTACCAAGCCCGGAACTCCGACTATGTTGGAACGCCACCAAGAGATTTTCCAGGCACAATCGCTCGACCAGACGGGACTAGAAACAGACAAGGTCGTGTATTTGGAAGGCACTCTAGACAAAGATTACTTAGGGCTATCGCCTGACATGTTCAACAACGTGAGCATCCTTTTTACATAACACTTTGGTGAGACTCATCTTGTTTTAGATGGCTCGAAACGTCACCCACATTTTGCACGTTGGTGAGGAATATCTCACGTTATTTTACATTCATACTGAAATACTTGTAGCTTGGCCAGTGGACTTCACCATTCCCCTTGCTGCATTCGATCATGCTCTTCACGGTCTGCGAAATTTGGTGGACTTCGCCATTTCCTCGCCCTGGCAAGTTCCCCCTCAATTCCTTTTCATAAGCTCGTTCGGGATATTGAATGGTTACGGTGAGGTACTTTGGGTGATTTGAGATGCACTAAATCACTGACATTTTGGCAGGTCTGACGTCAACGAGCGCAGCAGAGGAGGCTCTTATACAGGATCCCAGTGTATCTATTTCCACAGGATATGTCGAAAGCAAATGGGTTGCAGAGCACGTCTTGGCTGCTGCTTCCGATGCCACACGACTGAAGCCAATAATTATTCGTGTGGGGCAACTCACCGGAGGGCGCAATGGACAATGGAAAACAACGGAATGGATCCCATCCATAATCGGTTCAGGCCTCAGCCTCGGTGCCTTGCCTGACCGTTCTGATGTGAGTTTTCCTGAATGCCATCCAACTATCACTGAACTTTGTAGACCGTAAACTGGCTTCCGATTGATGTGGCAGCGGCATCGATCGTGGAGATGTTCAATTCACCCCCTGGCGTGTATCACTTGACACATCCGAGTCCTGTTTCATGGACTGTTCTGATGCAGGAAGCTGCTCGCATCATGAATATTTCGTTGGTCCCGCCAACTCAGTGGCTCGCTTCTTTGGAGGAACAGGCGTCATCACAAACAACAACATCGCAGAACAATCCCGCGCTGAGGCTGCTCGATCTGTTCAGGTATACCCCTCACAGAAGGAATCTCACAAAGAAAACTGTGAACTTAGAACCGGAGCTCTCGTGCACTAAGGCACTGCAAGAATCTCCGACACTCCGATCAATTGTTTCAAGCCCACTGGGAGCGAAGGATGTAGCAAAATGGATCGGATACTGGCGCAGCGTTGGCTTTCTTCCCGTTTGATCCGAACTCAGCACTCCCATGTAGATATGTCCGTCCCCATGCTAGCATGCGGTTCTATATATCTAGAGCTACAATCAATATACTACTGTAGGATTTTGACCTTAGGTTCGTCACACGTCACAACGATTGGTGTCATGTTTGTCTTTGCGAGGATATGTTTAATTTGAGCACCTTGCTCGCTGCTGCCTTGGTTTCCTTTCGCGATGGTCCACTTCACTGGCACCGACGTCATATTCATCTTGGGCGTGGGGTACGCATCTTTCTATGGCCTATCCTAGCAGCAAACTTCGAAATCCGCTGGCTCTGTTTATAGACAAGACACCGCAACTTTGGGTGCAGGCCTCGATAAATAGGTACTACCCTTTCGCGTATAGAGCTCTTCAAGAAGCACGAAGGACTTGATTATACTTGGTGACTGTTTTGAATATTTTGGTTAAGGGACGCGTACCGTATAACCATGAAATTAAACAGAAATGGATCAGGGGTCCGTCGAACATTAATATTATGATTGCATGGGATGTTTTAGAGATAGCCAAGAATGCGCGTGCAGGAAATATCGTCGACGAATTTCGCTGCTCGGACTAGTAATAGCCAGGACAGGTGGGTCTTCTCAGAAGACATGGATGTCAGTCGAGGGTATGGCAGAGCATTAGGATTTCTAGTGTCGTTCTAGTGAGGCAAGCAAAGGTTAAACCTAAGTCTAAATAAACTCTCTTCCTCAAAAATATGCAACAATAAAAATAATAAATGACATGCCAGCAACGACACCAGCACCACACGCTCACGTCCGTGGAAAACACTCCCTAACCCAATCCCTAGGCGTCAACTCTTCCACCCTCCGCCGAAACGCCTCCAACGTGCAAAACTCTGGCGAACCAGGCAAATGCTTCCCCTCTGCGGCGCACATCGGAAGCACCATGTTCGTGTTCTTGTAACGCATACGGACATCTGCAAGCGGTCAAGGAGGCTTGTTCTCAACACGCACTTCGATACTCACAATGCTCGTCCCGTTGTCTCCAAAATGATGAAAACGAGCGCTGGCCCGGGGTATCTGCGGCCCGTTTTCGGAAGAGCTCAAATGTTACTGATGAAGTGAATGGTGGCCACCTTGCATGCGTGAAGATGAGGATCATTAGTATGAAGACCGAAAGTGGTGGGACTGACGCACTTGTCATCGAACACATCGAATGTGCAGAGCAACGCTGCGAGCGTCGAGTCGTGAGTGGTGTGCACGAGGAGTTTTGTTGGATCTTTGGAATTGAGGATCTTGCGTTGCATTTTTTCTGAGGCGTCTGCGAGGAGACGACCCATTCCTAGTCGGCGGCCTTCTTCTGATTTGACTAGTGTTCAAATAAAGAACTTTAGTTGAACTTTCAGTGAATGTCAGGAAGCGTCCTCACAAACTGGACAACGACAATCAATACTCGTGCAATAATGGAAAGTAATAGACTAGGAGCTTACTGTCAAACCACTCGGCTGTTACAGCTGCTTCCTGGGGAATCGTAGATGAGCCAGCGGAGGATGCGATGAGGGAATAAAATTATCGCACGATTAAACCAATGACGCTATCTTCCGAGAATTCTGGTGGAACCCGGAACCCGTGAGCAGCTGCTGAGCGTACCTTTGGAAAAGTACTGAGTTCAACTTTGCATGTCCTGCCCTGAAAAACATACTGTATCAAGGATCCCCGAAGCTCGAGGAGTTCCATCAAGGCGTAATGGCCTACCGCCTATATACTTGGAGACTTTCTTATCCAACGGTTCTAAACGCGAATTCCAGATAGCAACAGCAACTGGTAACATCAGACAAATCTGAGAATATTACTTAAAAGCATGTGATTACCTTCAGCAAACTGCAATTCCAAGAGCGCCAGTCGCTTGCAGGCTAAGGTATTGCTGACGAGGTTCTCGTCAACTCCATTACTGATACCAAAGACATCGTGAGTTTGCATTTGACTTCTGTGACCTGTGCAAAAGCGTACCGTATGATGATAGAGGGTATCGTACCTGGAGCGCAAGCAGACGGAGGATACACTCCGTGGACTATGTGCTGCAGAGATTCAATCGTCCGCGCGATGTTCGTAGAGCTGCGTTGTGTGAAGTTCATCGCGAGTCACGAGGCCAAGGTGAATAGATTTACCGGAAGTAAGTCAAACGTTCATCTTCGAGCTTTTGAGGAAGAAATTTCAATCTTCAGAAAGATACGAGTGAGATGAAATCAAGAAGCTGCGCGGATGCTTACTTGTCTACATAGAGGCTTCGCAATGCTGTCCCGAAAGAATACGTGGACTGTTCTCAGACGCGTAAGCCAAGCAACTGAGTGTCGCATGGAGCCCACTCACCTGTTTTCCAACGTCCGTAAGCTCTCCTAGGAGGCTGTATTCCGTATTGAAATGTGCTCATCGCGAGTACCCATATATGCGCATCAACTTACCATAATCCCTCGGACGTTTTTCCATGCCTGTTCTCGACAACTTTCTTATACCACAGTCCGTCATCTACGGTAGGACTGAGTCCAGCTACGGTCTCGTGAAAGCTTTTCGCAGTGTTGCACATCTGCCAATCTGCTGGTATGGATGCTGGAGGATCCGACATACGCACTCTGACGGGCGTACGTTCACCTAAAGCAGAGTGCGCATGGAAGTTATCAGCGATGACGCAACGAGACGCGCACGCGAACCCGACGCACCATGTCTCACGTATATGTGCACCTGCTCCAGGTCCAGCCCTTTTGGTGCGACGGGGTAGTTTTCGACGTCAAGCGGGGCTGGTTCGTCTTGCATTTGCTGCTTCATTGTTGCACTTAGAGAGGTTTGCGCTGTCTTCCCACCGCACCATCGCGCGCGTGGGTTGAAAGGTATCGTGGAACTCTTGGCTTCGGGAGGTGTGCCGTACGTTTATTAGGTGGCGGTGGGACCTTAGGAAATTGCCGCATCTGTGCCGCACCCTGCTGCACCCTACTCAACAATGTCTTATATGCCTCTTAAATGCGTCTACGTCGTACGCAACTGTCTGGAATATGATTTAAGAATAAGTAATACTATATTCCAGGTGTTTGTGTAAGGCTAACAGTGGTACTACAGTGATATATGTACTTGATGGGTGCGGCAGTGATGCGGTAGGGTGCGGCATTTCTCATCGCTGCCGCGACTCGGAAGTACTATGCTTCAATTCCTGCTCGTTCCGTGCGTATTCACTGGCAGCCTAGTCTTACTCGATTATCAGTACTCAAAAGTGGGATGGGGCAGTTGCTATGTTCCTCATCACATAGCTGAGGCAATGTGGAAGATCTTATTTCTCAACAATCTTGCCACCAACCTTCAAGAAAGATTCCAGCAGCTGGTCAATCACCTTGACCTGGATGAGGCCTTTAGGCTTTATTTGCAACTTTCAAAAGTATCTTATGCAGTCTCTCGTAGTGACTTCGATACTGCCAAGTCATGGGGCTACCTCTGCGGAACAGCCACTTAAGCTTTGATCGATTCCTCGGATTCCTCAATCGCCTAGATTGTCATTCTCACGCCATTTCAATGTGGTCAAGGAAGCCATATGGTCCCTAGCTCTTTCACGATCGCTGTGGAGCTGGTAGAGCAAGGCCGTGCAGTATTCTGGACCGATTTGGTATGCTTCCGCATTCCCCTGGATGAACTTGTCACAGCTGGCAGGTGCACCGGATCGGCCTTAGCGGCAGAATTCAAGCAGCACAACTTTCACCTTCGTAACGCGTTCGATGAGTCTACTGAAGACCAGTCCCGACAAATCCGGCAGCTGACACCGCCATGGGATTATGTTGTTTCACGTATCAGCATGCTACCTGATTTTTTCCCGTTTTCTGCTGCCTCCGCGCTGTTTTCGGATATCTAGAAGGCGACAGAAGACGGGCCAGTCATTATCGTCAACGCAAGCCATTATAGCTGCGACGCCTTGTGTATCACAGGTACCCAAGATCCTGTCTATGTTCCACTTGATACCACACGGACCGAAGTCTCAGAATTTTCCTTCGAGTTCCAGTCCCTCGCGGAGGATTTTGGTCCGTCCGAGCATCAACTCGAATTGCGCAAGCTGGTTAGCATCTTCCGCGAGCTCTAGAATAATGTTGTTGACCCTGTGGTTCAAGTTCTCAGGGCATGATCCACTTTACATCCTCTACATGCAGTAGGATTAAGTACGAGAATAAGAACCAACATTTGCCTCGCTTTTTCATCTCTTCTTTCACCTCAATTTCGGTGACGCTCATTCGCACAAGACAGCCACTTTCTCGAGAGGCGTCCACGCAAACCTTTTGTTACCATTGGTCAAGCTAACCCGAACAGAGGGAAGGAACCTCGATGTGTCGCTCCCGAGCTAGTCATTGTCACTCAGCGTGTCGTGCCCACTTTGTCCTTTATATTGCTCGAGGACAGCGATGTAATCCAGGGCGCATTCAACGCACTAAACCGTAATCAGTGACTTCACCTGGCCTGCCACAATGCGCGACAGGCCTTTAACGATCAGGGAGGTCATCCGAGCAGGAGGTTGTTCTTAGTACCTTGTGCGAAGTCGGGGAAGGTGACTAGCTGTTTTATATTAACTCTGCCAGCAATATACATATTGTATCCCAACCGCAACCGATAAACAGTGTGACAAAATGACAGATACTTTACGAGTATCTTCATTCTCCTGAGCTCCACAGGTCCAGGAACCCCAATCCGTGACCCCCCGAATGGTTTGAAAAGTAATCATAATCGATGTTTACTGTCAGACTCATCAATATTAAACTCTATCAGAACATTTGGGCTACTGACCTGCCGCCGCAAGCACGAGCTATAATAGCGCAAATGTTTAGAAAAATCGAAACGACGAAGCAACTGATACATATTTACCGCGCGCTCGTCAAGAGTGAGATTCCTCATCACCGTGGGCTGTTGCGGCGTTGGATCGGACAGGTCTGGGCGTGTGGCATCAAAGGTCACGAAATATTGTCCTATCAACCGCAATAAGCTCCTATCAGAATGATTGGCACCTCAGGAGCATGACATATCAGAACCTGTATCAGTGAAAATCTGCAAAGAAGACCGTTGAGCCCCTGACAACATTTTGAAATGCGGAGATAGGGTATGTCTAACTTACCTCCCTTCCAAAGCCGCGGAATGCCCTGTTGACAGTCGCAATGGGCGCACCGCGCGCATCGAGCATGTTAAAGTGCCAGGCCCAGAGCCCCTCGTCTATCTTTGAAAACTGGGTGAATGAATCTGTCGGAGGTTCGGGCTGGGGCTCGGAGGTGGTGGAAAGTATGCGCCTGGGCTGGTCACTACGATACATATCTCGGTACTGACATGACAAAAAGCGCAATGTGTTGCATTACCGAAGAAAGAGATGGTATCGTCTTCGCCAAAGATGCCATTCCTGCTGGACTTCAGCAAATGTGTCTAGGACAGGTTCCCCTTCTGGCGTGTACTCGTCAAGGTCTTTTAGCCTTTGGACGAACATGCGCGAATTTATCCACGCAAATGGTCGGCGAATCTGCATAATTTGATGGATTTATTATGATTAGCGAGGGAGATTACTATGGACCGCACCCAGAGAATAGGTGACCCGTGAAGGTCCATTACTAAAGCACGAAAGGGACGGTGTGTGCGGAAGACTTGTCTGGCAAACATCGACAGGATACCTCGTGGCTCTTCAGCGATGTATCCAAGCGGTTCACCAGCTTCGTTTGCTAATTGGGAAAAAAATTAATGATTCCAGCAGTTATAAAAGACTCAAGTATCACATACTAATGGTATATCGGTTCGACTGCTCAAAACCCATGAATATACTCAGCATTTCAAGCTTCCTACAATGAATTAGCTCGACAGTCGTTTATGTAGTTCAGTAAGAAACACACCTTGTTATGACCAACGTATTATTATTGAGTAACAGGTGCTTCAAACCTTCCTCCGGGTTACTGGAGGGCGTTCTCTGGCTCGAACCCCAGAGCTGCGAATCATGCACAGAGGGTTGTTCCTCGTATGCAGACGATGATGATCCATATGTCTCATCCTGAGTAGATGGCACGGTTCCCTGAGTGGGTTTGCGTCCTGAACTCCTTCCAAAACCGGTCCTTCGCTCAGGAAATCTAGAAAGGGCGTAACCTCGCCGAAAAGATTGTGCAGGGTGGAGGAGAGCGACACATGGTTTAGTGAGTCCTCTGCGGCCAGTCAATGCCAGTAGTCCAATCATTCCGATACAATGATTTACCAGCTAAACGAGTTCATGGTCTATAAGTGCTAAAGTAGTTGAACGTTACCTTCAAAAGTTGCCTCGCTGCCAGCCCTTGCTGACTAATACATTTCACGCTCTGGCTCCTCCCAGTGCTATCTTCGTTTCTAGCTCATGGACATCTTCCAGCACGTTTTCTCCAGCGGTTTCTGTGGGCTAGCGATGTGATTGGTGGTGTCCAAGGTGGCACTAAGGCCACGAAATAATCTAGCTGGAGAGGACTCGGAGATGTTTCGGAGGTTTGGTAGCAGCGATAGTCCTGGGTGGTGAGTGACTCAATCCATGCATGCACACTTAACCTAATGGTAGTTTACGAGGAGAGAATGGAGAATTTTCTCGGCGAGTACCCGCCCCGCCTCAGCGGCAAATCGACCTCAAATCGACAATCGTATGATTCTATCAAGATTCAAGATAGCCGTCCAGGGGACTAAAAATGGGTCACGAGTCAGCCCCATGACCCAGACAACTTCAACTTGAAGCCTCCAAACGATCTTTACCTCACTTCTATCATTCGCCATGATCCGTGTGGGGACTACTCTGTTGAATAATCACGTCTTGGTCATTATAGTACTTTCGACACTCAGCAAGCCAGAGATCCTCCACAGCTCCTTATCTCCCATCTCAGCGAATATTGTTCTGTTACATTCGTAGAGGTGTGTGGTATCTTGTATCGTGTACTTGACACTCACACTGACGTGTACATCTAGCTTCGTCTAGCTCCCATATACTCTACACCAGATTCCATTCCATCGTTACCCGAATACATCCATCAAGGCACACCGAATATCTCCAATTATGGTGAACCATTGGGATCCAATTAAATGAAACCTAATGGTGCACCATACCTTCACGAGATGCAAGCTGGAATACATCGGAAGGGAACAACAGCCATTATTCACCATAGTGCGATTTTTTTTCCTTCCGATGTGTTTCAGGACAGTTGCGAGATTGAGAGCTGATTAGCAGTGTCTTGTCGTGCGTGCTTAATGCGATCATGCACCAGATGTTCAACTAATGGTCGCAACTAGGGCAGAGCGCTCCAACAAAGCCTTTATACATCCCTGTCGATCGATGCTCCGCTCCCAGCTACCCATCACATGCGGACGTAGATCAGGAGAATACGGGACGCGGTGTAAAATGCAGTTCCCCCGATGTACGTTTTTTCTTAATCTATACGATTGTCAATCTACTCTATCAAGATAGGGGCCCGGGAGGCTTAATGTGAAGCGATCTTGATTCTCCGTCTTGCTTATATCATTCATCATCAGCCTCCACGCGAGAATGAAAAATCGCCTGGTTTTCACTCCCGCATGGATGCTGATGGTGAACCGGTGCATCGAATAACCAGGCGCCTTCGTATGGTCCTAGATGCAATATGATGAGATATCGCATTGAATTCCACCACACGTTTGCGACTTGCACAGAGTCAAAGTGCAGGGTTTATCCTCCTGATGTGTTCCTGAACAGTTACGATATTTACAGCCGAATGCCGGAGCAAGGGCATTTAGTCGTCATGATGTGATTATGCCATTGGCATATGTGAGTCGCAAGTTGACGACTTTTGACAGACACGGACGCAGGTCAACATATTCATACGCAACATCGAGCCGCGACATAAAATACAGATAAAGGATAAAAGTACACGAAGTGTTATCTGCAGGAGCATGATGCGGATCCTAGGGCACTCATGGCTTGATCGCGATCTTCAACGCTCCTCTGCTGTTCATCTTGTCCAAAGCTAGTTGGTAGTCCTCAAGTTTGAACACATCCGTCACCATGCCCTTGACCTTGACCTTTCCGCTATCGAGATAGGCGACCGCTCGCGGGAAGCAGTATGTTTGTGAGAACGAGCCGATGATCTGATGGGAGGGTATGTCGTCAGCCTTCCAGGAGGAGGTTACTAAGAATGATAACTCACAGTAATCTCATCACCAAAGATCTTCGATGGAGGCCAGTGTACAAGGGCCTTGTTCTCATACACACCATAGATCATGAGGGTACCTCCTCGACGGACATAGTCGATCGACTGGTTGGCAACCTTTTCAACACCTGTAGCCTCAACTACGACATCGAACCCATATGGATTATCGTCCTTCAACTGCTTCCACTGAGCCTCGGGATTCTGCCGATCAAGTTCGATGTATTCATCCCCAGCTTCCAATTCCTTCGCGATATCCATCTTTATACCCTTGTTAGCAGCGATAACGACTCTTGATGCCCCATTGAGTTTCAACAGCTGTGCGAGTATAAGGCCAGTGGGACCGGCGCCGAGAAGGAGCACCTCAACGCCGACAGGGGGGTTAAGTTTATCCAGTCCGTGAATAGCGCACGCAGCAGGTTCCAACAAAGTCGATTCTTCATCTGAGAGGTTCTTGATCTTGTACAGCTTCTTTTGATGACTGAATGCGATCTGTAAATGAAATCACATGCAAATGGAAGCATGTGCTTACTATACGATGTATTCGGCGAATCCACCATCTAGGGTGACGCCTCTGGCGTTGAAGTTCTCACACAGGAGGGAATTTCCCCTTCGGCAATAGAAACAGTTGTCGCACTGCCAAAAAGTTGTAAGTGGGTTGTTTGGAGTTTGCAGGAAAGAGACTTACGGTTATGCCCACGTCAGCAACACAACGGTCACCGATCTCGAAACCTTTAACATCCTTGCCCATTTCAATGACTTTACCGATAGCTTCATGACCCGGGATGAGCTGTCAGGTGGGGCAGATATGATAAGATACTGATGGACTGACGTCACTGCGTCTGATAAGGCGGACTCACCGGGAACTTGGATATGAATTCCCCTTCATGGATGTGTCCGTCTGTGCCGCATACACCTGTACAGAAAGAGATGAGTGTGCTTTCATGATGCTCGGACGTGCGTACTGACCGCAACATGATACTGAAGTTTTTTTTTTTGGTAATCAGAAGCGATCTGAAAGGTGGCACGCGACAATACCTTTCAAGAGAACGTCGTCGTCACCGACTTTGGGTATTGGGACTTGCTTTATTTCAAAGTCTTGCGGCTGTCGCTACGTTAGACCATAGTCACGATTGTGCTGGATGCCTACCTTGTTGTACCACAGAGCTCTCATAGTACCTTCAGGCATGTCGAAAAGGAAAAAGGGAAATTTGTGGTAAGTATAGGAGGGGAAGAAGTTGTTTGGTGTAACGAGTATCCAAGCTGGCTTTTATCCCCAAGAAAGCCAAACACGATCGAGTGCCATTGGATTTGATTGGCAACACTTGGCTTGGTGATTCACTGATTGCAAGTAACGCTGACGTCACAACCCCATTTTATTTTTGGACACCTAACTTAGGGTTAAGCCACGTGTTAATGTTAACCACCGCGTCCAGCGCGTTGTCGACCTTCTTCACTTGACTTCATGGACGCTCGCCATGGGTCTTTTCCTGAAGGAGGGACAGCCGACTTGCATCGACCAACAGGAGATTCAGTCACGCTTCGTGCAGTAAAAGACATCGCCTTCGGAAGCGTACGTCGTCCAAATTTAAAACAAACTTGCTTCTTCTTACCACCCCTCGAAAAAGATTGCAGGAATGGTAGCAGAAGTATTCGAATTTCCCTTTGATCTAGCTAAAGTGCGCCTCCAATCTCAAGTCTTGCATAATACAGCAAGTTTCGGCGGTCCTCTGGACTGCTTGATGCAGACCTGGAGAGATGAAGGGATAAGAGGTCTTTATCGCGTAAGTCACTCACACATGGAGCTCCTTTAGCCCTTTGTTGACAGTGGAGCTCGATTCGCCGTTCGTCGATACCACACAATACATTACACTCGCAGGGTCTACCCGTTCCCATTTTTGGCTCAATGGCCGAAACTGCCAGTCTCTTCGTCGCATACAGCCAGATCCAATCTCTCATTCGATGGTCTGACGCTTCACCGGCTTCAACTCCTCTCTCGCTCCCCCAACTCGGTCTTGCAGCAGGAGGTGCTGGTTTCCTCACTAGTTTCATCCTGTCCGTGCGTCGCCCTCCTCCTTCTCTCCACTTCTATTAACACACACACGGTCTTTTAACAGAACGCCTATAGAACTCGTCAAATGTAAGATGCAAGTTCAGATGATGTCTCCACCGCTTCGATTACCCAATCTTGCGACGTCACCGCCTGAGTTCGTGCACACGCCACACAGAGTGTCTGTGTCTGCGTCTACGTCATCGCGCTATCCTCGACACCTCCCCGGACCGTTTTCCTATCATTTCAAAGATAGTGAAGACACATGGGTTGAAAGGCATGTGGGCGGGACACACGGGGACTATACTACGCGAAACGGGCGGAACGGCTGTATGGTTCGCTTCGAAAGAGTTCATCGCGTCTGCGCTCCTCGCTCGAAGGATCCAATCTTCGCCATCCTCAATTCCAAGGAACTATTTCGTAGAAAGCTTGACCTCGGACCCATCGATGGCTCTTGCGCCTTGGGAATCGGCTCTCTCTGGAGCACTGGCCGGCGGACTCTGCGTCCTTGCCCTCTATCCTGCTGATACCATCAAGTCAGCGATCCAAACTGCAGAAGAGCTGCGTCCGCCGGATATGTTCACTCTCTCGCGGGAACTGGAGAGTAAGTTCCCGTCGTTTTGGAGTACGGGCGTTGCGATGTACAAGGCTCAGGGGTGGAGGGGGTTGTATGCGGGGTGTGGAATGACGGTCGCGCGCGCTATACCGTGCAGCGGGATCGTTTTTGTCGTTTATGATGGTCTCAGTCAGCGCTTTGGGTCGTGATATATGGGTTTATAAACTCGTCTTGCATTTATTATCACTTTCAACATAGATCTGCATTTTCGTATCATACATACATACTCAGTATATCCTTCAATAGAGCTCTCCTCAATCCCATTTGATCCCACATATCCCATGAAAGAAAAAGACAGCACTATCATCATAAATTTGCATTACTCCAATCACTCAACCACTCCCTCACAAACGACCCGGCCTCCCGCTGCATAGCTGGCGTACACTCATGCCCCGCACCCTCCTGCAAAACAAACCGCTTAATACCCTCCTTCCCAACCTCAAGGCCCTGCACGAACTCTTTTGTCGCCACCCACGGAACAAGCGTATCGTTCGCGCCCGAAAGCACCAGTATCTTACGCCCCAAAAACGGATTCGAAGCATCCGTTGCGCGATAAGGAAGTTGAGCGGGGTCGTGAGCGCCCACGTATTCTTTGAGGGAGTCTGGGTAGTATGGTGGCTTGAAAGGGACTCCTGAGGATAATGCGCGTTGGGATATCAGTTTAGTGTAGTCTGGGCATCCGATGATGGGGATTCCGATTTTGAGGCGGGGTTCTGCAGGGTGTCATATGGGAGGTTTAAGGTTGTGAATGAGGATGAGATAAGATTAGATGGGACCTGGGTGCATACCTCGAGAGAGCGCTATCCATGTCGCGTGTCCTCCGAGGCTTACGCCACCCATACCCCATTCGACGATGGTTCGTTGGCTTGAGGGATAGAGGAATGAAGGCAGGTGGTCGATGAGGAAGGACACGTCTTGGGCCGAACCAGCTTTGCATAGGGTGAGACGAGGACGATAGATATTGGTTGGGACTTTTCACGTACTTTGGATGGTGTACATGTCGACGCTGAATGAGGAGGTATGTATCAGCGTTTATGCCATGTTATGGTACGCGACGTACGCATGTTGGTCATTGTTCTTTGCTGGATCTGGGTTCCATGAAAAATTCCGCTCGATGTTCACGAGTCTCGTCCCGTGGTTCCTGTGATCCTGTCCGTGTCCAACCCCATGACCATCAACATCGATCCGCAAATCCGTGCCCTGTGTTGAAGAGTGCTAGTGATGACTCACAAAAGCAACGATGATAAGATCTTTTGTCCTCGGCGAGCCCGCACCGGATCCATAATTCACATCGAAGATGGCTTTGGCGGTTGTGACGACATCTGCGTGCTGTGAGGATCCGAATCTGCCGTGGAGGAAGACGAGGGCGTGGACGGGGATGGTGGGGTCTGTGGAGGACGGGTGGGAGTAGACGTCTACGACTAGACCACCGACTAGGAGGGTTTGTTTGGTGGGGTCCATTGTGCTAGTACTCTTGAGGGAAGATTAGTGCGATATCATGGGATTAAAATGATTATATATATGTCCAGCTCGCTGGGTGCTAGTCCCGTGGTGGTTCCCTTGTCATGTGCACATTGGTGTCACCCGCGTACGTGGCAATTATGAGTATCAGATGATGTCGATGAGCCATCAATCAACGGCTTTCGATAAAAAGAAGTTGAGAAATGCAATCGCCGGCGAAGATCTACGACCGACGTAGTCTAACACAACGCGTCAACCCGAGAAGTTCGAATCTGGTCGCCATGGCCAACATCTCCTTCTCCTCGATCTTCTTTCCTTTATAGCTAGCCGCTGAATCCTCTCCGTCTCGAACGTTTCCTCCGGGTCCTTGATACGCTCTCTGCTATATCCTCCAAAATCTTGGTTCGGTTATCATCGAGGACACACGCTTGCGCATGGATGTTGATCCGGTGCGATCAGGGTCAATTTCAGTTGGTTCGTGCCATTCTAGTTCGAACCCCAGCTCAGTACCTTCCTGGAGGGTCTTTCGAAGATGGATAGAAATGATAAGTAGTCGAGCATTCAACATAAAAAGCGCTGACTTCAAGAATCAACATCGCCGCTTGAAGCCATATGCTGTGGGCAATGGGATCTATAAATAGTTTTCACCACGGTCAGATGATGTCTCGGAAGTGATTTTTGGGTCTCTCGTTGTCTCTCGTGTACCGTATAGTACCTGACCATGATAATTCTCTGCGAGTCATCGATATAGCTTCGATAGAAGACGTTGCACAATGCCGGTCGACCGCAGAAGATCTTTGACCGACGTGGTCTAACACAACACATCCTCTTAGAAATTCCCTGCCCAGGGGATCCCTCAGAATCCTTCGACGTCCACATCTGGGACTTCAATAGAGCCATTGCTGGCTCGGAACGTTCGGAAAATATCCACGACCTCAAATCGCATCATCCGCAGGCCTGTCCGGCTAGCTCGGACGTGCTTTGATGAAGGCATCGGAGATCTCATCACGAATCATCCTCACACTGCTGCTGCCTCCCCCACGGGTTTCTCGACGCTTTATCTAAACCAGTTTTCTCTAAACAGGATCGGCTGTCTTATTATGAGACTATGAGTACAGTAATGGTTTAACGTGACCAACCCGTTGGACCCGCCTGGCTCGATTCATATCCAGCCTCCGCCCATGGAAGTTCGCTTGGACGACGGACGTTGGACAGGGCCGAGTAGTTCGCAGCCCAGGGCTGCGGTAAGCAAGGCAAATGAAGTTTCACTACACATCCTATCGTACTGACTAAAGTGCGGAAATAGTCGAGAGACCCACGAGTGGGCGGGGCCTTCGTTACGGACGAGGCGAACGTCCAGCGATCATTGGCGGCAAGACTCATTGAGTCGCCGAATGACGGGCGCCATGGATGCATCAAATGTTTCATATATTTCCTCAAGCGAATGGACGAAGAGCGCCCAGATTGGAAACCAACCTGTCAATACGTATGGAGTATACCTTTCATTTTTGTCTTTCAGCTCACGTTCGCTACATCCCCGTATATTTTTGCCACGCATATCAATTCCACGTACGCTACCGTCGTTTTCCCTCTTCCCCCTAGTACTATATTTTGCCCGTACGATTCGCCACCCTCCGAGCCTCGTTGAATTTTTCCTGTTGTCCCCTAGGTTTCTTGCATGTGAGCGCAATTGAGTCATACACTCACTCGATTATCGATATGCACACTCATAACTGAACTTACACCATGACAGGACTCACCGAGTACGTTCTGTTAGTGTTTTGGAAAGGTCATTTTAAATACATATCCCAGATTCACAATCCTCTGAATCTTCTGTACCTGCATTGCACCGTATGTACACGGTTTGTCTCGATCTTCAACAAACACCCTTCGAGAGTATCGTGACATCGGGCCCATTGAGCCAATCCGCCCCCGCGCCGCTCTCCATTTGAGCACAATATCTAAACCTGTTCCGTCGGAAGTCGCCATCAGCATGTACATATGGTAGGATATGTGGCTACGCATCAGTTGGGTAGAGTCGCGTTGGGTCAAAGTTTCACATTTTCAAGATGAATCTGTGCCTCGACTATGCCGAAGAACATAAGTCAGGAGCTTGCAAAGAGAAGACCCTCATGCAGAGGATGGAACCTACCGAGATCGGGTTGCTGAGCCACGGTAAGCAGAGTAAAATCGTAAAGAGGTCTGCGTTCCTTCCATTAGGGGAGAAAAGTACTACGTTACATACAAAAGATAACTCATGATCATCATATCGACATCTCCCAACCGTAACAGGGGCCTGCCCAGTGATCGTTCCCACCACCAACTAAATCATAACGTTCATAATGTTGTGTGTCCTGCACATAAGACGAAAGAGACCACTCCCAAAATTACCTAGATGAAGCTGCTTTTGCGATCGCTCCATCGAGGAAGTCTAGCACCTCCTCAACTGAAGGGCGATTGTCGCTCTTGATCGACCAGCACCGCCTCATAAAATCATGATGATCCGCTGGAATTTGCACGACACCATTGATGGACTGTGAGACCAGCTCTTGGTGTTTGAACTTTGATGCTACGACTTGCAGAGCAGTCTTAATCCACCAGTAGGGCAGTTTTCCATATAGCACCTGCAGAAACTGTGTCAGGTGCCATGAACAAGGTAAATAAGAGACTGACGTGAAGCATGATACATCCGAGAGCATATATATCACTGAATTTCGTGGCACATTGCACCGTTTGACCAATCTCAAGGGCGATGAGCTCTGGCGCGGCCCAGCGAACTGCGCCAGTTTGGTAGGAGAACGCTGGGTTGGACTCTACCATGATATTCGATATGCCAAAGTCTGCAAGGCGCGGGGATCCATCGGCAGCAACCAAGACATTGTTCTGCGATCACGATCAGAGCATGGATACACGGAATGTGTAAACTTACACTTGTCAAATTGCCATGAATCACGTCGTTGTCGTGGACTGTCCACACAATGCGGTATCAGTTAAGCCGGTCGTTTCCACATATTCAACCCGTTACTCACGATATTTCAGCCCCTCGGCGATCTGTTTAAGCTAAGCTTTGAAAAATGGTAAGCTCTTGAAATCGGCTTCGTAGAAAGGGCTTACGATACGAAGTCTACCCATCGTCGTGAGACTTTTATGCGCATGATTCAGATAGGAGTTCAATGTCCCGTTTGGCATCCAGGGGGAAACCAATGCGCGAAACGGGCCGAAACCTGTCACGGTGCCATGCAGGGGCAATACATATTGATGTTTCAATACGGCCCATATCTTGATTTCGCGATCAAGATTCTGCGTAGAACAGAAACAAAGTTCAGACAAGCAGCACTTTCAGAAGCTACTCGAACACACATAGTTTATTTTGGCAACTTCGGCTTCAGTTAGACTTGGAAACCGTGGGGATTTAACCGCTACCTGATAATATAGTGAGCACAAAGCATGGACAAGATGGATGTCTGAATTACCTCTGCCGTACTTGCGCCACAGGTCAATGTGCATTTGTAAATGTCTCCGAGTCCACCAGAAGCCGTCGGAAAACGGGTTTGCCTGGTGACGTTACTGGGCTCCATAACGAAAGAACCGCACGTCAATATCTGAGGGGTCGCGGTCCGGATTAAAGTGCCGTGTTGCGAGTCCGCTTTTTCAAATATGGGGTGGGATGCACATTGGCCGTCTTGGAGGGTATACACAAGGGAGGTCCGGCTATCGCAAGGCTGGTCATCAAAATCCCCAGCAACGTTAGATTCCTGGCCACTTCGCCACAGGTTCATCTGTTACTGAGAGTGAGCTACGTCATAGAAGGTAAAAGTAAACTCAATGTACCAGACGCTTGACAAGATTGAACATACCGACGCCTGACGAATAGCCACGGCAGGGTTCAGAAAAAATCCTAATCCCTACCAGCCTCGGAAATGCCATCTTATACTGTTTACATCGGGAAGTTGAAAATTCATCCAAACGTCATGATAGCGCCGACAAGTCGGAATTACGACAGGGCAGTTCAAACTGCCATGAATGATACACGTTGAATGAATGAGATATTCACGCAGCCTGAATGCTGTCCTTCCACTACATAACTTCCCACGTTGCACGAGGCGGCAGTCCACGTTGCTCCGCATAACGTATTATACCTTTGCCAGTCTGCTAAGCTATACTTGACTCTAACTCATAAGCGTCCATCTTGAACTCACGAGTTCGGGTGGTATGTGGGAATTGAGCAAGCATTCTCCAGTCATTATCGTTATATTCAGAAAACACGTGTACCTCTAACCTCGTCGTGGACAGTGAAGGAGATGGAAGGCCCAGAGAGGGCGGAAATAGGATGCAACACGATCATGGGGGAATTGGCACCGGGTACCGAGAGGGGCAGTGCCATGGTCTACAAGGTAGCAGCCTGAGGAGGTTGAACTTGAGCGTTGTAGGCAAAGGAAGACGCCAGCGGCAGGTCTTCGTGGCAGGGTTGGGCATGTGGATAACACCAGGCATTATCAAAAAAGTATGGGACAAGGGGGAACGCTCGTGGGAACGATTTGGGCATTTTCGCGTAGCCCACATGGCCCCGGTTAACGCGCTTGTGCAGGTTATCTCGCTTAAACCTCTTTTTGGAAATATCGCGTGGTTTTCTCGCGTGGTTTTTTCAAGCGCCGACTCAGTTCCATTTCTTCGTTCCATACATAGGCAGCACCCCTGTGTTTTGCACAACTGTTGTGTATATACATGAAATTAATTATTGAAAATTCAAATGGGAGGGGCAAATTCTGACAGATGTTGAGAAACCACTGTGGACAAGCAAATCAATGAATTGAATTCAATGTGACTGAAGGAATGGTGATAGGAATGAGTGCTAATGACCAAACATGGAAGTTGGTTTTATGTACATGACAGGAAATATTTATTGAAATTGAACTAAATGAGAATGGGAGAACCAAAGTATGGGAAAACAGGAGGACAGATGGATGGGAGGATGGGCAGGAGGATAATGGGACAATGGGATGACAATGGGAGGACTACAGGACGACTATGGGACTATGAGAGGACAATGGGATGACAACAGGAGGACAATGACAACAGGACAATGATGGGAGGACTACAAGAGGACAAGAGGACAATGACAGGAGGATAAATGGGACAAATTATGATCTCAAAAAAATATAATATATTTCAAAACCTGCTATGATTATTAAGGAGTTGAGGTGCCACAGGCACCTCCCAAAGGAGCGTGAAGCGCTCCACTGCCTTCCTGTGCCGAAGGCACAACGGGTGTGGACTCGTCTAAAAAGTAAGGCGTGTAGCGCCAAGAACGGTCCTCGCTAGCTCGCGTGGTTTTCGCCTATTTCGCCAAAGGCCACATGGGAGCGCGTAGGTACGCTTAGCTCGCTTAAACCTCTTTTTGGAAACTCACGTGGCAACGGGCGCGAAGCGCCCCGCTGCCTTCCTGTGCCGAAGGCACAACGGGTTGGACTCGTTCTATAAAGTAAGGCGCGATGGGTGGGAACGCTCTAGCCACCTCGCGTGGACGCCACGTTCTGCCACATGGTTTGCGCTTAGCTCGCTAAAACCTCGATTTGGAAAGTCGTGTGGTTCTTTTCGAGCGCCGACGATTCCTGTGCACCGCACATCCAGCGTTGCGCCGTTCCCTTCCGCACATGTCGAATTTTGTTTCGACGGACAGGTGAGTTCCTGTCACTAAAGCTGAGTTCCTGTCACTATAAGCTGACTTGCATTGTGTGATCAGTGTTGACAACCACTCACCATTCTGTAGCTCTCAACAGCCTCCAGGCTGCACACCACTGCCTTCTGTCACTGCAGTGACATCATCCGAGTCCGATGTGCGATTCTCTGCTTCGTCGGACGTCACGTGAGTCATCTTATTTTATTTTATTTCGTCTAATGAAATAAAATGTTGAAAAACACCCCTACTGCAGGCATCCCTGCACCCAGGTGTTGCCCCCCTTCTGCAACCCCCAGCATGGCTATGCTGTCCTACCACCATCTTTGCCTTTCTCTCGCACCACTGACTGGGAGGCCCGACTACGTGACGACTGCCACAAGCAGTTTCACGCTCGACTCGAGCGTCGAAAGCTCAATGATCCTTACAGTAAGATAGCCTGTCGAGAACGCACTCACGCATTGGAGCAGTATATCCATGATGTCTCCAAGAGCACTGCAAAGATACGACAATCCATGGAGAGGAGCAAAGAGGAGCATGAGCACTGGATGAGGAAGCAGGAGAAGAAGTTGCAGAAGATCGTTGATGTTCGTCTAGCAAAAGAACAGAGGGAGAAGGATTGTGCAGATCAACGAGACTGGCGAGAGTTCATTGGCAGTCAAAGGGCATGGGCAAGTTGTGAGGCCCAGGTTAAGCGATTTGATGAGAGGCTCAGGGAGGGACCACCACCAGGTTGGAAGTTGCCTCAAGGCTGGACACGTTCTCTTCCACCCACATGCAAACTCTTTTAGGTTTCTCTTTGATTGATTGGTACTTTGATTATGAAATAAAAGAATCTTCAATGAACAATGCTCATCTTGGAGACAAGAGAGATTGGGAGATGAAAGACAGAAAATTGTGAAATAAATAAATGGAAGGACAGGGGGACGGGAGAACGGGAGAACAGGGGACGGGAGACGGGAGACGGGAGACGGGAGACGGGAGACGGGAGACGGGAGACGGGAGACGGGAGACGGGAGACGGGAGACGGGAGACGGGAGACGGGAGACGGGAGACGGGAGACGGGAGACGGGAGACGGGAGACGGGAGACGGGAGACGGGAGACGGGAGACGGGAGATGGGAGACGGGAGATTGAGAGAATGGCAGAACGGGAGATGGGAGAACGAGAGAACAGGAGAACAGGAGAATGGGAGAATAGAGGAACAGGCAAATCAATAAATTATAAAACAGCACAAAAATATGTGACTGGGGGGACGGGAGAATATGGGATGGGGAGAACTAATAAATTTTACCATAGTACAAAATGTGAGACTGATTCCTCTGCCAGCAGGATTTGTGCAATGTATGATTATTTTTATTAATTATAAAAGTATACAAAAATTCAAATTCAAATCATGATCTCAAAAATAGTCAAAAATACAATATATTTCAAAACCTGCTATGGTTAGTGGGAAGACAAGGTGCCGCAGGCACCTTGAGCAGAGCGCAAAGCGCTCTGCTGCCTTCCTGTGCCGAAGGCACAACGGGTGTGGACTAGTGTGATGGAAGGGTCGTGGCAACGTTTCATGATTAAGTTACATGCGCTTGGGTGTCACGTGGCGAACGACGGCGGTCGTGCGAGTGTACATTGTGCCCGAAAGCGGGTTCATATTCAACTTGTCTTTTATCAATTGCTTTATCTTTGCAACTTAAATGCATATCTGATATGGTCATTCAACAGCCCTGGGCCATCTTTCGAGTTTCCCGCCGTGTTGTTTGACCTGGACAATGAGGAAGACAAATTTGCAATGAGCATCGGTGGTATGTCCCAAAAAATGTTTCCTTGGCACTCGGATAACGACTGATCCCAAATGAATGTACGTCGTAAACGTTCTCAAACTGGGAGGCCCATCATGACACTTATCCACAACGCTCATGTGCACAAGCATCATGTCAAGCGTTCCTGCCACACGTTCACCACATGTACTTCAAGTTGGTGTGCTTTGACTAATACTCTGATTAGCGATGCCAATGAGGTGCGGACTTGATGATTCTTGCGCAATCTAAACTCCATCTATCCCCGGAAGGGGCCCGCTCATCATTTGATTGGTGCGCTATCCCCCATTCTGTTTCATTTAAGTCAGATTGCTGATATCGTGCAGCTGCAAGTTGATCGGGCTGTATTTTGATGGAGTCAATGAACTCTAGATATATGAATGTCACAGAATATTTCAACATGTACAGCGGCCTTAAGATTGTTTCCCATACAAGACCTACAGGTGAGGGGTTTCAGCGTCACTAGCAAGCCAACCTGACGTATGTATCACCAAGGGCAAATATGTTGCTAGATCTGTGTTGTGCATTCTATGGTTTGGGTTGCGAAATCTTGAGTGACCCAACATACTGCATCGGGTAAAAGAAGTTTCGTTTCATACTCGAAGGATGGCTTTGATGCTGCGGCCCTTCAGGCGAGTCTGAAATCTGAGATCTAAGAGTCTCTTTAAATGTGAACAGTATACTCTGCCCGCTTGACCACATTTGGATGCAAAGGTCCCCGGGCGAGGCCGACTAGGGACCTTGAAAACCCACAGTTTCTTATGCAACGCGATGGATATTGTGAAGAGGGCCACAATACACGAGCTCGGCTATATGATCAAATCGCTCGTACACCACGAGGCTTTCAATATCTTGTTAAAAGAGCACATCAACTACAAAGTCGACTACATAGAGTTCGTCATTATTTGGTGTCCGAGTCACCATGTTTTCCCTCTCGCTCTGCAGGTTATGGCTTGAGAAGGTCGTGAGAAAACTTAGGCTATCCACGACTACCACACACGATCTCACAAGATTCATAGTCAAGCAGTCATCCGATCCTATAGCATACGGTAGTTTCGGGGATGTGTGGAAATGCATCTACACTGTGTCTGGCTCTTACCTGGAAGTAAGTGTCTCGTGTGTATGGCCATGTTCAACGATCTGATTCTCTGACAGGTAGCAGTCAAGTCCATGAGGATTGACGTCGCAGGCGACTCGGACGTTTCCAAGGCCAGAATTACTCGAGTACGTTCGCGGCTTCCATTAAATCTAACCATGATAAGCTTGCTCATACTAAATGGCTTCATAGAGACTCTTGACCGATTTCCATGCCCGGACACAACTGCAACACGAAAATATTTTGCCTCTGCTCGGTTTCAGTCGCGATTTCGGACCATTCCCAGCGATGGTTTCTCCCTGGATGCACAACGGCACGCTCAATATATATCTTCGACACAATTTCACAGAATTAATGATTGAATCTAAACTACGAATCGTGAGTTGTTTCTCCAAACTACATGCCGCGGTATTAATCGGAACCGTAGTTACGGCAAGTCGCTGCAGCCATCAGCTACCGTATGTGGAATCTCAACTAGCTCGCAAAAACGTTGACTAAGAACATTGTAGTTCACTCGAAGGGCATTGTTCACGGAGAGCTTACTGCCGTACGTACTAGTATTTGTCTGAATCCCGCTTGCAATTCTGACTTTTTGATCTGAAATGGCAGAACAACATTCTGATAGATTCGAACCGTAATGCTCTGGTAGCAGACCATGGAATCCTCGCCCTGTGTCCCGAGTCCCCCAATACCTCGTACCTCAGAAACAACGTGCGATGGGCTGCTCCAGAGCTTTTTGAGGAATCGTCGACTCCTCTAAAGCCGTCGAGTGATATTTATGCATTTGGGTGCATCATGTTCCAGGTATTTCGCGTTCCTAGTTGCGTTTGTTGGCAACTGATTCAAATATTCCGCAGGTTATGACAGGCCAACAGCCTTATGCAGATGTACACGACACTTATCAAGTCACTAGTATGATATTCCACGGCAAGAAGCCCGCAAGACCCTCCAGTCCACCTATCGCTGATCCCTTGTGGGATTTAATCCAGAGATGCTGGAGTGATAGGCCGAGTCGTCGACCCTCGGCTGTTGAGGTTTTGAGGTTTTTAGGATCAGATCAGGTTACTTCTCTGGAGTTCCAATAGGACAATTGTACAGAAAATTAAATCCCGAACAAACACTATGATACAAATTGTAGTATCCGATGTTCTTTACTATAGCTTATAACATAACTTATGTGCATGTATGTCCGTTTCACTTGGATGGTGCACCTGTATGGCACTGGATCTGTTCAACTATTCTTACACACAATATGCACACATACACAAAGGATTTACATAACACAGAGTCGCGTACCGTTGCCGAGATGAGTATCAGGATGCTTTGGGATTAGCGTGACTTCCCGTTTTGGTAACACCGCACGACGACAAAATCGAGCTCGCTGTTGAGGACAGCGAGCTCAAATAGTTGCCCAATCCTTCACCCTTTTCACTAGTTCTTTTGAGGGAAAAAAATCAACTGTAGCTAGTTAGCTATGCTATTTTGACCATAAATCTTCCATACTTACAATATTCACCCATTCCTGTCATGTATTTATACTGGGCGCTCTGAGGGGCTTATTATGGGCTCAATTAATGGTGCATTTATTGTATAAATATATTAGAACTTCTACAATGCCAGAAGTATTCAATTAGAGTCCAGAAAATACCAGAAAAGCGGTCAGGGTTGGGGGAGGAGGTGGGGAAGGAGGGTTGTGTTGTCCAAAAGTAAGCATAGTTAAGCTACAGGTGATTTTTTTCCCTCAAAAGAACTAGTGAAAAGGGTGAAGGATTAGGCAACTATTTGAGCCTGCTGTCCTCAACAGGGAGCTTGAGCATTTTGTCGTCGTGCAGTGTTACCAAAACGGGAAGTCACGCCAATCCCAAAGCATCCTGATATATCTCGGCAATGGTACGCGACTCTGTGTTGTGTAAATCCTTTGTGTATGTGTGCATATTGTGTGTAAAAATAGTTGAACAGATCCAGCGCCATAGATCCAGCACCATAGAGGCGCACTAGAACTGTTACATACCTAATACTTGCCAGGTACTACAAACGATGGGCAGAGTACAGAGGAACTGGTATTTACTATGACTGAATCATTGCCCGTCCTTTCATAAATTTCAGGATCTCTTCGTCAGAAGGCCGATCTTTCATATCTTCTGACCAACAACTCTGCATAAAATCCCAGTCACGGTCAATGATGACAGATATGGGCGGCCTTTCGGGTTTTATTCCTTTGGATATGTGGTGGATTATGGTCGCTTGGTTGCGGATGTAATGGTATGGGACTTTGCCCTCCAGAACCTGCAGAAGGAGATGAGTCGGTTCAATGGATAATACAAAATATAACCACGTGCCTCCAGCATGATTCCTCTGAAAGAGTACACATCACTTTTCGGTGACAAATTGATTTTATCATCGGTTGTCAAGTATTCTGGCGCCATGTACGGCATGGTGCACGAAGGGTTGGTAGGCAATAAAGCTTCACTTGTCCTGTCAGGAAGGAAGGCAGAGAGACCAAAATCAGTGAGGCTTGCTGTTTCGTTCTCGTCAACGAGAACATTATTCTAAGGAAGCTTCTTTAGTTTAGCATTCGTAATTTCATAGATGTGCACGCACGCCGCTCAAGTCGCCATGGACAATTGACTGTGAATGGACTGTCCAATTCAGCATTAGTTGACTTTCACATTAATGACAAAATAGTGAACATACGATATTGAAGTCCTTGAGCAATGTCTTCGAGCTAAAGGGACCTTAGTGTACTGGTTATAGTGCGAACATATAGGACCGAACCAGTGCAAACTTCCTGTTGTAAGAAAGCATTTTGTGCTGACGCTGAATGTATCCGGTCAGCGCTCCATTTTCCAACCATGGCGAGACAAGTGCAGGGAGGGAGCCAAAGCCATCTGCAACTCCCCAGAGAGGAACAATATTCTTGTGCTTAAGTTTCAACCATAGCTTAATCTCTCGGAACAATCGCTGAAGGGGAGTCAGTTGAATGAAGGTAGAACACATGGCTACTGACATTAATAATTTTCAATATGTCCACATCGTTCCTCAACATTATTGCTTTGACTGCGACCTAAATTGCTGTGAGGAAAGCAAAATGAAAAGATATATTATGAGACACTTACGTCAACAGAGGTTGTCATGGAGGAGAGCTGGCGGCGGGAATCCACTTGTTGGACGCTCGCAAAGATGTTTCTCCGACTGAGCTTGCACTTATGAACATATGCAAATCCTCCGGCATCATGGTAATCTTGGTCAGACCGTTGGACTGAGTTCGTTAGATCGACAGCACTGAAGACGATGAGCTCAACAGCACTACACAACGAAGATAACTCACCCGAAAATTCAAACTAAGACAAAGTAGAGGACCTTCTCTATCGAATGACGGGATTTCTCCGCTAATAGGCACTGTCGCACCAAGTTTAGGTGCACTTTGCCAATCTTTGCATTCAAGGTCTGTTGAGTGCGCAAGATAAAATTTGCAAAGATCATACCTCCAAGGTTGAACGAAAAGGCTCTATGCCCTTTGCTTTCTCCGAAAGCACCCGACTCTCTTCGGAAATCCACCAATACGGCACCTTTCCTGACAACACCTGGAGAATACTGATATAAAACGCATCAAAACTGGTTTACTCCAGAACGCACCAGAATAGTGACGCAGCCATACGAGTATACATCTCCGGCTTTGGTTGGCTTTGGTGCTCCAGTCCGGCCCGTACGAACAATAAACTCAGGTGCAATGTACCTCGCATCTCCCAGGAGCTGCTCGCTGAAGATCAAACTACTAGCTTCAGCAAGGATCATGGAGTGACTGAAGTTTGTGATGCGTATATGGCCCGATCCATCAAGGAGCACGTTGTCCTAGAAATGTGGTGAGAATTTTATTAAGTAACGTGAGTAGCTGAAGCATACGCCTGTTAAATTGCCATGCGCAATATCCTTCTTGTGCACTTAGGACACGTATGAGTTTCATACATGAGCAGTTACGGGATACTAACAATATTTGATACCATCCGCTACCTCGAGTAGCTGCTCATTCAAGATCAGAAAAGTTATCCATACCACGAAACATCGACTTACAATATTGAGCTTCCGATGCGTAGATAAATTGGAGTACTCTCGTTGCAGGTAGTCATGCAACGAACCGCCTGCCATCCATGGATATACAAAGGAGGGGAGAACTCCAAAACCCGTCGTCATTCCATAGAGGGTAAGGATGGTGTCGCGCCTCAACCCTTTTCTAACAAACATCTCACGACGAATCCTCTGCAGAGCAATATGTACATGATTTAGTAACGATTTATTGCATGTTTACTCACATTGCATATCTTTTCCATATCGTTTTGACTGTTGACATCTTCCCTCAAAGTCTTGACCGCAACCTGTCGACTGATGCATTACATAGAGTTTCGTGGATCAATACAAATGCACTGACCTCAGTCTCATTAACCTCATTATCACTCAACTTATGTACCCACATGCATTTCAAAGTCGCACCGACGACGTCCAAGCTATTCGCATGGCAGTCACACTTCCTGAGATCTGCTTTCAATATTCAATCCACTGGAAGTTTCGACAGCATCATCTTCACAGTGGTTTCCGTGATGTTTGTTTGTGACCACAAGAACTCCACAATCTGGGCAATCAATGGGCGGTGTTCGCTATTCCTCAACAAGCATTGTCGTGCGAACCGCTGAATTCCTTCGTCAATATCAGTTAGCTGGGGGAATGGTTCGACCCCCCGTAATACTGCTCCCATAATGGCAATAGCACCCCCCTTCACGTGGTGATAAGGTTGATGTCCAGAAAATACCTAAGTGGTATCAGCAACATAGAATCAAATGAGAAAACCCGACATACCCGCATCATAATACAGCCATATGCGTAAACATCGCCGGCCTTGGTTGGCTTGCTCTCTGGCTGTTCCATTCCCTCAAGCAGCACAATTGCCTCCGGAGGCATCCACCGGCTATTGCCCCCGTGAAAGGAGCTAAATGTAGTGTTGTCCGATTCTGCAAGAATCATCGAGAGAGAGAAATCTGCAAGATATAGCCTCCCATCACCACTGACCAGGATGTTGGTCTGAATTATGGAACCGTTATTTCTGCCCGGAGTATGGTGGCAAACAAAACCCACATCAGTCATGTCACCATGGACAATATCCTTATCGTGCACTACAGGAGATTAGTCAACTAAAGTGCAAGACCTCCAGTACTCACAGTACTGAAGACCGGCCGCTCAAATAAGGACTCAGCCTGTCTCCTCAAATACGAAACACATACCATGGTTAACTTCTTCTCTCTCGAAAGACCAACTTCCCGTCTCAAATAGTCGTTGAGTGTTCCATTTTCCATCCAAGGAGCGACGAATGCGGGAAGCGGCCCGAATCCTTCGGTAACACCCTCAAGGGGGAGAATGTTGCCGTGCGACAATTGAATCCAAATGTATCCCTCGCGACGAATCCTCTGGTGAGTTCAACAATCAGTGAGTGGAACGGTGAACTACTTCATCCCCTAACATTGCCTGTTTTTTGTACTGATTCTCCATCCGCACCGGGAGGGATCCTAACTGATTTGACTGCGACCTTGATTGCGATAAATAAAACGATAAATATTCCGTTGTTTTAAACGTACAGGACGAGCCTCAGATTGTGTAGACATAGAACATTTCCAAACATTGCCAAGCCATCCTGAAGCATTGGGAAACCGCTCCAGTCTTCGGATGGCTGTCGGAGGAATGATATTTGGTTCGAGCTTAAACACAACAAAATGATGATACATTGATAGCGCAAAATGAAGGTCGACTTACAACAGAGTTGTGCATTGTAAGGTAAAATCCTCAGTGCGAGAGTCAACAGCGTACAATAATGTGGCATCAACCTTATATGCACGATTGAATGAATGTCACGAATACCTATATTTGAGCATCTTCGACGACACGAAGACCACGAGGCTGTCAGGGCCAGCACTATGTGGAAACAAGCGCGAGCCCTGAGGCATGAGGCCCAGTAGAAACCGCCTATGGCGTGGTACGACGAGAACGGACATCGTCTGTTTTTTTTTCTTGATTAGGAAAATATCGGAGCACAACATATGTCGTCGGGGCGCATCACATATACTGCATGCTGGGGCACGCCCTCCTCTGACAACATATGTTTTTGGTTCAATTTTCAGATAAAATCATATCACGCCATATAAAGTAGTACAGCAAAATGAATCAATTGATATGACGAGAAACGACATGCTACGACAGGGCGTGATATTAGTACTAATAGGTATCATGGCGGCATAAAAACAGGTGCGGGGGCATCCAAAAACAATACAGGGCAGCGGGAAAACAATGGATGGCAGCACAGTAATGTCGAAGCTACCAGCGGCAGATGCTGACGAGTGACTCAGCGACTCGATGACGCTGGTCGAGGAAGACGACAAAGCAGTAATGTCGAAGCTGCCAGCGGCAGATGTTGACAAGTAACTCGGCGGCTCGATGATGCCAGTCGAGGAAGACGACGAAGCAGTAATATCTGAGTCGCCATGCAAAGACCCAGATTCTGAAAACACAACAGGCAAAACTTATCAGCATAGTGTACAAATCATAGACTTCACGTACCCTTTAGACGCTTGTGAGTGGCTTTGGTATCATCAGTGTCACGTGCACGCTTCTTGCCCTTTGAAATGATGAGAGGTTTAGCTTCTAGATCGTTAATGTTGCCGTCAACGTCGTCATGGCTGCCTGTCGCCTCACACTTTACGACCTTCTGGTTGTCTTTGAACGCATATATCCACCCTTTCAACTCAATTAAAAAAATCACGTCCATTTATGAATGATATCATTACCACTTACACCTATGGCCTTGGGAGGCGAAAAATCAGCAGAGAGGTCCTGTAAAAACTGAGATTGTGATGATGAAAATGACAAAGAGACGAGGACAAGAAAGTGCCCGGCGTGGGTGTGGATGGTAAGGACATGATGGTACAGAGAGAAGTTATGAAGTCATAGGCACACACCAATGTAGCATGTACCGGCTAAGTCCGAACGTCACAAAATCTTTCATGTATGCAATGCAATGTGTGCACAATACGATGCGTAGCTTCGAAGGATCGAGAGAAATGATACAAAATGAGAAATTGTGATGTAAGGATCAAAAGGTACAACGCAATGCGATGTAAGTGATGCAAGGAACAACGCCAAACGATGTAACGACGATGTTGTTTTCATTATCTACCTGATCTGGCCATATCCACTACGGTATAAACATAAAATAATCAGAACCCATCGTACCACGCCATAGTGGGTTTTCACTGGGCATGAGGTATGTATATCCTGTACTGATCGACATTCTGATGGGATGATGAGATGTGCTGCATGTGCATGTTTTCAAGTTGCTGCTTGCTATTCATTGACATCGTCCTCCAATAGTCCAGACCTGTCCAGACACGAACATTGATTATTTAATCAACCAGCCTTATCGATGCCGGGTGGTACAATATATGGCACGAATAAGTACCATCAAGTTGGCGCGCGATAAGCTTCCCATGTGCTAGCATAGATGCTGCACTATCATGATGTAGTGTCATTATCACGGTCTGTCCCGGCGGATCCGTGCGCCTCGACGTAGTAAGAAATGTGTACTCACCGTGAGGAGAAAGCAGAACCGGAAAAGACGTTCTCTGCCGTCATTCTCTACAAACCACCAGAGTTCTTCGGGTAAATCTACAGCTGGGGCTTGCACAATGCACATCCCAGTCGATGACGCTCCGTGGGCAGTCTATTTCAATACATGTACGTAGTCCCTTGAGGCCTGGTCAATTCTAAAATGTCGTTGTCAATGTCGACTTGAAGCTTACGGTCACCTCACGTAAATTACCTACACGGACCCTAAACCTTTCCTAATTTGTCCAGATGCACCGGCGCCGCCAGCTAAACCTTCGCATGGGAGAATTTCTACACCTTGTCGCACCGCGAGTATCCTCGTCCTAATCCTCGCTGTATAGAGAGACCTCAATCTTTCAATGTACTAAGTAGTTACTAGCTAGGTATTGCTAAACCTTGTCATGTAGGATTAGTTCCTAAACCTTTACATGTAGTAAATATTGCACACCAAACCTTTCCCTAAATCAAAGTCTTTTGAATATTTGAAACATGTAGCTAGTACTGCATGAAAAATTGAATAAAACAGACACTAGACTACACGTGTCATGGAAAGGTTTAGGAGGAGGTTTAGCAATAATACATCAAAAGGCTATACTACTATGTATGACAAGGTTTAGGCCTAACTTAAGGCTCTATACAGCGAGGATTAGGACGAGGATACTCGCGGTGCGACAAGGCGTAGAAATTCTCTCATGCGAAGGTTTAGCTGGCGGCGCCGGTGCATCTGGACAAATAAGGAAAGGTTTAGGGTCCGCGTAGGTAATTTACGTGAGGTGACCGTAAGCTTCAAGTCGACATTGACAACAACATTTTAGAATTGACCAGGCCTTTGGAGGGTCACGTAGGTAGATCAAATAGAAGGAAGATTAAATTGTGGCATCAAGGCTGTTGAAAAAGAAGGCTACAGCCTGGTGCCGTAGCGGCATAGCCCGCCGGAAGTTTCCGGCACTCCGTTTTCCTTTGCACCTGCCCACCACTAGTGTTGCCGCCGAAGTGAAGTGACTTCGAGGTAAATTCGCTTCACTTCGAAAACGTGAGACTTTGGTTGACTTCGTTGTTCCGAAGTTGGTCGAAGCGGCACTTCGTCCACTTCGAGAGGTGAATCGAAGTTATTACATAGATTAATCATCATCACTGCACGTCCAAAGCCCTGTAGTATGTGCTTCCTGTCTCTATCATATTGCAATCATAAAACATCACTGTATATCCTAAGTATAAGCCTTTCATACATGATCTCGAACATTCAAATCGGTTCCGCGATTGAATTGAATTTGTGAGATAAATTTAAAGGCTACCAACAATGTCTTCACCTTTCACGCTGGAAGAGCAAGTGCAACGAGATTTAGAGGAAGACAGGAAAGATGCCGAGCGAGAAATGCAGCGCTACGCGCATTTTTTTCAATCATTCATTGAATCATTAATATTGAATGAACATATATTTCCACTGCTTTTCCGCGTCGCAATGGATGCCCTTCCCGCGCAGGCTTTGTCTGTCCCTTCCGAACGAGTTTTCTCGTCTAGCAAAGAGACACGCACAGATCGGCATGTTAACCTCTCACGAACTGTTCTCGAAGCTTTATTACAAGTACTCAAGTTCTCTTACAAGCAAGACCGGCTGAACTTCACGTCCCATCTCATTGCGGAGGAAGTAGATCATTCTATTTCAGGGCCAGTATCTAGGAATGCCATAGATGAACTCATGGCAGCAGACAAGCTTGATGAACTTGCTCAGCTGCTTGCAAACCTTTCGTCTTAGATTATGTTGTAGCAACATTTGATTACTAATTTGTTCTACTTACTTGTGACTTCGCGAAGTGTAACGAAGCGCACTTCGAATAACTTCGTTGACACCGAAGTCTACCGAAGTGTCTCAATTTTCCACTTCGATTCACTTCAGTTCGCTTCGCGGCAACACTACCCACCACTCCCTTTATGTAATTAAGCACTTCACGTTCATGGATTTACATCGATCATACCTGCGCTCAGAATAAGTTTGCTCGTCTGGCGCGGTCGGATTCGCAAAAAGTTGTCCTGTCCTCCCAGCGGCTTCGAACTACGCTCTGTCCAGCCCGGCCACAGGTTGTGCAGAGGATCTATAGGTTTGAATCTGGTATAAGACACTAAACAGAACGGACTCGATGAGTCCTATATAATTTCAGTAACGAGTGTGTCAGAGTGTATAACTCGCCCCCACTCTTATTGTCAGAGACCGAGGAAAACGAGGAAAAAGTGAACGAGGGTAGAATTATCGTGTAAAAAGGATGTATGGAGATGTAGCGAACGTGAGTTGAAAGAAACAAATAAAAAGAGGGTATACTCGATAATCGAGGGGCTGTTTCCAATGACCTTGGCCCTCATCCACTCGTTGGAGGAATAGATGGAGCCTTTAATGCATCCGTTACCCATAACCGCCGAAAATCCCCCTCTTCCACGACGAGGGACTACAAGTTCCAGAGTAGGGAGCAGGAACTGTCTATTCGGAGTCTCTCCACCGTTTCAGCAGCTTCGTCAGTAGGTGAAATAGGATGTTTGTTTTGTTGCGAGACTGCGTTTGCTTGGCTTCATGCGGCTCTGGGCTGTGAGCCTGTCCAACGTCCAAGTCAACCTCCATCTGTGAGGGAGAAACGACCTGGATATGAACCGAGTCAGGGCGGGCCTATAGTTGCATCACGATAAACGTTTCCTGTAGTCATACTAAGAGCGCCTACCCATGTTAAAGTGAGCCGATCATGTTCCAAGAAAAACCGGTGAAAGTCACGCGTCGAGAAACCCGTGGGGCAGACAGCAGTAGCGTAAGGATGATATGCAAGGAGATTTCCAATGTCTTCTTCAAAGCACGTCTGAGCTAGCCGACCAGGCTTGCAGATGAGACGATCTGGTGAATTGCGGTCGCGGATATTGCCCGGACATTCGGAGCGAGCAATGGTCCTACTGAAATCCCAAATCTGCACGTAGAAGGAACCTTCGGTAGGGAGTTCCTCCAGTCTTTGCCCTGGTTCAGGGGCACGATACTGAGGAAGAGCATAGGCCATTTTTCTGCCGAAAACGCTGATTCGGTGGCTTGGATGATGCGGAAAGCATCGCGCATACTTGGGTCCCCACTCCAACCAGGGAATCTCGACAGGTATCTCTGAGTGTACGGCCTTTGCTGAGAAGATAGCCATGTCGATAACTAAAATTACCTGCCATGATCTGGAGAGAACTTCTAAAACCATGATTTGTGCCTCCGGAGAGGTCACGTAGTCGGGCATAAGGTCTGGGCGAGCCGCTGCACCATGGAACGACGGTGTAGCATGAATGACACAGGGCGATGATAAACCGAACAGTGGCCGAAGGTATCGTTGCACTTTCGGGAGGACGTACACAATTCGGCGCCGAGGTGAGCCATCAAGTTCTTGTAATGTGTACAAGGCCATACGGCCTGAGTCCGGGCCAATGACGATGATCCTTTGTTCGTCAAGTAGATGGAAATCTGCCTCTGTCCAACCGAGTTCGTATAAGGGATACTGCTTATGCTGAGTGACAGAGTTTCAAAGAATAGAGTGAACTTACACCCTTCGCAAGTCCTTTCCTCCAATCTATCACTTGTATGAATATGTTGGATCGTGTCCCCAGTGAACCGATATTGGTTGTGAAATAGAGTACTACTATACGATCCCCACAAATCGCAGGCTGACCCACAAAAAAAATATGATGGTCAGGTGCCATAAAACAAGGATGTTTGCACTCCAAGGAAGTGCATGCAGAATCTGGGTGTGGACGTTGCGATGAAACCGACCAAAATGTCACCGAAAAGACGTGGCGACCTTGCTCGGCGAGGTTGGACGACACTGCGACCGCAAGGTCCTGCAGAGGGTCTATGACAACTGACCGCACATAGGACATATATCCCAGCATAGGCAATCTTTGCACGAACCATATCTGAGATCGCTTGGTATTTGTGTCGCACCCCCGAATGAAGACTTGAGAGGCAGCGCACATCCACCAAAGCCCACACTTCACGGATTGTATGCGCGAAACGATGTCGACGAGGTGGTCAGTAGCCACTGTATCTTCGAATACATTGTTTAGGTGAAAGTCAGACCGCCACATGGATGCCAATCTTTTGAGTGAATACATCTTGCTGGAAACGTCGAGCCAGCCAAGGGTAGAAGCCTCTGTAAAGCCTTCAGCGTAATGCTCGAATAGGCATTGAATGTCGGGGGAATTCTGGGCCACATGCCAGAAGGTTTTGCAGGCCTAGCGTAACCCAAAAGTCAACCTAAAATCATGGAACCACGGGAAAGAACCGACTAATACACAGCGAGAAAGGTCTTTGAAATGGAGGAGGAGCAGAATGTGACATATGAGCTCTGTAGGAAGCGAGAATATCCCAACCGACGTGTGTATCGTTTTAGAAGGATTCGAGACTTCAACTTGCAGCCCCGAAACTTGATGGTCATTAGGAAGGGGCCAAATTTGTTTTGCCACACTTGACCTATGAAGTGACAAGGCGCCATTCATCACGTTTATAGTTTTGGAAGAATTCGAGGCTTCAACATGGAGGAAGTTCGAATCTTGAAGGTCTTCCGGTAGGGCTTGAATTGGCGCCGCCAACATTGGCTCAGGTGTCCTGGGGGGACGCTGGTGGCTGGTGGTGGACCCCATAATCCTGCGAGTGCATATGATGGCACTCCCCCTAGTAGTAGTTGAATGTCGAACCCGTTGAGCAACGTCAGCACGAAGTTCGGCCACCGACTCCGCGGCGGTAAAATGTGGGAAACTGACGGACCAAACTTCCATGTACACCTAACAGTGATCCATCCTTTTTCATTGACCCAAAATGCGATGAAGGGAAGGGTATCTTGAAGATGTCGGGTCTGGGAGGCACAGGATGATACACTGTGGATTGTAAGAAGGCAACTATGGGTAGGTAGATTCAGAGGCGACGGGACCCTCGCTCTCATCAACTCTTCGGACTAAATCAATGATCTAACTTACGGTCCACAACTTGTTCCTAAGCACTAACGAATATTTTGACGTGGCAGGTGAATGCATATATATGATGTGGATGAAACTCCGAGTATAACTCAGTGAGCGCTTGAGCACTGGCGCCTTGCTTACTAATCAGCAAAATGACCTTGTACGAAAGTGCTGCACTGAAACTTTCCTGGGTGAACTTCTAGGGCTGGGCTAACCACAGGACCCGTATATAAGTATGACGCAGTATCAGTAGCTATAGCGCGCACAGTGGTTGCTAGTACGTACAGCACCAACTCGGTGACCGAGTGCTTTCGGCCGTAATCTAGTCTGTCCGAACACATGATGTTAGAGTCACAAGTTTTATATTTTTATCATCTCTTGACTACTTTCACGGTTGTCCTCAACCGTCAAAATGGCCTCAGATGCACTCTCCAGAGTGCTCGCGAGGTTGCAGAATCTGCCTGTGATGTCTCTGCCCACAGATTATCCCCGATCGACTGGTGCTAATAAACTCATCGAAGCCGCTCATCTAGCAGATCTTTCAGAACAGACCTCGCTCAGTCTTTTGAAGCTTGCACTTCATGCAGAGACCGAAGATGGCGAAGACGACGAGAATAGATCTTCTGAAACTAGACCATCAGCCTTCCATCTACTACTCTCCGCTTTTCTCGTCCTCCTACACAGGTACACTGGCGATACGGACTTCGTGATCGGCTCCTCTTCTGCCGCTGCAAGCTCTCCTTTGATTCTTCGACTTTCTGTGGACCCATCAGATTCATTCTGGACTATCGTGCGTCGTGTTCAGCACGTCGAACGTGAGGCCGAAGCAGACCTGCTGCCCTATGAGACCATCGTACGGGCTTTACACAAGGACAAAGACGACTCTGTAGAAGCATCCCGTCCCCTCTTTCGTGTTCGTTTCTTTGATGAAACAGATCAGCCACGGGATAACTTTATCAGATCTACCAGCTTAACGTCGGATCTTACTATCTTCGTCACGCGACCCCCCACTACCACACGCGCCTCCTTAGCTCCCCATATCTCCCTTCGAATCCTCTTTAACTCCTTGTTGTTCACATCTGCTCGCATATCATTCATCGTCGAACAGCTCTCCGTGCTTCTAAGGAAGGTTTCCGCTAATCCAACTGCCTCAGTCGGGTCTGTTCCACTCTTGACGACCGCACAACGCGAACGCTTGCCCAACCCAACAGCAGATTTGCATTGGTGTGACTGGAAGGGAGCCATCACAGATGTGTTCTCCCGCAATGCGCAGAAATGGCCTGATAGGCCATGTATCATTCAAAGCATACCTGCCTCGATTCCTAGCGAACCGCAGACAAGGCGAACTTTCACTTACGGAGACATCCGAAGAGCTTCCAACATCCTAGCGCACCACCTCCTAGCAGGTGGTGTGAAGAGGGAAGAAGTCGTCATGATCTACGCACATCGGAGCATCGAGCTTGTCGTAGCTGTCATGGCAGTTCTCAAAAGCGGCGCCACGTTCTCAGTCATAGGTGCGATATGTTGCGTGTCTTTCAGTTCATTTGTAACTCGAGTCAGATCCTGCATATCCGCCTTCACGTCAAATAATATACCTTCGGGTAGCTCAACCTCGTGGCCTGGTTGTCCTCTCAGGAGCAGGCAAAATTGCACCCCCTGTGCGCGAATTTCTATCCATGGAACTCAAGATCCGTGTCGAGGTACCCGCCCTTGAGATTACCCCTACCGGCCACATACTTGGGGGCGCGAACGACGGAATCGATGTCTTGAAGTCGCAGATCCGTCTTGCAGAAACGGATCCTAATGTCATCCTAGGACCCGATAGCATCGGTACACTTTCCTTTACCAGTGGAAGCACTGGTATCCCCAAGGGCGTTCGAGGACGCCATTACAGTCTCACACATTTCTTCCCTTGGATGGGCAACCGCTTCTTGCTCACCGAAGCCTCCAAGTTCACAATGCTAAGCGGTATCGCACACGATCCCATCCAGCGTGATAGTATGTACTATATTCTACCATATACACGTCTGCTGATAACGTCAATATTACAGTTTTCACGCCCCTGTTCTTGGGCGCAGAGCTTCACGTACCCACTGCAGACGATATCGGCACACCCGGCCGTCTCGCAGAATGGATGGACGACAGCAAAGTCACGGTCACGCACCTAACTCCCGCCATGGGCCAGTTGCTCTCCGCACAAGCTACACGCCAAATCCCTTCCCTACGAAACGCATTCTTCGTCGGTGACGTTTTGACCAAGCGCGACTGCCTCCGCCTCCAGGCGCTCGCCACGAACGTGCAGATCATCAACATGTATGGCACGACAGAGACGCAGCGCGCTGTATCTTACTTTGCGATTCCACCCTTGTCCGTGGACGCGACTTTCCTTGCCACTCAGAAGGACATCATGCCTGCTGGAGAGGGCATGGTTGACGTGCAGCTCCTTGTTGTCAACCGCAGCGACAGAAACGTCCCTTGCGCAGTTGGAGAAGTCGGAGAGATATATGTGCGGTCTGGAGGTTTGGCGGAGGGATACCTCGATACCGAAGCCACTGCCGAGAAGTTCGTGAACAATTGGTTCTCTCCTTCTACTCTACCCTGGAAGGACACCATTTTGCATCCGCCTCAGGGCCTCGCTGGACCTGAGTCACGTCATTGGAAGGGCATCCGTGACCGGATGTATCGTTCGGGCGATCTCGGTCGGTATCTCCCTGATGGGCGTGTTGAATGCACAGGACGTGCAGATGACCAGGTTAAGATCCGTGGTTTCAGGATCGAGCTTGGGGAGATTGATACGTTGATGAGCCAACACCCGCTCGTGCGCGAAAATGTCACACTCGTGCGGAGAGACAAGGACGAGGAGAAGATCCTCGTCAGTTACTTCGTGCCTCTGCAGGGATCTAAGCTGGATGGCTTTGCCAGCGAGCACACGGAGGACGATGACAAGATCGATGGCAAGAGTCCGAAGTATAGACGGCTCATCAAGGATATTAGAGAGCACCTCAAAAAGAAACTGCCTAGTTACAGCATACCAACATGTATGGTCTATCCTTGCCTTCCTCTACCTCATTTACTCAACTTTCTTTCTGTAGTGTTCGTCCCGCTGCATCGCATGCCCCTCAACCCTAACGGTAAAATAGACAAGCCCGCGCTTCCCTTCCCCGATACAGCACATGCACACGCTGCGTACTCCGAACCCAAAAAGACTGTTAACGGGCGCACAGCGAGCCCTACCGAACAAACCATGCGCACTATCTGGGCCAGTATCCTCCCGAATGCGCCCACACCAATCCCCCTCGACGAAAGCTTCTTCGATCTCGGTGGTCACTCCATCCTTGCCACGCGTCTCATCTTTGAGGTCCGCAAAGTCTTTGTCGTCGAAGCTCCACTGGGCCTTATCTTCGACCAGCCGACAATCACCGGCCTCGCTTCGGCGTTAGATGCGCTTCGTAACCCGAACTTTGGTATCGCATACGGGGACGCTGAGACGCGCCCTGCGACGCCTGTCGTGGATGGTGTCAAGGCACCTGCGAAACTATCCGCTGCTATTCAGTACGGACAAGACTATGAGGCACTTGTTCAACGCTTGCGACCCTCATACTCACCGATGTCTGAGGACTTCAAGTCTGGTGCTGTTACTGTGTTCTTGACAGGTTCTACAGGCTATCTCGGAGCCTTTGTCCTGCGTGACCTCCTTCAGCGTCTTGATAGGGTTCGAAAGGTCATCTGTCTCGTACGTGCGCCCAGCGTCGAACAAGGTGTGGCGCGCCTTCGAGAAGGGTCTACTGATCGTGGCGTTTGGGATGAGCAGTGGCTCACATCGGGTAGACTCGAGGTGGTGGTTGGAGACCTTGGCCTTGATTTGTTTGGTATGGGTGATGAAGTATGGTCACGAGTCGCTGCTGAGGCGGACGCTGTCTTGCACAACGGTGCCCTGGTGAGCTACTCCGCCTCTTCATGCATGCATTGGTATCTGATAATTTATTGCACAGGTGCATTGGGTGTATCCCTACGAGAAGCTTCGTGCACCGAACGTGATCGGCACCCTGACTGCTGTGGAACTCGCCTCGACGAAGAAGCAGAAATCACTTGTTTTCGTTTCATCAACATCGGCGATCGACACCGAGCACTACGTGCAGCTGTCTGATTCTCTGGGACAATCCCAAGAGTCGCGGAGAGGGATTCCGGAAGATGACGACCTCGAAGGTGCGAAATTGGGTCTCAAGTCCGGCTATGGCCAGAGCAAATGGGTGTCCGAGAAGTTGCTCTTTGAAGCTGGAAAGAGGGGCTTACGGGGCCATATCGTGCGGCCTGGCTATATTGTTGGCGACTCGCACACCGCAGGTACGGAGACTCCTCTCCTTTGAAATGCAGACAAATTTATCATGGGGCTCCAGTGACAAACACCGACGACTTTATTTGGCGCATGGTCAAGGGATGCGTTCAGCTCGGTCTTGTCCCAGATATCAACAACACCGTGAATATGGTGCCTGTGGATCATGTTGCTCGCTGCACTGCCCTCGCTGCCGTGGAACCCCTGCCGAATGCCGCACAAAGCGTATTACACATCACTGCGGCGCCCCCTCCAACGTTCAACGCCATCCTCTCGTCATTGGCCGAGTACGGGTTCCCTACACAACAATGCGAGTATCTAATATGGCGTCGCAAGCTGGAGCAGCACGTCATGGAAGTCCAAGATAACGCCCTATTCCCACTTCTTCATTTCGTCCTCGATGACTTGCCGACGAGCACAAAAGCCCCCGAGCTTGACGCCACTAACACCATGGCGTTGCTGCGCTCCCAAGGGCAGCCATGTACATTCACCGTTTCGGATCAACTGATGGGAAAATACCTCGCGTGGTTAGTTGGAGCGGGTTTCTTGCCAGCGCCGTCTTCGTCAGCGCCAAACAAGGCGTTGCCCCAGTTGGCTAATGGTACCGCCATCAAAGCTGCAGGTCGGAGTGGTGCTTGAGTGGCAGGTTGGATAGGCAATTTATTCATGCTGTTATTGGTGTTTTCGTGCGAAGAACGACGAGAAAGACTGTCGTATTGCCTCATTCTGCGATGAAAGTTTCCAGATGTAAGACGCATCATTGACAAGTCGAGTGTATGATCGGTGGTCTGTCACATCCCCACGATGGTCCGGCGGATGAACCTTTGGGCTAAACCATTGAAGATACGAAAAGATATATCGATAGGAGGGGCTGACGAGAGTTTGATATCGTATTCTTTCTTCTTGTCTCTTGTACCGCAACTCAGCGCTCAGTACTCAGGAGAACTCAGGGTCACGCATCGACGACAAATACCTTGCTTGCAGGCTGCAATTGTTCCTATGCGGCATCGTTACCCCCGTGACCCACGGGATATTGGTGCTATACTGGACATTGAGATCACGAAGGACTTCCGGGGATCTGGATAGATGAGTTCTTGGTAGGGAAGACATTGGAATGTGCTTATTTCATCGCTCCTAGTCCTTTCTCACTTCCAACTCGGGGATAGGGGGCACCGATATTGCAATAGTTCAGGCAGTTGAATGCATGCATACGCGATGCATTGCTGTAATTGGGCAATGATCAGTCTGTCTAAGTAAGTTCTAAACTAAAGTGCGGCTGAGAGCTTTTACTTAGTACTATTGTGCAGTTATGATTCCAACACAGCATGCAACAAGGTTGGCATGCATAATACTTACCGTGGATAAGACGCGTAAAACCTTCGAGGGTAGCGAATGGCGAGAAAGGGGTTGCCTTTGAAACGATAAGTGTTGGTAACTATTAACCATATCGTTCGATTCAGTTCAGCCGACAAGCCTTTCACATGTTCATAGCCAATCACTGATTCATATTAATATCAGAATAGGTTGGATATCGGCACTGTACGCAACCTTGCCACCATGGACTAGTGTAAATTGCAGCAAGCGAATCGAACATCGGAAGCATTGCTGGCAAAAGCCTCGGCAGATGGTCACGGTGGAGCAAGAAGCTCCGCAAGCAAGGAAATTTGTTCCCTGCAGTGGAACTTCCTCCATATGACCTCGCTTGCTAAGGTGAACGAACAACCACCTGATTCATTCCAACATGCCACCGCACATCTAATCCTGGGCGGGGAAATCAACATGCGTGAGCCCTTGAAGGACAACTACGCGCGCTTAGCTGTCACAGGCTGTCATGAGGTCGATCGGACGCTGGACAGCATTTGACAGTATACATGCCAGTCATAGGTACATTCACTGCTTATCGAATTAGACTACGTGAGTCCGAATATTGCCAAGACACCCCCTGATGTCCCTGGCGGGGGGAAATGTTGGCTGAACTTGCGCATTCCTACTGCCGGTCATAATTTGGTGTGCCTGGCATCCTGTCCAAGGTGTTCCTCGAGAGACAAGCTCCTGCTATACACCCTTGAGGGATGCCCCCGTGAATTTTAAATCACATCAACTAGCGCTTGCACGATATGAGTCTCGGCCTGTGGACTCCGAGATTCGGATTATGCTCGGTGAGGGCGCGGCACTCCCGGAAGCCAGCTATCTATATATGTAAATTTAACTGCCTATCTACTATATCTAAGGGAGAAGGTGAGGAGATGTGACACTGATATCCTCTGATATCATGTTGTTCCCTACTAACTTGTGATCACCATAGTTTCCAATAAACGTAAAGGAACTTATAAGCGGCTTCACTTGTAGTCTAAAGATAGCGCACAGCACGTGTCATGATCAACCTGGCTCAGCACCGTGACTTTTATCAGGTTTTAACGTTTTCCCTGAGGCACCCGTGAATTCTAACGATCCTTGCAGTGTTACGTTGATTGTAGGCTACGTTGATCGTAGGCCTCATAGGGCGGGTGACTGTAGCTAACGGCCCAGAATCCCGCGTCCCACGCAATTCCAGAGGAAGAAGTTGACTCCTCGGACCAACCCATTGCGCTAGATCGGCTTGTTGGCTTACATGGCAGATAAGCTTGTATACTGAATCCGGGGTATCGGGGACTGCAAGTTCGCCTAATAAGTTCGCCCATTTCTATTGCCTATATACTCAAGTCTTTGATCGATTAACTGTAATGCCTTGCCAATCCTTCATTTGTCCCTCTTAGTCTTGCGGCTTGCCTCCCTTCCCTGCGCTAAGCTACCTCGATCTTGAATCCTGTGGTCGTCAACTCGGTCAGACACAGCGATTCGTCCATTTCGTTTTTCATTTACCTCGTCCCCGGTGCCCAAATTCAAAACCGCTGCCTGACTTGCGCAATAACATCGCATCACGTCGATACCAACGCGCCTTGATCTGAATTTTTGGTTCATTTCCATTTCATAAATGCCAGAGCTTGCTGTCGTAGACAGCCAGGCAACGGAGAAGTATTTGCGAATAGCATCAATCTCCATTGCATTATATGAGTGAGGGTCTTTTCTTTTCGAGCTGAGGTACCGTGGTCATTGTGTCATAACTGATTTTCTTCAGTTATATCATCACCCTCCCCGCAGAATGGCGGTTCTACCGAAGCCAGTCGTCAATTTTTCGTCTCCGGTATGTACACTCAGGTATTCGCATACCACCACTGACGATCGAAGTCTATCAGTCTTGCCTGCGTCTTATTCATTCTCATACGGTATGTTGTCTTTGTCTCTCCCTACCACTTTTTTCGCTCACATGGATGAAGCTATGGTAGTATCGTGGTCATGATACTCAGTAATTACGGAGTCTTCTCCACCAGCTTTACCCAAGAAACATGTCACCGTTACTATATGGTGGCGCCTGTCTTCAAAGGTCTGTCCTATCGATGTTCACCCACCAGGACTCTGTTCACCACGCTGTAGTCATACAAACTATGATATCACAGGTCATCCTAGGTGTCAGGTATGTCTTTGTCGCATTTAACGGGCAGCAGGCTGTACATGAACTTACGCCGTCCAGGACATTCAATATTGCAAGGAGGGATAAGCGGATAGGAATTTCACTGATTGTGCTATACTTCGTCTCAGTTTCGGTGGGTTGTTACGACACCAGCGTGACATCTCTCTCACTCGCTTTAGCTGGAGTGGTTCACCAATATGTTTGACCGGATTCGTGAGCTCTGACCTCTATTTAAGTTTTGAGTTCGTGTTAACATTGGAACCAACAGCCGTCATTGTTAATGTACGTCAATGTTCCTCACAACAAGACTCGCGCTGACGGCGTAGTTTTTTTTAAGGGAAAGTAAGCTGTGTCTTTATGAATGTGTCGTTCAGAACCTCATGAACCATAGTTGCACCCCAGGAAATTCTGGTAAAATACTGTCAGCATGGTTCTATTACATCGTTGCGATGTTGTATGACCTCGCAGTCTTGACCATCTCCACCGTATATCTTCTGCGTTACAATCCTCTCAGTAGCAGGTGGCACCTATCCTCTCCCCCTGCAATTAGAGTTGCTGACCTATCGCTAGACTAGAACGATTGGTGCGGGTGTAAGTCCCTGAGGCAATACTCTCAAAGTAATCCTTGCTCATGGTACTTAGCCTGATCTATGATGGCATTGGATATTTCGTCGTGCTAACAGGCAGGTATGCTCTACTTTTATTTAGCACACACGACTGAGCAGTATCTCATCAGGGTCGAACATATTTAACATCATCCTTTATCATACGTCCGATATTCAGACCCAGGTATGTTTTCTGTACCATAATCCATGGAAGCATAGTGCGCTTATGTTGGCTCCCTCCTATATAGGCGGCAGGGTATGCTTTGCAACGTATATCATCGTGGAGGTTTCTCATAGGGCATCACTAGGGCATCACTGGGTTTCGCTGTGATATGGATTATGAGCCAACGGATTCTCATCCATCTACGAGGTTCGTACTGCCCCAGAATTTGACTGCTCTTACGCTAACGCCCGCGATTTCATTCGTTTCATTGTCACTCCCCTTCCATTGCGCACACAGAGCTGTCAGAAGCAGAGACCCGACGTGTGGACAACGTGGTCGCCGCGCGTTCCCCGCAAATTGCTCGGGATGTGGTGCCCGCTCTCCGACCTCCGCCCGACTCTAAAAGTTATGATCCTGAATGTGCACTCGCATCGTTTAGCAATATGCAGACCGATGACATGGAACTCGACATATGCGCATGCGTTGAGCCCTCGGTGACGTTGGACCACACGAACGAATGTGGGCTTTCCAGCTCATGGGGTAACCCGATGGAAAAATAAATCTGGGCACGATGCAATGTGTAACCCCGCTGTATGTACAGCGGCATCTGCAGTGTTATATCATTCGAGGCAATCTACACGACAAGGTAACATGCAAGTGTCCAAAGTATTGGACCTTGCTTCCCTTGATTCGAAAAATCGGACATGTGTATACTACGCAGAAATGACGTTTTGTACAAGTAGATGGAAATATTCCTCGATGTTGCGAAACGAAACAACGGTCGTTTGCATTGAGACCCGCCGGTGGAGTGCAGGAGCCGAGGCGTTAGATACGTTGTGCCGACTCTACTTAGCCGACCTCCGAGCCGACAAAATGCCAAATGTGGGAGGTTAACTTTTCACACCAAAATTTTCGAACGCATCTAACATCTTATGCAAAGAATATACTGGTAGGTCAGGCCTGAACGCTCCTGAACGACGCAGTTTGAGCGTGTGGATGGCTACGCAGGAATACGAATGTCAACGTCACCTAGGGCACTATCACCAGGATTCGGAGAATGAAACCTCGGTTTCAAAACTATTCCCCAACGTCACGCTGGCTGACCAAGTAAATAATCTCCGCCATCCAGGATGATGAAAGCTCAGCCCATAGCGTACTGCGCGACGCGCGTGCCCTGGCACACACCGCAACGTGATCCTTCACCGCTTGTCGACAAAACTCAGGACGTGATAAAGAAGATTAGTTCACTTGAAGCCTATGTGCGGGTCTGCGCAGCGCAGGATGATATGTGAGGGTTCTGTGAGGGTTGTAAAAGGGCCACTATGGGCAGGTACTTAGACGTGACGGAACGGGCCGGACCTCCGCTCTCCCTGGATTCATCGACTTCGGACTAAATCCTCCTGATATCCAACATCGTGGAGTGCCGCACACACCGAGTCACTCAGTATTTGAAATCTTCTACGTGTCACATTATGATCAACTTGCCCCTTGATCCGAACGTTTTGACGTGAGTTCTATGCTACGTGTGGCAAGATTATATATCTGACAGAATGCGTAGCAAGACGTTCAGGGCGGGCGGCTACAATGAGCGACGCTGAGGCTGAAAATACCGCCGATCCCACTTGCTTACATCAGCAAAACTACGGTTGGGCCAAGCTCATTGGTGCATTGAACACGCAAATGATTGCGAGGACCTTGCACGAGAGTTTTACTGAATCCGATCTAGGGACAAGGGCGTTTTCCCCCTTTCTATTGCCTACTCAAGCATTATTAATCAATTTCAAAGTGTAGTTTTGGTAAAAATGCAACCATCCTGATTCCATCCATTCCGCCCTCTTAGTCTTCCTTCCTTTCCCTGTAAAAAGCGAAGCATCCGGATCATAGAGTGCCCACCCGCATCCGTAAAGCCTTTCGTCATCAGCTTGCTCGGACGCAGCCACATCCCGGATTTCCCCCTCCCGTCTCTATCTATCAAGGACAGATCTGCCTAACGCAGAGCTACCACACCAGAATCAACGCGCCTTTAATCTGTTAAATGGAGCGGCGTTTGGCTGTAGACAGCGCAACCTCGGAGAAATATTTTCGAATAGCAGCCATCTCCATCGCATGTTACGAGTAAGCATTTTGTTTCTCTCTTGTGTTGAGTTGCAGGCCCATAATGATCACTGTGTTCTGAACGACATTTACCTTCAGTTATATCATCACACTCCCGGCGGAATGGCGGTTTTACCGAAGCCAACCATCAATTTTCCGTATCAGGTACTTATATACGCACACACATTCGACATTCACGTACTGTCATTGACAAATCTCCATCAGTCTTGCCTGCATCTTGTTTATTCTCATACGGTATGTGCTGTTCTCATTGTATCAATCAGTTCTTTTCACTCACATGCAATGCAGCTATGTTAGTGCCCTGGTCATAATCATCAGCAATTACGGATTCTTCTCTACCGGTTTTACCCAACAAACGTGTCAACATTACTATCTCGCAGCGCCTACCTTCAAAGGTTTGTCATATCGATGCTCACCCACCAGGACTCTACTGACCACGTTGTAGTCATGCAAACTATGATATCACAGGTCATCCTAGGTGTCAGGCATGTTCTTTTTTGTTGGTTACGAGCCGCACAGACGTAAACGCCTTGTAGGACATTCAATATCGCAAAGAGAGATAGGAGGCTAGGAATCGCACTGTTGCTGCTATACTTCTTATCAGTTTCGGTAGGTTCTTGCCACAAGCGTAATATCCTCTCTCTTATATGTTTTAGGTGGAATGGTTCACCGATCTATTTCACCGGATCCGTAAGTCCTGTCAATATTTTGATTTGAGGCTCGTATTGACCTTTAGAACCAACAGCTGTCGTTGTTGATGTACGTCAGCGTTCCTCACAATTAAGCCTCACATAAACGGCGTACCTTTTCTAGGGAAAGTAAGTAGTCCCTTTACCACTGATGTGAACTGTTCAGATCCTCATGGGGGATAGCTGCACCCCAGTAAATTCTGGAAAGCAATTAACTGCCTGGTTCTACTACCTCGTTGTGATGTTGTATGACCTCGTGATGTTGGCGATTTCTACTACGCATCTTCTGCGTTATAATCCTCTCAGCAGCAAGTGCGTCTTTTCTCTCCTTCGTCTATAGGTTCGCTAAACCATTGTTTGTTTGTTAGAGTAAGTCGATTGGTACGGGTGTAAGTTTCTCACTACCGGTAGAGTCGATGCGCGTCGCTCATCATCCTTAGCCTGATGTATGACGGCATTGGATTTTTTATTGTGCTGTCAGGCAAGTACACTCTGCTTGTGATGAGCACCTGCTAACATTCCCTCAGCGTCGAACGTATTGAACCTGGTCCTTTATCATACATCCGATGCCGAGACTCAGGTACGTAGGTCTAATATTCGTTCCACCGTGGAAGTTCAGATTATGTTGGCTCCCACTTGTTATTAGTCGTCAGGGTAAGTTTTGCATCGTCTGGCGTCAAGGAGATTCAAATCACTCAGAAGACATCATTAGGGCATCAATGGGTTATGCTGTAACGTGGATTATGAGCCAACGGATCCTCATAAATATACGAGGTGAGCGCCACTCAGAGCTCGACTGCTTTCCCGCTGACGCCCGCGATTTTCATTCGTTCCGTTGCTCCTCTTCTCATGTCGTACCCGCAAAGAAATGTCAGAGCCAGACCCACAACGCTTGGAAAACGTGGTGCTCGCGCGTCCCACACTCAGCAGTGGGCGGAAGAACGTGGTGTCCGGTCTCCGCTCACAATTCGAATCCAAAAGCCACACTAAAAACTCTAGAAGCCCCATTGATGCTGAGTTCCCGCCCACATCGCCTCGCAATCTGCATCCCGACGATGTGGAACTCGATATACGCGTATGCGTTGAGCGCTCGGTGAAGGTAGACTACCTGGATGGTTCTGAGCATTCAAGTTCATGGGATAAGTCGAGAATGAAGTGAATCTGGAGGCACTGGCGCCTATCAAGTCATGCATATACCCGTGTGCAGTGCTACTACCACTGCCACAAGTGTCCATGGTCGCGCAGGTCTGAAGTATGGGTTAATGGATATGGAAACAGGAAATAAACAATGCAGTTTTAGCGGTGGAGGGGTCACAGCTGAGGGGAATAACCGTCTAGCTAATGTGTTACTTTGGAGTGATATCGCCGTATATATCCCATCTGCATTGCTACCAGGGTGCTGTCTACACAACTTTCAACGACGTAATACTCGGACCGATCACGAGTCTAATGTGAGCGATGTAATGGCACTCTTCACAGTGAAAGTTTAACGTAGAAACACGGACCGTCTTATAGTGGATTCTGGCTATGAACCCTCAAGCTACACGGGAATATGAATATCAGTGTGGAGCATCCGAGAACCGCTAGGTGTTCATAGGAGTCAAGAAAATAAAAATTACCTGATCGGCGGAAGATCAATTGCACATGTCCATAAAATCTACCCATTCAGGTAAGAACAAGATACTGACGAGTGACTGTTTCAGCCCCCTAAAGATCTTGAAGCTCCGGCGTAAGAGGGTGGGCAGCTGCAGATGCAAAGCCTATGGGACCACGAACGACGTGTCGGGGACCGGCTTCGGGGTGAGAATGATCAAGGACAGCAACTCGAGGATCTTCAAGCCTACATGCAGGTTTGAGACTTTCAGAGCATGCGACGATGCTCCTTTTATGGCTCTCTGTGCTAGTGTGAAAACCGCACAAGTAAAGGCGACGAAACTCACCGAAATGTTGCTCTCGCCGAATTCTTCGACTGTAGACTAAAATCGCAGGACTGTGAACACAAAGGCCGCACCTCGTGTAACATTACGTACGGTGGCCGCCCTGTGCGACACTGCGCAAGGCGGCCATGTACTTGGCTCGGAGCGTCGGGGAAGGGCGCCGCCAATGTTTGAGGGTTTAATTGAGCGATGATAGTGGAAGTTTGTTTGGGAGTGCAGAGTCCGCCTCGGTCCGATTTGGGTGGCCGACCTTTCCTTGTTCCTTCGGAGCGTGTTTGAATATGCTGTTTGAAGTGGATGACAGCGTCTGGTGGCTTGATTGCGTGTACCTTGATGATGCTGTAGACAGTAGCCATGGTGGCCTGGGCGCCATCTCAACATGTCAATGGTAGGAGCATGAGGCAGCCAGAAATTCTTCTGTCGTGTCAAATTCCGAGTCGTAAAGCAATAAGTTGTGAGATGATTAATATTATTAACTGCACCTGTAGGATATGTTTCTCGGTCACAAGGTTGATTGCCACAGGAGGAGGCTCTCAGGCTGGAGGAGGGCCGCGGGCCACGGCACCGATACCCGCTTACATAAGTTGAAGTCCGTAGGTAAGTTCAACCCAATTGGAACTAAACAAGGTCAGCGTTGCACACCGTAACGGTTCTTACACTGCCAACCATCATCGCGAGGATCGCCTTTCTGCCTTGCAAGAAGGCTTTACTAAGTCCGATCGATGGACCCTGGCCATGCTTACCCCTTTCTAACATTGCCTTCTCGAGCGTCTTTGATCAGTATCTTGGTACCTAGAAAAACAACAATGCACATTTTTTATTGATCTTGCCTCCCTTCCCGGCAGTTCGAAGCGGAGTATCTGTGTCACTCATTTCCCTCTTCCCGGAAACTTTTGCTCGGACATTACTAGCCTCAATCCGCCACTCTGCCTGACTTCCGCGGAGCCACCGTACACAACCGCACTCCAGAAAAAACGGGCTCCAACTTTGCATTTCAAATGGATCAGCGTGCGGTTGTAGATAGCCAAGCCTCGGAGAAGTATCTGCGAATTGCGTCCATATCTATTGCGTTGTACGAGTAAGTCTTTTTCTTTCTTTTGTCGAGTGACAGTCCCGTAATATCGCTTTGTTATGACTATTCTGAACGATATCTACCTTCAGTTATGTGATCACGCTTCCCGCAGAATGGCGGTTTTACCGAAGCCAATCCTCAATTTTTCATTTAAGGTGTGTGCGCATGGGCATCCTCGTTCCATACTGACAAACTCGTTCTCCATCAGTTTTGCCTGCATCTTATTCATCCTCATACGGTATAGATTACCCTTATCTCGATATGCAAAGATTTCTCGCTCACATTGGTGCAGCTACGTCAGTATTACAGTCATGCTAGTCAGTAATTACGGAGTCTTCTCCACCAGCTTCACCCAAGAAACGTGTCAACATTACTATATTGTGGCGCCTATCTTCAAAGGTCTGTCCTATCGATATTCACCTGCCAGGACTCTGTTGACCACGCTGTAGTTCTACAAACTATAGTATCACAGGTCATCCTAGGTGTCAGGTATGGCATGTTGAATTTTTGTGGGCTGCCAAATTTTTACACCTTCCAGGACATTCAATATTGCAAGGAGAAACAGACGGACAGGAATTGCTCTAGCGTTGGTATTCTTCGTCTCAATTACGGTATGTACCTAACGCATAATCATAATATCTTTCCCTCACTCACCCGGTTTAGCTGGAGTGGTTCACCAATATGTTTTCCCGGATCCGTAAGCTCTGGCCTATATTCTCATCTCTGTTCGCACTGACTGTCTGAGCCAACAGCTGTTAGTGTTAATGTAAGTCAGCGTTCCTCACAACGAAATCTAACTTAAACAGGCGTCCTGTTTCTAGGGAAAGTAAGCAGTGCCTTTACCACCAGTGCGGGCTGTTTAAATCCTCATGAACCGTAGCTGTACCCCAGGAAATGCTGGCAAAACATTGTCCGCCTGGCTTTACTACGTCACTGCGATGATGTATGATCTCGTGATGTTGACGATTTCCACCACACATCTCCTGCAATATAGTGTTATCAGCAGCAGGTGCGCACCTTCTCTCTTCCATATCTTTGGAGTCGCTAAACCATTGTTAGGCTAGAACGAGTGGTACGGGTGTAAGTCCCTCACTACTCGATGTCATCTATGAGCACCGCTCATTGTACTAGTCTGATGTATGACGGCATTGGATATTTTATTGTGCTGACAGGCAAGTACGTTTTGTTTGTACCGGATCACCCTCCTAACGTTCTCTCAGGGTCAAACATATTGAACATCACGCTGTATCGCGAGTCTGATGTCCAAACTCAGGTAATCAAATCTAATTTCCGTACGCTATGGAAACTTACTGCAATCTCTGCTCACTTCTATGATTAGTCGGCAGGGTAAGTTTCGTATTGTCCGGTACCGAGGATCAGACTTCTCAGAAATCACTATCAGGGCATCGATAGGCTATGCTGTAACGTGGATCATGAGCCAACAGATTCTCATTCATTTACGAGGTACGCGTGTTACAGAGTTCGACTCTTCTTCTGCTGACGTTCAAAATTCTCACTCCTTCCATTACGCCTTCTCCGTTCACATCGCACAAAAAGAAATGCAAGAAGCTCCACGTACGGAAAGTGTGGTCCTCGCGCGTCCCGCACAAAGCGCGAGGAACGTGATGTCCGGTTTCCGCTCTAAAAGCGATGCTGACTTCGTGACATCGCCCCGTAATGCGCACGGCAACAATGACGTGGAGCTCGATATACGCGTATGTGTCGAGCGTTCGGTGGTCGTAGACTACACGGACGAATCCGAGCATTCGAGGTCAATAAAGTGGCAAGATGAATCCAGAGGTCTCGCCTAATAGCGCCTGATACCTATCAAGTGATACCAGGTGATACCACTATTTATATATATACCGTGTCTGCGGTGCTGTGTAATTTTTGGCAGTTGGCAGTTGATATGAGTGTCCATGTAGGTCCGTCTTGGTATGCAACCTTTGACAGTGGTAGTCGTGTGATGAGTGTTTAATTATATCGGGCACTAGGCGAATGCGATTTGAGATAGCTTGAGCGGTGGAGGGACTTGGAGCCTCCGAGTCGGAGCACTGCAATAGTATAGGAAGCGGAAGCATATGTCGCTGGATCTGTGAAATAGTTGAACAGATCCGGATTTGTTCAACTATTTCACGCACAAAAGATTTTCACACACACAGTTGCGTACCAAGATGCTTTTGGGAGTAGCGCGCAACGACAAAATGCTCGAGCTCGCTGTCGAGAACAGCGAGCTCAAATAATTACCCAATCCTTCACCCATTTCACTAGTTCGTTTGAGGGAACAAAATTATGACAGATGCCATTTGTGAAAAGGATGAAGGATTAGGCAACTATTTGAGCTCGCTGTTCTCGACGGCGAGCCTCGAGCATTTTGCCGGCGCGCAGGGTTACCAAAACAGGAAGTCACGCTAATCCCAAAAGCATCCTGATACGTCTCGGCAACTGTACGCGACTGTGTGTGAAAAAAAATTGTGTGCACAGATCCAGCGCCATGGCAGAACATCGTAAACTCCCATATCTATTACCTCTTCCATGCATGAATTGATTAGTACAGATCACGGGGAAACAGGCCAAAACCGGGGGAAACCGAACGCGGTGCACTACCCACTGTCAGTGGAAACATGAAACTTTGAACAATGACGGCACTCTGTACCCATGATCTGTGCTGTTTGACATGCATGGCAGATATATCTGAAAGGATCCAGACTTCAGCCTCGGCAAGCAAACTATTGCCATGGAGTGGGACAGTCGTGGTATGGTGTTCTTGAAGGCTATGAAGGCTGAGACTCAACGTGTTTTTCAGTTTTGAGAATTAGGATCAGCGGAGTGCAAGTGATGTTCAACCGCAGAGCTACCACTGACATATATATAATCACCTTGTGGAAAGAACAAGCCTTGTTTTTTTATTTCCTCATTTTACATAAATGGACCAGTATTTGCGAATTGCGTCCATCTCCATCGCATTGTACGAGTGAGTCCTTCTCTTCCTTCTTTTGTCGAGTGACTGTCTTATCATAGTGACTACCTTCAGTTATGTGATCACACTCCCCGCAGAATGGCGGTTTTACAGAAGCCAATCCTCAATCTTTCATCTCAAGTATGTACCCATGGGCGTTCATGTTCCACTACTGACGAACAGGTTCTCTCCATCAGTATTTCCTGCATCTTATTCATCCTCATACGGTATAACTTGTGCTTATCTCGCCATGCAAAGATTTCTCGCTCACATTGGTGCAGCTACGTCAGTATCGTAGTTATACTAGTCAGCAATTACGGAGCCTTCTCCACCAGCTTCACCCAAGAAACGTGTCAACATTACTATATTTTGGCGCCTATCTTCAAAGGTCTGTCCTGTCGATGTTCACCCGCCAGGACTCTGTTAACCACGCTGTAGTTTTACAAGCCATGGTATCGCAGGTCATCCTTGGTTTCAGGTATGTCCTGTCAATTTTTTTGTGGGTTTTGCACAGACAAGTTGAACGCCTTGTAGGACATTCAATATCGCAAAGAGAGATAGGAGGATAGGAAGCGCACTGTTGCTGCTATACCTCTTCTCGATTTCGGTAGGCTCTTGCCACAAGCATAATATCCTCTCTCTTATATGTGTTAGGTGGAATGCTTCACCGATGTATATCACCGGATCCGTAAGCTCTGGTCTATATTTTGATCTTTGGTTCGCATTGACCTTTAGAAATACCAGCCGTCGTTGTCGATGTACGTCAGCGTTCCTCACCACTAAACCTTACATCAACGGCGTACCTTTTCTAGGGAAAGTAAGTACTTCCTTTACCGCCAGCGTGGGCTGCTCAGATCCTAACGAAGCACAGCTGCACCCCGGTAGATTATGGAAAGACAATGACTGCCTGGGTCTACTACCTCGTTGTCATGTTGTATGACCTCGTGATGTTGACGATGTCCACTACGTATGTTCTGCGTTATAATCCTCTCAGCAGCAGGTGTGCCTTTTCTCTCCGTTGTCTTGAGTGTCACTAAACCATTGTTAGGCTAGAACGAGTGGTACGGGCGTAAGTCCCACTAGCATACTACTCAATGACATGGCATCGCTCATCGTACCCAGCCTGATGTATGATGGTATTGGGTATTTCGTTGTGCTGACAGGCAAGTACATTCTGCTTGTACTGATCACCCTCCTCACGTTCCCTCAGGGTCGAACATATTGAACGTTGTGTTGTATCGCGAGTCAGATGTCCAAGCTCAGGTAATTAGACCTAATTGCCGTACGCCATGGAAACTTAGTATCGCGATAATGTCGGTCCGCTTCTATGACTAGTCTGCAGGGTAAGTTCTGTATTGTTGGGTATTGAGGATCAGACCGCTCACAAGACATCATCAGGGCATCAATAGGTTATGCTGTAACGTGGATCATGAGCCAACAAATTCTCATCCATCAACAAGGTGCGCCGTGCGCCAGAGCTTGACGCGTCTTTTGCTGACTTTCACATTTCCGGTTTATTATGTTGTGCTCATTCTGTCCAAATTGCACAAAAAGAAATGCAACAGGCCCCGCGTATGGAAAGTTTGGTCATCGCGCGTCCTGCACAAAGTGCGAGGAGCGGGATGTTTAGTTTCCGCTCCCGGTTCGACCCAAAACGCGATGCCGACTTCGTAGCGTCGCCGCGTAATGCGCGTGTCAATGACGAGGTCGACACACAAGAGCGTTCGGTGGTCGCAGACTACTTGGATAAATCCGAGCATTTGAATCCTCGGAATGAATTCGGGGGCGTCGCCTAATAGCGCCTAATACCTATCGAGTGATACCAGGTGATGCCGCTATTTATATTTACTGTGTCTGCAGTGCTGTACATGTGTAATTTTGATGATTGTGATTGTCCATGTAGGTCCATCTTGGCATCCAACCTTTGACAGTTCTTTGACAGTGGCCCAGTATTGATTAATTATATAGGCTACGTACGTACGTGTACTATAGCTATGCTCTTGCATGGGAACTGCGATATAGTTTGAAACAGTTTGAGCGGTGGAGGGAGCGCTACACATAAACTTTTGTTTCTCTCTACCGTGTATGAATTTTAGAAAAACAGGCTGAGGCATAAGGAAAATGAAGCGAGGTGGATATCCGAGTCGCGCCCACTTGTCAACATGTAACTTTGAGATATCGGCGGCCCTCATGGCCTGTGCTGTTTGACAGACATATAAGATAAGGGAGAATCTGTCACATGTCCGAGTCAGACTCCAGTGAAGTTGCCGTGATATCGGTATGAGGTACAAGGCTATGAAGACCGAAGCTCAACGACGCAGTTTGACAACGGGAATCAGCGCCATCGTGTGCTGTGACCTGTCCGACATGATTGGCCTGACAATGTATGATATACTGGAGTGTGAGACTCAAGGTACCCCTGATAAGTAAAATACTGATTTGATGCAGGGAAGTAGTCGTGGTATTAGGTTACGGTATAAGGCTATGAAGACAGAAACTAAACAACGCAATTTAAGCGCGAGGATGACTACAGTTGAGGAAAATACCGAATATTAACATCACGAACGGCAACGTCGTAGGAAGGACATTAAAACTAAACTAAACTATCCTATCAGCAGACGTGATCAATGATGCACTATGTGGCTGGGACCTCAATCTCTTACCCACCCAGCTCAGCCCCCACGCACCGGCCCGCCCTAAGATCCACTGCGCGATGCGCATGCCAGGTACGAGCGCTATCACATCGCGGATATCCCATACGTCGCGATGATACGTGATCTGTTTTTGCTCATTGAAACTTAGGCGCGTGATGACGTGCAGCTGGAAGTGCAGTGGCGATGGAACCGCGAATGGTGTACCGGGAACTGGAAGCGAGGGGGTGGGGACGACTACTGAGAGCTCATGTACAGCCTCACTTGCAGGCGTACTAGTAGACCCGGGCGCGCGCAGGGAGAGCGACTTGGGCATCTTAAAGCCCATATGCAAGTCTGGAAACAGCAGGATGTTGAGCGTGTGCTCGACGATGCTCTTTTTGTGGCCATCTGGGAATCGTGAGAGGGCTGTATGGAGGTAGAGGCAAGGAGACAGACCGAAGCTCTCGCTCTCGCTAAATTCTTCGATTTCTGACCAGATACGCAGGAAACGAAACCAAGGATCCGAGCTGGCGGTATCTTTGACCCGGAAAGGGAGAAGCGCGCCGAGTATCTTGGATGGCTTTGGGATGTCGACTATGGAAAATTGGCGCACGAGAGCGTGAATATCAGCAATGAGGGCGCGGGAAGTGGCCGTTATCAGGGGATTTTCATAACTTTTGGGAGCGTCAGCATTACAGCAAACAAGATAGAGGCGGTATCCTTACACTGGGCACAAAACGTGAGTGAAAGCAAAGAAAGTATGAAATGATCCACTGACCTGCACGAGTTTCATAGAAGAGCTCAGCTGTATCCAGAAAGCTTGTGGATGGGGAATTATCGTATACAAAATCGCAGACCTGATATGTGAGGGGGTTTTTACATGTCACCATGCACAGTTCTGAAGGTTTCAGGTTGGCAGTTTTCAACTCGGACATGATTCCCGACGAGGATGATGTGCTGGGTGTACCTGGCGTAGGGAAAGGGATGGTGGACGTCATGGCTAGAAGGGTGCGATGTTGATGCGCTGCTCGTCGTCGTGGTGGACCACGACGAGCGGGAGGGCCTTAGTAGGTGGAGTATCCACTGGCTGGAAGGATCATCATTACCGTTTTCAGCCACTTCAGCAGACCAAACGAGTGAATTTGAAATTGCTTACACTCTATGTATTCCGTCACGTTACCCCTTAAGCTTAAGCTTGATCGCCATGGCCAGTTCATTACAAAAACACGATTCCCAAATTCTTTGCTCATTGCGTTTCCTGAACATGCTCCCTAGAAGGATCTTCAGGGTCTCGCCATCACCGTGCATTGTGTCCAACGCGACGATCTAAAATCTTGAACTTACGCCAACAATGAGTACCTCAATGTACCTCAACCTTGGCGTCGATCAGAGACAAAAAGGTAAACTATTATGAATTTACGGCGATCCAAAGGCTACTATACAGTTCTGACAGGATAGGACTCAAAGCGCGTAGTGCGGGGCGATGCCTTTGGCTTGTCCCCATGCATCTTCCAGCGACTTGACGACATCATCAGGAAGTGGTCCACCCTCGCTAGCAACAATGTGGTCAGACAATGCCAGTCACTATCAAAGACAAACTACCCACTGTTGCTTCAGATTATTCTCGAGTTGGTCGACGTTACTGGCACCAATAATAATGCCATCACTAGACTCCAATTGGCTGTGATGTTGAAGCCAACGATTAGCAGCTTCGGAAATGGGAATCCCCTGTTTGTCCTGATATTCGAGGTCATGAATTATGCATCACCCACGCGGCAATTCTCAGAGACTCACAAGCACACCCTTCAATTCTCGCAGGATAGGCATGAAAAGCGAATATTTTGCGCGAAAAAAACCTGCAGCTCGAGACTTGTTGGGATCCCATCTACCATTTCGCATGTCCGCTTCTGAAAGAATCCTCCCAGCAAGTAAACCGCTCCTGTAGAAGTTATCGTGCATTGATACGGCGAACGAGGGGAACAACATACGCTAATGGACTATACGCATAGAACCGTATCCCATAGTGCCGAAGGCAGGGCAACAACCTAGGGCTAGGTTAAGACAGGAGGAGTGAGTGTGCTATCACCAACTCACTCTGTTTCAACTCTTCGTTCGAGTGCATTATAGACTCCTTGATATACAGTCGGTCTGACCCATCCGTTGGCTTTCGCTATGCCAACCATCTCAGCCACCTGGTTAGAAAGGAGGCACAATAAGTTATGCAATATAGCGTCATATATATATATAGACAGACCTCCCAAGCGTTATAAGGTAAGGTAGACGACATTGAAATACAACTAGTGCCGCCATATGATCACGTGACTGTTCCCACGGCCAAATCTCAGAATTCGAAAATCCAAAATCACTATTTGCCTCGAAAATCACTTTGACAACATCAAAAAAAAATTGAAATTAAAAAACAATAAGCTTTGTATTTTACTCTACATCCACACTTAAAGTACTAGGAATATCAAAGGAGTATGGTTATGACTGACTACGCACCAGTAGTGCTTACCTTGATTGTGGCACAGCCTGGTGTTATGTAATCAACCATATATGGTTAAAGTGGTATCACGTGACGTGGCCAAATCTACGGGACAAATATTTTATTTTCCGCCTATAGCGTCAGAAATGTATTTGGAGATGAAATACAACATATAGAAAAAGTGGAAATAGCTCTCTTAAATTTCAGTTTTGAGAAAATTTGAGACCATCAAGCTATCTAGAGAGGTCTTAGGAAAAGATTGGTGCAAAAAGAATGTTTGGAAAGTGGATGAGGAAAGTGCAATAAGTTGTGCAAAATGGTGTCTCAAAATGTAGTTGGATTTTAATGTCGTCTACCTTAGTTCGAAACCCCAAACTCCTCACTGAGTTGAGATCATCAGGGAAGTCAAATACACGTCACTTCGAAACTCACAAGAGACCTTTGTTGTAAAGTTCGTTGATGGCTCGAAGAGTAACTTCAATCGGAACGCTCCTGTCTGGTCTGTGCAAATAGAATGTTTTGATCTTCGTCTTCCCCAGCGCCTTCATAGAAATTTCAAGCGACGCCTGAATTTTGTCTGGCGCGAAGTCCCCAGGCGCAGCTGGATTGACCCTACACATAATAACAAACATGAGAGGCTTCTCTAGCGAATTGTAGCGGAAATACAAACTTTGTATCCACTGTACATCCTTTCAGATCGAGTTGGCTGATGAACTAAGATAGTGCTATTGAGCGACGACGAATATTTCGGAGAACTTGCTCTTACCTCCTCTGATTTCCCAGCTCCGTATATACGAGAAGTATCGATTTGTTTGTGGCCATGGCTGGCGAATACGTCTACGGCCTTCTGGGCGTCTTCAATGGTGTGAATTTGCGCTCCAGCGGAATTTGGGCCAGGTAGACCAAACAGAGCAGCACCCTAAGAAGTCAAAAAAATTAGCAGGTAGTCGACAAGTTGAAGATCCATACTGACATAAAGAAGAGGAATTCGCGTCGACATTGTTCGAGACGTCAGCTGCTAGCAATGAGCATGAAGAGATCCTTTATGAACTGTCACATCATTTGATGAATAATGTGACATCGGCAGTGCACACGCCAGCTCATGCCAATTATCAATCTTTGTCAATGTGGTCATGATCCAGTTCAATGGTGACCGGTGACCAAATGCTCGTTTAAAGCGGATCGCGAGCGTTGAGAGACCTCAACATTTTGACCACCAATGGATCCAATGCGGAATCACGTAAATTGCTTCCGCGGAACCAACTGTGGCTTACACGTGACAGTACACCGTGAACCTACTTCAACAGGCCCATGGAGGAGTTGTTGGTATCCATCGACCGGTCCAGGGAAACGTATGTATTTGATGTTCAAGCTAACGACGATGCTGACTGGCCAGGACTGCAATGCTTCGTTCATCCACATCAAGTGAAAATGGTAGGGAGGGTTTGATACTTGCTCAACGCCCCACCTCAGGCAACACTTTTCGGTGCCAATAAGGGGTCTTTCAGACCCGGTTATTATGTTGTGGGAAACCTGTCTGCGAGACCCATCATCCCTCCAATCTAAAAATAGCTTACATATACTTTTAGTTCCGGTACCTCCCAGGTACCTACGGCGCCTCTCGCACCTCATTTTGTAGGTTCTGGCAGTTCATCCGTAGGCTCCAGCGGTATGCGTGATAGTCTTGTAGGGTTGCCTGGTAGGTGGGAGGTATCCTTGTAAGTTTTCTGTTTATGTATTATAACACTCAAAGTACTAACTTCGTCCGCACAGTCTTCTGTGCATGCAGGTTGACCCTCTCGCCATGACTCTAACTAACTCCCGCAATACTCGTAAAGCTCAAATCGTTTCCTCTGGCCTTGGTCAACACTTTGTCAGCCCAAGGAAAGCCAGAGACAAGAGGAAAACTCAAATGCTGGTGGAGTTTCCTGGCGCGGAACTCAGGCGTCGTCGTCTACTTGCTCAAATGCAACGACTCATGGATCCCACACTCCCCAATTCAGGGTATTCTCCTGGTATTGCCCTGGGTAGTACCTCTGGTGGAGTAGCCAACGCGAACACACCCAATGAATTGGAGTTTGCAGGCACCGACTTTGAAATGTTGGAGGAATCCTCTTCTGATAGGCCTGTAAACTTGGAGAGCAGTCCACACAAACGGCGCATTCTCCCTGATAAGTCCACAGATACATTATACACCAACTGGCACAGGCTCATCCCCACCCTCGTCGACCCGCAATTGCAGTATTACGCCCGTACTCTCGGCCAAGCCTTGGAAAGAACTCAAGATGTGATCTCAGCATGTGGAACTCTCTCATGCGCACAGAAAAGAACAAATCTGTTGTGCCTATTCTTCGACAGTAAGTACTTACGCTTTTAGCCCATCACATGATCTTACAAGTGCGAAATACATCAACAGGATTTGTATCAATTGATGTATTGAGCTGTGAATGCTCCAGCCTTCCGCAGGTCCTTCTTCATCATGGGCTGTTCCCCACGGCACCTTCCCAACCTCGCATGGCGGTATCTGTTGATCTACTCTCGTTTTATCGCGCTCTTTTTGAGCGCTCTTGTGACGCCATCAATGCTCTTGCATCCGCTCTCAAAACTCACTATTCACGCAGGGGTTTTCAAGTGACCGACTCGCGGGTAAGATATAGTTACATCAGGTTTAACGTCACTAAACTAGATTAAAGGGTGACCTCGTGCAAGAACCGTTTCGTCGTGGTCTAGGCCACGCCGTACAATGGTACGATGTCCTCCAGGTCGAAATTGAACGGCAAGTCGATGCAGTCCTGCAACAGACTCGAGACCGCGTTGCCAGTCTCCAGCCACCCCAACTCCCTCCTCTCACAAATGCTGAAAGTTCGGCTTTGACTGCCTTGCACCATGGCCGATGCGCGTCACTCCTCGTACAACGTTGTCCAGCATGTTTTGGTGGGACACTGTTTGGCAGACCCATTGATCAAGGCGGGGACATACATGTTGCTACAGACGGCAATTTTCATCACCGCCACCGACGTTCCGCGGGTGATTGTCCTCGCTTCTACGAGCCCACTTACTTCCTTCCTAAACAGTTTGTTGATGCAGTTGGGTGCCGAATTGATGCACAACGTAAGCGACCTCCAAAAGCACACACCCCCATTGTCCCTGATGTGGCTATTGACCTATGTGAGAATGCATATGAAGCTGCCGACGGGAAGAAACAAAAGGCCGCAATGGACAGCTTCGACAACACGGGATTGATGGCCCTTATTTGCCGTCATGATATCCCACTATTTTTTGCTAACATCGATTCCCCCGGCGAGCAACAGAAATACTCAGTTGCGCTTATAGAACACTTGTTCACATTGCTCCCTCCTCAAGCCACAGTCGCGACCCTCTATGACGTAGGCTGTGTTCTGGCACGTTCCCTTTCAAAGGTATGTATGATCTTAGTTGGATTCACGTGCTAATTATTTGCAGTTTGAGATTCTCCCTCGGGATGTTCTATCACGCCTGCGCTTTGCAACTACAGCCATGCACGCCTATGGCCACGAATGGGCCTGCCAGCTGGTGCACAATCCACGGATGTGCATTGGCCTTGGATTATCTGATGGCGAGGGGACTGAGCGGTTATGGTCGCGGTTCGTTCGCTTGATAGGTGTCGAAAGGTCATCATCAGTGCGTTAGGTGGCATTGCACCTAGGAATGTACTAATTATTTTCATTTGTTTAGCGCCAGCGCCGTATCTGGTTAATTGACCGTCAAGCGACTGCCATAGGATCGGAAATGAAGGCAGACCTTGGGGATTGGATCAAGCGCCGTCTGAAGCGAGGCATCAAGGACCAGGGCTCAGCTGCGCTCAACGTGCTCAATCGCTGCGAAACATCTGTGGAGGACCTACGAACTCAATGGGCTGACCAGCGACAATCACAGCTGTCGATTCGAGCTCGTGAGTAGGCCCGTAATACGCGCGCAATAGTAATTATGTTGAAAATGTTGTCAGATGCCCCTGCTCGCCTCAAGAAGGAGCTCGACACAGTTCTCGCTCTACAAGCTGATTTGGATGTCTCGGATCGAGCCTTGCAGGCTACGAGGACTATGCTGGAGAAGGAGGCAGCATCCGGTGACACTCTAGATGTCCTCGCGAGCCTACAGAGGGGTCACGAGCGTCTCATGACCAAAGTCGAAGCGTTGTACTCTTCTCTTAACGTTCATGATAGATTTCCGGAGCTCGACGGAGTCAATCTTGACTTCGTCCGTGTCCTTCTTATGGCTCGAGACCTTAAAATGAATATTCGGAAGCGTGCCATCGCCAGTTTTTTCGAATGGGATAAGCTAGATCGGGCTGTAGGCGGGTCCCAGCAAACATTAGGTAAGTCTTCATATTCAATTATTCCTCCATTCTAACCTTATTCTTCAGGGACGAAGCTTCATCAACACACTCGAAAAGCCATAGCGAAGCGCCAACCTGCTCTTATGACGGCAATCCGACAATTTAATTCTTACTGTGAGCGGTTAGAATCACTGTATGATCCTGCTTGGAACATCCCACTTCCTACCCCCCTTCCAACAAAGTTAGCTGAACTACGTGGCGACCAGACCTTGATGCAGGATATCTGGGTTGTGCCCTCCGTAGGAGAGGTGCCTCGATGGCTAGAAGACTCGGACGTCAGGGACGGAATTCGTGCCCTTCTCAAACGTGACCGGTGCCAGGAGGAGCAAAAACGCTTAGGCATGGAGGCTGACAATTTGTGCCGCTTCTTCGGAGAAGAGCTAACTGCACTGGAGCTCTCACTCCGATTGCCCGAAAGTAAGTTTGATTCTCGCTATTTATTCAAGGTCTCATTGATCCGGCCTTGCTCGTTTATAGATAAGCGCTTTCGTGTTCCATTGCAACAACGGCACTCACATTTTATCCGACTTCAGACGCGTTGGTCAAATTCGCTTGCATCATCGGTTCGGTTCACAAGCCGTGCAAAAGAGGCGCTAGACCGCGCTATAGCCTACTCTGGAGATCCTCAAGATACTGTTCTTAATCTGGCTAGCGTAACAGTGCAGGACCCTGCTCCAGAGGATGAACCAGTCGTCCCTGAGGTGGATGACTTGGACTCGCAGGAGCTTGAGCCTGAGCAAGCTGCGCTTGCAGACATCCTGGAGGGTGATATTGCCGGAGCGGAGCTTGATGAAGATCAAGACTTAGTGTCTAATATGTGCGCTGACATTGTGTGGGATTCCCCAGAGGTACGTCAATGTCGTTGACAGGCCAAACATCACTAATAACCTGTAGGGTCTCCTGATTGATGATTTCCGCGCCCCATCTCAAGATTCGCATGTCATTGTGGCTGGACGGGTAGCAACACGAGTACGACCATCAATGGGTGGATTCCCCCAACAAGTTTTTGAGCCGAGAGACATCTCATTTCTTGCTTCTCCGACAGCGTACCTGAACGATGTTTGTATCAATGGCTGTGCCGTGCTTCTGCAGATAGATATCCCTAACCCCACTGTAGCTATCTTCTCCACCCACGATCTTCCTCGCATCCGCTACAACGCAGCCGATGATATCCTTTGGCGCAATACATCCTGGACACGTTATTGGGAGAAAGATGTCTGGGTTATCCCGATTCATAGGCCAACTAGTGTTGGCCATTGGGTGGTTTGCATTATTTACTTGTCAAGAAAAGAAATCCATCTCTTTGATAGTCTCGCTGAACGAAAACCGTGGAAACACGACTTGAAAGTATGTTTATCTTGACTTACGTGCAATCATGATTTTGATATCTTTTACAGGACATCATGAAACTTGTTTGTCGGCTTCTGGCAATCGCACATCAACGAAACAAGCAGGTACATATTGATCTGGATGGATGGGTGGCTCGCCCATTGACCGTAAGTTCAAGCGCATCTCTCATGTCTAAACCTCAATTTAATGATTCACGCAGATCAAACCTCTCCAGACTAACGGATATGATTGCGGGGTATGGATATTAGCAGCCATGATTGCTGTCCTACATGGACGACACATTACGCGACTACAAGAGGAGGAAATGAGCGACCTGCGATATTACCTACGTGCTCGTGTACTTTCTATACCTGCATTCTAGCACGCATCAATGTACAGTACCCTAGATCTATGAATATTGACCATTGGCGAGCAATCTGAGTGAGGCGCCTATACTTCGTCTTCTCCCTTTCACCAAATTTGAGGTTACCGCTGAGGACAAATCATGGCGCATCAGACAGGCTATGATTCATAGAATGGCATATCTCTGAAATGTTGGCCGTATATCATTAATATACTTACGGAGTCCGAGAGCCTTCTCCCTACCATCATTGAGCTTGCAGAGGACAAGTCATGACGTGTCAGACAGGCTATCATAGAATATATCAATCTTATCGCCACACTGAGGACAAATCATAGCGCATCAGACTGATTCAGACAGGCTACCATAGAATGATAGCATACTATCTCTGTGAAGTTGGCTGTACATCATTAATATATTCACTGAGTCCGAGCACCTTCTCCCTACCATCATCATGATCGAGTTTGCTGTTTGCCATGATATAATATTTTGTCTTCTCACCATATGATACCGTGACACTCTGGTAAGTATTTCTTCACAAAACATCTCAGGCTCTCTCATATCACCATCAGAAACATTTACCATGTCGAACCGAGCACACAATGTCGGCTGATAGTAGATTCACAATGAGCTTACTAACGAGCGGACTCAAGTGTCAGTTCAACAACTGGAAGGTAAGTCCTAGTTTAGACTATCACTGTTTGTGCACCGTCACCTGCAGGAAGCCAATAACGTATACTGATGAGTCTCACTCCTTGCGCCATAGGACACAACTTATCATCGCTGTCCAGAGACATTGTGATGTCAATAGGTTGGGGCTGATGGTGTGAGTCGTTCAATACTGTTGTTGGGGATTTAAGGACAAATTGTCTCTTGCAGCTTGTGTTTCAATGTTAGCGCGAGTTTTATTCTCGATATTATTGGCTGATGGCCTCGCAGGAAGGCTCTCCAGTAGGTTCACGAACCTCCAGGACCTACTGGACTGCTCATGGCCTCTCAGACTTCCATGACAGGCCCTACCGAAAAAGACACTTCAGGTCAGTCCGCTTCCGATAACGATCGCATTCTAACTTGTTATGTAGCGGGACCCTGGACTGGATCCTACTAATGGCCCCAAATAAATATATATAAGAATGAGGCCGCGGTGAATATTTTCCTCCTGAGCTGCTCTTGATATCACTTGCTCATAAGCCTCTCAGATCTTCCGCTAACGTTGCTTCCATCAACGCACAAAATACCTTTCGCTGTCGACATTTTTTTGGTGCGTAAATATATTTCACTTGCTTTTCTTTCCTTCACTTATGCACCGTCTCCCGTGACAGCTAAGTCCTCTCAATTTGAATCTATACCCCTTGTACACTGTGGTTGTGCTTGCATTGGTGCGTCATTGCATTCTCCAAAGTTTGTTTTATTGACAATCATTTAGAATGACTCAAACACCGTACAGCGAGGAAATGGACTTGTTCAATAGGCAGTCCTCTCCGCCTCCAAGATACATCAATCCCTCTGCGGCCTTTCCCCTCAGCAGTGCAGCCTTTCCCCTTGCTGGTGACAACTACATATATGAACAGCTCGGTGGAGGCCGTCGGTATCAAGAACCAGCGGTCGAGCTCACTCCGTCAAGGTTGAGGAGTAATCTTAAGGCTATGGCACGGGACACTGGGATCATCAAAGGTGCTTCAATTCGACGAAGGGGGGGCCAACAACCGACCCCAGACAGTCAAGGCTCTGTGGAATCAGGTCCCGGTGCTGCATCTTTGGACCTTCCTCAGGATGATGACGCCACCCCAAGTGATTCAACATCGCTCACCGTTGCGCTGAATGGCAGTCGTCAGCCCTCACCATTTACCGGTGATGCGACATCACTTACTGTGGCACCGGGCAATAGTCGCCACCCCTCACCATTTGCGGGTGACGCGGCTTCCCGACCCCCAGCTCCCGCACCTCTTCAAGATATGTTTTATAATTCAATGAGCGACCAGCCTGCTTGGACAGGTCAACAAGCATCCAATATGTTTGACCTGATGGGCGCTGACTCATTCACAACCTTACTTGGGGATCATGCTCCAGATCCTTCGGGTTTTGTACAGGGCTTCTCCGGTCAAGTCCCGGCATTCGAACTTCGGCGTCCATCTCACTTGGCTCCTCAAGCCGCCCACGCACCTCCACCCTCCACAAATGTTATCCCGCCTACACCCCTGAAGGACTTGATCCCTGGTTCTAGTGTCCCCAATCTACCTTCCCCCAGGCCAAGTCAGCAGCTTGACTTGAGCCACTACTCTCCTGACACCAGCGTCCGCGAACGGTTTCCCGAAGAAAGCCTCACCTCACACTCCGAGGAACTACCTGTCGTGGGACGCAGGTCTGCAGAGACCAATGCTGCACTTGACGCAGGATTCGCGGTCGTTGATCAGGCACTGCTCGAGTTATCCAGGTCCACTACGATGCCCATGCATCAGGTCATCAACCTGTTCATGAAGAGCCGTGGACGCACAGCAAGCAGCATCAATTACTGGAATCTTTATTCCAATTATTTCAAGGACAAGTCCAAGCAGGAACTCGCCCGACTTGGTCGAGATCTTTCGGCTGGAGGAAGCACGCCAAGTAAGTTCTAAATGCAGACTCATTTCAGTACGTAAATTGATCTTGCATCACAGGCGCGGGTGTGCGTAAAGAATGCTATGTGAAGTTCAAAGAACAGTTCCCCGACACATATCAAGATATCCTTGACACCCACGATGAGATGGCTTCACTAGGTGGATTGCCTCAAACAGTCAGCCAACGTGCGCAGGCATTCCAGAGGTTTCACAAAAGGGTGACAGATATAGTAAGTGATTTCATATCAAACTGATTGGTGCCTCGACGCTTAATGTACACTTGTCATTTCAGTTGGATGTTGCGTCGGCCAAATTCGGGTTCGAATCCGCTACCGTCATGTGTGGCAAAATCGTCAATCAGGACGCCTCACTCGGTCATGTACACACGACACCTGGTGCAATGGATGTAAGTCGTCAAAGATCATGCTAAACCTCGCGCACATATTGATATTTTGTGCTAGTTCTTTCTGACGCGATGCCGCGCAGACAATGACACCATCCTCGCTCACCTCAAAGCCCAAGTTTAGTGAGTCTTGTTTCGTTATCTTGAAGGCCGCGATGTCTTATCAAACATCACAGTAACACAATGTCGTTATCGGCTGTGGAGGATGCATTCATGGAGCACGAAGATGATGATGTGGCGTCCACCTCCAAAGGTGTAGACTCCAAGGACCTACTAGACTCTAAGGATGTGGATCAGGCTTCTGACCTTTTGGAGGGACGAGAGGATAGTATCAAATGGATCAAGAGGGAAATTACGAAACAAGTCGGTACGTTCGGTATTGGTTTTTATTTATCGTATTCAGACTACTTACCACCCTACACCAGCCAAGTTTGGAGGCAAATTCGGCACTGACAGGACCTTTCCTTGGAAGCTCATGCCGAACGCGCTCGCAGATGATAACCTTTGCATCAAGGGCTACCCTGCACACAAGTGCCTCCTCCCTGGCGAGGCACGTGGTGTTGCCTCAAATGCAAAGAGCAAGGGAGTCGCTGGCCTGACACAGAAGGAGGTCTCTATCCTCGTGGAGTCCTTAAAAGCAAAGACTATGTATGTAGAGAAAGTTGATATCGTGGAACGAGGTATGTGTGATCTGTCCCTGAGTGTGTAATTTTCCTTGACGGTCCGGTGTCAATAGCGGCAGTATTGAGCTCTGAGAAGCCCGTCATTCTCGGCGAAGCTCCTCCATCGGACTATCCTTATCCAGGTGCTCGACGGCTGTTCGTCGATGGTCATACGGACTACAATGGTCCTTCTCGCCTCAAGCCCAGTTCCGCAACTACCAAAGTCAAGAAATCTACTACTTTGACAGGAAAATCAACTACGCATGTTGAACCACCTCCATCGCGGATTTTCAAGGTTGTTGACAGGCCGCCGGCTCGCGAGGTGATTGAAGTCCAATCTACTTCATCCGATTCTCAAGACGGAAATGACCAGCGTGAACCGGACTCTGAGTCAGAGTACGAAGAAGCATCTCGGGGCAAGAGGAAGAAGCGGCAGTCCAGTGGTGAGCTGCGTGCATCGAAGAAGCGCGCTTCACCTGTAGACATTGTCCCAAAAGCAGCGACTCGAACAGGAACGCAATCGAAGGAGAAATCAGGACTGTCGCAGTCACAGGCCCCTAGTGCTTCTCCCACGAAAGGGGGTCCATTATCCCCTGTGACGGTGGAGTCTTCGAGTGATGAGGAGGATCCCACTGCAACTAGCACAAGTAAGTGTCCCACTGTCTATAACTCACCCTGGGATTCACCTGATTTTACACAGCCAGAGTTACGCGCCTTCGTGATGGCCCTTCCAACAAACCTCAAGATACAAAAGGTACGGCTGCGTTAATTTTTTGTGTTTCAATGATCTCACCTTGTATTTCACAGGTCGTCCTAAACCACGACCGGTTGTCAAGGGTTCACGTCCGAAGCCAAAGACTACTCGTCAAGGCCGGGCCCTTCGTGTGATGTACTCTGACGATGATGTTGAAGCTGTTAGCGACGGGATTGCAGATAAGTCCCAAAAACTTGCCCCCAAGAGTGCGGACAACTCTGCAACATGTCCTGCAGATGCACCAACGCATACTACTGATGACGGGGCTGCCCAGCTGCCGCAGTCCAATACAGAGATGGACAGCGCATGCCCGGTACAACAGTCTCCTCGTCCACTGTCTCCTTCGACTTCAGGCGCTAACGAACGTGATGTTCCCAGCGATGTTGGCCGAGTTCCAGTGCTGTTGCAACAAGGCAACATGTCCTCACCCACAGAGCTTCCTCCTTTGCCTCAGAGAGGAGGAGGAGGAGGCGATGAATTGGTGACCCGAGGTACAGCAGATGACCACTTGGTTACTCATGAAGACCTACTGGAGTCCCACAACCTCCCCGCAAACGCTCACCGCCAATCTGAAGAGCCCGTGCGCCCTCGAGAGCTTTTCCGTCATGATCCACGCGAACCTGTCCGTCAGGATCCTCGTGACCATATCCGTCAGGACCCTCGTGACCATATCCGCCAGGACCCTCGGGATCGTTTCCATTATGATCGTGATCACAGGAATAATCCCTACCACAGTTCTCGTGGACCTCTACCTCTTGACCCTCGTGGACCTCTCCTGGCCAACTCTCATGAACGCCATGATCGAGAGCTCCATGATCATCGCTTCCCTGGTCGTAGTATTCATGGCTCTTCCTATCCCGTAAGTGACACATCGTTCTTTTTCTGCGTGCAATCTAATATTCGGACAGGCGCAAGATTACCAGAATTTGCCTTTTATGCAAGGTGCCAATGAGAAACTCCTCCACCCGCATGACACATTCTATCACCGCAACGGCAATCCTCGCGACAACATTCCTCGCGACAACATTCCTGAACACCATGATACTACTCGCAATCCTGGGTATGTACCTGACTCCCGGGACTCTCATGACTTGCATCCATCACGCAGGTCTCATGTTGACAGTGATCACACGCGGGACATGTCTCCGGGAGCAGAATCTAGCATGACTTACAACATGGAACGGGAGCGCAGTCGCTCACTGGCGTACTCTGACTGTGACAGATACAGCCCAGCGGTGGACTATGGGTACAAACGCGAACACGGATTCCCTCCCCGTGGTGATTATGATGATCACAGCCACGTATTTGCTCCCCAGCGCAGCGGAGGTTACTATAATGACTCCCAAGGCTACAGGAGACGCTACAATGGAGACTCTAGGTGGGAAAGTCAGGATTCGCGGGCCCCGTACCACGGTCCAAGTCCCAACTCCAACACCCGACCGGCAGACGCACCTCCTTCCACCTGATGTTATGCTTGCTCGGCCTTGCAGTTTCTTTTTATGTCCTTGACATAGATGTCGTATCGTTGCCTCCTCCCTTCTGGTCCGTTCTTTGTTCTGCCATCATCCCTTACACCACACTGTTCATAGTCTCTCGTCTGCCACCTGATGTTATGCTTGCTCGGCCTTGCAGTTTCTTTTTATGTCCTTGACATAGATGTCATATCATTGCCGCCTCCCTTCTTGTCCGTTCTTTGTTCTGCCATCATCCCTTACACCACACTGTTCATAGTCTCTCGTCTGCACTGCCTTTGTCATCTCACACCCCCGATACCTCATCCTTCTAATACAACATACTTATGTATATAGTCACACTTTTGATCATGCTGCCGTTATTCTTGAATACATCGAGCACGTTACTCGGACTGATGTGTGGAATGTTTGATCAAGACATGAGCAGAACAAAGTATTCTTGTATCTACACATAAATGACACCTAAAGGACGAGTTCGAGATGCTGTCGGGGTTGTCATGGACACCACTATCAGCGAGGATGCGGTTGAGAGCAGGTTGCCGCTCACAAACCTCACGAGACAGTCTTCGAAAAACCTCCAGGACATCGCAAGATATTCCTCCAAAACCTCGCGAACATTCCTCCAAAACCTCGCGAACGTTCCTCCAAAACCTCCCCAATGTTCCTCCAAAACCTCGCTAACGTTCCTCCGAAACCTCCCCAACATTCCTCTCAGACCTCGCCCCAACATTCCTCTCAAACCTCGCGCAACAGAACATGCCACGACGTTCCTCCGAAACCTCATTACATATTCCTCCCGTGGACTCGTGGGGTGTGGAGTAAGCGCTATAGAGGACAGAGGTGTTCTTCAGTTCACAGAAGAGGAGGGCTACGGACCTCCCGAGGAATGTGGTCAGATGTTTGAAGAAATAGGCAGGAGGCTCTTTCAGGAGGGACGTCTTAGAGATAGGTTAACGCAGACCAAGAAACCCAGTCTGAAAGACCGTGGGAAGGTCTAAAAAGTGCTGCCAAGGGTGCAACGCCCAAGCCTCTGAGCACAAACCTGCCATCGCACAGGTGCTACTCGATGCACCGTGCCTTATGCTCGGCTGGTCAAATATGGACATTCGCATAGACCTTCTGGAGCATACATGGAACTCCCGCGCAGGCAATGCCAGACATGAATTGGTTTGTGATGGGCAGTTTGCGGAGTTGTCACGAGAGCCGCGGTACTTACCCTCGACTCCAACTCGACTCTACACGGAAATGACAACTTTCTTTCGAATGATCTAGGCTTGCTAGGGGGACGACGTCGTAGCGTCGACTCTGCATCGCGAATAAAGCATACTCTCGACTTTCTTCCTGGGCCGACTTGAAGAGTAGAGTGCCGATATTTGGAAACCACAGCCAAACCTTGATCCGCTTGAAAATAATGTGGAGAAGTGACATGTACCGGCAGTGTCAGTATTAGTGGGAGGGATAAAACAGTGTAGCGAACACTCGAGCAGCTGTCACAGCCTCTGCCCTCGACTCTAGACGACCTTCCCATCCACGGAAACGACTACAGTACACTATCTCAATGTGTAGCGACGAGAGCTGCCTTTTCACTTCACAATATACACTACCAATAGTGATGTGCATGGCCCGGCTTCAAGCCGTGGGCCGAGCCAAGCCGGGCCAAATTAGGCCGGGCCAAGCCAGGCCAAACTGACGGCCTGACCAGGGCTTTGGCCCGGCTTGGAATTCTGAAAAGCCAAAGCCGACGGCCTGAGCCGCGGCTCCTAGCCTCTACCATCGTCAACGACAATGAACATTTTGACACCAAATTTTGGTATATAATTTGGTTCGTAATAAGTTATAACACATGCTGAACTTCGAAACAAACAAACGAGGACCAACACACACAACTTACAAGTCGGTCTGTGCTTCAACCAATTCAGCTCTTGTGATCCGCGTGGTCAATACAACTCAACGTCACATTACAATTACTAATTACTGCTTGCGCCAGTCTTACCTTGATAGTTTTTTCAACGTTGGCGCACAAATTCGGAATGGTCTGCTTGGCTAGGTCGAACGGACTCGTGCCAAATTGAATCAAGTTGAACAACCCCAGCTCGAATCTTCCAAAACCCTGCAACCTTTGATCTTGAGAGCGCGACTTTTGCTTCTCAGGCTTGTAATTCACACTTTTGCTTACAATAGACGGGCGTTGGCAGGTCTTCACTGATCAATCAGGCATTTGGAGTGGACAAAGCGGTAGGCTGCTCATCATCTTAAACACAGTAAGTCGCTGATGTTATCTCCATAGCTCACTTCGCATGAAAAGCCGGGCGAAGCTAACATCGAAGAAGAGGATAACATCAAAATAGTCCAAGATTTTATTGAACATAGGATATCCGAGCCTGCTCTGAAAGATCAGCTGCATGCTGTTTGGTGGGCTCTCCATCCTCACGACTCCTCATCCCAAGCTGACGAAATATACGGAAGGCTTTGCTTTGAAATACCCCGTGCAGGCGGGCGTTTATTGGAGACTGGCACGGAGGCATTCCTTACATTGAAGCGCGACGGAAAACTCAGAAATAGTTCGTTTGTTATCGCTCCACGCAGGTGACCGCTAACCCTGGTCCAAAGTTCCCGTCGTTGTCGTTTTCACAAAATATGATATGCTCATTGACCTCGTGGATCGTACTCTGGACAGCTCCTCTCTCACGCAGCGAAAGAAACACATGAGGAAACGCGAGCCCATCTGAATCCGTCCGTCAGCATTTTGCGCCCGAAGCGTGAATCGTCGCGATTTGCATTCTGAGGCGCGCACTGGCAGGTGAGTCTTGTCAGAATCGCAAATTCCCTACTCGAGCCGCGGCTCAGGCCAGAGCCAGGCCAAAGCCAGCCGTCATTTGCAGCTTTGGCCCGGCTTGGATCTTTTGCAGGCCAGAGCCGTCTGAAGCCAGGCCAAAGCCGTGGCTTTTGGGCCAAGCCGGGCCGGAACATCACTAACTTAGTCTACCAAATAGTTCCCGCAGCAGAGGGGTCCATGGTATGTTACTCGGCACTCTAGAATTGGTCTAATGGAGCCTGCTTTGCATCAGTTCACCTTGGATTGATTGATCATCCTCAACCCCATCATCTGATTCCACCTTCAACCAGCTCCCTGCTCCTTCGACATGCAACTGATGCAGGTTTCCCGACAGCCTCGGCTGCTTTGATGTTGTCGCCTCGCTTGTATGGGGCCGTGGCTGGCGTTTCTTAGGGCTGTACACCATCGGGACTAGAATGCCTATAAAATTGCTCATCTTACAACAATTTCCGGCAGGTGTCCTACTCAGTACAAACCATATCTCATAGTGGATATCGGACCTCTGAAGGCTATACATCAATACCACGAAGGGAACTACCAAAACTAGAATCAAGATGAGATTTATACATTGGATGACTTCCCGTAGGCTAAGTAATCAGAATAGAATATTTCGGACTTTGAAAAACCATGGGAAATCGAGTTTATTTTTTAATCTATACGACGATATTCAACCGTAGGCCAACTACATAGATATAATCCTTGATAAATGGACGATTTCTTATATTCACTTCTGAACGACAATGAGGCAGACGTCCTCGAAAACGAAGAAGGTTCACGTGTGCTAGCAGCGGCACTTATCGCTGGAGTAGAGGTTGCCCGCCAAGAGCGCATCAACAATCACCACCTCAACAGATTATACTTTTGCCACTCGCAGCTTCTTTCAAACCCACGGGAAAATACACCCTGGCAAGTGTTGTAACTAGGATTCATGTGGTATAGCGCGGAATGAAAAATGAAGGGACATAGCTGTTTAACGTGACGGACGCTGACATCGAACGAAAAGATTGACGAAAACTGGCTAGTATCATGAACTATGAATTTGAGCCTGTGCAGGGTGGGCCATTGGCCGAGAAGAATGGAGAGAACTTACCTTGTGGCATGTAGTTCTTTTGACAATACACTGTGAAGTCTTTCGACGCTACACTGGTACAGTGTAACTTTGGTGTAACTCGCATAGTGCGTGCGAGCGGTATTATGTCAGCCGATATCGTTGGCGTAGTGGCCCAAAACGGAAGAATTCTAGTCGGATTAATCTGTAGGGGGGCCCCCCCCCCCCCCCCCCTACAGATTAAAATAAAATAAGGTTTATGAGGGGGTGCAAAATTTTATCGGTGTGTCAATGTGGCATAAATTGCGAGCGGCATCGCGGCACACCTTCCTAAAGTAATAATATTTATTCTAATCCGATTATTTCGAGCCTACGGGAAGTCATCCATTATTTAGTCAAACCAAACACCAATTGAGCTTAGAAGTTCGAACCATCGTCCTTCCATCAGACTTTTTACGTACACCCACTGGCAGGCAGATCGGGCTGTGCCAAGGGCTATTATATACTTCAAGTACATGATATAAGTACTCCCCCCTCCATTCTCCACGTCCAGCATGGCAACTGCTCCCGAACCTAGGGAGGAAACCTGGGACCCATCTACTCTTTTTGCATGTGATGCACTCCCAAATCACCTGGATGACTCTGACTCGGTCACATCTGACCTGAAGTCTGCGACCAATTTCTACGACCGCAGTCTGACAAGTCGTAGGTATGCCCTCGCTGGTGTGGCATGCTCAAGTATCGTCAGCTGTTGTTGCATCGTTGCAGGCGCTGTCATTGCGGCAGCTCCTGCCAGTGGAGGTGCGGTCACTTTGATCTCAGCAGGACCGAGCGGGATTGCACTGCGGAAAGAGATGGTGGTCATTTCACTGAACTTGATCGTCACATTATGCACCGAGGCCACAGGTTTCGTACACAACATCTCATTGCGCTCTGTATTGGCTTCAGAGTCTCGGCTTAATTTCAACTCTAATCTGCGCCTTCTGACCGCAGCTCATGGATGGAGCAACCCCAATGGTGCCCTGCTCAATGGTATCATGGTTGTCCTCCTCGTCATATCCTATAGCTCAGCTTCACTAGTCGCATTACCTTCCTACTCCATCCTTTATGATGTACTTTCCGGCGAAGCCGTGAACACCGTGACCGCGACTCGTGTTGATATCATAGGGACACCTCTTCTGATTCTGGGAGTCGCACTTCTTCTCCAGGTGGTGATCACATTGACAGGGATGCGAGCTATCAAGATATTAACGTGGAGTTCCTCGCCTTTCGATTTGACCGCTGCCCTGATCCACCACGCGCAATTGACCCCAGTTCTTTTCCGGTGCATGCGTGGCGTGTCCGACTTGGATGTGGATGGAGGTCCAGCGAGGCCATCAGATACACAGCCCTCTGCATGGCATGCACACCCTAGCATCCGGAAAGTTATCATCTCCCTTTGGTGCCTTGTCGTAGCATGTGCTGGATGGGGTGTCCTCATCCTGTACATCCACGATGCGTATGAAGGCTATACCGGTCAGATAACCTGGAAATCGTGGTCGTTCTTCCCCGACGATACGAATTTCTTATACAGCCTTAGGTACCAGTTAGCAGGGGCGGGGGGGGGACTCGTTGAATTTGAATTTTGGATTCTGACTTATGTCAACCTGGCTGTAATCCAGGGACCATTGACACTTTGTCTGCACTGCTCTGAGCTCATCGCAAATGTCATTCGAGACGAAGGGCATTGGAGATGCGCTACTGGACAAGGGATTACATTGGTGAACCCACTGAAGTCGGTTTTCGCCAATCCGCTCTGTCTTGCACTTTTTGTCGCGAAGCCTATCCTGCGTAAGTCACTCGCACCTAGCTTTAGATTTGTGTTCTTGAAACAAATATTATCAACAATATAGACTGGATATTCGGGCTTTGTTTTGTGCTCCTCGCCAACTTGGACGTCTATTCATCATTTGGAGTGGATATCACAATATATATGTACCCAATGCAGGTTCGTATTCACTATCTAAGTACAGGCATTACAGCATCCTTATATACTCGCGCAGATCTTGAACTTATGGATAGTGCTGTTTGTATTCGCTTGTTTCTTCACCTTCGTGGCACGGCGGCAACGGCGCGGGCCCCAGCCAGCTGCATACGGTCACCTTCAGACACTGGCCAACCTCGTGGATGAGTGGACGCCTGTGATGTGGTGGGGCCACAAGGAAGATGGAATCCCGTATTGTCATGCCGGTAGGGTACTTGTGTGGTCATGAGGATGGTGTGTTAAGCTTTCAAATAGGGACGAGTGATCAGCCGCTGCCGGCTGTGAAGATGGACTGTGTTTATGCTGGCACCAATGCCGGGTCCCATCCTTCCGTCTCGTGAGAAGTCCTTGCTTTGCACAGACATTCCTTAACTTACCCTTTTCAAACACAGGACTTGAATTCATGTCAGGCGGACTGGGGATGCATCGACGGTGCTCACAGGTAGCTCTGCCGTGAGACGGGTATTTGCGATGCTTACGATGTTTGCAGTGTTGGAGATGGATCAGGATGTTGTCATCCGGACCTACTTCTTCGCGCACCACATTCAAAAGAATTCTGCTTTCAGCGAATGCACGATTGGGACACATTAGTGATATTGGATATGATTTACAAGGCTATGTATGCTTGGATTGTACTGTGTCAGTAGTACTAACTCACAGCGAATCGTATTGATATGTACCTTGGAACGGGTGCAAAACAGTTGGATGCTGCACAGAAGTGAGACGATGTCTCACTATAATCATATGTGTACTCTCTGCACCTGGAATAGGAAACGCTTGATTTCCCTTGCAGCCGCACTCGGCAAGGTCACACTTGAGGGGCGGGGAACAAGCAGGGAACTCCTAATTAGGCATTCGCAGTAGTTGGAAAGTACTTGCAGAGTCAAATTTTGGTCTCGACCTGTTTTGACCAAGTTCGATGATCATGAACCTTCCTAGAATCGTGCCCTAATGGCAGTACTGCTGCCTGCACCTTTTTGGCCGATTATTTCATGCTCGCAAACCGGTTTTTGTTCTTCTTGTACATTTGGACTTCTCGGCACCCGATGGACATGGGCAAGACTTTGTTTCTAGTAATTACACACAATCCCCTCGCCTTCGGCCGTTGCGATGAATTGTAGAGTACAATATGCATTACAGCTCAGGTGGATGGGAGTTACGAGAATTGCTTCAAGTTCTGCGTGATAGATATAATACAGTTCCAACTGGATAGGACTCAAAACGCGTAGTGAGGTGCAACACCTTTGGCTTGTCCCCATGCATCCTCCAGCAACTTGACGACATCGTCAGAAAGTGGTCCACCCTCGCTAGCAACAATGTGATGTGGTCAGACAATGATCATCACTATCAAAAGTTACCCACCTTTCCTTCAGATTGTTCTCGAGTTGGTCGACGTTACTGGCACCAATAATGATGCCATCACCAGGCTGCAACTTGCTGTGGTGTTGAAGCCAGCGATGAGCAGCTTCAGAAAGAGGAATTCCCTGCTTGTCCTGATATTCGAGGTCATGAGCTATGCATCACCCACGCAGCGATTCTCGTAGACTCACCAGCACACCCTTCAATTCTCGCAAAATAGGAATGAGAAGGGAATATTTCGCGCGCAGAGAACCTGCTATAGGATTTAAATCGAGATCCCATCTACCAGTTTGCATGTCCGCTTCTGAGAGAATTGTCCCAGAAAATAAACCGCTCCTGTAGAAGTTGTCATGCATGGATACCATGAACGATGGGATGTGGAACAACATACGCTAGTGGACTATACGCATAGAACCGTATTCCATAGTGTCGGAGGCAGGAGAACAACCTAGCGCTATGTCAAGACAAGTGGAGTGAGCGTCCCATCGTCGACTCACTCTGTTTCAACTCTTCGTTCGAGTGCATTATAGAGGCCTTGATATACAGTCGGTCTGACCCATCCGTTCGTTTCCGCTATGCCAACTATCTCAGCCACCTGATTAGAAGGGAGGCACAATAAGATATGCAATGTAACATCAAAAAATATAGACAGACCTCCCAGGCGTTATAGTTCGAGACCCCAAACTCCTCACTGTCCAGAGTTAAAATCATCCGGGCAAGTCAAGCACTGATTAATTAAAAACTCACAAGAGACCTTCGGAGTGCAGTTCGTTGATGGCCCGAAGAGTATCTTTAATTGGGACACTCCTGTCCGGTGCGTGCAGATAGAACGTTTCGATCTTCGTCTTCCCCAGCGCCTTGATAGAAGCTTCTAACGACGCCCGAATTTTGTCCTGCGCAAAGCCCACAGGCGCACTTGGAAAGACCCTACACATAACGGCAAATATGAGAGGATGAGCCTCACGAGCGAATATACGCACTTTGTATCTACTGTACAACCTTTCAGATCGAGTTGTCCGATGAACTGCGATGGTGCTATTGAGCGACGACGAAGGTTTCAGAGAATTCGCTCGTACCTCCTCTGATGTCCCGCCCCCGTAAACACGAGATGTATCAATCTGTTTGTGGCCATGGCTGGCGAACACGTCTATGATATTTTGTGCGTCTTCGATGGTGTTGATCCGTGCTCCCAAGGACCGTGGACCAGGTACACTGAACTGAAAGGCACCCTAAGAGTATAACAAATTAGAAGGCAGTTGACAAGTTGAAGTTTCATACTGACATAAAGAAGACGAATTCGGGTCGACATTGTTCTGGAATCAAGAACTTGAGTATTGCAGTTATCATGTGAGCATGCAGAGATCCTTTTATACCACAGAGGGCAAATGAAGCGCAACGCTGACACATTGCAATGATTACGAACAATTCCCGGTTGAGCGGAGGTGACATTATCAACATTTCCTATTGCTCAGCAAAACCATGTTCTAATCAGAATCGACCATCCCTGCAAGTGCTAGTCATTCCAGTATCACCCCAGCATATCAACGGCCTCTACATGCAACTGCTTACTCACTCGCTTCTCCATCTTACTCATCTCCTTCGGGTCCGTTCTGTGTCGGAGAAAACCTAAACCAACACCACCGGAGTGTGATCTCTCTTCCCCGTTTTCGCCAGCTCTGAAGTGCTTCTCAGCTGTCCTGCAAGTCCCCTCCAAAGTCGTGAACGGCCCATGATAGCCCAGTCCACCCTTTTCAGCGACAATCGAGCTCGGGAATCACCAAAAATGACATGCACAGACACGAGCGCGAACAAAGATGGTTGCAGATTAACTGTATCTCCAACGATGTTGGGTATAAAATGTGCAAGTGCGCGTCGCACAGGCGACGAAGACATTGACAAGAACGCGCGCGCGAGGACAAGGACCTCTATGATGTGCGATATGACAAGCATAAGGGTGGGCGACATCTCTTTGAAAATAGTCTCGGGAGCCAGTGTCGTCAACCCAACGTGGACATCGCCATATGTGATTGGCGGACCAGTATCTGTGACAGTAAACGCCTGCCCACCGAGGTCGGAATTGGATCCTCCTCTTGCAGTTTCGAGGAGACGTGCTTCATAGCAGAGGTGGGCCAGGGCGCAGTTTTCCACGTATATGAAGGATTGCATGATGTTAGGAACCCAAGTGGGATTAAACTTGCGTGCCAGGTAGGCACCGCATATCAAATCTCCACCGGGACCAAACACACCGTTACCAGTCGCATAAATTCGTCACGACAAGCTTCCATCAATTTGGAATTCACAGGAATGGTGGTATTGAGTCGCTTTGCCAAAAATCCCGCAGCCTTTGCGCGCTGGACTGCTAGGTTGATATCCACAGATGATCCCGATAGCGTGATGGAGTCGGGAGTATTATAGCAGCCAATATCCATATCGACCTTTCCCTGTTCGGCGCATATCTGTGATATGATTTTCTGGGCTTGTTCAGGGGAGCATGCAACTGCCGCCATTGCGCCTTCGACGTTTGTCAAAACCCGCCCACGCGCAATTGCGAGCTCCACAGCCATGGCTTTGGAACCTGCTCCAGATGCGCATAATAATGCGGTCTCTCCTGCAGAGTGACCCACGACCGCATCAGGCTTCATTCCAAGACTCGCAAGAGAGTTGAAGATTGCGATTTGAAGCATGGTTAGAGCAGGAAGAGTCACCGAAATAGGCCAGATGTCGCCAAGTGCTTCTGCGAAAGGAGCTTGTTGAGTGAAAAGACCGGTCTGTGCGATGAGTGAAAATCCAGTTGTACGCTTGTGTACTTCGTCCATTTCAAGTATGCTCCTATTGATGACAGTGCATGAGCTGAAAAACTCTCTGCCCACTGACGAAAATATCAGCATCAAGTCATGAAATGCTTGGGATGATGTCTCACTTTCAAAATGCTGAGGACCTTGTCCCGAAAACACAAACACGAGTGGGGGAGTGCGAGGAGCAAGAACCGGCTCGGTAAAACGAGGAGGAGAATTCGACGAAGTAACCGCATAAGAACGCCAAGGCGTAGACCTGGACCGACGTCCTAGGGTCGCTGCTACAGAAGGTAATGTTTGACTGTCTATGGCCCGTATAGATTCTCCTACGGCAACTGTTGAACGCGGAGAAAGGCCGCCCGCCACCAAAAGGCAAGGTGGACTAATGACATCTGACTGCCAGAACGGTATTACAGGATTGGTTGTAGGAGGACCCTCGACAACACAGTGACCATTAGCACCGCCGATTCCAGAGCCCGCCAACGAGATCGGAGAGCGTCCAGTAGCAGATTGACAAGGCAACGTTGTTGGTGATGAGACGACGCGAAGATGGAAGTCTTCCCAACGAATCGCCGGATTAGGGTTGAGGAGATTGACATCGGGAGGGATGATTCCTGATTCAAACATGGAGCAAACCTTGCAGTGACGCAAGAAACGCTGTAATTTCGAGGTGACTGGGTGGAGCAAAGTGAGACCAAGCTGATTGTCGTAATTCCGACGACATACCCTATGTTTCCTTTCACACTACCTATAAGGAGCTCCCTGTTATCATTTTTCAAGAAGCTCTCTCCAACCCAGTTTGCTTCCGTTGGATCGCCGGAAGCAGTCCCTAGAGTCATACACGTTTGAATAACTCCACGGCCTAGATTCAGGAACTTGCCTGTGGCATGAAGCTCGACGAAATCAACTTCGTGTGGCTGGCGGCCAGCTCGCTTGAAGGCTCTCAGCATTGCATCCCTTTGAGCAAAGGCTACAGGAGAGTTTGCAGGAGCCAATGAACCAGATGAATTGATGCCGGTGCCTAGAACCTGTGGAAAATTAAGAACCGATACATACATCCCATGCGGAAAATAACGTACAGTAGCATATATGTGGTCATGATCTAGGAGCGCCTTGTCAAGCGGTTTAATAACCACAACGACAGCACCCTCTCCCCGAGAAAATCTTGGAAGAATTATTAGTCATGACTCATGCGGACTCAAAATTTGCCTTACCCATTAGCAGAGACGTCGAAGGGTTTACATTTGCCATCTGGTGCAAGTATCCCAGCTTGACTGTACGTTAGCCAATCCATAAACCTAGTAACATTGAGGCGTTTCAGCCGTCAAATTTCAGAAATACTGCTGAAAAGAAATCTTTGCCTATGATTCAATTGACAACCACCCACAAGCGCTGCTTCGCACTCCCCATTGCATACGGCCTGAATAGCGAGATGGAAGGCAGAAAGACTAGAGCTGCAAGCATTGTCGATGGGGATGGAAGGTCCGCGTAGGTCCAGGTGGTATGACACACGATTGGCGATCATTGCAGGGGAACCTGCCAATAAACCGCGGGCTTCAGTATCATACTGAGAAACTAGGCGTGAGTCAGCGAGACACAAGACAGGTATCGCCAACCTCGCCGGAAATCATCCAAACGTCATGGGCGACGCTCGACATGTAAGTCCCGATATTTCTTCCTCGATAGTCAATTCCAGAGTCCAACAAGGCCATGAAAGACAGCTCAATGAGCTTTCGCGTTCCAATCGTCATCATCCTAGTGTCTTTGCTACTGATTCCGAATTCGATAGGATCGAATAAATCTAGATTTTTCAAGAATGCGCCATGTGCGGTGGCCACTTCACCGATATTCACTCCCTGAAGACTGGGCGCGTGGTCAGTAATTGACGGGTGGGACTTGTTAAGGAAGACAGACGCACGCATCTGTATTGAATCTATCGGCCGGGATTCTCTCGTAGGCTTGGTGCTCGTTCATGAGGAAGTCGAAGAACGATTGATAGTCAAGGTTGCTTGTTCCATGAGGACCACTTGGGAGCTCTACGGAAATGCCAACCTGGATGGATGAAACATGATAGCTCAGTACATAATTAGTCGCACACGAGCTTACCAGTGCGACAGGGAAGTATTCGTTTGGAGAGACCATGTTTTTGATATGGAGATGAGTAGAGTGACGCTTTTAAACTTGCGCCAGTCCCTTAAAGGCCCGGGTAGTTACATCCTTGAAAACCACGATAACTCGCAGATTGAAATTGCTGACAGGGACAGGACTTGGACTGGGGCAGTGGAACAGGGTCCCCACACTGTGGACCATCAAGAATTTCCGAAGGTCGTTACATAAATATATGGAAGGACGGCGGTGATGAGTGCCTCGGGTGTTAACTACCCTTCCGAAATACTTCGGCTCCCAAATCACGGCACAAACAAGGTATGTGCAAACATCAAATTATATCACACACCAAGACTCCAGTCACCAGTATTCGACTCCAGCTTCTCTCCTGCATCTTGCCCAAATCTTGCCGCTGTACTTCTGCCAAGACACCCAAGAATGCATTGGAACGCCATGCAGGGCCGTACATCTGTCCTGCACGACGGAATCAACAATAGCTTTGGGGTTATAAATGTCTGAAGGGTATACAACGCAAGACCATGCGGCAAGGTTACCTAGAACTAGGCATGCATGAATTCAAGGTAAGGATGGCTGATGAAAAACACAGAAGTTTGTCACTCATCAAAACGTTGGAACAAGGGGGGTACATTGCCTGATGAAAAGCATCACTAGTATCATGAGGTATATAGTATACACACTACCAAATAATTCCCACAGCAGAGGAGTCCATGGTATGTCACTCGGTAGTTTGCATCAGTTCACCTTGGATGTATCATCCTCATCTGATTCCACCTTCAACCTGTCATGCCGGTAGGGTACTTGTATGGTCATTTTGTTGCTAGTAATTACACGCAATCCGCTCGCCTTCGGCCGTTGCGATGAATTGTAGTGTACAATATGCATTACAGCTTAAGTGGATGGGAATTACGCGAATTGCTTCAAGTTCTGCGTGATAGATATAATACAGTTCGAACTGGATAGGACTCAAGCCGCGTAGTGCGGTGCAACACCTTTGGCTTGCCCCCATGCATCCTCCAGCAACTTGACGACATCGTCAGAAAGTGGTCCACCCTCGCTAGCAACAATGTGATGTGGTCAGAACAATGGTCATCACTATCAAAAGTTACTCACTTTTCCCTCAGATTGTTCTCGAGTTGGTCGACGTTACTGGCACCAATAATGATGCCATCACCAGGTTGTAACTTGCTGTGGTGTTGAAGCCAGCGATGAGCAGCTTCAGAAAGAGGAATTCCCTGCTTGTCCTGATATCCAAATCATGAACTATGCGTCACCCATGCAGCGATTCACATAGACTCACAAGCACGCCCTTCAATTCTCGCAAAATAGGAATGAGAAGAGAATATTTCGCGCGCAGATAATCTGCTACAGGAGATAAATTGGAATCCCATCTACCAGTTTGCATGTCCGCTTCTGAGAGAATTTTCCCAGCAAGTAAACCGCTCCTGTAGAAGTTGTCATGCATGGATACCATGAACGATGGGATGTGGAACAACATACGCTAGTGGACTATACGCATAGAATCGTATTCCATAGTGCCGGAGGCAGGAGAACAACCTGGCGCTATGTCAAGACAAGTGGAGCGAGCGTCCCATCTTCGGCTCACTCTGTTTCAGCTCTTCGTTCGAGTGCATTATAGGGGCCTTGATATACAGTCGGTCTGACCCATCCGTTCGTTTCCGCTATGCCAACCATCTCAGCCACCTGTTTAGAAAGGAGGTGTGATGAGATATGCAATATAACAAAATATAGACAGACCTCCCAGGCGTTATAGTTCGAGACCCCAAACTCCTCACTGTCCAGAGTTAAAATCATCCGGGCAAGTCAAGCACTGATTAATTAAAAACTCACAAGAGACCTTCGGAGTGCAGTTCGTGGATGGCCCGAAGAGTATCTTTAATTGGAACACTCCTGTCCGGCGCGTGCAGATAGAACGTTTCGATCTTTGTCTTCCCCAGCGCCTTGATAGAAGCTTCTAACGACGCCCGAATTTTGTCCTGCGCAAAATCCCCGGGCGCAGTTGGAAGGACCCTACACATAAGGGCAAATATGAGAGGATAAGCCTCGCGAACGAATATACGCACTTTGTATCCACTGTACAACCTTTCAGATCGAGTTGGCCGATGAACTGCGATGGTGCTATTGAGCGACGACGAAGGTTTCAGAGAATTCGCTCGTACCTCCTCTGACGTCCCACCCCCGTAAACACGAGATGTGTCAATCTGTTTGTGGCCATGGCTGGCGAACACGTCTATGATATTTTGTGCGTCTTCGATGGTGTTGATCCGTGCTCCCATAGACCGTGGACCAGGTACACTGAACTGACCAGCTCCCTAAGAGTGTAACAAATTAGAAGGCAGTTGACACGTTGAAGTTCCATACTGACATAAATAAGACGAATTCGGGTCGACATTGTTCTGGAATCAAGAACTTGAGTATTGCAGTTGTTGAGCATGCAGAGATCCTTTTATGCCACATAGTATTATTAGAAGCGCAGCGCTGACACATTGCAACGATTACGAACAATTCCCGAATCCCGGTTGAGCGGAGGCGACATCATCAACATTTCCTATTGCATAGCAAAACCATGTCCTACCATCCCCACAAGTGCTAATCATTCCGGTATCATCCCAGCACATCAACGGCCTCTACATGCAACTGCTCACTGACTCTCTTCTCCATCTTGATCATCTCCTTCGGGGCCTTTCTGTGTCGGAGAAAACCTAAACCAACACCGCCGGAGTGTGATCTCTCTTCCCCGTTTTCACCAGCTTTGAAGTGCTCCTCAGCTGTCCTGCAGATCCCCTCCAGAGTCGTGAACGGTCCATGATAGCCCAGTCCACCCTTTTCAGGCGACAATCGAGCTCGGGAATCGTCAAAAATGACATGCACAGACGCGAGCGCGAACAAAGATGGTTGCAGATTAACTGTATCTCCAACGATGTTGGGTATAAAATGTGCAAGTGCGCGTCGCACAGGCGACGAAGACATTGACAAGAACGCGCGCGCGAGGACAAGGACCTCTATAATGTGCGATATGAACAGCATAAGGGTAGGCGACATCTGTTTGAAAATAGTCTCGGGAGCCAGCGTCGTCAACCCAACGTGGACATCGCCATATGTGATTGGCGGACCAGTATCTGTGACAGTAAACGCCTGCCCACCGAGGTCAGGGTTGGATCCTCCTCTTGCAGTTTCGAGGAGACGTGCTTCATAGCAGAGGTGGGCCAGGGCGCAGTTTTCCACGTACATGAAGGATTGCATGATGTTAGGAACCCAAGTGGGATTGAACTTGCGTACCAGGTAGGCACCGCATATCAGATCTCCACCGGGACCAAACACACCATTACCAGGGCGAAGACATCCCGTCCGCAGTGTCTTCTCACCAGATCGAGACCCATTAGCAGCTCTAACTGCTCTCTCTCCGAGGACCTTAGAAGCAGCGTAGTTTGAGAAGAAATGGTCGTGGTATTTGGGAATTAGGTTATCGTCGTCATTAATTATTTGGACAAAGTACTTGGGCTGCTTCTCCCAAGGCCAGAGCCAAAAGCGAGAACGACGAACAGAGATAGATCCAGATGATGTATACATCAATACCGTGACACCTATAGATCGTGCTGCATTGATCACATTTTGAGTCCCTTCATAGTTGACTTTGGAAGAACGAGGTAAAAGCGCGAGATGACGCTCATAGAAGCGTATATTGGCAGCGGTGTGGAAGACTGTGACCTCTGGCGCTGTCTCTGAAGGGTCGCAATCTGGCCAAGGCGCTTGGAAAGCATCGTCCACAGCCTTCGCATTACAAACATCTACTTGAAAGAAAGCAACCTGCGCGGCCAGGCCTGTGCGTAGGTCTGAACGAGTAGGACGGCGTAGGTCGAGAATTCTGATCTTCTTTGAATCCTCGCCACGTTGTAGAAGTTGGATGATGATCCAGCCGCCCAAGAAACCAGCCTATGCCAGAAACGTCAGCAATGAGCATTAAGCGCTGGATGCAATTAGATACTGACACCAACTACAATATACCGACGTCCAGTCTTTGGTGGAAGGACATCTTTTATAATTTTGGGCGAGTTACAAAGCTTTTCAGCAGTTTCACGGACGACATGCGGTGTGAACCGGTTGGGTGCGAACGCTTTGGCTTCCGCCGGAAGTTGCGACAATCCTTGGTCGTTGAAGCGAAAATAGAGATATATTATGAGCGGGGCGATCCCTGCCAACACGCTGAGGAGAGATAACATCGCTCCTGGAGGGACGGGTACGAGGCTTGCTCGGGAACGTCGGGAAGCGCGCCGTCGGGTGCATGTGAGCTACTTAATAAGTTCGGAAATCGCCTGGTCGTGCGATGTTCGTGTCAGTGAACATGTAATGAGTTACGATATCGGGCTTCGGTAACTTCCACATACATGCCTCCGTCGGGCAAATGCCGTAGGAACACAATCCGAATGGAAAATCTATTATACTGCAGGAAGGTGACATGGCTTTATCCAATTATCCATGACATATGACTAGTGACCTCTAGTGACATTATGGTTTCAATGCAATCTTCAAGGCGTTTCTGCTGTTCATTTTATCCAGTGCCTGTTGATATTCACTGATCTTGAACACGTCAGTGACCTAGAAAACATTAATGTGGCGGTCGAGTTCGGAGTACGCTTTATGCATACCATGCCCTTCACTTTCACTTTACCACTGTCAAGATAGGCTACGGCTCGAGGGAAACAATGGGTCTGAGCAAATGAGCCAATGATCTGCTCAAGTTATGAGCAAGGAATGGATGGTAAGAATTATTCTACACACCTTGATTTCATCCCCAAATATCTTGGAAGGGGGCCAGTGGACACGAGCACTTTCAGAGTAGACACCGTAAATCATGAGAGTGCCGCCCCGCCGGACGTAATTAATTGAGTCGTTTGCGACCTCTTCATTGCCAGTAGCCTCAACCTGCAAACAAACGATTCAAGCTGAACGCAAGTCTTCAGTCCTGCAATTCACTTACGACCACATCGAATCCATACGGATGGTCCCTCCTTAGTTGTTCCCATTGGGGTGCAGGATTTTCTCTATCGAGCTCAATATAGACGTCACCAGCGCCTAGATCCTGTGCAATCCGGGTCTTAATACCCTTATTGGCAGCAACAACGACTTTGGCGGCACCGTTCAGTTTGAGCAGTTGTGCGAGAATCAGCCCGGTAGGTCCAGCACCAATCACCAAGGCATCAATGCCTACGGGTGGGTTGAGCTTATCCATCCCGTGAATGGCGCAGGCAGCAGGCTCGACAAGTGTTGCTTCTTCATCGGTGAGGTACTCGATCTTGTAGGTTTTCTTGGCCTCGCTGCACAAATGAGAAAACGTGTAAGATGTGCGGGTTCAGTAGTGGTAGCACCCACAATACGACATATTCAGCAAATCCTCCTGCCATTGTAACTCCTCTGCCGTTGAAGTTCTCGCACAGCAGAGACTGCCCTCGCCTACAATAGAAACATTTATCGCACTGTAAAAATGTCAAGTCGTGCTCTCAATGTACTGAAGAGTTGGATTTACTGTAACCCCTGGGTCGGCGACGCATCGGTCACCTTCAGCGAATCCTGTAACGTTACTACCGACTTTGGCAACTGTCCCAATTACTTCGTGACCAGGAATTAGCTGTGATCGGAAGATCACTCTCAAAATACGTTCAAATTGTGCTTTTGCGGAAACTCACAGGAAACTTCGCGATGAATTCTCCTTCATGTACATGCCCGTCGGTCCCGCATATGCCTGTGGATAGTTAAATCCATGTGCGGAGCGTCTATGGGTGTGTGGACCTTACCACAACATGAGACTGGAACAATATCAGAGCCACTGTTAGAGAACTACCGGGAGTACACACCCTTGATCAAGATCTCATCATCATTTATGGTAGGAATGGGTACAGATCGCACGTCGAATTGCCGTGGCTAGTTCAAGCGCAATGAGAGACAATTTATCGTGATAAGCATGCGACTCACAGCTTCATAGTAGACAGCGTTCATAGTAGCCATAAGGTTTCCTGCGAAGAGAGGGTCGGTCAAATACCAACGATAGACCGGATACAAGCTTCGGTGAGATGGGAGGTTATAGTGGAAGATATATCAGCCTGGGAGATATGGCTCATGTCCTTCGTCTCAAAGCTTTTGTACTGCATGATATTATATAACAGAAGCTCAGATCGGTCAGGCAGGAAGGTCACCTGAGTGATTTCGTCCGTAATACAGTAGAATCGGCCCGCTCGGATGTGGACGCAATGTATAAACAGCTTGCTCGAGACAAGCTTGAGAAATTAATACGACAAGTCGAATGTAAGTCGATGCTGCAGCATTGCATTTCTGAAGAGGAAAGCGGCCTTCGAACAAACAGCCACGTCGTCACGGTGCCTTCCGACGCATCCACAGAATAAGATGGCTTCGCAACCAGCCTCAGTGAGCTCGCAGCCTGAACCTGAGTCTGGTATCACCCTCAGAGGAATGCATTACCAGTTGCTGCAAGCAAATGATAAGTGGAGCAGGTGGAGGTGAACATTAGGGGAGCTCAAAGTTGAACGCCCAACACCCAAGCCCAACGCCCAACGCCCAACCTCGTGACTGAAATTAGGTATACCTAGAATAAATAGAAGTAAATACGGAGTAAAGCCACTGATGAGATAAGCTCCTTACCTAAACCTTGTCGCGCGAAGCGCCGAAACCTTCGCCAACTGTCTCCCCCTAATCCTCAGCATTTCTAAACCTTTCAAGCCTTTTCATCGTACCTAAACCTTTTTATACCTAAGAGACCTTGCTTTTTCATTCCTAATCCTGTTCAGTTATCCCTCATTAGAATTTTGTCACATGCTTACACAATAAAATCTATGACATGGGTTATGATTAGGGTTAGGAATAGCAATTTTTAAGTACGGAAAGGTTAGGAATAGAATATGAAAAGGTTTAGGGTGTGAAAAGGTTTAGAAATGCTGAGGATTAGGGGGAGACAGTTGGCGAAGGTTTCGGCGCTTCGCGCGACAAGGTTTAGGTAAGGAGCTTATCTCATCAGTGGCTTTACTCCGTATTTACTTCTATTTATTCTAGGTATACCTAATTTCAGTCACGAGGTTGGGCGTTGGGCGTTGGGCTTGGGTGTTGGGCGTTCAACTTTGAGCTCCCCTATTCGAAAGACGGCACGACCGTGAGGCGTGGACCCCATATCAAGACTCAACTCACGCTGAACTATATTTGTAGCATCCCAAATTACAACACCTTGCTTTTCAGACATGCCACCTATTCCGACAGCGCTGGATGCTGAAGCTATTTCTCTAATCGACTCCATCGAACGGCACCATAATGACCTTTCAACTTTTCAGATTCCTCGTCTAAGAGCGTGCACCGGTCCTTTGACCACGCAACAAGCATGGGCGGTGGAGGTAAGGGAGGACATTGAAGGCCTGGCAAGGCAGATTGAGGTTTGTCATCTCGCGCATTCAGGTCAAGCCCACATTCACCGCTTGTAGGAGCTGGATGTCCTGGTTGATGACCAGAGGACTGAACGGGCAAGAGGAGAGCTGAGGAGAAGAACTGAGGTTTTCCGCGATTCATTAGTCAAGTATGCAGCCGTTTGACCATCCAGCACTGTCTCCGGTCTCTGACAAATTTTCTCTCTGTATTTTAGTCTACGAAAAGACTCTCGAGCAGCATTACTAGCGTCGAAACATGCAATTGACGCGCAAAGTCGGTCACAGCGAGAAGAGCTATTGCGGTCCCCTGCCGTTCTCGAGAAAAGCACAAGCTCATCGAGCGAGAAAGTCACGTTCGTGTGCCGTATGAATTCCTTCTTTCTGATACGGCTGACCCGTGATATACAGTGAAGACGCACTTATGAAAGCCAATCATGATGTCACAGAAGCTCTGCAACGAACAATCGGACTCATGCAGAAAGAACTCGAGCGCAGTGTCTTGTCAAGCCAGTTACTAGGCAAGTTCCTCACGCTACCATTTTTCTCTCCAATACCTATCGTTCACTCAATAAAGAATCATCCACTGCAACTCTCCAATCTGCATCCACGATGCACGACGCGCTCGATCTCATCCTCGGCACCTCCAAACAACTTATTACCGCACTCGAAAAGACAGACTGGCTCGACCGCATCCTTATAATTTCCGGCCTCGTGTTCTTCGGCCTCGTGGTCCTCTTCATACTAAAACAGCGCATAGTCGATCGCGGGCTACGCATCGCATTTTTCTGGACGAGGATATTGCCCAGCTCCGGCTTGAGTACGCGTGCGGTAGTGCAGAAAGCTGGGGAGGTCGTGACGACTGCGTCGGCTAGCACTGCTGCTGCGTCAGCTGTGCTGGCGTCGTTGATAGGTGGTCAGGATGGCGGAGCTGGTCAGCTGGTAGAACCCAGTATGCACGAGTCTGAATCCCCTGGTTTCACAATAGCAGCTATGGAGCCACGGACTACTGGACAGCATACCGACTCAGGAGACCTACATGTTGAACTATGATAATCTTGGACTGATTCACAGTGAATACACGGACTCAAGTACTGAATTGCAGACCGACTATTCACATGGTTGTAGGTATATAACAGGATTATGTACTGGGACAAGGATAGATGGAACTGACAATGGTTGATGTGATTGAATGGGTAAAACGAATAATCAGGTGACGGCGTGAATATAACCAGGTGTTAAACATGATGTGCAGCATAGGAGACGCTGAATGAAAGATAGATACCATAATTTTGACAGGCCGCGAGGCAAGAAAATGCACCAAAAAACTGAGGAAAGTAACGTCAATTGCTCTAGAACATCTCTCAGAACTTTGCAAGGGGGACCTGTCACATCCACCTTCCCGTACTTATCTATCTTTGCGTTCTCAGCGGTTGCCTTAATGCCCGACTCCTTCGAATGGACCTCCTCACGGTTCAAACCGAGTGAATCGTCGGGGATCCACACGACGCTTTGCTGGCGGGACGCAGCTGGTCCAGGTTGTGTGCGAACCCATAATCCTCCGTGCCGTCTGAGAGAGATAGAGAACTTCTATATTCCGTGCCGTCTGACCTGCGCGCGAAGAACACATCATCATATTCACATGCACAGCATCCTCGACTCGCGACTCGTTGGAGGACGAGGCGCGATGCTTGTCAGTCGGCGTTCCTCCTCAATATCCTCCTCGGACGTCCCCTTGCGCATAGAGTCTGACCCGCCATTGCCATCCCGTACATCCAGAGAAAATTCTTGACGAATGGAAGGGCATTGGTGAGCAGACCAAAGGAGCTGCCGATGATGGCCGCCGCGCGCGTGACGGCAGCCAGCGATGGGAAAGATCAACACAATCATAAGCACCGTCTGCGACCGCGCCTGCCTTGGTTGACTGTGCATACTTGATGTTATCAACAGAGCTTGGTGTGCTGCCTAGGTTGACGTAGTCCACTGGCAGGACGACCGCAACAGCATTCAAACATCCCCCAACTATGCCAGGTAAACCCTAAAAAGAATGGATCTGAATATTTTAATTAGCGACTGTCAACGAATTCCAAATCATCCCCTGCATACCCTTACTCAGATGTTTTTTGCCACTGCCAGCAGTACTAGCAGAGGAACCTTGGTACGGCAAAAGCCGAGGGCAGTACTTACCATCGGAGGTTGTTTACGTCACTGCTGTGCTATTTGTCTTGCAGCCTGCTTTATAAATTTATGGCTAGACTCACGCCGAACAACCCCAGAGCGGCCATTTGGCTCCTTCCAGCCCGCCATGAAGTCATACTTGCAATTGGGGAGTCAGATAAGCTTGAATAGATCCGGATGCAACAGACTTATAAGACTTGAGATGCTCTTCAAGTTTTGAAGTTGTTCCTAAGCCACGAAGATATTTCAAGTCTCATAGGTCGACTCTTTGCCTAATACTTCGAGCACGATGTCATCCCGAATCAATCTGATATTCGTAAGGTCCATGACAACTTTGAGGACTAATAAATGACTTTACTTTCAGGGTGCAGGTTCCTTTGGGCTTCCAGGGCCTCATTCGAATGGAGCGCGTATCCATTCAGTTGAACAGGCCCGAGAGACTATCAGTGTTTATGTCCATCATGGATATACCACCATCGATACCGCTCGTCTATATGGTGGTGGAACGTCTGAGGAGGTGAGTGGTCGCGCGAAATGCCAAAGTAATGTCATTAACGACACCGAAGTTCATTGGTCAAGTTGACATCGCGGAAGGATGCTACATAGATACCAAGTACGCACGTTCGTCTCCGCACAACCCACAGTTAAAACTGACGGTTCTATTTCATAGGGCCCTTTCATCGAAGCCTGGCGATTTATCACCCAAGAATCTTAGAGCCTCCTTGATGGAGTCTTTGAAGGCTCTCCGCTGGCAAAAAGTGCACATCTTCTACTTGCACTCACCTGACCGAAGCGTGCCCATTGAAGATACCTTACGGGCAATCAATGAGTTTTATAACGAGGGTCATTTGTAGGTATTTCTTTGCATATTGCAATTTTTGTCCTCAACATGCTTTAGCGAACAATTTGGCCTGAGCAACTATAACTCCTGGGAGGTTTGTAATACATATGCGAATCTGTTAAAATACGATTGACCCGTTCACGCAGGTCGCAGAAATTATGGGTATCGTGAAACAAAACAATTGGGTCAAGCCTACAGTATACCAAGGCGGATATAACGCAGTGGAGCGAAACGTTGAAGTAGAGTAAGCTATTTTCAATTTGACGATTTGCTTTTTCCTGAGACTGTACAGGCTCATTCCTTGTCTGCGTCATTTTGGGATCAAGTTCTACGCATATGGGCCACTGGCGTACGTCTCCCATAAGTCTTTCTTACTCGTTGGATGACTTACATGTATTTCACAGTGGCGGCCTTCTAGTGGGAAAGATTCTCGATGAAGATAGCATGAAAAACGCCAAGGGAGGTCGCTGGGACCCTTCCGTGTCCCACTTTGCACCTACATTGTACGAACAATGCGGACCACTGCTGCCAATTCTACGTGAATTGAAGGAACTACTGGTGCGTAAAGGAGGTGACTCTCAACCAAGATCAGCTTATTCGAATGCATCAGGATGTGCACAATATCCGCATGGCTGAGGCAGCTCAAAGATGGCTGCAACACCACAGTGCCCTTCAACCTGGAGATGCAGTTATTCTCGGTGCAGCATCACCCCAGCAAATGGAGGATAATATCGTGCAATGGTGCGTCCCTTGTCTGGTTCCCCTATCTCATTTTCATCTCTGCACAGTGAGGGAGGACCGCTTCCGGATGAGATCGTGAAACTGTTGGACGAGACGTGGAAAAAGGCAAAAGCTGTTGCTCCTCATTATGCTCTGTAAATGTCGGACTCTGGAGTACGAAATAAAATGTTTCTAGGGAACGACTGATAATCGTTCATCTCTAAGATTTGTCCGGCGCCTCTGTCGAGACCCAAACGGTCATTCTACTAGCACCCCTAGTCTTCAAGAACACTGGGAATAGACTTGAGGTGGATCACAATAAACCGGATTGACGCAAACAGGTGAATCAATCAAGTATTTCAACTACGTTAGAGATAAATGATTGAAAGCATTAATCCGTAAACGATGAACATTATATTGGTCCGCGAAGTGTAGGTAAATGTACTGAAAATGCCCAGTAAAATGAGATGATGAAATGTAAGAAACGAGTATGTCCAGTCTACAACAGCCACGAAACAACCTCATACGGGGAGGACGGTTTTGAAAACGTAGTCCCAGATCTTGCTGGTGACACCGAAACCTAACTCGAAGTTCTTGTAATGGTGTGCAAGGTGATATTTCTTCATGTGCCGCAAGTACGCAGGTAACTTCGTGTGGTGAAGACTGAAAGCGGGTTAATAAAATGCGTCAAATCAGAACTGACCAGACTCACGCATAATGCATACAGTCGTAAAGGACGTCTGGAAATGATGATCAGAAAACGATTTTAAAGCTCAGGCACAGCTACTTACAAAACGTGAATGAACCAGCAATGATACCGTTAGCGACTGAAGTGGGGAACAGGATGTATGCGAGGCGAGTGAATGGGATTTGAAGGATCCCAAACATAACAGGCGGCATGACGAGCCTGAGTCTAAGAGGGGATTAGCAATATAATATAGCATACCACACGGAATTTCGCACCTATCCATAGGCATATAATGATGAATACCGTGGAGCAAAAAGTGAAGTGTCAAGAACGCGTAGTGGTCGGGCAGGAACTCGTCGATATGGAACAGGAAACGATGCATCCCATATTCTAGAATCGTCCATATGAAGTTCCCCAAGAAGAAGCATGGAAGGGCTTTGGCAAAGGCGTCTAATGTTACCGTTGATGTGAGCGACCAAGGGAGTAGAGGATTAGAAATAAAGTTGGGTATGGGACCGTTGAACTGGAGCATGGACCGAAGGAACAGATTTGCGGCGATTGGCAGCCAAATCAGTGGTACTGCGTACCACACGGTTCGTGTGCACACCTGCATACTCAGATAAGATGGGAACACAAATTTCTAGGAATGCTGCGCACCTCAAAGATATCGTACGCAAAGAGACGAGCAGACTCGTGCAAATGCCGTGGTTGATGAACTTGCTTGAGATAATAGGATTTACTATGTCCAGGCAGTCAGAGAATGCGTCTGCGAAGAGGATGAGTCCCAACGTACCTAAAGTTGGCTTGCCACATTTGCTGCAATAAGGGCGTGCGCAGGTCCAAAAATTGTGTTTTCTCGAAATCTTCCGCAGAGTCCGTATCTTCAGGGTGGAAGTCATCTGGAGCCTCCCAGTCTGCAGAGCAAATCCTCCATGAGTATGTTTTCCAGTAAGCGCAACTGAGTTGCATACCATCTCTGACAACCGTTGCTTCAGTCCCCAAACGCCCAATCAAATATTCCTCCAACATTTCATACGCAGAGTCAGAGTGATCATGAGAATCCCCATCCTTCATGATACTTTCTACGTCCGTCCCAGCATGCTCGAGAATGAGGTCGTCTCCTCCTGGGTGGTCAGGCACGAACGCAGTGACATCGTAGACCTTGCCACGGCAGGTTACCCAACAGCTTTTGGCGGACTTGTGGCTTGCAACGTCCTCTTCGGTGTAAATGCGAACGCGTTTCGTGACCGCCATGCTGGTTGTTGGACAAAGCAAACTTCGTTCATGCTCCCATTTTTGACTTTTCATTTCCTGTGAAAGTTCTCACGATCTCGGAGAGCATAAATAGCCCCTGTTTGTCATAATTTCGCCTTAGGGTGCGTAATGCATCGATAGATCATTTCCCTCCAACACTCCCAACAACATTTTGCACAAGCTCTGCACTCCACTTGCGAAGAATATGTTTCATAACCTTTCCACTGGCAGTCTTCGGGAGTTCTCCCGGCGTGCCATCTTCGCCGACAAACCATACCCACGCTGGAGCATTCTGGGAGTATGTTAGTTTGGCCGATAGCCCCACCTCCGGAACTTACCTGCGGATTCATGCTATCTGAGACAGTCCGACGGACTTCCTCTCTTGACATGTTGGTGCTGGGTTCTCGGACAATCCATGCCCCCACGACCTCTCCATACATTGCATCAGGTACAGAGACGGCTGCAGCCTCCCTAATGGAGGGATGTGTAGTCAGCGCGTTCTCAATTTGGACCGGGAATAGATTCTGCAAGCTGGGTTAGGCCATGGTGCTACGTGAGATGGAATGTGTCACCTCTCCGCCGCGAATAATTAGGTCCTGTAATGTAATTCATTTTTTGGAATTTGGAGTTGAGGCGTGGACTAACCTTGATCCTGCCAACAACTGCGGGACATCAGACAGGTACGCAAAAAGGCACGTCAAAATACGCTTACTCCTCAGATATCCTTCCTCATCCATGATCCCTTCGTCACCTGTATGCATCCATACTGTGGACGGGTCATTCGGATCCGCTCGCATGACCTTCCGTGTCTGCTCCTCATCATTCCAGTAGCTAGGCTCGTTTCAGTCGATAAGAACAAACGAGAAAGTGGATCAAGCGAACCCTTTCTGAACAAGATAACCAGCGATACACAATTCACCTGGCTTGCCGACAGGGACAACATGTCCTTCGCCATCAATGATCTTGACCTTCACGTGTGGTTGCACTCTACCAACTGTCTCAACGCGTTTGATGATTGGATCCGCTGGAGTGGTTTGAAAAGCCACGGGACTGAAACAAAATCAGCGACAGCTATAAAACCCTATTCCTACCGAGGAAGTAAACTAGCCTCGTTTCCGCTATTAATGGGTTGATAAGCCGAATTTCAGTTGAACGAGATGAGGAACTCACTCATTCCATACGCAATGGACAGATCTACGAGGTTCAATTTCTCGATCAGCTGTCGCATGAGGTCAATGGGTATCGGTGAGCCCGCTGCGATGCCAGTCCTACATGTCATGATGTCATGAGTGACGATGCGCAATTGGGCAAGACTTGTTCTACTTACCGTAGGCGGCTCAAGTCCAGCTTCTCTCCTGCATCTTGCCGCTTCTGTACTTCTGCCAAGACACCCAAGAAATGTGTTGGGACGCCATGCAGGGCTGTACATCTGTCCTGCACGATGGAATCCACAATAGCTTTGGGGTTATATATGTCTGAGGGGTATACAACGCAAGACCCATGGGACCATGCGGCAAGGTTACCTAGGACTAGGCGTGCATGGATTCAAGGTAAGAATGGCTGCATGAAAACACAGAAGTTTGTCACTCATCAAAACAGTGGAACAATGGGGGTACATTGCCTGATGAAAAGCATCACTGTCACATGAATTACGAGAATCAGAGGCGAACGTACAGAGGATATCGTCTGGGCCCAGTCGCATACAGTCACCAATGGAGATACCGTTATTGAGTAGGTTCGTGTGAGTTAGCTGAGACGGTATTCAGGAGCGGTGCAAGCATGGTAGAAGAAGCCATTTACTGAGACAGCCTTGGGAGCGCCGGTGGTCCCGCTATGTATTGATTCACTTTGAGATAACGAATGTATATCTACAAGAAAACACACCTGGTAAACTGCAGGTTGATTACCTCGTCGCTGCGCTGCGACTGGACCGACTCTTCGATATGACGCTGTTCCCATGCATCTTCCCTCCATATCAAGGTCTCTCTCCAATCAGTGACACTCTTGATATCGCGCGTCTCTCGTTGCCACTCTGCAGCGTCGTGGATATTATCGACTACGACCAAGTTCCTCAGCGAAGGAAGGGCAGGCTCTTGGATATTTCCAGGACTTGAGTTTCGCAGCTCAGGAAAGGCATCAGAGAGCATGCGGATATAATTTGACGTTCTGATGCGTGGTACAGTGAAGAGATGGGTGACGCCGACGAGGTTGAGTGTCTCCACCTACAACACGGTGGTTCAAGAGCTGCAGAATACCGCATAATCAACTTACAAGTTCATTCAACCTGTAGGCAGGGTTCAGCGTTACAAGGATAGCACCTATGCTCGCGCATGCCCACTGAAGTGATGCGTAGGAACTTCATATAGATACACATGCCTGCGTCAGCAGATATCTCGCGTCAGAACCAACACAGTACCCACCTATTGTTCCCCATGAGCACTGCAACGCGATCGCCCTTCCTGACACCCATTGCGACCAACCCTCGTGCAAGCGCTCGTATGTGCCTGTCAAACTCTTCAAAATCCCATGCTAGGTGGCTGGTGACGTTGAGGTTCCTCGATGGCGGCCCACCATGGGCGTGAGGACGTTCTTGCCTACAAATTAGGGCAGGGAGGTGAGCGTGTTTTCCGAGGATCTCTTCTCTAAAGAAACCTGTGAGCGTTCGGAAATCCAGGGAGCGTTCAGTAGGTCCCTGAACAGAGGAGGATGTGAGAGTGCGATGACCAGTATTACGACACGTCGACGCGCCAGTTCGCAACGCCGACCTGACACTTTGATAGAAGCCAAGTGAGGTCATCGTTTGAATGCGTCCACAGGTTGTCGTTCCTTCTATAAAGGTCAACACCACAAGCACGAGACATTTTTAACCGAACTTCGCAGAGACTCTCTGAGGAAGTAATTTTACATCATGGCTGGGCGGCGGACCGTGCAGCTGACCCAATTACGGTACCTAATTTGGATGAAATCATTGCCCTATCGCCAATTGCAGCCCAGCCTGGCAGTTTTAAAGAGATCGACCTGTCGCGCAGAATCCTCTCCACTCCAAAGCCGTTGCTTCCATTCCCGCGACCGTCTGGATCAAGTCGCTAAAGATACTGAGGTCACCCCAATGTTTGCACAGCAAAAATACGCAGACGGTGATCAAATATGTATATTCCGGCGACGATAAAAACTCGAGATTAAGAGCAGTTGTCGTCGAGAGTCCGAAAAGTCACATACCAATCGATCGAGACCTGCGCACCAATGAGATTACCAGCGTCAACAAATAATACAGTAAAAGAAAATGTAATTGATAGGCTAGCTGCAGGATAATGAGCAACCTCCCGAGATTGATTGGCATACGAAGGTGAATGAATGATTCAAAAGACGATCATGGACGCGGTGGATACGGATTCCTGCCCGGCTGTTTCCGCAATTGCAATGAAGAAAAAATCAAATTCAGAGCAAGCTCGGCCCACCTGGCCACATCGATGAACTGTGATCAAATCAATCATAAGCGGCATGTATTGAAATGCGTGAACAGTATTCTGAAAACTATTGTGATACATTCAATGCGAAGAAACAGTACAAGCCACTCGCTGTCACTGGCTATGATCGCACCAAGACGATTCCAACCAATTTAATCATGATCTAACAAGGTAAAAATCCAAACGAGAGAATTCCGAGTCACATACCGAGGAGGAAACGTGCCGTTTTCGATGAGATAGAGTGCACATTCCTCTGTGCATATGTGTCATAAAGGTCCAACGTCACGGTTGAGAATATTTGATGAAATGAAGGACTAGTGCGTCAGCCACCGTCTGAGCGCTCACACCCATACAGTCGCAGGATCCTTTCGGAACTGGCATCCAATAAGGATGACAGTACCCTCATACGCAAGGAGGATTCAGACCGCCTGGAAATGTATGATCGTCTCCAGCCGCAAGCAGGTAGTTCATGAAACTCAGTTTCCCAGAAGAGATAGGCACTAGGCAGGATGCCTCGACTGCAGTCTACATGTGTACAAGGCCTCAGGGGTGGGCCCTGAGGGTGACGAATGAATATCATCTAGTGAATTAGATGAAAAGAATGTGCCACGAAACAACCTTCCGGACGAGATGAGCATTCGTGGCCCTTCGAGCTGGAAAAGAATAGTTTTGAAGTCCGCCTGACTTATATTTAATCGATACGCTCATAAATAAATAATTATAATTACATACACATGTGGTTAGCACACGATGATGGTTTGCTTCAGGTGTCTCTCGGAGTCCAACTCTCTCCTCATCCGTTCACTATCTGAATCCACATTCTCTGACACTAGACATGGCTTACTGTAACAACACCTGGATAGAATGTCAGATTTACAGACTATGTTAAATGCACTTGACTCACCTTTACTAGCTCTCGAGCAGATTTCGACTTTACAAACCACGGATACGATCGACTGGATGGCTGTGGAGCCCATTAATTGACGACACACAGAATACCGTAGGATGCGAGGTCTGTGGTTCACGACAGTCGTAAAATACGAGACGTCACCACAGATCTACGAGAGGCATCCTAAGAGACTTCGGTCTTAACTTCACGAGGTTGCATGCGGCCTTCTTTACTGTACACCATTTCTTCAGGCTTATTTGTGTCACTCATAGTACTCGGTATAGTGCACTCACACTCTGACTTACGGGGCTCTCACTGGCGCGAGTGGTATTTAGATGAAGAAATGCGATACATAATTGCCTCATGCCAGGCCAATGTGCTAATCTACGGCAACGCACGAGCATACATCGCATATCTCGGTTCATCGAACATCCTCATGGATTTGCTGGCGACTTCGTTGGTTTCAACCAGCTCAGTCAAGGAACGTGCACGGTGGGCGGCTCTTGTTGCAAGAGGATCACGACCGCGATTCTCCCCACCACTCAACCACAGCATAGTCATTAAAATCGGACACAGGACGCTGGAGGATATTAGCCGAACGAAGCGTACTAGTACGGCTAGCTATGACGCTATTGATCAAGACGTTGAAGCTTGGTGAAATGCGACCCCGACTGGTATGCCTCGCGGATGGTCTCAAGAGCTATCTTCAGAGTCAACCTATACTTTGCGCAAGTGCACGCATGTCTGTCAAAATCCCATGCGAGACAATGGACATTGATTTAGCATTATAGATATTTTCAGGTATGCAATCTAATTTATTAGGTTATTGTTCGCTCTTCACAACATGATCTCGACCGGGAGAACGAATGAACTTGAGAAACTCGCTCAAATTTTCGAGCTTCAAAGCTTCAAATCTGAGACACTATTGCGAAAGGCTACGCTCGACAAGGACTGCGTCTGATAAAACGGATGAAATCTACTGACATGCCCAGCTGTCTGCAAAGCAATATTGCTACTCGCGTTGGGCCATTTCCACTTTACATCCTGCTCAGGCTGAGCACTCTCCTCGCGTATCCACCATACGCTCACAAGTGATAAGCCCATTTATCCACTGGCCTTCGTCCTGATGAGCGCGAACGTGTGTTAAACGAAACCGATGAGCTGCACAGGATCCAGTATGTACGTACCGAATACACGCAGAACGCCCGTGTGTCCAGTGAGGTATGATAGCTGCCAGCCCATCAGTCACTTTGCTCAATGAAGTTGTGAGTGTAACGTACGTGCAAAGTGTGTCCCCGTTGTTCTCGAGAGTGCTTTTGACTAGCACACAATCCATACCGCCGAAGGCCATATTGTAAGGGCACTTTACACACCCCGCGTTGGCGCCAACAAGGAAGGTGGGCAGCGCAAGAAAGGTGAAGTAGAAATTCAACATTATGGAGCTTCAAGAACGATTTGGATGTATACTATAGAGCTATGGCATGCAGGTATTTTGTAGGCTGAAGTTACTGGGGCCGTCGCGAGTTGCGAGACTTTCGCCTCGCCTCAGCTTTACATAAGTGCGCACGTAAAGGAGCGTAGTGGTATGAGATTATTCGGTGTTGCTCGCTTTGCAATGCTGCTAGAATGCACGCAATCCGAACAGTACTGTATACCGAATAATTGTGCTTCACCCCCAGTTCCATGACCGATATCGGGAGAAAACTATCTAGAGAACCCAACTCGTTCCTACATCTGCAAAACGACGAAATGAACGCTTAACTTACGCGCGTTACGAACACTTACGACTTCAGTAGCGCATTCATGCGATTGGTGGAAGGTCAAGTCCTGACTAAATCCACAAGAGATGCTGATTTGATTGAGATTATCATATCTACAACTTGAAGATAACTCGTAAGATAATGATCTACTAATCAACGAGCTCCGCTACGAAAAAGTTGATGCAATTTGTTCCACCGAGTTTGCAATGTCAAAGAGCTCCTAATATCCTCGCGAATGAACTTCAGGAGTCTCTCGTACATTGTGTGAAAAGTAGTGTAAGTAAAGTCAATTTGGTTGAATTCACCAGTCGCAAACTCTTGCAAACTACAACACGCCGCTGTACCAGAGATCGCCATGACGTTGTCGAAGCCACTTAGGGAACTGCACGGGTAAACCCCCGGGTACCAGCGCCCATACCCGCACCCGTACCCGGCGAAAACCCATACCCGTGCTAATGGGTACAGGTTTTTGGCGGGTATGATGAGATCAGACCCAGACCCGGACCCGTGTGGGGTAAACCCGCGGGTAACAGTGAGGGCAGAATAGATCATGCACCCGCCGACAAGAAGTTCTTTGATCTGTTGGTGCTTTGATCGCGAATGGAGGGAAGATGATGAGTAGACATTGACGAGAGGAGGAATACAGACCATCCAGAATGAGGAAGGATAACATCAGGCATTTGACCAGAGTATGACAAAGATGTAGCTAGCTTTATTTAATGTATAATATCAAAAATATATATCACAATTGAAAATCACATGATAAAGGAATGGATAGGCAGATTACACTGGTGGGATCTCCCAACACTATAATATTGGCCGACCTATTGCACTGAGTTATCATCTACTAGCACATTGTTGTGTTATTGTCAAATTAATCTACTCTTACATAGGCAGCTTCCAACTGCAGAATATATATTCGCTGACTGTGTGCCTGCACATGATACTAGATTATCATGCTATAGCAAGGTGCCAATTATCTACTGAATATGTCTAGTTTTACATAGGCAGGTTCCTATGGCAAGATCTGTAATCGTTGACAGTGTGCCAGAGCACGATATCCAGTTATCATGCCACAGCAAGTTGTTGATCTTCTACGAAAGACAGCTACTATTATAGGGACATCTTCCAGTGGCAGGATCTGTAATCGCTGACTGTGTGTCAGGGTATTATACCATATTATCTTGCTACAACAAGGTGCTGATTATCTACTGAATATGTCTGGCTTTATATAGGCAGGTTCCTGTGGTAGGATGTGTAATTGTTGACAGTGTGCCAGGGTATGGTATCTGCCTGTCACACCATGGCAAGCTGGCGATCCTCTACCAGAGATGACTACTGTTGCACGGGCAGCTTCCAGTGGCAGGATCTGTAATCACTGACTATGTGTCAGAGTATGGTACTAGATTATCTTGCTATAACATGGTGCTGATTATCTTCTGAATATGTCTGACTTTACATTGGCGGATTCCTGTGGCAGGATGTGTAATCGTTGACAGTGTGCCAGAGCACAATATCCAGTTATCATGCCATAGCAAGCTGGTGATCCTCTACCAGATATAACTACTGTTGCACGGGCAGCTTCCAGTGGCAGGATCTGTAATTGCTTCCACTGTGCTGTGATATTATATATGTTTATCACACCATAGCAAGTTGTTGACCTTCCACCACACACACCTACTGTTGCATGGGCAGCTTCTGACGGCAGGATCTATCATTACTAACAGAAAGTCGTGCTCTGACACTGACTTGTCTCACTGCAGCAGGTTGATGATGTTTTGGTCAAACATAGTACATACTTGCAGTGGGGATTTTCATGCAATACAATGGCAGATGAAGCAGAATTCATGAGTGGCATTAAGATCTCAGGTCTTAGTACAAATAGTAGTACGGTAACGACAACAATAAATTAAATAAATTAAGTAGTGCCTATAGCAGCTTGTTCTTGAAGGACAGCGCGCTTCTCCCGAATTTTGGATAGCGCGCTGTTTTTGCTTGTACCTCGCTGCGAAGAGGAAGAATTAGGGAAGATGCGACTATCAAAGACATTAAGTTGAGAGTTTGAGAATGAAATTGATCACTGACCGAGTCCACCACGTCATCAAGTCAACGACTTCCTGACTGTCATCAGGATCTTCCAACAGATCAAGAATACTATGATAAAAGTTCTCGGAGTCCGTAACCGTGTCGGTACGCGAAAATACCGCTGATGAGCTTAATGAAAACCGAACCTAAAAACCATTCAGTATGAGATGTGTGAATGTTCGAATTTTCAACGTGCCTGCGTGGCAATATAAGCCAAGGACCCTTTAGTCACAGACTTCATGCCGTGAAGATATGCATTTCCGGAGCGCGTAGCTGTTGGCTCCCTATCCACAGAGCTCGGAGACGTAAAAACATGCTTAAAACCCTACCAAAAAAAAACAATATTGTGATGAGTGGTGATTTGATTATCGACAATGAACTTACGAAGATGAGTATCTCACTCCTTAGTAAACCAGTCCAAGGATCTTCGGGATCATAAACATACCCAGCATATAGAAACATCGGCCACTGGTCACCACGAACTGCGGTTTCACCGCTTTTGAGGCTCTGCTTGGTTCTGGCAAGTGATTCAACGGTTAGGTGATTAAGTAGAAAAAGAAACACTTACTCCACATTCGACCAGTCAAGGCCTGCCGGGCAGAGCAACGCACCAGTTACTTCGTGATTGAAGCCACGGTCCGACTTGATATTTCGGGAGAGAGGCGGTATAAGTGCCTGTCCTCTAGGGACAAGCCATTCGAGGACAGCGGATTTAAGAGTCTTGGTGTCGTCACCTCGCGCACCAGACGCTCCTTTACCCATCTGCCAGAAGGTGAACATGATGTCATTACAGTATTAGACACTTACTAGTTCTCCTACGTGAATGATATCTTCTTCTTCACCATTTGTCAAACAATCTAAAAGACTGGGGTACGAATCTACTAATTCCAAGAATACCCTGTGTTCTCTGCGAACGCTTGAATTGAAAGTGTTGTAAGGGGTCAATGGTATTTAATCATCACAATTATACTCACTCAGCTGGATAGTCCTCGATTGGTGAGTCTTGTAGTTCTTCGAGTCGGAGTATGCCTCCGGTCAGGAGGGCAGGATAGTTGCACATTGCGAACACAGTACGACCAAAGTGTCGACCATGGAGAACAAGGGGATTTGATGAAGTCCTGTTTGAGGCAAAGTCAGTGAGGTAGGATTACAACGAGTCGAACGCAACCTACACCTTTTTACGCGGGCCCGAATAAAGTGCTGAACCACCACGCTTGCGCGAAGGTTCAGCAGACGGATCATTTTCATCGCCACTCATACTCGAGTTTAGGAATTGGGAGGCTGGAATAACAGTAGCTTCATGAGACTTTATATACTGTCGGATAGAAAGTAGCGGAAAATTTACTTTGGGTCCGCTGTAGATATCGTGACAGCATTGAAAGCGCGATTCGATTGCTGTTCACTTCGGAACTTATAAAGAAACTGCTATCCTTGGCGCTGACAGCGGACGGGTGCATTACACCAGATGACAGCATCGTGCGTTTATACATAAGTCAGGCTAGCACTGTTGACGCATTTATCAGCATAATGTCGGGCAGCCCACTGATTGTCTCTCGGACGCCGGACTCACCCAAGAATATGCAACAATGCTTCAGTATCGAAAAAAACGTCACGCTCAGGTGAGCTCTTCAATGACATGCGCTACGGAACTTTTGAACAGGTGAACCCCACAGGATCCAACTGTCCTCGTTAGATGCGCTCAGAGACATCAATAACGCAAAAGATCTACAAGTCGGAATTGATTGCCAGTGAGTAAGGCGATATAGACCAAGTCAAAAAGACTTAGCGTGCAGGCAAATCCATCAAAACAGAACTCTGATCGATCGAGGGACACAGACTACAGGTAAGACTTCAAATTCTGATGGGGGAAAATGTACGTGAAATCACCTAGTCTCTAACGAACAATGCATAGGGGAAGAATCTGATCTGTATCTCGTCAAGGAACAACTAAGGAACACAGAAAATAAGATTGCTTACCTTGCAGATAGGGTGAAGACATACAGGGATAGATGGCTAGAAGAATACTACCGCGCTGAAAACCTCGAATACCATATGCCCTCTGGCATACACATTGCTGACATTCCTCAAATTCCAGCGGGCGCTCCTTCTCCTAGCTTCTTTCCTGAATACTGGTGCGGGAATGATGAATGTTCGGAACAGGAAGAGGACAATGGCGGAGAAAATCTATGAGTTCTGCAGGTATTATGTTTGAGCCGTTAGTACTAGAAGTTAGGATAGGGGAATGCACATACTTGTGTCGTCAACTAAAGTCTCACTGCACTCAGAAGGGTGCTGAGTGCTACTCGTAACCACTTCACGGGCGTCCAGATTGTTGTGAACCTCTGCCTGTTCCAGAATGAATTCAGCATCGGCATCGTTGACGCTGTTGCTGGTCCCGAGGACCTAGGCTTCATTTTGCAAGATATTGTTGAGAAGCAGTTGATCGCGAAAATCATCATGGAGATATATCACGACCGGCTGAAGGCACTACCCGGTATAACTATCTGAGAGTCGTTCGAAAGCAAAGTAGAGCGGGAGCTCAACCACGCTCGTGATTCAATACGAGCAAAAGAACCTGAAGAAGCGCGGACTCATAATTATAGTAGAATGACATCATCTTGATCTAACAGTTCTCAACTAAAAATAACTAACTAAACTACAATGTCTAGCGCTTTGACATAGGTAGCATATCAGATGGTGGTTGGAAAGAAGTTCCGTGACGGAAAAGACGCAGACTATATAGTGAATGACAATTCAAACTCAGATGCAACTCAGCTCACCTGTTAGTAATTGGGCACTTCCGGGCTGGGTCTGAATGTGTAGTCATTCAGTATATCAATCGCGCTCTTCTTCCCCTAGAGGTTTCTTTTTCGATTTTCATTATAATATATTTCTGTAAATTAGAATATTAGATAAATCGTATGGTCGCGTTGCAGTAGTATGTGACTATGTAAAGTAGTACGCGTGATTCGTTGAATTTGACCGTTGCTACATGTTGGTCCACGACCTTAATGCCCACAAAACAACCACAAAAGAACATTAATTGCGCCTGCAACATGTCACACTGTTATGTCCACAATTAGTCGTTCACTATAAATATTGACCATGTGCGTTCGCAGGTTCTTCTTTCTCCTCACTCATCTACATCGATACCTATAGCTAGTAAAATATCGGATAGACTTTTGAATAGACTTTTGAATAGACTTATCGTCACAGTATGTTGTGTTTTGGTTTCCTTACAGGAACTTCATTAACAATTTACTAGAATACATGCAGGATAATGCCTGCTAAACGTGCCGCACCAAGCTCGGATGTTCTTGAACCAGCCTCGAAGCGCATGCGAAACAGAAATTGTGAAGGTAAGCCGTGATAGTATACCTGGCCGTCGTTTTGATCATTGCTAAGTATAAACGTTACACATGCAATTCTCATTCAGCGCCATCGCCACTGGCAGATCGAGGTGCATGGCTCATTCTAGCACAATTCCTCGAGACCGAGATGAGTTACGGTGAGATGGAAGAGAAACTCTCATCATACCTCGGCGATTGATACTTTGCGGACGATTGGAAGGACGCCAAAGCTACGCTCTTCTCCGGTGAAGACGACCTCGGAGCCTGTCTAAGAAATCTCGAGATCTTAAGGAAGAGGTACATACCCCGCCCTGTGAGTAAATCTTTCATATTCCACTGAATACATGCTAAACAGTTGTAGCGGATGAATATATATCTAGACATAGAAGCAGATGAGGGAGATGAAGAAGAAGAAGAAGACGACGAAGACAGTGGCGACGACGACAAGCAGGATCAGGGGGGCTCTTCCGTGCGATCGCCGAAGGTTACGGTCATTCCAGGACCGTCAGCCAAGGATACATTGTCTAAAAAGATCGATGAGATCTACAACAACGCGACAAAGGTCTCTAGCTCCTCAAGACGCCACATTTCTCTCAGGGCCTCCCGGTCCCCCACCACGCTCGAGAGTAGAATGTATCTACTGCATGTCCATAGTATGTCCATTATTTCATCATGCACTATGTTGTTCATCACTTTTAGGAACTGCTGCGGTCTATATTGCTGAATATCTTCAGGGTAAAGGATTCTCTGTCACCGTGTCGCCCTGGCTACCTGGGCAGCTCTACGTGGTCTCAGATAGCCCCAGAACTATCGCATCATCCCTTCCATCCTCACATAAACTCTCGGTAAAAGACTACCATCGCATCTCGGATGAAGAACGCATCGCGGTGGAGAATTCGGAAATCAAATTTCCCAACCCCTCATGGGTAAGGGTCAAATCCGGCATGTACAAGGGCGCCATAGGCTATGTCTTCGACCCAGACCAGTCGGACCTTTTTGTTGATGTCTTAGTCGCCGTTCGAGAGTTTCCCTATACAATGCCTTCGAGATCTGAAGCTCTGCTCGACCGCTCTCGCCTTCCGAAGGACAAGACAGTTACCGACATCATTCGTAATGGCGAAATTATAGGATGCTCGTACAAAGGACATCAATACTACAGGGGCCTGCTCCTAAAGAAATTCCACCGCTATCAACTAGAACTTGTCGCTTGCCCTCACGCTGACGATGTTAGACTGCATCTGCAGTCCGGGTTTGACACGCCCTTCGTCAAGAAATCTATTGTGGCATTCTCCATGCAGTTTCTGCGCGTAGGAGATGCGGCCAGGATCATCGCAGGAGCAGCTCGATCAGAGATTGGCACGGTCGTGTCAATAGACCATGCGTTTGGTGGGTCTGCACGTATCGAATTAACCTTTGATGGACATCGGACAGAATTGGAAGCTCGACATGAAGACATGGAGCGCGTTTTTTGGGTCGGTGACGCGGTTCGAGTTGTAGCAGGTTCACACCTGGGTTTAGAAGGCCATATCATTCAAATGGACGAGGTGCTGTTTCTCATTTGCCAATGGGTCTCCATGGAAGAGGTAAATATTTTGCTCAAATAGAAAATCTACCACTAATGCTCGGTGCATAGGTGCAAGTTTCAAAATATTACTTGGACCGTCGTCATCAGGCTTGCACGATACAACCACATCTACCATCGCATCAACATTTCGAACCTCCCCCCGAGTCTCAATCTCTAGAAATTGGGGATTCTATTGAGGTTCTTGTGGGAAAGCACATAGGAAAGCGGGGTGTCGTGACCTGGTCTTCTATTGGAGGAGACCAACTGTGGTTCCAGGACGAGTCTCCTCAGACATTGACTTTGTATAATACGAAGTACTATTCAGGACCTCCAAGTATCCAAGTTCCTGTGACATTTGTTCACCGGACGCACCTACCCCAGACCATTACATTCACCAAGGAAAAAGGTTACGACGTCAAGCCTGGAGACATCGTGAGGGTCGCGCGTGGGCCGGAATATCAGATGAAAGGGATCATGCAGAGCGTTGACTTCCCAAAGGCTCGCCTGACACTACTGTCTGAGAGTGATCACTTGCTTGTAAGTGAAATTTAACTTGACTTAGGCTTATCTGACTTGGAACAGATCGACGTCCCAATTGGATTTGTGATGAAAATACTCAACGTGTCCTCTGATTCTTTCGACAAAGTCATCGGCCAAGAAGTGTTCGTGGTTGGAGGTGACCGGAAGGGTTTTCAAGCCACATTATATGGCATTGGGGGCGAGAATTGCACTGTTGCTATCAATGGGCAGGCGCGTACCACACTTAAATGCCAGAACGTTGTGACCAAGTGAGCAGCGCGCACATTTTCATAGTCATTTAGTAATTTTTCATTGATATGCAGGTATGGAATGAGATTAAATGGTCTCATGCTAGGGGAATCGGACTTGATAGAGTTCTGTGACCTGCGAAAAAGATCTTATGTGGTGCCACAACCACGAAGATGCATCACACCCCCTCCTGACTCAGTTCCCTCCAACTCATCTAATTCTATTAGCGCAGCTCTCATCCCATCATCATCCAATTGGACTTGCTGGAATCTCGGCCAGGATCTCGACAGTGCGAATGATCTGTCACCAGGCATCGATCTCAGCTCATCGACACCCGACCCATGGACCATCGATGCACAGGACATCCAGGATAGCATAGATGCCAGAGCAGAGAGACCCAAAGACAGTGGTGAGTCCGGCCCGAAGATATCACATCACTTTTTGCTCATTTTTTACAGGGCCTCTACCTTGGTTCATGGGCAAAGAGTTTTCCACGCTGTTCCTTACATATCACGCGGTGTTTACAGTCTCACTGAGCTTCAATCACGCCAAGCTCTACAAATGATTCGTATCAACGGCCTGTCCTGATCCATTCTGCGGTGCAAACGGACCCGCACCCATGGATTGCATTGCAGTATTTTGTACATCCAGTCGTGCAGGTGCTGCGCTGGAACATTACTATATTCCTGCCAAGGATCTGAGCCCAGCTCCTCCACGAAAAAAAAAACCAAGAATGTCTCATTCTAGATGGAAATTATCGCGGCCAGATTCTGACTATTTCGCAATGTAGTATCGGTAAAAAGACTGCTCAATTTATGGGCAAGGATTCCACTACTACTACCTTACATTTTGATCAGATATGTCTTGTCCAACGTGCACAACACACCATGTAATAAACTACGTAGTACCATCATACTACACATCAATTCAACACCGTAGTTCAAACGTTCCATGTGACGTGATATAAAGTAGTTAGCTGCCGCGCCTCATAACCGTTACACACAAATGCTGGGTGTGTTAAATGTGTCACCATTTGATCATAAATTATTCACTGAGCCCTAATTGTTGAATCAAATCATGATTTTATTTCGAGTCACGTGATCATGCGGCGGTTGGGCATTCACTCGGGTGCAGCCGGCGGAGCTTGAATCACAGTTGTTCAATATATAAACCACTCCTCCTGCAATCAGCTACAGTTTCCGACCTTCAACCTAATCACTTCCCTCATCATGTATTGTCGCGAATGCGAAATACTTGTAATGTAGCTGTAGTTGACTGTGTATAGCTAGTTGTTAATGTTCGCACTCACGAGTGCAAGTTTGCACATTTCAAAACATAAGCAAGTGCATACACCCGTCACGATGTGTCGCAACGCTCCAAAAAGATAGTAGAGGTACTGTCCGTTTCTGTGATCAACTTGATGCAAATATTCAGACTGATGCAAAGATCAGCGCTCAGCAGCGTGGAAGATCTGAAGTTTACGCGAGGCAACGGGTTGAATTGCGCTGTCTGGTGCCAAAATTGTGAAGCCCGTGACGAGATTGATGGTATTGCGGTCGGAAGGCATGACCAATTGCTTGGTGCGAGTTAAACTTTGAATTCGGCAATAGATATTGATTTGTGGGGCGCAGCTACGTTCATCACTCTATCGGCAACGGGCGTTCACCTCTTTGAGGATAATACATAGCCGGTACGCGGGCTCTCCCAAAGTATTTTTCTATATTTACTACATTAAATGTCAGCCATCGCCATTTTGTATAGGGAATTCAAGCAACTTGCACAGGTAGCCGCAAGTACTGGTCATGCATTCAGCAACATACAGCCCTTGATGTGGTCCTCTGGTCCACGGAAGGATTGAAGTCTCGACATAGCTACCACCCCTGGCGCAAAGGCAACAGGGATAGCGAAACGCATGCTTACGGCGATAAGCATCAAATTGTGACGGGTGGATTTTTTGGCCCTGTCGGTCAGTAGGCCTGCTGGTTGCGTGTGTGCGTCAGTGTATGGCACCTTCGCATGAATCAACTTACTTACCACTGATATGTCGTCAGTTCTGCCGTCTGGCCGTGATAATGCAATACACAATGAGGAGAAATCAAAATTTGGACTAGCAGTCTGACTACCTGAGGGTCAGCTACGAATTCCGGTGGTTCGAGCTCTGAGCATGTAGAGGATGGAGACGAAGGTACGGACATTTTACGGTATACAGATGGGGGTGCCTTGCTTACTTAGTCTTTATACATTCCTGTGGTGCCTCTTTCGATGCACAACTATTGTGCGATCATCATTTTTGATCAGCAGCTGTAGCGGCTCGGCTAGCGCGACCGCTGTTTCTCGGATCCAATTGCGCCATCGTATTGGTTGGGCGTTATAATTTGTCGGCCCAGATTCTCCGATCTTTACTCAATGTCAGCTTCTCGTTACACCTGCGTTTGCAAGCGCACTTTTACAGCACAAAACTATTTTAGCCACCATCAGCGCTCATGCTCTCAAACGAGAAAGCGCCTTTCATCAGCGATGTCCTCTGCCAAGGAGCTTCTAAGCTCCAGGAAAAAGCCACGTATCTCACACGATGAGGTTCGGCCTGCGGGATTCGTCGAATCGAGCGATGCATCATCCTCCAGCTATCTCACTTCCGGCGAAGTCGAGGCTTTGACAACGTCACAACGTCCCGAAGTTCCGGTGGTCCCTCTACCCCTCCCATCGCTCGTTGCTACAGGAGTCAATGTGACCCCTGACTGTGAGGGAGATCAAATAGATGAAGGAGATGACATGAGTTTGGCACAGCGCCGCCCGAGACGGCAGAACCGCCAGTTGCCCATGCGGTTCAGGGATGTGCTTCCTCAACCTCCACCAGCCATGCCCTTGGAAGCCCGCGAGCAACTGCCAGAATCTGTAGCCGCTGTCATCGCTCCAGAACGACCTGCTTCACCAGTTCGCACTGTATTTCGCACCCCCCCAAATATTTTCGGGCTAGTACGGCAATACTTCTCCTCAAAGGTGCCATCCCACGATCCAGAGGGGTATGTCATTTCGTTCATACCAGGCAACCCTGAAGCTACCGAAGAACCACATGCACTTGCCGCTTCCACCAGTGACTCTCAGTATCATCCCTATCCCAATAGCTCGTCATTCGAGCTCGGTGATTGGTACTGGAATCAGGGGTTGCAAAAATCGCAAAGAGACTATGCGAAACTGTTGCAGATCTTAGGCAGCAGTACTTTCAATGCTGCTGATGTGAGTTCCACTTGTTGGAAGAAAATTAATTCTCAACTGGGAACCAATGAGTATGATGAGGGAGATGAAGAAGAATGGGAAGACGAAGATGCGGGATGGAAAAGGACAGCCGTTACCATCCAAGTGCCATTTTCACGCACCACCGAAATGCCTGGCCCACGGCTTCATGAAGTTGCACAACTGTATCATCGCTCCCTTGTGGCTGTCTTGCGGGAAAAGCTTGCCAACGCCCGAGACGACAAGTTGTTTCATTACGAGCCGTATCAACTACGCTGGGCTCCTCCCCATCTAGATAGCGAAGTCTCCATCCACGGGGATCTGTACACATCCGCGGCCTTTTACGATGCTCACAGCGACTTGCAAGAATCACCCGGGGAACCTGGATGTGACTTACCCCGCGTTGTAGCTGGCCTTATGTTTTGGTCGGATGCAACGCAACTCACTTCCTTTGGCAATGCTAAACTATGGCCTACCTACATGTACTTCGGTAATGAGTCGAAGTATCGCCGCTGCAAGCCCTCGTGCAATTTGAGCAACCACGTCGCTTACTTCGAAACGGTGCGTGTTCCCACAGAGTTTGATATACGGAATACTTAAAGTTGTGCTGCCAGCTCCCCGATTCGTTCAAAGATTTTTCAGGCACTAAAGGAATCAACAGCGAGTTTACAACACATTGTCGTAGAGAGTTCTTCCACGAGCAGTGGAAGATCTTGTTAGACGATGAATTCTTGGAGGCGTATGAGCACGGGATCGTTATTATTTGCTGCGATGGTATTCCGCGCAGATTCTACCCAAGAATTTTCACTTATTCAGCAGATTATCCTGAGAAGTAAGTCGACTAATTTAGTGCGTTAAACTACACTGATTTTTTGTCCGACTAGAGTACTTGTAGCAACGGTTCGAAATATGGGAGGTTGCCCATGTCCTCGTTGTCTGATCCCCAAGGAACGGATACAAAACATGGGAATGCCTCGGGATAGAACACAGCGCATCACTCTGGGACGCAATGACGAGAGAAGAGGGATGATAGTGAGCGAAGCGCGCTCACTAATTTACGAGCAAAACTATGCTGTTGGTAGCGCACCAATAGAGCGCATTCTTAAGCCCCAGTCATGGGTTCCCACCTCCGTAAGGTTTGAATATCTATCACTGAAAACGGCTAACAATCTGTTAGAATGCATTCTCAGACCGCCTTAGTCGTTTGGGTTTCAATATTTTCCATGCGCTTGTAGTAGATCTACTACACGAGTTTGAGATCGGCGTCTGGAAGATGCTGTTTAAGCACTTGTTACGTATCTTATCGGCGTATGACAAGAAGCTTATAGATAAGTTGGACAAGAGGTAAGGTCCGTCATCCTCCGTTCTTCACCTCACATTGACCACCTCCACCAGATATAGGCAGATTCCAACGTTTGGCTCGGCTACCATCCGAAAGTTCTCTGCGAACTCTTCGGAGATGAAACGAATGGCGGCTCGAGACTTTGAAGACCTCCTTCAGGTATGACTTAATAGCTAATGAAGTTTGATATGGCCTAACATCACTTGGATAAAGTGCTCTATCCCTGTTTTTGACCGCCTTCTTCCAGAACCACACAATAGCACAGTTCTTCGGTTGTTATTTACAATGGCTCATTGGCACGGACTGGCCAAGCTTCGTATGCACTCTGACCCAACCCTAGAAATAATGGACGAAGTGACTACAGCGGTCGGCCATCAGTTTCGTCATTTTAAAGCCACCGTATGTTCCGCCTTCGATACCCATGAACTTCAACAGGAGGTCGATGCTCGTGTCCGACGTGACGCAAAGCAAGCGGAAAAGCAGCAGGCACGGCAGAAAGGGAAGCAAAAAGCCCCCGTTGTGGAGCCAGAAAAACAATCAGGCAAGAATAAGAAACGACTCAAAATATTTAACTTTCAGACATACAAATTTCATGCATTGGGAGACTACGTATCTACAATCCGCCGGTATGGAACGTCCGATTCATACAGCACTGAACCGGTCAGTCTCATAATTTTCGATTCCGGATTTGACTCACCAACTTTATCCAGGGTGAACTTGAACACCGTTTTCCCAAGACTAGATACTGGCGTACCGATCGCAAAACATTCGTCAAACAACTCACTCGGATAGAACACCGTCAGACTCGCATTCGTCGTATCGGGGACAGCATTGTTCCTCGTCCTCACCTCGAGATCGCAGAGATCGCGAGAAGCCCGCATGTCCACCACCACATCGGTCTGACACAGAAGTTCCCTGTACATATAGGATCGTACTTGTGTGACCACGTAGCTGATCCAGCAATTGTTGTAAGCGTAATCATTTATATTCAAGCTACTTCTAACACCCCTACAGAATTTTGTGCCGAAACTAAAGGATCATATATTGCGCCGATTCAACCAATCTAGAGATCTTCCAGGTACTGGAGAAGAGACTAACACTGATTCCATTATTCTGAAGGACGATCGCATGTATTACCACAATACCGCCAGGTTCAATTATACATCATACGATGTTCGCAGGTCACAAGACGTTATTAACCCCAAAACTCCCCATTGCAACATCATGGCTCTACGTGCTAACGATGACGTTGGGCGCCAAGGCCACAGATACCTTTACGGAAAGGTACTTGGTATATACCACGTCAACGTGATCTTCATAGGAAATGGTATGGTCAACTATACTCCTCTCCGAATGGAGTTTTTATGGGTACGCTGGTACACTCCCATGGATGATATCGCCACCTGGGACACCTCAACGTTAGATCGTCTCAGCTTTCCGAGCATGGCGGACGAGTTCTCGTTCGATTTTCTTGATCCAGCGGATGTCCTTCGGGGCTGTCATATTATCCCATCATTTGCCGATGGCAAGAGACATCCCGATGGTTTGGGAGTTTCGGCATGCGCGGGCGACAAGTATGATTGGTGCCAATACTATGTTAATCAGTGAGTTAGGGGCAGCACTTCACAAACATCGAGCTCATTATTACAGGTTTGTCGACCGGGACATGCTCATGCGCTTTCACTTTGGTCTTGGAGTGGGTCATGCATACTCTCACCATCGCCTGACGCAGCCGGAGCTTCACCCAGAAGGCAGTACAGCGCATGCAGCTTTTACCCATGATGTTGAAGACCCTGGGGAAATAGATGGAGTTGGGGGCGAAGAGGACAGTGAAGATGACGATGAAGATGACGGTACTGAGAGCGGATCAGATATCGAGCAGAGGTTCGGTTCCAGCGACGAATCATTATTAGATCAGTTCGATGAGATGTACGAAAGCGATGTCTCCCTTGATTACGAGAACTAGATGGATGGAGCAAAATCGATTGATAGCGCTCGCTAGACATAGGCGCAACCTTGCGGCGCAGCGCTGCTAATCACCGCCTCGCATGTTATACCTCAGACTGTATGGCATCGCGACAGCACACATGTAATAGCTAATTGTTCCGCGATACATTTTTAGTGAATTTTTACAAGGCAGTATTTGTATTTAAAGCGCCTGCTTTCCCTCTTGGAACCAATAACATCTTCTGCAGACGATATGGCATCGCCAACTTTCAATTCGTATTTTTTCCCAGATGATCTGTCAAGTCTCCAGCCTGTTTATGCGGGTTTTTTTTGCTTGTTACCCCAACACTGCTAACTCAGTTCGTTCAGGGTAGCCTCACTCTCTTACAGAAGCCATTCTGTTTTGTAGGATATCTAGCGGTTGGGTCTCGACCAATCCTCTACGCACTGTATGTAAGTATCATTTGTTTTTCCTCAAGGTTTTTAGGCGTCTCATCGTTGGCCACAGTGTTCAGCCATCCGCCTTGAGGCTGTAGGTGGTTTAAAATTTTGTAGGTGTCATATACTCACAAAATTTTATAGCTTAAGTTGCATGTCGAAGTCATAGCGTATGTGTTGCCGCTTACTCCTCACAATTCCATATGGGAATCGTGCGTGGAGGTACCTATATTCGTCGCCAAGGTATTCAGTTAGCTCTGGACTGCACCTCGCCTTCCCATTGATAAGTCTTGTAGGCGCACAATGCACCCGACGCCCCACCCGTGAACTTGGACTTGAACGCCATCTGGTCAAGGCCGAGTAACGACGGTGTCCTTCTACATGTGTATGCATGGGTAAGTACACCTTGCAATCTCAAGGCTATCTCGTCTGACAACTGTATAGGGCAATGGCCATAATACAATTATCGTCGATGCTATATTTCCGTCTGGGCACGACCACGAGGCTTATCCCGAGTTTGACGATGCTGTTCTTGCAGAACTGTCGGAGCTGCTGGGTTCGCTCCATGAAGGTTCAGTTGTGCCAGACACTTCCCTGGCCTCGTCAGCTATGCCAGACTCCTCCCTGGCCTCATCAGTTGTGCCAGACTCCCGCGGGCTATCCTCTATCGCACACAGTCACAATGATGACCAACCAAACAATACACCCACCCGCAGCGACTCAGAAAGCTTGAATGATATCCAGCTCAAGTATCCGCAATGGCAAACCGTTCTGGTCCGCTTGCGGATTCTCATGAGGCTCGATATTTGCTGCGGGGCATGTGGGAACCCGTTCTTGCTCACCCATATATCAGGTGCTGAACATAAAGCTCGTTTCGTCGCCAATCTCTTCGAACGAAGCCTGGCTGAACTCCGATTGACTCGCGCAGAGCTGTGCTCCAGTCAGTACCTCGTTGATTTAATACGTCCTGCAGATACTGACTCTTTTCTAGTCAGGGCGACTGATGGGTCCGAAGTGACGGTAGAAGATATTTTGGTATTGGTATGATTTCTACGTCGTTTCTATTTACTTGTCTCACCTTGAATAGGCCGCTAAATGGGTGTCGGCATTACTTTCTGACACCAAACGATTGGCAAAAATTGCGATCTTAGACCCCCGACCGCCCCTGGGCTTTAGCATCATAGACCTCCCACTGGAAATACTCATTGAGAGATGTGTAGTCCTGCTACACCGATTCCTGCTTCCAAATTCGGGTCGCCTGCCAATTGCGGTCAGTTTTTTCGAGTTAGCTTTGGTTGTCAGGGTCTTACTCTTTTACCACGCAGGACAATGGCCTTGCATGGTTTCTCATGAAGGAGATTGCGAAATCACTCGTATATCATCTCGTGTTCTGGCGCAGCGTATCAGCCACAGTCCCAGTAGTTTTGGCTGATATTGCACCGGGGATCTTCAGGAATGCCCCACATCCACCCATGGAGACGTTAGCATTTGTGGGGGCCTCCGTAAGTTCTACTCTACAAGCTTTCATTCATCTAAACAATCCTTTCGTGTTAGTGTTATGGCTCTATCCTCCAACGGCTGGGGGAGATTTTGAAGGCGATGTCAAAAGCGGGGAAGTCCACAACCGTCAACGTATCGCAATATCCGCCAGTCAGCCAGGTCTATGATGAACTTCTTCAAACGGTTGTCCTCTTATTTGCACAGAAGGACGACCCAGGATACCCGGCATTTGTGAACCGCATGGCACAGTTGTGCAACATTACGTGAGTTTACATTTAGTTCATCTCTTTACAAATAACTAATGGGAATGCTTCACAGTGAGACTGAAGTCTATCGGATTCCCCGTAAATAAGATGAAAAATTGTCTTCTGTCTTCTATATCTTGTCCACGGGTCTATTTGCAAATTTTCAAGGTTCTGTTATATTGCGCACTTTCCTGTGATAGTTTAAGATAAGATCCTATAGCACAGTCCCCACATGTCCAAGTCAGATCAAGGAACATAGTGCGCGCTATATGCATCAAAGCCCACCGTATTATATCAAGTCGCTCACGAACACTACAGGCTTTTTCTCACTTCCAAACAAGGAATTGTGCGGTCTGATGGAACATTCCAGGTTCTCGCAAGGACAATTGATTCATTTCAATTATTTGGTCTAAGTGGTGTTTTTTTATAGACCGCTACAATTGCACAGCCACCGCTACTCAAGGCTATTCAATGATTCATCGCTTGGAGACCGCTGTCGCAAGCCTTCTTGTATGTAAGCCCTCATTGTATGTAAGCCCTCAATAATTGTATTGACCTCCGTCTAATCCTTTCTTATCACCCCACTTCAATATGTTAAATAGTAATTCTGCGTTGCCTCATATCCCCACCACTCCCTCAACAAAGCACATTCTTGAGATCGAACACGCGGAGAATGCGCTCAAATCTTGGCTTCGCAAACGGGGACGCGAAATTGTCAGTGGACTTGCATGTTTCTCACAATGATATAATCTAACATCGACTCCAGCTTCCAGACTCCCTCTTCGTCACAATTTCCGTGCTGTTTGCATGGGTCGATCCCCTTGACCTCATAGCTGTCATACAAGTGAGCCTCAGAGTGGTTGCAATGGAAAAGCTCTTCCAGCAACCAGAGCTCACTTGCATCTCATTCCTCCTACAAGGAGGGCGATGCTACATGGAGGAGAGGATGTATCGCGCTCAGATGGAAGTTACTTTATTCAGTAAAGCTATTGCAAACTTGTGCGAAGAGTTTGGCATCAGGTGTCGCCCATGTAAGCCATGCTGTTTAAGAAATGAAATGCCGCCTGACTCCAAATTTCTTCCTAGCTCTAGTACCCCTGCCAGAGCAGCACACTGGGTATATAAGTGCGTGCCAAATGCCGCCTCCCCCGGACGAATTTGAGGGCTTTCAGCTTCCAACTGCTGCACATGTCAAATGCCAGAAATGGCTTTCCATGTCATCAGAATTCATAGTAGATTTCCCGCAAATTCAAGAAGTCCCTCAGCTTTACGAAAACCTCTTAAGGGTGAGCGCTGTTCACGATAGTAAAGACTTTGTATTCTAATACTATACAGCTCAATGGTCAATTCCTTTCCCTTCCTTTCTTGATGAAGTCTTGGGTCGGTAGTGTCACATATCGCGCCTACATCAGCGCATTCTGTGCCGACTGTGCCGACACCAAACTCCTAGGCATTAACATCGACAATAGCCCTAAATCAGAGAAGGAGAAACCCCTGGACGTTCTGAAGTCCGATCTTCATATTCTAGAGCTGAAGAAACATCGTGCACAGGCCGAAGTGGAGATGTTTTCAGAAGCTATAGCACGCACTGCGGGGCCTCGGTCTGAGGATGGTGAGCTTGCAGCTTAGCTTGAGTTGTCTCATACTGAGATGAATTTAGGCACATGCTCGTCTAATGGCTCTGACGGGACTTATGAATCGTGTCTACCCGACAATTCTTCCGAAGATTGGTTTGACAATTGGTTTGATGATTTTTCAACCTCGTCTGAATCTTCTAATGCCTCTGTACTCTTTTGATGCTCTCTTGTGCTTGCACATTGCCCACTGGAAGTGGGCTGTTGTAATGGTACTTGTACGTGGACTTGATCTAGGTCATCTGTACTACCCCTACCGCCGTTTTTATTGTTTCGATTACCGATTAGTATGTGCTTAGTGTCCGCCCTTCTGACATGTTGTTTCCGATCATAATTTATGATGATTTTGCAGTGGGATTCTCGCGTTAAGGGGCAAAACATTGGACCCGCTGTATCACTACTGAGACAACACACGCCCCGTTGACAACTCCCTCCCTTTTCCACCTCCTTCCTATTTCAACGCGTCCTCTTCATCGTCGTCCTAGGGTGAACAACCCATATGGCCTATCGCCGTCAACTACAACTAAACCATCTTATCCGTATTCCAACGCCGCGGCTCATCACAGCCACATCCTTTCCTTTCTGGTCAGAGTATTCAAGACGACCCCGCCACATCCTCTCCAACAATGCGTAAGTGCCAACGCACGGACCTCAATTTGGTAAATCCAGTCGTTGCGGATCCTCAACAACCTCACCAACATCTCCCTCAACCAGTACAACAAACCGGCGTACCAGAAGATGGTTTCATTCATGATCAGGATGCCGCAGAGAGTGGTGGAGACGACGATGAGGAGGAGGAGAAACCAAAGTCGGACAAGAAGGGAGGAAGGCGAAAGATTAAGATCGAAAATGAGACGTCACATAACATTCTCTAAAAGGTGTCTACGCCTGTGTCCCTCAAGCCCTCAAATTTCCTGCACGGTTGTCCACTCCCATTGTTTCGCGACTCTGAAAGGTAGGATTGAGTATATCTCAGTTGGACCCCCCACCCACCCACCTTTAGCTTGAAGATCCTCAAGCGTCTCCACCATCCCCCCAATCTCAACATGCACCTTTCACCCAGGCTATTGAGCCTCTGAGCGCGTTCCTTGGCCTCTCGTCGTTTCGCATCGCGTCTCTCAGCCCTTCGTCGTTTCGCATCGCGTCTCTCAGCCTCACGTTTTCCATCTGCCGCCGCTAACGCTGATCTAGATCTAGTTGTATACGCAGATCAGTATACGTACTTGACTATAAATGTATACCATACGTACGTTCTGGCATGATAATTCAGCTAATGAATCAATCGTTAGATACATACGCGCTCGCAAAATAATTGACTCGCCTGTTTCATGGGTGCCATGGAATATAGTATCGATTTACTGATTCAAGCTGACCGTCTCATTCTAGCAAAACCCACTTCGTAGAATCTATATAATCGATCCCACAAATAACGCCACACACTGGCAGCTATATTCAGTGGATCTCTCAGTATCTCGACGTTTTACAGGTAACGGTTAGCGGAATGTCGATGTCCGTCTGTTTCCTAGTGTGCGTCCATGCTTGACCCCCGTTACTCAAGGAATCCATCCAGCTTCTCGACAGCAAGGACAAACCTGACGTTGACGGCACGCACAAGAACGCGGTCCTGTTCAGTGGAACCAAGGTGCTCCAAGCAAGCCCGACGGGTACGTTCAACACTTGCAGTGTATTCCTTCGTTAATGTGGTCATTTGGATCTCAGGCCAGGGTCAAGTTACTGCAGTGACTCCGGATGGTGATGTCTGGGACTTGTTTTGAGAACCGGTTTCGGCACGGCCCAGGGACAACTTGTGAGGACGATGATATTCTCAACGGAACGCGTTTCTGTAAATAATCTCGAATCGTTTATGTTTATCGGATTCTTGCTCATCTTCGCGATTGCCGCTAGTTGGAATGTTTGGGTGAAGGGTACGTGTCATCTCTTGCGTACCGGGCGACTAATCATAAGCTTACATATAGGCATCGAGTGCGATTTAAAAAAGTCCGAACTTTTGCTTGACTGCGTGCTTATCATTACGAGCGTTGTTCCCCCGGAATTGCCTATGGAGCTTTCTTTGGCCGTCAATGCGTCCTTGGTGGCTCTATCAAAATTTGGTATGTCATATTTCATTTTCTGTGATACTTTGTCTCATTATTTCTAGCCATATTCTGCACCGAGCCATTCCATATCCCGTCCGCTGGGAGCCGTGAGCCTCGGTCTATTTGATACAGACAATCTTCTGAGTTTCTTGTAGAGCTGGTATAATTGACCTCGAGGCCAGGTTCGACATATTCTCAATGAGGAAGACGTTAACAACTCTTTGATCATGATCCAACCTACTCTAATGTCATCCTTCTTCTCGATACCTTCTTCCATATTCTTATTTTCCACGGTGAAACGGTCGCTCAATGGAGGAAGGCAGGTTACCAAGACCAGGATGGGTACGCGAACTTCAAAGAGCTGTTGGAGAACCCTATTGCAGATGCTCAGGTGCGACTATTCGGCTGTGCTTCTGACTCACTTTAACGGCCGTACATCCAGGACTTGCTCGTCGACCGCTTCCCTATACCACGATACACCATCTGCGACCAGGGTGGCAGTCAAGCTCGATTCCTGCCATCCAAGCTCAATCCTTCGACGACTCATGTTGATATCGATGTATGGCACTGCACAAGCCGCAGGCGCTGGCCAGGCGATCTTCACGGACGATGTACAACACTTCTACTTACATTCACGCTACTATGTACCGCTACTAGTCAAATGAAAATACATTCTAACATGTTTTAATTCCAATAACAATCTATAGCTAGCCAATTACATATCAAAATTATATCTCACTTGTACAGTCAGCTAATAATGTTTGTTGAGGTTAGCCAGTTACAATGTATGAAACATTCAATTGTTGTGTTGTTGTCCCATCTAAAATACATGATCAATATTATATCTCCCTCGTATTGTCACCATTTAAAAAATGACACAGCGGATTATAATTCTACTGGAGATGTGATGGCCTGCAGCCATGCAGTTATCTCACTGTTGTCTGGTTGCAATATGCACGCCAAGATGGTATTTCTCCGGCATAGTCTTATCTCATTTTACCTATGTGTTACACCATAATAAAATTATCAAATGGCATGCAAGCAGGCTGTCACAATTGTAGTTCTTGCACCTTCTATGCAACCCAGATAAGATATATCTCACTGTTTAAAAAATGTCACAGTGGATTATAATTCTACTAGAAATGTGATGACCTGCAGCCATTCAGTTACACTGCATGGACATGCAGTTATCTCACTGTTGTTTGCTTACAAGATGCACGCCAAGATGGTATTTCTCTGGCACAGTCTTATCTCATTTTACCTATATGTTACACCATGATAAAATTATATAAGGTTGAAAAATGACGTGTCATAATGAGTTTTGGTTACCAATCCTATCTAGTCATATCAATTTCAGGTAGATTTCCTGATGAAACACTTGCGACGTGGAGGACTGAGAGCAAAAGGTCGGAATAAGACCTGATTCAAAAAATACTCACAGCGCGCATATATCACATGCGAAGGAGACGACTTGGGCACAATGTTAGGTGAAAAGGGGACATCACAGCACCGTCAGCGTCCTGGTCCATTCAATTATGGTCAACCAACGTAGCAGGGAATCATTGTGACGACTCCTGGCGGTACAGGAATTACGTGTCTGAGTCAAGTTGAGCTTCACTTCTTCCTATGTCAACACTGCAACCAGCAGAAACTCCGCCACGCAATTAGTGGCTGGTTTGAGGCGTGAGGGGAAAGAACGTCGACCGCATCTAGTGCATACGCAGATCATGGGAATCAACGAAACGAAGAGGTTATATATTGCAGTAAGGTGTATGCAAAGTGTTCGGGCAAGTTACACGGTGATATGTTGGAGACACTGCTCGACAACAGAAACAACAATATTGATGTGATCATCAAAGAAGATTAATGTAGTGAAGTAACGTAAAAACGCACAATACACGCACCTCTGACACCCGCTACCTCAGCACGCAACACAGTCTCCGTCTTCATACTCTCCAAGACCACCACCGGCTGACCCATTCTCAACGCGATCGCCGATGCTTGAGAACATCCTGGCCGAGGGAGAGCAGGTATGCAGGAGGTGCGACAGCCACTGGCGCCAAGCAGCAGGTGAGATTGTAAGGTCATGCGAAAGGGTATCCAGGGCAAGCGATTCAAGCTTGTTAAGCGAGTGGACAGGAAGTTTGCAGTTGATAAGACTTGAAGCTGAGATGACAGGGTAGGGAGAGACAAGGGAATGAGGGTGTCCCGAATTCGGAGAGAGCGGGGTGTCATTGCGACTCGTGGCTGCTAGCACTAGCATTGTCAACCTTGAACGAAAAAAATTGTTAGTAATGGACATACATACATAGATCATTGAATACGCACCTATATGCAGCAGCAGACAAGTGCCGGGAAATGAAAACGTGTACAAATGAGCGCCGGAAGATAAAACAAGTGAACATACGCAGCCAGGCATTCACAGATGGACACAGATGGACTTGCAAGGACAGGCGTATGCAAACACAAATGTTCCCAAATGGGTGCCACGTGCAAATGAGTGCAGACGTCGCAGACACAAGCAAAGACAACTTAGACAAGCGAGAACAGCGCAAACGAGCAATTACCATTTTTGGAAGGTACGGGTACACCACGGGTACGGGTTTGAGCGCGGGTCTCGAAATCTCAACCCCTACCCGTACCCGAGGAGTACCCGTACCCGTGACCCGCACGGGTTACCCATACCCGTGCAGATCCCTAAAGCCACTGTCCGAGTCGATGAATTTGCCGTAGCCATCACGAAATGCCGCACACTTTGCAATCTGGATGATTGCTTCGTGCTCAAACGGGTACCGCAACTCGCGGCCATCAATCTGTTGATAATTTGTCATCCTTCGAACAGTAGCATTCGAAAAATAGTACATACTTTCACTGATTCACCAAATATAAAATTGAGGGAATTGTTGCCGGTGAGGAAATCGATGGTCGACTTGATGTGATTGGCCTGGACCACCGGGTCCGCCCAGATTGACATTTGGAGCCGGTATAGGGTTTCGACGAGGTCCTGCGCACACTGCTTGAAACGATTGAGTATTGTCGACATTGGTGTGATGACGGTCTTATATAGCCCGGATGTGTTTTCGTCGATCCAAAGTTTGATCAAGTGTTCTAGTAGCTATCCCATTAGCACGTATCCTAGCTGTAGCACCAACGGGAAACTCACCTTCGCCAATAACGGACGAACACGCATCAGTCAGAGCAGCTTGTACTACACTTAATCGACTCGACGAATCGTGGAAGCCACATCGATTAAGTGTCTCTTTGATGATGGCGTCCTTCGCGTCCTTCATAATGATTTTCAAATTGTTTTTGTCGATTAAAGGTACTGTTGTGGTCGTGGTGCCGGAGCGGTCCCCTTGACTGTACCGGCGACCTGCACGGACTGACGTAGAGCGTTGAGAGGTAGTAGCGATTGGCGTAGTTTCCGAATCCGACAAATGTGACTCCCTTGGGGGTCTAACGGGAGGGAGTTGGTACCGTCGTGTAGTCGATTTTTGTACACCCGTCGTGTCGTCTCTCTAATACATGAATAAGTACAACTCGGAGGATATAAATATAAGGCTCACATAAACAACACCATCCGTATACTCTTGGCGGGATTTCTCTCCACCGCGAAGCGGTAAATAAGCATACACCATGCGATACCGAGACGCAGTATCGCCCGAAGGTGCAAATGATCGCTGGACTCGATCAGGCCCTGGCGCGCGAGGGGTTGTCCCAGAGAAGTGTGATGCCCTTGGTAAAGGCATGCTGTCCTGGGAATTAGGCGGCATTGAGCTGTAGCCATCGTGCGAGAAAACAGGGGGAGGATAGATGTGAGGGGGCAATTCAGGGATGCCCATCGACTCTGGGATCTCTGATGTGCAGCCCAGCTGATCTGCTGATGAGTGTCCAGCGACATTCAGTCCCGGTTGTCGAATGATGGGCACGTCCTGTCATCGTGCGATAAGGAGTCAGCATACGAAGGGGGGGATCTAAAGGTGTGACTTACCCGCACAACTCTTCGGCGGCCTCTGGTTTGGCTTGCGGGCATGGTGGTCACTTGCAGAAACAATCAATAAAGAGTGTCCATAACAATCATCCTCGTAAGGCAAAAAACAAAGTTCACGAAGCGCTACATTCAATGGTAATCGTAGTTCTACAAACTACAAATAAAGACGTCAACACACCAAATCGTCGAAAGTAGAAACACAAATTTGCATATGTACCACCTTACAGTTATCTAACCCTATCATTCAGGCTACATCCTATCAATAGATGAGCGCATGCTGCCACATGAAACAACGAAGCTTACCTTGGTATTGGTTAATAAAATTAGACTCCTACTTCGATACCCTTGGCCCTGTCGCCAGCTCATACTCGGAGCGGTCTCCGACAGATGATTGACCAAAACCAAGAGGATCTCTGATGGAGTTTGCGTCGGCGGTGTCGAGATCTGAAGTTGGCGGGTCCAAGGGAAGAAATATATCCAGCTCATCGAGCTCAGCATTCAACTGTTTGACCCTTGCTGCCTCTTCCTGTTGGATTGAAGTGATGAACTCGAGATCCTGGGAAGCACGCCCTGCGTCGCGATCAGTCACCATGCGTGTAAAGAGCGCAGCCTCCTCAAATGCCCGAATAGTTTGATCCTCCTGCTCCTGCTGCTCACAATCGATGAAATCTCTGAGCCTCGAGAGCTTCTCTGCCTCCCAAGCCAAAGCCATTGAAAGATGCCGGCGATGTTCAAGTTCTGCCTCCTTGTAATAAGCAGCACGGCGCACTCCTTCAGAGGACAACCGCTGCAAGCCCTGAGAAAATATTTTGCAGGTCTAGAGACGTGATTAAATGTCACTGAGAGTCGGAGCATAAAGTATTGTAACATACCATATCATCGTCAAGGTCTGAATCCATACCGCCAGTCAATCGTCCCATCACGCTTGCCATCTTACGCTCAGCCTGCGGAGTGGGGGGAGTTTTCAGGACATAAGGGTGGTAACTGGACTGCAAATTCTGCTTTAAACGTATGCCACCCCGCCTTTTTGTAGTGGGTGGACCGACATCAGCATGTCCTAAGGAAGTGACAGATGCTGCAAAGATTTGAATTAAGTGTTGTCTGAGGTGTTTTAGGCTACTAGGTGGAGAAGAGCTTTGGGGGCTATCACGGTAGACGCGAGTGAAAGCTTCAGCATAATCAACCTTTGGGAGAATCGGACTTGACTTTGAGCTATGCAGTGGACTGGTTGGCGGGGTTTCGCCACGCGGATACTGGAACAGAGACTCTGGAGGATACATAAGTGGTGTCTCAGTCGCTCGGTGTGCACTGTGTTCAACAGCAAGCCCCAACAAAAGTCGGAGTTTCAAAGACTTAGTGCTTTTCGAGTGGTGTGCAAAGTATCGCACTGGTGGTACCTCAGAGTGGTCATTCCTATGGCGTATCCTCAGCTTTACGATCCATATAACCCCGGTTTTCAGCACGAGGAACCCGACTCTGAGTTCGCAGAGTTGACTGAAAAGTGAGCAGTACTGTGCGGTGTTAAATGACTCACTGATCTATTTCTCCAGTTCGCCCTTCAACGTTGCTGTCGTCTTGTGTCCTAACTGCAAGAAACAATACCAATCAGCCGAGGCAATAATTGAGCATCTAAATAGTGCAGACTCATGCTGGCCAGAGAACCTCACCAACAGATCAATGCTTCCAGTACTGCAGGCTCTACAGCGACCGCCAGAGCAGACAAACTTATCAGCAAAGTATCACCCCACCTCTGGCTACCATTACATTCTTCCAGATCAACCGCCTGCACAAAATATGTTTCAAGAAATGCAAGACCATCCTCTTCAAGAAGCCAGGGAGACTAATGTATGGTATCCATTTGATGGGCTGGGTGAATGGTCACTCGCGAAATTCCTTGTCGAGAACCTCTCTCAGACGCAGATCGACAAATTTCTCAAGTTAGATTGGGTGCGTTGTCTAATTGTCATCAAGTAAATACTTAAATGACATACTACTTCAGTTCCAGATGAGAGAGCGGCCGCAATTCAAAACGAAGGACGAGTTGTTCTTCTACATGCAGCAGCTTCCTGGCCGTGGGCCGAAATGGCAGTGTACGAAGCTTAAGCTCAAGGGCTACGAGAGTGAACAACCGATTCACCTCATTTGGAGGGACAGGTTGGAGGTTACGAAGCAACTTTTTGCAAACCCCGTTTATGCGAAACACATGTGCTATGACCCGCACCATATCTATCAAGGACAAGAACGCCAAATTGGAGAATTTTGGACTTCGGATGATGCATGGGAGATTCAGGTAAGTAGTCGCGCTTTTGTTTAGAGCTACTTGAGTGATTGACACTTGATAATAGGATCAACTACCGGAAGGGGCGACTATCGTTCCGATCATCGCTGCTTCTGACAAAACCCCAGTTACAAGACACACAGGTGGCCTCGAGATGCACCCATTATTCCTCACCATCGGAAATATCCAGGCCGATGTCCGCATGAAGGCTACATCACATGCGTGGCGATGTACTGCGTTCATGCCAATACCGACTTTCATTGTCAACTCTGATTTTCAAACTCTACTCCAGGCGCGTCTGTGGCACAAGTGCATGGATCTCGTATGTTCCCATTTGAAGGTCGCAGCTCGTGTTGGCGAGTATATGGTCGATCCCTCGGCCAAAATCTGTTACTGTTTCACGCCTCTAATCAGCCACATCGCCGATCTCCCCGAACAATTGATGATCGCATGCGTCATGAAAAACTCGTCTCCCGTCACCACAGCGACCCACAAAGAGTTTGGTGATGAGACACCGCATCCTCCACGGAATGGATCGGACACCTACGCGCTTATCCAGCAGCTTTGCAACCGTGTTGACCCATGGGATCTCATTGTATACGTTAGAGAGTCCAAAAAGCTCCATCTTAGTGGGGTGCACTTGCCGTACTGGAGAAACTGGAGGTGCTCCAATCCCGCTAGATTCCTGACGCCAGAAATTCTGCACACGCTACACAAATTCTTTTTCGATCACGTCCTTAAATGGATCAAGCAGATCATGGGTCATGAACTTGATGTACGGTTCAAGAGTCACCACAAGCGCACTGGTGTGCGCCATTTCTCTGGGGGTGTCTCTCATGTCAACCAAATGACAGGACGAGAGCACCGAGATATTCAGCGCACAATTGTGCCGACGCTGTGGGGTATCGCAAGCCCTGGTTTCATCCGCGCTGTGCGGGCAATGATCGACTTTATCTACCTTGCTCAGAATCCCCTTCACACTGAATCCAGCATCGCCTCCATGACTCAAGCACTTCAAGACTTCCATGATCATAAGCAGGCCATCCTCGATGCAGAGGCACGCCAGGGAAAGAGCGGTGCTAAAGACGACTTCTTCATTCCGAAATTGGAACTCATGCAAAATTTTGCTCGTGTGATCTCCCACGTCGGTTCGCTCATGCAGTGGACAGCAGACGTATCGGAACGTCTTTTAATTACTCACTGCAAACATCCGTTTGAACGCACGAGTCGTCAGAGAGACTTCGTCTTGCAGATCGCTCGCATCCTCGATCGGGAGGAGTCCATCCGGCAGTTCAACCTTTACACACTGTTGTCCTCGTCTGTATCTACGCCTGGTCAGGACCCACTCATGAACGCTGTCATCATGGAGGACGAAGAGATTGCTAGTACGGAGACAGATCCCACCTTTGCTTGGGTCTCCAACGCAAACCCAGCTGCCCAGCTACGTCTACAAGCGCCGCGCCCTGTTCGCAATCACTTCTTGAAGGGTATTTTGTCGGACAACGCACGGATTGCCTTCAATGTGACTGTGAAAGCAGATTGCAATCGCCTTGATGCATCTCAACTGCAGTCGTCGTACGACATCACTGATTTTTCTCATGCTTTACACCTCTACGCGACCCGCAATGGTTGTACACTCTCCGACCAGCTACTATTCAATACATGGTTGAAATTTCGCATCCAGTTATTTTCCGCATTCCATACTTGCAGGATCATGCCGAGCCAACAAATTCATGCCGAGCCACCTTCCAGTAATTTTCCTAGAGGGAACTGTGACGCCGTATTATTTAACCAGAGGGTCGATGGTCGTAACGATGGTGAGTATTACTAGATTTACCGGTGGTGACATTTCCTGATGGGCCTCTACAGGATCTTATGTCGCTCAAGTATGAGCCATATTCCAGCCAACCCTCCCCAGAGGTTCTCGTGCGCAGCTCCCCGAGCGCTTGTCTCAGGTGCTGGTATATATCCAGCATTTTGACTTCGTCGTGCCTGGCCCCGAGCCATCTACGGGCATGTGGATGGTCAGACGATCTTATACTCGATATTCAGCACAGTCGGAAAGGGTGATCAGACGCGGATCCATAATTCCTCTCACAGACGTTACGCATGTGGTGGAGATTATACCTGTCTATCAAGGACCATTGGGCAGGGACGTGAATTCTGGGAACTCAATGGAGGTGTTTGACGACTATTTCTTGAATAATTTTGCAGACAAAGAGCTGTACCACTCGCTATCAGTGATCTCAGATGCCTAGATAGATTTTCATGTAGCGCAGTTATCAATCTCAATCTTGGACTGATTCGATATCTTGATCATATCATGAGCCCATCTCTTGATCTTAGACGGGTGCCGATCTGCAAATTTGGTTTCCGAGAGTTATAATACCAAAAAGGGCTGTGTACGAGAGTATCCCTGAACTATCCCAAAAGCATCGCTCTCAAGTGTCTCTCAAGACGAGTCCAAACATAGATGTAGGGTTTTGTAGATAAATAATAGGGGAGCTCAAAGTTGAACGCCCAACACCCAAGCCCAACGCCCAACGCCCAACCTCGTGACTGAAATTAGGTATACCTAGAATAAATAGAAGTAAATATGGAGTAAAGCCACTGATGAGATAAGCTCCTTACCTAAACCTTGTCGCGCGAAGCGCCGAAACCTTCGCCAACTGTCTCCCCCTAATCCTCAGCATTTCTAAACCTTTTCACACCCTAAACCTTTTCATATTCTATTCCTAACCTTTCGATACTTAAAAAATGCTATTCCTAACCCTAATCATAACCCATGTCATAGATTTTATTGTGTGAGCATGTGGCAAAAGTCTAATGAGGGATAACTGAACAGGATTAGGAATGAAAAAGCAAGGTCTCCTAGGTATAAAAAGGTTTAGGTACGATGAAAAGGCTTAAAAGGTTTAGAAATGCTGAGGATTAGGGGGAGACAGTTGGCGAAGGTTTCGGCGCTTCGCGCGACAAGGTTTAGGTAAGGAGCTTATCTCATCAGTGGCTTTACTCCATATTTACTTCTATTTATTCTAGGTATACCTAATTTCAGTCACGAGGTTGGGCGTTGGGCGTTGGGCTTGGGTGTTGGGCGTTCAACTTTGAGCTCCCCTAATATCCCAGAGATGATCGATGAATCGTAGATCCAACGTAAGCAGATCTGGCCAGCTCACACAGTCACAGGTTGTTTTGTACCATCAAATTGCCGGCATCAACATTCAAAGTGTCGCGAGCTCTTGTTTTAGGCTCACCATTCACATCCTCCTTGGTCGCCATGGTGATCCCTGTGTTTCAGTAAGCCTTGTAATAATGTGGTTCAAACTTCATGGACCATCCTCCTATGCAATGCAGCTGGTAACATCGATGGACCTTGGAACATTTACGCACAGTACCACGTTATCACGTCTGGATGCACCGTTGGAGTCGTGGACTCGGCCAGTTTTCGAAATTTAACCTTGTGTTGCATGCGTAGCACCCGACTAATGAGTGCGGGACGGACTATTAAAGACCGTTAAACGGGGATGGTATTTAATGGATTGCCGCACAATCTCGTTGAACGCCTTTCTTATTGCCTCATCATAATGGATACTACCATGACTGACTCGGAGGCGCTGCAGATGTAGGTGATACACGCATAAATCTGATTGACCATGACGGCTGAATATTCCAGCCTCTTCTGCATTTACGCCACTCTAGCAGGAAATAGTGAGTAATAGCTGTAGTGCGTTGTATCTGTGAGCTCATGACGATAATGCGACATTCGGAATTCAGGTATCCTGATGTATGATCATATGACGACCCTACCAGAAGAAATTGCTTTTATATGGTGTCGTCCGAAAGCACTGTCTGCGATGTTATTTCTGCTCAATCGCTATGTCGCTCTCCTCTGCAATATTTGCGGCGTAATTATCAGTTTCCTGCCTGCTTCAGATGAGGTTCTATGATATTTCGTTATGCACGTACTCAATTGGCATGCTCACAACTTCTTTCTGTAGAGGTTCTACTTTGCTCTCTTATCTATCACTCTGCTCAACAAAGACTTAGTTGTTCGAAATATACGCTATACAGACAACTGGTCATTTTCGCCCAAGCAATCATTGTGTGCCGTGAGTATAATTTCGTTGCGAGAAACTCATGCATTGAAATTTTCAGTCATAATGACCATTCGCACTTATGCTCTCTACGGCTGTAGCAAGCGCCTGCTTACTTGGCTGATAATCATCCTGGTTGCTCTTGCGGGAGGAGCATCGGTGCGTGTTCGCATACAATTGTATACTCTGAGGTGTACTGATTATTTCTAGGTGGGAACGTTTGGGCGTTTTTCAGGTAATACGATCATCTTGCCAGGCATCGGTTGTTACGAAACATATACAGCAGAGACGTACGCTATCCTTTTGTCATTCTGTGCGCTTGCTCAAAAGTCGTCGCAGATCTGTCCGTCAGTAAACTCCAAGTCACGTTTGTATATACCTTGATGTCATGACAGGTCTCGGGCTGGCATGGATGGCCTTATTTGTCTTCGATTCACTCATTTTCGCCCTCACGGTGCACAGGATTTGCAAAACTAGAGGTCTGCTGCGGTTGTCTCTGGTCACCAGGAAAAATGTGATTGATACCATATTTCACGATGGTAAATATTTCGCTGTCTCGGTATTTTCAACGCTGAATCTACAGGACGCAGGTGCGATGTATTTCGGGTGAAGTTGGCAGTGAGATCGTGATCTGAGTGATTCTGATCCGTATTCCTTCAGAGCGATGGCACTGTCCAATATACCGAACATCCTGACGTACTACGTGAGTCATTGAGTGAATACTGATGGTGTCACAAAAGGCTCACAGCTTGAATCAGTCTGATTCAGTGAGCATATAGACTCGCATTCTATATCTGGTTTGACTATTTCCTGACGATCGACAAGGGTATGATGAATGGTACTCTTGGCGCATTTACTAGCTGGTGAGTGATTGATGCGATGAACACAAATTGGGATTAAATATGACCACCTCCAGCATGTCCGTCACCCTCATCTCTCGACTAATGCTTAACCTGCACAAATCTATCGACACTGGCATTTTCTCCACCCCTGCCCCGGACGATGACCCTCTCCTTACTACCAGGGTCAACGGACAGTCTGAAATGTCCTCTTACCCTTGGTAGATTGGTATTGGATTCTGTTTTTGGATGTGAAGTGCGGAGATTCTTGTCGGAACGTTCTTGCAGCCCTTTTCTTCTATGCAGGTGTGGACGACGCTGCATACGCGTGCTGAATGTAAAGTTAAACGTCTAGTTTGGACGTGCTCTATATATAATATATTCATTATTTACTAATTATCATTTACAAGCCGTGACCTGGGGTCATCGTATAATTTTATGAGCGTAACAGTGTCGAGTGCAAAAGAACTTAAAGAAGGGGTGTTACGATTGAATGAAAAGGTGATACGTGGGTTAATGAGCAGCTGGACTTGAGATCCGTTTGCGCAAGAGAAGGTATGAGATAGCAGGTGGTGTCGGAGTTAACGAGGGTAGGGACAGCAACCGTTGTGGAGTGCCAAAGATGCTTCTGGCAACGATGTCTATCTGGATGAGATACGATTAAGCGCAGTTGTTGTGGAGAGTCCGCAAGAAAAAAATGTAATTCAGAGCGAGCTCGTAAAGCTAGGACATGCTTGAAGTGGTGAAAGCTTGATGTCTATCTGGCGGCCACCTTGTGACGATTGATGCATCGATGAAGTGTGATCAGATCGATCATAAGCGGCATCTTATTCCATGCATGACAACAGTACAAGCCACTAGCGCTATACGATTACCCTGTCATGATCTGGCAAGATGAGAAAATCTAAACGAGTGAATTCCGAGTCACACACCGAGGCAGAAACATGCCACTTTGATAAGATAGAGCGCGCATTCCTCCATGGGTATGTATCACCAACTTGGTCCAAAGTCATGGTTGAAATAAAGAACTGGTGATCTGCGCAAGGACGGTCGTGCACAGTCGTGCACGTCTGCGTAGAAGTGGGCGGCGATTTCTGGATTGAGTCTCGAAGTGTTGGCAATAGTACCTATTACTCACACATCTGGACTCAATGCAGAGACAGAGGATTCGCTCTCGTTATACTAATACCCGGGAGAGACTCGGATTAGATTATCGATGCGCAACAATCTTGGGGATAAGAGTGATAGCTGCGATTTGAAGCTCGGAAACGGGTGACTGGGAGCAAATTTAACAGTTATATTCAAACTCAGCTATGTAGGGCTGATGTAGGGACTAATTGCAACTTCCACCTTGACGGCGCATGGAGTGATGCCCATCGACCTCGACATCGTTATTGACTCCGGCACTCCCGCGACCTGTCGCTGCAGCGATGTTAAGTGACTTAAAGCATCGGTCGAGTGACAGCCTGATCCAGGCGGGTTTACGACAAAGACCCTGAAAAAACTCTCAGTGTCAAGAAACCACATTTCAAATCTCGACTCTCAATAATTCTGTACGTCGAGTTGACCTCCATCGATGTATCTCTGGCAACAATATCGGCGCCCACTCGATGCTGTATCCATGACATAGTCGTTCCCTGGCTAAGCCCAATTCAATTTCCCCTCATCCACCAAAATGGGGCTACTATGCTCGTGCACATCACGTCCTCCCAGAAGACCAACAAACACTCCTCGAAGATTGGTCCACGATTTTGCAGTGAATGCTAAGAGCGCTTCCGTCTAGGCAACTGCGAACTGCATCACGCAGATCTGCAAAGTGGCTGTGGGACTGGCAGCAAAAGCTCGAGGCGTATCTCGAGGCAGACAAAGGATATCATAGCTGTTGAGGCTAAGGTCGGTGAGCATGTATGCGCTCATCAGACTTTTGTGTTGACCACCAGCCAGCTAAAACAAGCATGTGTTCTGCATAGGTCCCTTCCTCTCCCTCGTCAAACCTGAGAAGCTCTCCTTCATCAGTATTCTCGAGATTATGCCGTTCAAGGCAGCAGTGCCCAGACGGGATGAAAACTATAGATTTGCATGGATATAATACAGAGTTGACTCGCTTCTCATGATGTAGATTACAGCGTTCGTGAAAGTGACAGTGATTGACATAAACGACTGATTATCATAACTTGAAGTAGCTAATCATTAAAAATCGATCTTGTTCAGATCTTGATACTTGTCCACTTCCACACTCACATTACACCATCCCTTCCTCCGGTCCCAGGACTCTAGTACAACATGCAGGCACCGTGATAATCAGGGACTAACAGCTTCATCACTCTTGACCATCCTCTCAAGCATGTCGCCGGCCACAGCCCTCAACTCCTTCACAGCAACGGCGACCCCCTCTCCCTGCTCTCCCTGCTCTGAATCTCGCCTCTCCAGTCCTTCGAGAGTATAGCCCACATATCTAATGAGCAGCTCGAGATCAAATTGCGAGGCAATCTGCATGTACTTTTTCGTGGCTTCCACAAGGACTGGTAGGAACTCGAAACAGTGCAAGTCAATTTCATAGGGGACACCGATCCATGCACTATTCATCATGTCCCACCACTGCTGCTCTGTAATAGAATCGAGTGATGTGGCCGACAATTGTTCAGGTGCGATTCGGAGGAGGATGCCAGCTAGATAAAATGCATGCGGCAACATTTGGTGGTACTTTGCAACCATGCTAATGCACCAATCTATATGGTGATCCCCAGACAAATGGGAGTGCCAGTCGGAATTCCTCGCCAGGGCAAAAACCAGTTCGAGATAGCACGAGTCGCGACGAGAATCCAAAAAGCGGTCAGGACCATCATCGGCAGGTGTTGTACCCGGTCGCGGACAAACCACAGTCAGAATAGCGGGGGAGAGCTCTGTCAAAACCATGTCACGTAGGCTCACATCATCAATGCCATCGATCGATGTTATTTCTTGTCGGACAATGTGAACAGCGCGAAGAGCAGCATGACGTAAATTGTAAGGCATGTCACTGTCCATGCATGCGATGAGGCTCTTGATGAACATATGTTGTTTAGTAGGGCTGCAGCGAGCTCCCAAGCCATTCAGTAGAAAAAGGATGTCATATGCGGTCTCGTGGTCGTCGGAATGAATATAGTCAAGGTAGTCCACTAGCCAGTCGAAGTCTCCTGGCGAGTGGGGATCGCCTTCCCAAAACAAGGCATACCACAAATGGGCAGGGTCTCGAGATACTCTGGCGGCAGCGAATGTGAAATTCAGTGCATTTCGCAGAGCTTCCGACAAATCCCAGGGATGTTCTGATGACCTCGCTCGTGAATAAATCTTCCTGCACACGTCCAGGTTCCGCATCGTGCGGAATGGAGAAATATAGTGATGTCGAGCAGGCTCGATAAAGAGACAGATAATGTCAAGGAGGTTCCATGCCCGGCGTATGACTCCTGTGGTGTCTTCGTCGACATCGCCTCCATCCCATGCCCAGAGAACCTTTTGGAACTGCGTCAAAAGGGACTGCACGAGTTGAGGCAGAGCAGAACTACATAATTTCATTGTTAATGATGGCGAAAAAAGAACACCAAATGAGTCCATGGCACCTTTTATCAACCTGAACTATATCCTGCTTGTCAAACCGAACCCCGATCATGACGCAAGCGAGAAGAGTGCAATTGGCGACGATTCGATTCGACAGAGTGGACGGAGAGCTTAGCAGTTTTGATATCACTGCTATGGCGAGTTCTTCTATATCTTCATTCACTCGCCCAGTGACGAAATGGTAAGGAAGAGAATGCGACAGCCACTCCGAAACAGAGTCGGGACAATCCTCCAAGTCTGAAGAATAGAACGAAAATCCATTATCATCATCTTCCGGAGGACAAAGATTCATAGTCGTGGAAAGTACCACGTCATCGAATACACCGTTAGCCATCCAGCTCGTCTCACGAAACACCTCGTAGTCTCTTTCCTGTTGGCCAAGAAATTCACTATAGCCAGGAGATGCCTGAAGAACGCGGCCGAAGTATAGATGACTCAGAGCCATTATACATGCAGAGGCCTTTTCCTCCAACGACGGTACAATTTGATCCTGGATATCAATGCAGCTTGTAAAATTATAAAGTAGCTGAGGCAGCATGTCTGACACGTCAAGATCCAGGGGCCATTCAACGTGCGGAACAAGACTGGCAGCCGCGAGAAATACTTCAGGATCCGTAGATGTCTCGAGCAGCCACTTGATGCTAGGTGCTTCCAGACCGGCAGTGGGTATGTTAGGGAGGTCGAGAGCGAGGGTGCATTCATTCTCCGCTAAAATATCCAGGTTTTGGTCCAGCGATTGTTTTTCCGAGTCCTCAACCTTTGTCGAAGAGCGCAGAACTAGAGAATGCAGTCCGTTATGAAGCGTGGTGAATAACTGCTGAAGAGATCGCCATGTGAATGTGCCGACCGCACGTATAGGGCCTGGGGAATGAGATTAGCACTGGGTATCCTGTGTAACAGTAGATAAGAAGGTCACCTCTCAATGCTTCAGACAATCGGGCCCATCTTGATCTGACGGTGCCAAGCAATCGCCGCAGCATGCCTGACAAGAAATGGTAAAAACCTGTGGGCACGTAAGAAAACATAGCTCACCATGCGCTGATGTCATGAGCTGCTGGAAATACAACTCCTGCAATGTGGATTCAGACTGGAAACGATCACTAGAATCCACAGAATGATCTTACTGTCAATGCGCAACATGCACAATATCGTTGATATCGGTGTTTGAAATGGACAGGCGGGAGATATCAAACATGCCATCACGGTCAGTGAATAGAACAGAAATCCGAAGACCGTTGTAGCAATGATGACCCAGGCGATGCTCGACTGCTCGGTCCACATATTGGTCCCGAGCGCGATCCCAAACAGAAGAAGGGAGATCTGAAGTAAGACCGGGAAGGATTGCACGACAGCATCAAAATACCATGTGGTGATACCGTCGAACGTCTCTTGCCTGCGCTTCCCTCGTTCCTCCTGCGAGCCGCGGCCATATCTGTTCGACTTGTAGTACCCGAGCCACTGTTTGCCCAGTACGGCCCCGAAAGCAGCGAGCAAGCTCATGGACAAGCTCGCGTATGCGATCATTTGGATCCATATAGTCGTCGCCGATGGCGACCACGTAGATGCAGGCGCAGAGCTCGCTTCAGCGAGGTTGCCGAGCCCAATCTGTACAAGCTGCGCGAGAAGAGCATGCGTGGTGTCGTTGGGGTCGGGACTGAGATTAGACTCCATCGCTACGATAAAAGACGTGCTGACGGCGGAGAAAAGACCAGACTGATCAAAACATCAATCTCAAAGCGAATAGAAGATGAGCATGCGACACCTACGAAGACCAAGACAATGTCCATATCGCTGGTGTATCTCTCAAGGAACTCGCCGTCATGCTCCTCCGCGACTCTTTTGTACACCCCCCAGAAACGAGAGCGATGGTCCTTGCCGCTCTTCGACGCAATCGTCGAGTCTTGGAGAACATCCAATACTTGTTTCATGACACTTGCTCTGCGTGTAGGATGTTGTCAGCTACGATCGCTCGACTGATTTTTCGCTCACAATTCGCTTAGAGTTGGCTGGTCCTTCTCCACCACGTCCTCCTCCATGTCCTTCTCCGCCACAACCTTGTCTTTCTCCGCCACGTCCTTCTCCCCCTCGCTGAGACAACGCATGAGCGTGTTTGACATCGGCATTCATAGGGACTTACGGAGCTAAATCGCTGTCTGGTGCAACATTCAAGTTGGGGGTACTTTCCTGTACGTGAAGTTCTGATGGTTGGGAACACCTAGTGTTCGAGCTGCAGTTCTGGTGAGGAAGGACACAAAAGCATCAGGGCAAAAACACTTACATCCCTGATGGCAGCACCACAGACGGTTCACCATTTATCTCCTCCCTGTCTTGCTGTTAGGTGAGTGGTAGATTCCACGAAGTCGCAACTTACTCGTTTGTGGGTCCTTCGGTGTCGTTTTGTGGGGGAGGCTGTTCATCATTGTGAGCGAGCAGATCCTCGGCGTTGTCGGTGCCTGATGCTTTTGACATGAGGTAATATACTTATATTGGATTCCAAGCAAACCCGGTGAGATTTGGGAAGAGTAGGAGGTGAGTGAGCAGAGAAGAGTGGTGGTACACAGCAAGAGCCTTGGGCGGTGCGACCATGACGAACACGTGCTTGACAGCGTTGACGCTGGGAGTGCTCTCTTCAGTAGACTGCAAGTCCCGCATAAATATAGTCAGACCGAAAGAAGAGAGAAAATCTAGCTTGCGCAACATACTTACACTTGATGTTCGCACTTCACATAAGGCGTCTTCCCAAAGGAGTGAGTGTATTGGCATGACGTCAAATGACCAATTTCCCCGCTCTTTGTCTTCCGGAATCCGATCACGTTGAACCCCCATCACCACGTCTTTCCAAAGCGCAGAACATATTCCTCTTCTGGGGCCGCCATGCTGACCGTTCTGAATTGCTTCTCCTTGATCGATTCTGGTCAGCTGGCTGCCATGGATGCATGGTTCCACAACTTGTACAATGGTCTACGCGCAAATTGGATCTTTTAGCAGCTCCGAACCCGCAATTGACATCATCAAACTCCTCTCTAAAGCTGCACCCCCGGGCCTTGTGTATCAGTTGAACTTGGGCCGGCAGAATCTCTTGGAAGCCGCGCACCAGCCGCTTTGGAGGATGTCAATCTGTCACACGACCCACCGTATGTGCTGCATTCTTTCATTTGGATCACACCAACATCCACTCAGGCGCCCTCTGAAGAAAACCTGGACGAGGGCGGGAACATGATGCTAGCACAGGGTCAAGCTTCAACCTCGACAACCTCCGCAACCACTTGGCTCAGGTCGCCTTTGCACAGCACGTCCTCCCAGAAGACCAACAAACACTCCTCGAAGATTGGTCCACGATTTTGCAGTAGAGCGCTTCCGTCTAGGCAACTGTGAACTGCATCACGTAGATCTGCAAAGTGGCTGTGGGACTGGCAGCCGAAGCTCGAGGCGCGTCTCAAGGCAGACAAAGGATATCATAGCTATTGAGGCTAAGGTCGGTGAGACGTTTGTGTTAACCACCAGCCAGCTGAAAACAAGCATGTGTTCTGCATAGGTCCCTTCCTCTCCCTCGTCAAACCTGAGAAGCTCTCCCTCATCAATATTCTCGAGATTATGCCGTTCAAGGCAGCAGTGTGCAGACGTGATGAAAACTATAGACTTGCATGGATATAATACGGAGTTGACTTGCTTCTCATGATGTAAATATACATCGTTCGTGAAGGTGACAGTGATTGACATAAACGACTGATTATCGCGACTTGAGGTAGCTGAGTATTAACAATCGATCTTGTTCAGATCTTGATACTTCTCCACTTCCGCACTCGCATTGTACCATCCCTTCCTCCGGTCCCAGGACCCTAGCACAACATGCAGGCACCGTGATAATCAGGGACTAACAGCTTCATCACTTTTGACCATCCTCTCAAGCATGTCGCTGGCTGCAGTCCTCAACTCTTTCATAGCGACGGCGGCTCCCTCTCCCTGCTCTGAATCTCGCCTCTCCAGTCTTTTGAGAGTATAACCCACATGTAAAATGAGCAGTTTGAGATCAAGTTTCGAAGCAGTTTGCATATACCTCCTCGTGGCTTCCACAAGGACTGGAAGGAACTCAACACAGTGTATGTCAATTTTATAGGGGACACCGGTCCATGCACTCCTCATCACGCCCCACCACTGCTGCTCTGTAATAGAATCGAGTGATGTGGCCGACAACTGTTCTGATGCGAATCGGAGGAGGATGCCAGCTAGGTAAAATGCATGGCGCACGAGGGATTTGCTGCACTCTGCAACCATGCTAATGCACCAATCTATATGGTGATCCCCAGACAAATGGGAGTGCCACTCGGAATTGCTCGCGAGGGAAAAAACCAGCTCAAGATAGCACGAGTTGCGGGGATGATAGTAAAAGTGGTCAGGGCCATCATCGGCAGGTGTTGTACCCGGTCGCGGACAAACCACAGTCAGAATAGCTGGGGAGAGCTCTGTCAAAACCATGTCCCGTAGGTTCACATTATCAATGTCATCGATCGATGTTATTTCTTGGCGGACAATGCGAACAGCCCGAAGAGCAGCATGACGTAAATTGTAAGGCATGTCACTGTCCATGCATGCGATGAGGCTCTCGATGAACATATGTTGTTTAGCAGGGCTGCAGCGAGCTCCCAAGCCAATCAGTAGCAAAAGGATGTCATATGCGGTCTCGTGGTCGTCGGAATGAATATAGTCGAGGTAGTCCACCAGCCAGTCGAAGTCTTCTGGCGAGTGGACATCGCCTGTCCCCCAAAACGGATTATTCCACACCTCGATAGGGTCCCGAGATACTCCGGCAGCAGCGAATGTGAAATGCAGTGCATTTTTCAGTGCATTTTTCAGAGCTTGCGACAAATCCCAGGAATCTTCGGATGACCTCACTCGTGAATAAATCTTCCTGCACACGTCCAGGTCTCGCATCGTGTCGGATGGAGAATTAAAGCAACGCCGAGCAGGCTCGATAATGGGACAGATAACGTCAAGGAGGTTCCATGCCCGGTGTGTGACTCCTGTGGTGTCTTCGTTGACATCGCCTCCATCCCATGCCCAGAGAACCTTTTGGAACTGCGTCACAAGGGACCGCACGAGTTGAAGTAGAGCAGAACTACATAATTTCATTGTTAATGATGGCGGAAAAAAAAATCAAATGAGTCGGTGGCACCTTTTATCAATCCGAACTATATCCTTCCTGTCAAACCGAACCCCGATCATGACGCAAGCGAGAAGAGCGCAATTGGCGACGATTTGATTCGACGGAGTGGACAGAGAGCTTAGCAGTTTTGATATCACTGCTATGGCGAGTTCTTCTATGTCTTTATTCACTCGCCCAGTGACGAAATGGTAAGGAAGAGAATGCGACAGCCACTCCAAAACAGAGTCGGGACAATTCTCCAAGTCTGAAGAATAGAACGAAAATTCATCATCGTCATCTTCCAGAGGACAAAGATTCATAGTCGTGGGAAGCACCACGTCTTTGGCTATACCGCCGATCGTCCACCCCATATCACGAAACACCTTGTAGTCTCTTTCCTGTTGGCCAAGAAATTCACTATAGCCAGGAGATGCCTGAAGAACGCGGCCGCAGTATAGATGACTCAGAGCCATTATACATGCAGAGGCCTTTTCCTTCAACGAAGGTACAATTTGGTCCTGAATATCGACGCAGCTTGCAAAATTATATAGCAGCTGAGGCAGCATGTCTGACACGTCAAGATCCGGGGGCCATTTGACGTGTGGAACAAGACTGGCAGCGGCGAGAAATACTTCAGGATCCGTAGATGTCTCGAGCAGCCACTTGATGCTAGGTGCTTCCAGACCGGCAGTGGGTATGTCAGGGAGGTCGAGATCGAGGGTGCATTCGTTCTCCCTCAAAATTTTCAGATTTTGGTCGAGTGGCTGTCTTTCCGAGTCCACAACCTTTGTTGAAGAGCGCAGAACTAAAGAACGCAGCCCGTTATGAAGCGCGGTGAATGACTGCTGAAGAGACAGCCATGCGAATATGCCGATCGCACGTATAGGGCCTGGGGGATGAGATTAGCACTGGGTGTCCAGCGTAGTAGTAGATAAAAACGTCACCTCTCAATGCTTCAGACAATCGGTTCCATCTTGATCTGACGGTGCCAAGCAATTGCCGCAGCACACCTAACAAGAAACGGTAAAAACCTGTGGACACATGAGAAAACATAGCTCACCATGCGCTGACATCATGAGCTGCTGGAAATGCCTGGAGGCTGGTGTGAATATTAAGAGCAAAACTCCTGCAAAGTTGATTCAGACAGGAAACGACCATCATAATTCACAAGATAATCTTACTGTCGATGCGCAACATGTGCAATATCGTCGATATCGGCGTTTGAAATGGACAGGCGGGAGATATCAAACATGCCATCACGGTCAGTGAATAGAACAGAAATCCAAAGGCCGTGGTGACAATGATGACCCAGGCGATGCTCGGCTGCTCGGTCCACATATTGGCCCCGAGCGCGATCCCAAACAGAAGAAGGGAGATCTGAAGTAAGACCGGGAAGGATTGCACGACAGCATCAAAATACCATGTGGTGATACCGTCGAACGTCTCTTGCCTGCGCTTCCCTCGTTCCTCCTGCGAGCCACGACCATATCTGTTCGACTTGTAGTACCCTAGCCACTGTTTGCCCAGTACGGCCCCGAATGCAGCGAGCAAGCTCATGGACAAGCTCGTGTATGCAATCATTTGGATCCATATAGTGGTCGCCGTCGGCGACCACGTAGATGCAGGCGCAGAGCTTGCTTCAGCGAGGTTGCCTAGCCCAATCTGTACAAGCTGCGCGAGAAGAGCATGCGTGGTGTCGTTGGGGTCGGGATTGAGATTAGACTCCATCGCTACGATAAAAGACGTGCTGACGGCGGAGAAAAGACCAGACTGATCAAACATCAATCTCGAAGTGAGTCGAAGATGAGCATGCGGCACTTACGAAGACCAAGACAATGTCCATATCGCTGGTGTATCGCTCAAGGAACTCGCCGTCATGCTCCTCCGCGACTCTTTTGTACACCCCCCAGAAACGAGAGCGATGGTCCTTGCCGCTCTTCGACGCAATCGTCGAGTCTTGGAGAACATCCAATACCTGTTTCATGACACTTGTTCTGCATGTAGGATGTTGTCAGCTACGATCACTTGACTGATTTTTTCGCTCACAATTCGCTTAGAGTTGGCTGGTCCTTCTCCACCACGTCCTTCTCGACCGTGTCCTTCTCGACCATGCCCTTCTCAACCATGTCCTTCTCCACCACGTCCTTCTCCGCCTCGCTGAGACAACACATGAGCTTATTTGACATCGGCATTGATAGGGACTCACGGAGCTAGATCACCGTCTGGTGCAACATTCAAATTGGGGGTACTTTCCTCTACGTGAAGTCCTAATGGTTGGGAATGCCCAGTGTTCGAGCTGCAGTTCTGGTGAGGAAGGACACAGAAGTATCAGAGCAGAAACACTTACATCCCTGATGGCAGCACCACCGAAGGTTCACCATTTGTCTCCTCCCTGTCTTGCTGTTAGGTGAGTGGTAAATTCCACGAAGTCGCAACTCACTCGTTTGTGGGTCCTACGGTGTCATTTTGCGCGGGAGGCCGCTCACCATTTTGAGCGCGCTGATCCTCGGCATCGTCGGTGCCTGATAGCTTTGACATGAGGAAATATAATTATATTGGATCTCAAACAAACCCAGTGAGATTTGGGAAGAGTAGGAGGTGAGTGGGCAGAGAAGAGTGGTGGGACACAGCAAGAGCCTTGGGCAGTGCGACATGACGAACACGTGCTTGACAGCGTTGACGCTGGGAGTGTTTCTACTCCCGCATAAATATAGTCAGATCAAAAGAAGAAAGAAAGTCTGGCTTGCGCAACATACTTGATATTCACCCTTCACATAAGGCGTCTACCCAAAGGCTACCCGCTTTTGGCGCAGCCAAGGGAGTGAAGGTTTAAGTTGGCATCAAGCCAGACGTCGTACGGGTAGCAAGTGAAGTCCAAGGCGTAGTACGTTAGATAAGATGCATATTTGTTTCTAGGGGGGACAACGTCAGCCTGAAAGAATACTCAGTCAGTGAAAAATTACTTCACCTTTGTCGCTGTGTGATACTTTGCGCAGGAAAGCTATGTGATCGAAGCAGAAATAGCAGCTGGGGGCAAGTGGAGACTGAACATCATTTGACAGGATGACGTGACTGATTCACACCTTAACAAATACTCATGCAACATATACAATACTAAATGGTAATATCAGACAGCATTCACCCAAGCCTTTCGACGATACGAGAGAAAGAAAAAACATAGATAGTATGCAGTATCACAATAATAGTCATGTAGGCGGCCATAACTCAGTGTAAGGGCGTTCTCCACACCTCTCCCAAGCGGGTTGGCTGATGCGGCGCATAGTGCCATGTAGCTCCGCCTTCAAAGCTGACCGTCCTAGAATGCTCTTTCTCGTTCCGATAGAACCAAACTGGGACTGATCGGTACAACCATTCTGTCCATGCTGCGTTGTAGGTTGGTTTGGGGTCGACATACATGCACCAGGGGAGCCGGGGTGCGTAAAGGAAGAGAGTTGGCACGCAACAGAGAAGGTATTGGTGTGAGTAGTCCATTGCCTGCAGGGGCCTCAGTCTTCGAGCTCCGCTCGGGTTCAGAATTGGCTCGAGAGAAAGGCATCGCAGGCAGAGTCAACTCAGACGAAGTAGGAAGTGGTGATCTTTCCATCAGGTGCTTGGGTGGTACAGGCGGAGCAGCCCATGCTCCAGGAAGTCTCGGGGTCTTCATCGCTGTGTAGTTCGGATTGGAAAGGCCGCCCTCATCGACTCGTATGGGAGTGACATCCGCCTCGCACGTCTCTACTTCATCCTCGGAAGATGAAGGGAGAGCAGAAATATTGGAGAGGCCATGGGGTGGAGACGGGGTGCGGAAGTCAAGGATGGAAGTGCTTGACGAAAGACGACGCGGCGGAGTTGTGAGCACAAGATTGAGAATGACAGAAGAAGATTCATCCTGAGGGGCGATACTGGCCAATGGCGACGTTCCCGGCGGAGTGAAAGAGGATGGCGTCGTCTGCTCTTAGGGCCGAGAGGAATTTAATGGATAGTCTGGAGTAGGAGGTGGGAAGGAGGTCGCTGAAGTTGAGGAAAGAGCTCTATGGAGACGTGCTTCATCATCGACAGAAACACCAGGAGGTGCCTGAACGGGTGAGTGTTGTCTTGGTGGAGAGGATGGCGGAGACACCAGAACCTCTCGCTGGGAGCATCGTCGGGGAAAGAATTCAAACGTCGTATGTCTGGAGGAGTCGATCGTGGAGCAAAGTCCGATACAGATTCCTCATCACTCGCTGCAGAATCCAGATAAGGTGTATTGACAGGATAAGGGAAATACATATCTGACCCAATACCATATCCTCGTCCCCAAATGCACCGTGCATGCTAGTCTGATGTTGAATACTTCCCATTGACTCCGTAAAATCCATCGATCACTTGTGATGACCCTTCTTGAACTTCTCTTCATTGTTGGCTTTAGGAGTAGAAGAAGCAAAACTGCCGCTGCTGAAAAGACCTTTCCTCTTAGATGTTGAGGGCACTGGAATCAAGCTCGACCTATTCGATGCCCGGCTGGATGGGCGAGAGCTCGGAGTCGGCGATGGCGAAGTGATGGTCCGCACGCGATTATGTGAGGAATCAGGCTCCTTGTTTTTGCGTTCGGGTCGTGTAAAACGAGATGACACAGAGCCAGCGCTATCTTCTGACGGTTGTTCAAAGAGTCTTGTAGGAGGTTATTTTCCGCTGGGCAAATCTAATGAACGTGCTAGCAAGGGCGTGCTGCGGGAATGAGTATCAGAGGGTATCGATAAGGAGTAGATGGTCCAAATTCTGATATTGGAAGAAGAAGCAATGTTCTTGGGACCGAAAGAAGAAAGAAAGTGTAGTACTTGATATCCGCCCTTCACGTAAGGCGGCTACTCAAACCCAGTGAAAATCGACAAGAAACAGGCCGATACGTAACAATATACGTCGAGGAAAATTGAGGCTGTCAATTATATCGCTGCGTTTCGAGGTGTTTCGAAAAAACGGCACTTTTCGAGACAGCGAAAGATAGAGGTCGAGAGGAATTTTCGGTCTTTCGATAGGTTTTTCGTCCCGATGTATGCGCTGAAAATGATTCTATTTGGCCTCGAAATGGTACCGATACAAATATAATGCTATAGAATCAAATGTAGGTGGGTATCGCTGTGAATTGATGATATTAGGTTATGGTAGGGTATCTGCTGGTCCTCGCCCTGCCCGCCATTCTCGCACCCCCTCCCGTTTCCGCCCTAGGACTGTGCGGGGACCCATTCCTACTCGTCAACATTGATTGCATCCTCCCCGTCGACGGCCTGCTGTGTTGAGAAAGAACGAACCTGTAAAAGACTCTGATTAGCAGCCAGACTCGGATCTCGGACGATTGTACTCACTTGTGCAGTTGCCTTTCTCTTGTACTCCTAGTAGTGCGCTGTGTTAGTTGTGTGCTAAGAGAGAATGGACGGTACTTACCTCCTTAATACTAGCAGATAGGTTGTCCCAGTAGAGTGCAAACGCACTCGCTGGCTCCCGCTGGTGACCGGTGTGGGTGAGGAAGGAACTACAGGGCGATTCTGTGAGGGGGTCGAGTAAGTCCGCTGCGCACTCGGGTGAAGCGGTCATGAGAGCCTCCTGCACGTCCTGGATTGCTTGGACCCACTGCTGGACCTCCACTGGACTTTCAGCCTGGGGATAGAACGTCCTAACAGTAGAGACAACACCAAAGGTATTGGTGTGTTTCTTGAGTGTGACTGGGGTGCAGGAATGCACGTCGGAGAGATCGAGAAGGCATAACAGACTAACAGTTGATATTCCGCGTTCTTGGAACATGACCTACGCCCAAAGACACGCGAACCAGGAAAGCTTTCTGTCGTGGGGTTCTACTAAGGTTAAGAAAAAGCAAGAAAGATCCGTACCGACTTGATGATTTTGATGAGCATCCAGTTGTTAGACGATGTGTTGGGAGATGGAGGAGTTGTGGGGCAAGCGGAAGGTAGTCTTGGGGGTTTTGCCAGGCGAGCTCGCACAAGACATTTACAGTCGCGCAGACCACACCTGGGTGTGTGCCTTGGTTAAACAGGCAGCAGCAGCTGCTCTCTTGCGTATTGGGGTCGGGAGTGGTTGAGCATACCGACCAAATCAGGACTGAGGTCGTGTGCAAGGTCTGCAGTCATAATAGAAGAAATGCTGTTTTGCGTGACTGCGACGTCTACAGGCGTTGAACTTAGATTCTAGATTAGTAGTTCAAAGTCACAGTTAGGAAATCAACTCGTGGTAACTGGTTGTCGTGTTGTACTAGAAACATAAGGGAGTGATTGTGTCGAGCGGGGGTCGCGGCGGGGATGGAGGAGATGGTGGGCGGAGGAGAAGATGCATGTGGTTCAACTGCACCGACTCGGATATGATAAAGTTAACATAAGTGCAAATGCAGAAGTTATGCACCTATGATATGCACATGCGCAATATTGCAGCATGTGCAAAGTTTTTGGGGGCCACTACTGGACAAAATTAATTTGTGACCTGATTGTGAGTAAGAATGATGAATCACAGTGAATAACGGTGTATGACTCTAACCTACACGGCCAATCGTCAAATTCGCACGTTGTATATTTGACGAAAAACAATTTAAATGTGTACAATAGATATAGAACCTATACATATTCAGGGTCTGGTACATACTGGAAAAATTTATAATGTTTATATAGCTGCCGGATAACGGTGCGGTAACAGGATATAATTACATTACAATCACCGGTCCTGCATAGAATCGATGCCGCCAAAGCATAGGATCTATATATTGAGTTATCCCACGGCTTCCAAGGTCTTCATACCATGCATACAGCTTCACCAGCGGTAATCTTCACTAAGACAGACATATTTAATATATGCAACAATGTAGCAAGCTTTAGAATAACAACATTACTACCTAGTAGCTGTTGTGTTGTGAGCAGACGGCCCTATATATAATAGCTGCTGCCAGTAATTCAACGAAATTTCTTCCAAGTCCGTGGTAGCTTGTTAAATATTATTACTTATGGTACATTCTAACAGCCTGATAGCCTAACGGTATGTACGCTGTTGCACGAATGATGTGTGAGAAAGTCAATGGTGAGCTCGAGAGTTCGAATCCCCTTGATTTATTATGTATTTTCTTGCATATACCTTTTTCATGCTTTTTACCGTGCTTCGCACCACAGTTTCAGACATAGCTCATATACCGAGAAAATGTATAGCGTACGTATAGGACGAAAATTATAGTACCGGCATTGTGTACGTATAGTTGCTATGCTCCCAAAAAAAAACATAGATTCTATGCTTATTTCGATTGGCCATGTAGGCGCAGTCAACAACTTACAAAGAAAACCAAATGCAGGAACCTTAACACAAGACCACCGTGGGCCATGTCCAAGGACAAGTTAAACACGTTTTTACGTATCTGGATATTAGTTTTGGAAGGTACCACTCTGTTTTTGGTTTGATCAGACTTCTTTTGCTTTTGTCTTCCGCTTTGATTACGCACTCGACTTTGCACGTTACTGAGTCAATGGACGCTAACGCTGGCAGTGGCACCCGCCGCAAATACATGTGATACCAATCCAAACTATTCGCACTGCTTACACTGAAATTGGCCAACGGGTGAATATTGCCCTTCGCTCACAAGTCGGTGATGCCGCTTGCCTGCGGGCGCAGCGAAATGAGTGTTCGACACAGAGGATTCCTCCATGCCAAGATGGGTGACGAGAGCCTGAGCGACCACCATAATTGAGAGACGACACAGATAATTTGATGCAAGTACCTTCGAAGCATGTTCTCTGGCTGGACCTTTTTATATCTGGAGGACGCAAGGTTGGTAGACAACTTGGATCAGCGCCATACTGTTCTATCCTCACTTTGCATTTTCTGCAGTGGCTGGACCAGCACGAAAAAACTTCATCACTGAGAGATTTTGCACCCGTCGCACTTAATTAGCAAGGGGGGAGGATCATCGTCCACGACTGACTCATCACTCATCATGGTACCGCCAAGCTAAATAACCAGCAACTGAAGATACGCCCTACTTTCTGTAAAAATACACTTTGCAATTTGAACAAGGCGTAGTGAGCAAAGGGAGATCGTTCGTCCAGGACGAGCTCATCATAGTACCATTTGAAAAGTCAGTCTAAAAGAAAAAAAAACACAACCGACCGCTTCCGTGCTCTCCAGTATTGATCTGCCCTGCTGCGGGTGGTCGTTGTAAATCGGGATTTGGAGGAGAAACATAGTCTTCGTCACGAATCCATTCATTGTCTTTGGCGGGAGCATCGGCTGAAGCATTCCGCTGTAAACGGATGCGTGAGATCCAGCAAACAGGAGGGACCTCGACAATAGCCGGTGATGCCCGACCTGTCCGAATGGGCCACCAGGATTGGGTAGTGGGCGGTACTGGTGGGGGCCGGGACTAGAAAATGAAATATAAGTCAAATATGTGAATATGGCAATCCCTACTTACGTCCTCATGGAGATTTATATGTGAATGAGGTAGGGGCGCTATAGCGGGGAAATGCAAGCGGACCGTCGAGTCAATTGTACATGAAGCAAACAGATAAAGGAAACGTACGTCCAGGGGATTACGAAGCCCGTCCGTTTTTTGTAAAGAGGAAGACCGTCTCGAGATGACGAGCAGTGCTATCAGTGCGGATTAGTAGATCTTGAGAGAACATGGTGAGTATCTTCTGAATGCCCAATTTGAACGAATCTGCACGACCGGCAACATAGTGTCCCTTAGAGATGTCGACAATTTGACGACCGACGCTCAATCTTTGAAGCTATCCAGCTGACATAAATGACCTGCCTGCAGTTTTAATGCCATGAAATTATATACTAGCATGACACGTATTACAAATACGAGCATTTGACTAGCGGCACGAGTATTTAAAGCTTCACCTGAACAATAAGATCGCACACGACGTACCTCGAACCCAACGTAGCATTTCTTCATAATTAGCACGGCGTACAGAGCATACCATGCCCTTTTCACAGTACTCTGCAAGACCTCTAAACTTAAGTGTCAGCCAGTTTTTTGTGCATTTACGTTTAAAAACCGTGATCGTCGATTGTTCGTGCGCAATTTTGCATCCAAATCTCGCATGTCCTTGCATGAAATGGTCCACGAACGCCTTAGTATGATTCATCCGGGTGAGCTTTTTCTTGATGCTCTCTACGGACGCTGCAGTACACCACCGGCGCCGTTGAAGGTCATGAAGGGATTCTTCACGCGTACGTACGGCCTTCATATTGTCTCGAACGACGTTTTGAATAGAGCTGTGGCGGTTGAGCGCCCCTGAAAAGCGAGACAAGGTCAAGACTTGCGGAGAGGAGATGACACAATGGTAACTGAAAAGAGGACCCGCGAGGACTTGGCAAGCGCTCAATTGATGGCTGGAGCCCTGGAAGATCTGAATAGATGACATTCAGTGCGTGCTCGTAAAACAATCAACATGTCCTTGCGAGAATTGTCAACGACCTATAGCCAGGTGCAGACACAGGTACATGAGTGGGTTCAGGAAGTGGAATTCGAGGCTGTCTTCACAAAAAACATGGATTCCGCCGAGTGGTCAACATTGCTCCGGTTCATCTCAGAGTATACTAGCTAGCCTGAATGTCAGCAGCATAGATAAAGACACATAAGAAGACTCACTCACGTTGATCAACGGCGTAATGCCAGTCGCTGCCAAGCAATGTCAAGAAGAAAATCAAAGTGAACCTGTGAATAAGCTAAAACGGGACTTCGTAGCCAAAAGTGAAGATGAATTTGTTTGTCGCGCTTTGGTCTTGACTTAGTCTTCCACATTGCCACTTCAGGATAAGACCTCGCTCACGGGGATTCACAGTGATTGATGTAAAGTTGAATCCTTAGCCAAAACCATAATACATTTTCAAAGTCGTATGTTTTTGTCCAATACGGTCCCCCATAAAAGTTTGTCAAAAGTTTGTTGCAAAGTATGCAAACAAAGTTTGACATGCTTGCATTTTTTACCTTTGCAAAGGTTCTTTGCATTTTGCACAAAATTAGAGTTTTGCCGTCTCGAATTTCTTAGGAGCTAGTACGGTAACCAAAGTTAACCAAAGTTTGGCCAAAGTAGCCAACTTAGGATGTATCGGCTTGATGCAAGCCGAGACGGAGTTTTAACTTTCCTGACCTCCTGCAATGACCTCGTTCCATGCCCCCGATAGCCTCAAATTGCAGGAGCTGCGCAGGCAGATCATACCAATTATAATCGGAATCATTGTATCTGCTCACCACCAAATACTTCTCATGTCTGAAGAACCGAAGTCCCAGAAGGCTCCAAAGGCGATCTGGAACGATGCAGAGACAGATGCCCTCGTCACATACCTCCATTCACAACGCTCAAAAATAGGAGACGGCGGGAATTTCAGATCACAGGTTTATTCTGAAGCTGCAACTACTATTGCAAACCACAGGACCCTTGGCCCGACGAAGACTATGAACCAGTGTAAGAACAAATGGCAATCAGTATGTTATCTGTACATCTATCTAACAGCTACTGATCTTAAGATCTCTAGTTAAAAAATCTTTACTACGTTATTGAGAACTATCGCCTCAGAACATCTGGTACTCACTGGGATAATGAGATTGGAGCTGGTATCGAGGGGAAGGCTGCAAGCAATGTGTGGGACGCATATATGGAGAAGAAGGTCGGTTGGCATCACCGTCTAGAGCTAACAGGTTGCTCATGCTTGAGTCACTGTAGGCCAACCAAGTCATGCGCCCTTACCGAAACAGCGGATGGCAGCTTTATCCACTCATGCAAGAGACTCTGCCAAGTGGCAGTGGCGCTCGAGGTCGTGCGGCCTATCGCCCATCTAGGGCCGCCGCACCTGCCTTCACGGACGACTCATCTGATCAGGCTTCTGCAGCTCCCATGGGTTCTGACTCGGATGTTGTTGCTGGATGCACAGATGATTTTCACATGGGCGAGGCTGAAGGAGAGGTTGGTTGGGGCCATGTGCCACACAATGATGCTGGACCTATCGCCGGAAGCTCACAACTTGCAACTGCTCCTCTTTATTCCCCTCCTCATTCTATTCATACATCGAGCGTCGGTAAACGCACACATTCAGATATGACTGGCTAGTGATGTGCACGGCCCGGCCCGGCTCAAAAGCCGGGGCCACGGCTCGGCTTGATGGGGCTCAGGCTCACTGAAATTGCAGGCCGAGCCTTCCTTGACGGCTCAGGCTAGGCTCGGCTCGGCCTAGGCTTAGGCCGCGGCTTGCTATGTAAAAAATTGTGTGATATTATTAACAGCTGTCGAAAATGCACGGGCACCAACGTACATGAAAATGAGTCCAAACGAGTGCATGCAAGTCCAGATGAATGCAGGCAAGTCCAAACGAGTGCAGACAAGCCCAGACGAATACAGACAAGCCAGGGCAAGTCCAAACGAACGCAGACAAGTCCAGACGAATGCAGATGAATGCAGACGAGTCCAAATGAGTGCAGGCAAGCGCAAATGAATGCAGGCAAGTCCAAACGATTGCAGGCGAGTCCAGATGAATGCAGACAAGCCAAGTCAAGTCCAAACGTTTGCAGACAAGCCCAGACGAATACAGACAGGACAAGTCAAGTCCAAACGAACGCAGACAAGTCCAGACGAATGCAGATGAATGCAGACGAGTCCAAACGAGTGCAGGCAAGCGCAAATGAATGCAGGCAAGTCCAAACGATTGCAGGCGAGTCCAGATGAATGCAGACAAGCCCAGACGAATACAGACAAGCCAAGTCAAGTCCAAACGAGTTCAGGCAAGTCCAAGCGAATGCAGATGAGTCCAAACGAATGCAGAATGAGTGCAGGCAAGTACAAGCGAATGCAGACGAGTCCAAACAAGTGCAGGCAAGCCCAGATGAATACAGGCAAGTCAAAACGAGTTCAGGCAAGTTCAGACGAATGCAGACGAATGCAGAAGAGTCCAGACGAGTGCAGGTAAGCCTAGATGGATGAGAATGCCGAGGGACAAGCCATAATGAACCAAAATGAGGCCAGGCAAGCCCAGATGAATGAGAACGACGAGGGACAAGTCAGAACAGGTGTACACAAGCTGGAATGAGTGCAATATGAGCACGAGTGTGAAGATACGAGTGGTGAACGAACAGGATATGGCAAGCATGAATGACCCGTTCCGAACAAACAAAGTGTCACGTGCAACGATTTATAAATGAGTATGTGTGAGTGAGAACACGCAGAATTACATACGAACAAATGCAGATGCACGCAAACGAGCAGAAGTACTCAAATACTCATCTATGATCTGCCAGTGTTATGCCCATTGAAAGCCGTGGCTCGAGGGCCCGGCTCAGGCTTACAGATACCTCAAGCCGGGCCTTGAGCCCTTATGGGCCGTCCTCAAGGCTCGGCTTGGCCCGGCCTAAATGGGCTCGGCTTGGCTCGGCCCACGGCCTGAAGCCGGGCTTTGCACATCACTATGACTGGCACAGACGCGCAACCTGTACTTCCTCCTTCCACGACATTCACATCAGTGTCGCAGCAAGAGCCGGGCCCCAAGAAAGTCAAGACCTCCAACCATGGTGGTGTTGCACACATCAAAGCTCAACCTGAGGCTAGTGGCAGTGGCGGAGCGAAAGCTGGCAAGGCCACAAATGCCGTCGCAATGATAGGCATGCAAGGTGCCCTCAACCGCCTCACAGATACATTGGTGACGCAGATGGTTGCCACTGATGAGAGCCGCATAACTGATCAACGAAAGCAAGCCATTCGTATCGTGCAGGATGAAGACTCTGACCTGTCGCTGGAGGAGAAGGTTGCGCTGATCAACATCTTCGTGAGAAGTACTGCGGTGACTAGCTCGTACGTTGAAACTACAGACCCCGTGTTGCGCCGCGCTTTCGCTCTCTCTGTCATCCAGCAGTATGCCAACACTTAGTACAAGTATTTTTTAGTCCCTCATATCATGTATAACAAGCGCATTCTCATTTGTAGCTACTACCATGTACAGTACTACAATTCATCGTCGTCGTCAATGTTATCGTCGTCAATGTCAACTATGGAAAAGTCATCTAGTGCGCCCCGCTCCGCCAAAACCAACTGGTAATCGTCCCACATCTTCTGCGCAATATTGTCTCGTAGTATGTTCGCGTCGTTAACGACCTCCTCCGCCTGCCCTGCCACGTCAGCAGGCTGCCCTTGATATTCAGGGTTGTCGTTGTCGAAATTGATGCGCGTCTCTGGGAGAAGGCCTTCTTGATTATCAAAAGTGCGGATGAAGTTGTGAATGGCGCATAGCGCAGCGGGAACGCGTGCTTGAACCTCCATCTTGTACTCAGGCGATAAGAGAAGGATGCGAAAGCGTCGTTTTAACACGCCGAAGATTCTTTCGATAACGTTCCGTGCGGAGGCGTGACGAAGGTTGTATAGTTCTTGTTTATTAGCAGGTCTATTGACAAATTAAAACTGGAAATGTTAAAAAGAAAAAGAAAAATGTACCTAGTGCTGGCACGGCCCCATTCTGCGAGGTGATACCGGACGCCGCGGTATGGGACAAGGAGTTCCTTGCAGGATGGAAACCCAGCATCACCAAGGAGATACTTTTGATCTGGAATATCCAACCCGTCTGAATGAGCCTCCTCCCATAGACGCGCATCTGTCACTGAACCCTCCCAGCCGGTCTCCGCGTATATGAATTTGAGGTCCCAGTTGCAGGCGAACAGACAGTTTTGGGACACGAAGCCCTTGCGATTGCGGTAGAACGTACGATCACATGAGGGAGGGGATGCGTGAATATGACTGCCATCAATGGCACCAATAGCGCCTTTGAAGTAGGGCCAGAATTTTGGGCTATTGCGAATCTTGTCGGGGATGATGCTGCCGTCAGGAAAGCGTACATGCGTGGAGTAGAATGGGGGGGAGGCAAAAATGAACAATATCTTGCGAAAATACCTGATACAAATAGATTAGGCTAACTTTTATCGATAAATCAAAGACTTACTTTGAAATTGTGTCGCTGGATCTTTGGAAACGCTCTCCAACGTGCCTGATTGTCAAACCAGTGACACACGTGTAGAGAAAAATAGCTAACTGTTCTTCCAGCGAGACATGGCGAGAGCTCCGATGACCGAGACCACGAAGCTCCTCAATCAGCTTCTCGAAGACGTGTGCGTGGACACCGAGTTCACAGCGGATGCGTTCAGGATGGCCAATGATCAACTCCATTAGCCATTCTTCACCCTTGAGCGCTGACGTGTGGTAAGGTTCAGGGTCCTTTGGTAATCCGGTTTGTAGAAATGATTGAGTCGTAGCGATGATGATACTGATCATGAGGAGCACATATCGAGTGAGGCGTTCACGGACCACTGATGAGGCAGATCTTGCCTGATCCAATGGTATATTGAGTCGATTGACCAGTCGGTCAGCAAACAATGGTCTATTGTACAGGGGATCAAGGGGCAACGGAACCATCACAGGCTCACAGCGTCTCGATAATCCGAGTCAGTTGAATCATGGTATGCGCCCCGACAACTTACATATTAAAGCTCCGCTATCGGCTACTACCGAACGGCACACCAACTTCAAACAAACTTCAGTCCAACTTTGGTTACCGTACTAGCTCTAGATTTCTATCTATCTCAATCTGTACTTAGACATCTATTGCTACCTATCTACCTCATTCTTGTCGATTTTCACTGGGACTCAAAGGCTACCCGCTAAGCGCTTTTAGCATTATTGACGGGGCTATGAGGCCAAAGGAGTGAGCGTGTTGGCGTCAGGCCAAGCATGGCCATCCGACGTCGTGCAGCAAGTGAAGGTCAAGGTTTGGCAAATGCAGATATGAGATGTGACTCATAAGTTCAATCCGTATGGTAATTCGTACGTGGCAGCTTCATTGGTTCAAGTAAAACTAAGGAACTTTTCCCAGTGGCTTTGCGCAAGGGATTGGAATGCAACAAAATACTGGAAAGCAATGCCCCTGTATTCCGGTACCTCCATGCCTCCATCGTGGTCACTTGCGACCTCACACTTCAACACCTCAGTCCTATCTGACGGAAATCGACCGGAAATGACCGCCTCACTCAACGCGGGCACCACGGTGATGCATAAAAGAGACAGGACCTACTATGACCAGAACGAGAGATTACATAAAAAGAGCAAGAAATTTGATTTTCTTCGTCGACGTCGTTCAAGTTTGTGTCATATTTTTGTCCGGCGAAACCCCTCAAACAGTTGGGCTTTCCAGAATCCCAGGCCAGGCCCAAAGCCCTATCAGGCCGTTACCACAGGCCTGGCTTTGGCATGGCCTATGAGCCAGGGCCTGGAGGCCCGAAGAAGGACTGATCACAAGCAAATTGACGGTCCAGCACAGGCTTGCAGGCCTGGCACATCACTAAATCCGAGTCCGCGTTATCACAGCGCTTCTAACATGTAGTAATGAGGCGACAGCATCTGACATCATATGCCTCTGAGTCCTGCTCAGCTATAACAAATTATTATTTTTCGTCTATAAAATGTATAGTGAGTGCACCTCATCATCAGCATCTCTTACCATCTCTCTCTTATTCGATTTGACCAGGTGAGTCACACTTCACCTCTTCATCGTGTACATTCTCCTTAACAGCCTGACTGTTACTACTATCAACTGTGACAGACGACATCCATCGTTATCATGTCTCTTCGCGGTGTTTGTATGTTCATCGCCCACTGTAACTCATACACCCAACTTATTCTTGTCATCACCGAACAGATTTTATTTCGAGCACAAAAAATTCTCCTATGACCATCAACCTGGAAGGAGGTAAGCGTGCCACTTGCACTACACGGCACTTGACTGTCACGTTGATGCGGATGTGGCTCTTACAGGCTCGAGGACAGATGGTAAGCGTCATTACTTGAACTTCAAACGGAAGTTCACGTCAGCCTCACCATTTTATGTCTACAGGTGCAGCAGTAAATGGGTGGCAAAAGTACCCGTGGATGGCCGCTACGGCTAATTTCCCGTTAAGCCAGCTCTGGCTCCTCCAGTTGGCTAAGGGGGAGACCGACATGTATACCATCCGAAACCTCCAAGGCGGGACTTATATGTGCCTAGCTGAGGGTCAGTCTGTCGCGTTGTGAAGGTGTCTTAACTCATTTGTGCAGGTCCGGATAATGGTGCACCCATCATCGGCCGGGTACCGACAGGCGCAGAGGGAAACCGACGGTTCTGGATCATCCGCCAAAAGAATGGCTCAGGGCCATACATGTCAGTGTGTCAATCTGGTGTTCGCATAATGCAAAACTCATATGCACGGCCTGCAGGATCCAGAATGTGCATACCAAAAGTACGTCGCACTCAATGAATCTGCCAGTCGGTAACTCTTACAGAAAAACTTATCCACAACGCAGCGTTCGTCGACCTCAACCGCGGGCAAGTGCATAGAACCTCCCGTAGCGGCCCTACTATTGATCTGCCTTGGTATACAGGGGCACCGTCAATGGGACTAGGATCCAGGGATGGAACGGCGAGGGCGGCCAGTGGAGTTACAAAGGAGCTAACCAACTCTGGGACTTCGAACGAGTCAGCCGTTCTGGGCCAGAAGTCCACACCATTCTAAAGGAGAGCCCGAATCTCGCACAAGACTTCGCAAGTTACAAGGTCGACGGAGAGTAAGCAACGTCCATGGCATTCTGTCAGCGTTCGCTTGCTCAATTATTTCCGAGATAGATACCTTATCCTCCCACAAGCACTTCTTTCTGAAATATGGAAGGGTTCAACCCTTCCCGGGCGAAAATGGCGCGCGGATATTTTTGACTGTGATGATTTTGCGGCCGGTTTGTCGTTCATCTATTCCATTTCACAAGTCAAGGTCGCTGAGTACTCTTTCTAGTGTACAAAGGCTGTGTTGCCACCTGGGGGGACGACAGTATCCACGCAGATGTGAGCCTTTCAAAGCTCTTCTTGCGCAGAAATTCGCTCTTACTTTCTGTTTCCTAGGGTGTGAGCCTGCTCTGCGGCTTAATGCTCGGAAGGTCCGAATCACACAGCAAACCGGGGCATGCGTATAACTTCACCTTGTCTAATGACTGTCTTCGTGTTCTGTTTTTCGAGTGAGTGACCTTACATTTGTCTTGAGACCAATGATGACCTGGATTTTGCGTCGGACCAGGCCTCAGGACAACACGTTCAAGGTTTGTTCTCTTGTCACCGTGCTGTTTGCTTTCAACTGACCCAAGTTTTGTCTACTCAGAATGATAACGGTTACATCCCCTACTTGGGATATTTCTGAGTTGTGTTATGCCATTCCTGAAGCGTGTGTTGGAATTTGCACCATGTACTACCATCGTTCGACCAAAGTTGTAAAATCAAGAATCTCATTTTCATGTCTCAATTGAATGCTGCACATTATTCCTTTCGACCAGTTCAGTGGCAATCAAACCATCATGGACGTCGGGTAGGATGACAAGCCGTAAAGAAGTCCAGATCATTCAAGAAGCGAACAAAAAGCCGCAGGAAACAGTCTACTTGCTCCCATGCACAAGTATCTAAGAGTTTTGCTAGAGCCTGAGGGCTTGAAGGAACTCACTCTACCTCCTTCCCCGTTTTGGAACCATCATGCGCAGGAGCCCATCTCGTGCTGTTCGAATTCTGGTGGCGAAGTCCAACATACTCAATCTTCGAACGTCGTACTGACATGTACGCAGCTTTCATTGGCATGCGTATCCCAAATGCTGATGATAAGACGAGGCACGATAATAAATGGCGCTGTATCCTTGAACAAGAGTACGAGATTCCTCGCTACCGTCTGTGTATGTATGCCTGCGTTAGAGTCGATATCTCTAGAATCATGGGGGATAATACCGAAGGTTGTCCCACAGTATCGCCACGAAAATTTGATATGCCAAATTACTAGCGGGATCCAATGAATATTGTTAGAAAACCCGACAGAGGAAAGGGAACTTACAGGACAAAGTAATGTGTTCTTGGGACCGAAAGAAGAAAGAAAGTCTAGCTTGCGCAACATACGCTTGATATCCGCCCTTCACGTAAGGCGGCTACTCAAGGGCTACTCGCTAAGTGCTTTTAGCATTATTGACGGGCAATGAGGCCAAAGGAGTGAGCGTGTTGGCCCGTCAGGCCAAGCATGAACATCCGACGTCGCGCAGCAAGTGAAGGTCAAGGTGTGGCAAATCATGATGCAGACACGAGATGACTCATAAGTTCAAACCGTATGGCAATTCATACGTGGTAGCTTCATTGGTTCAATCAAAATTAAGGAACTTTTCCCAGTGGCTTTGCGCAAGGGATTGGAATGCAACAAAATACTGGAAAGCAACGCGCCTGTATTCCGGTGCCTCCATGCCTCCATCGTGGTCACTTGCGACCTCACACTTCAACACCTCAGTCCTATCTGACGGAAATTGACCGGAAATGACCGCCTCACTCAACGGTTCGGTGATGGGCACCAGATAGAAGGCGGGGCGTGTCCCAACCATGGTGATACAAGGCATAGTCATGGCATCAAGCGGACGCAAACCCATCTCTTGCCGCTTGTTGTTGTTGTACTGGTACTGGTACCCCGCAATGGCTCCTGCGACCATACGTGCTTCGACGTTTGAAGAGCCCATCAACATCTTGACCATTAGCAGAACAAGCAAGAGATTTGATCGATCCAATTCGCATACGCTTAACAATGCGATTTTGTCGACATCATTGCAGATCAGCAATGGGATATCGTGCGGTCTCACTAGGTACTGCCAATCTTTTTGGAAGCCAAGTATGTCGAGAACCTCATAAGCCAAGGCGATGATCGTCGACTCATGTTCAGCCTGTCTCGGATCCATGGCAAAGTGGAGACGTGCGAGAAGATTAAAGGTGGGGCGCGACACATGAGCGTAAGAGGACACCTCCTCTTTGGTGAGCCCGGAATCAAGGCCTGCCAGGGTTAGAGGGACATCTGTCCGTCCAAAGTCATGGTTGAAATAAAGAACTGGTGATCTGCGCAAGGACGGTCGTGCACGTCTGCGTAGAAGTGGGCGGCGATCTCTGGATTGAGTCTCGAGGTGTGAATATTACTCAGACATCTGGACTTAATGCAGAGACCGAGGATTCGCTCTCGCGTTGTTATACTAATACCCGGGAGAGACTCGGATGAGATTATCGATGCGCAACAATCTTGGGGATGATAGTGATAACTGCGATTTGAAGCTCGGAAACGGGTGACTGGGAGCAAATTTAACAGAACCCAATCCTAATATTCAAACTCAGCTATGTAGGGCTGATGTAGGGACTAATTGCAACTTCCACCTTGACGGCGCATGGAGTGATGCCCATCGACCTCGACATCGTTATTGACTCCGGCACTCCCGCGACCTGTCGCTGCAGCGATGTAAAGTGACTTAAAGCATCGGTCGAGTGACAGCCTGATCCAGGTGGGTTACGACAAAGACCCTGAAAAAACTCTCGGTGTCAAGAAACCACATCTCATATCTCGACTCTCAATAATTCTGTACGTCGAGTTAACCTTCATCGATGTATCTCTGGCAACAATATCGGCGCCCACTCGATGCTGTATCCATGACATAGTCGTTCCCTGGCTGAGCCCAATCAAATGCCCCTCTTCCACCAAAATGGGGCTACTATGCTCGTGCAGGCTCTTCATCCACCTAAATCACGTCTGCCATTAATGATTAGTGTTTGCTATGATAAATCCCTTCGTAGCATTGCGTATCACAGATAATGAAGCCTTCAGACGGATGTCGAGGGTTCGACAATGGAGCCCGCGAGGACGGCCGATAGGTGGACCCTGAATTGACGGAAAGCCGTCGTTCAGAGGTGGTGGGTTTCAGGCCTTTGCTACAGCGCAACAACCTATACGCTAACCAAGGGAAGTATGATTTCATCTAGATTTTGTCTGTATGGAATCATTCTTCTCTAGCGCGTTGATGGCGATAGTGGATCGTGAAGCTCTTCAGGAAAGTTCGAAAATGGTGATTTGTTCATGAGGCGGAGGAGATATAGCAGACGACCATCGAATTCATGTGAGGTATTAATAATATCGAGTACCAGGCCTGCGTCACTGATGATGTTATGAGTCTCATGACGTCGCGAAATTCAAGGAAACTATCGATGCGAGAACTTCGGGCCTGGCCAAAGTCGAAAGCTACACTTTGATGGTCAATTCAGGAGGTACTCTACATAAGCACAAGCATTCAACAAGCTCCCAGATGTAGTATAAGCAACTGGCTATAAATATAAAAAACGGTACGGAACAGAATTCAATAAGATTCCTAGGCTGACGCATTTTCAGGGTGGGCGGTATCGCTGATGGCGCGGTGGGTGGTTCTGTCTGAAGTCGCCCTCTATTTAAGGGATTGATTTTCGATACACGTGTGGTCTTCTCTCGTGATATCAAATCTATTTCTTTTGAATCGCAGCTAGTATCAAAAGATATTGGCAACACGCGTCAACGTCGAGTTGGGCCTGGTCGAAAGCTGCACCACGAATCCACGATAGTTGATCAGGAGGCATTCATTGAGCGCTCACTTCCGTCCAGACAGCTGGGAATTGCATCGTGCAGATCTGTAATAGTGGTTGTGGGACTGGCACCAAAAGCTCGAGGCGTGTCTCGAGGCAAACACGACAGCTGAAAACAAGCACGTATTCCGATGCATGGGTCCCTTCCTCTCCCTCGTCAATATTCTCGAGATTATGCCGTTCAAGGCAGCAGTGTCAGACGGGATAAAAACTATCATTTGCATGGATATAATAGAGTTGACTCGCCTCTCATGATGTAAATATACAGCGTTCGTGAAGGTGACAGTGATTGACATGAACGACTGATTTATAGTGACTTGAGGTACTTGGCTGATCATCGAAAATCGATCTTGTTTTGATCTTGATACTTGTCCACTTCCGCACTCGCATTGCGCCATCCCTTCCTCCGGTCCCGGGATCCTAGCACAACATGCAGGCACCGTGATAATCAGGGACTAACAGCTTCATCACTTTTGACCATCCTCTCAAGCATGTCGCTGGCCACAGTCTTCAACTCTTTCATAGCGACGGCGGCCCCCTCTCCATGCTCTCCATGCTCCCCCTGCTCCGAATATTGCCTCTCCAGTCTTTCGAGAACAGAGCCCACATGTCTAATGAGCAGCTCGAGATCAAATTTCGAGGCAATCTGCATGTACTTTTTCGTGGCTTCCACAAGGACTGGTAGGAACTCGAAACAGTGCAAGTCAATTTCATAGGGGACACCGGCCCATGCACTCTTCATCATGTCCCACCACTGCTGCTCTGTAATAGAATCGAGTGATGTGGCCGACAATTGTTCAGGCGCGATTCGGAGGAGGATGCCAGCTAGATAAAACGCATGCGGCAAGATTTGGTGGTACTTTGCAACCATGCTAATGCACCAATCTATATGGTGATCCCCAGACAAATGGGAGTACCAGTCGGAATTGCTCGCGAGGGAAAAAACCAGCTCGAGATAGCACGAGCCGCGGCTAGAATCCAAAAAGCGGTCAGGGCCATCATCGGCAGGTGTTGTACCTGGTCGCGGACAAACCACAGTCAGAATAGCGGGGGAGAGCTCTGTCAAAACCATGTCCCGTAGGCTCACATCATCGATGCCATCGATCGATGTTATTTCTTGTCGGACAATGTGAACAGCGCGAAGAGCAGCATGACGTAAATTGTAAGGCATGTCACTGTCCATGCATGCGATGAGGCTCTTGATGAACATATGTTGTTTAGCAGGGCTGCAGCGAGCTCCCAAACCACTCAGTAGCAAAAGGATGTCATATGCGGTCTCGTGGTCGTCGGAATGAATATAGTCGAGGTAGTCCACCAGCCAGTCGAAGTCTTCTGGCGAGTGGACAAGGCCTATCCACCAAGGCGGCGTATTCCACACCTGGATAGGGTCCCGAGATACTCCGGCAGCAGCGAATGTGAAATGCAGTGCATTTTTCAGAGCCCGCGACAATTCCCCTGGGAGGGATGTTCAGATGACCTCGCTCGCTCATAAATCTTCCTGCACATGTCCAGGTTTCGCATCGTGTGGGGTGAAGGATTATAGTGACGTCGAGCAGGCTCGATAATGCGACAAATAACGTCAAGGAGGTTCCATGCCCGGCGTATTATTCCAGTGGTGTCTTTGTCGACATCGCCTCCATCCCATGCCCAGAGAACCTTTTGGAACTGCGTCAAAAGGGACTGCGCGAGTTGAGGCAGAGCAGAACTACACAATTTCATTGTTAATGATGGCAGAAAAAACATCAAATGAGTCAATGGCACCTTTTATCAATCCGAACTATATCCTTCCTGTCAAACCGAACCCCGATCATGACGCAAGCGAGAAGAGTGCAATTGGCGACGATTCGATTCGACGGAGTGGATGGAGAGCTTAGCAGTTTTGATATCACTGCTATGGCGAGTTCTTCTATGTCTTCATTCACTCGCCCAGTGACGAAATGGTAAGGAAGAGAATGCGACAGCCACTCCGAAACAGAGTCGGGACAATCCTTCAAGTCTGAAGAAAAGAACGAAAATTCATCATCGTCATCTTCCGGAGGACAAAGATTCATAGTCGTGGGAAGTACCACGTCTTCGGCTATACCGCCGATCGTCCGCTTCATATCATGAAACACCTCGTAGTCTCTTTTCCGTTGGCCAAGAAATTCACCATGGACAGGAGATGCCTGAAGAACGCGGCCGCAGTATAGATGACTCAGAGCCATTATACATGCAGAGGCCTTTTCCTCCAACGACGGTACGATTTGATCCTGGATATCAATGCAGCTTGTAAAATTATAAAGCAGCTGAGGCAGCATGTCTGACACGTCAAGATCCGGGGGCCATTCGACGTGCGGAACAAGACTGGCAGCGGCGAGAAATACTTCAGGATCCGTAGATGTCTCGAGCAGCCACTTGATGCTAGGTGCTTCTAGTCCGGCAGTGGATATGTCAGGGAGGTCAAGAATAAGGGTGCATTCATCTTCCGCCGAAACGTCCAGGTTTTGGTCCAGCGATTGTCTTTCCGAGTCCACAACCTTTGTCGAAGAGCGCAGAACTAAGGAACGCAGTCCATTATGAAGCGTGGTGAATAACTGCTGAAGAGATCGCCATGTGAATGCGCCGACCGCACATATAGGGCCTAGGGAATGAAATAAGCACTGGATATCCTGTGTAACAGTAGATAAGAAGATCACCTCTCGACGCTTCAGACAATCGGGTCCATCTTGATCTGACGGTGCCAAGCAGTCGCTGCAGCACACCTGACAAGAAACGGTCAAAACCTGTGGGCACATAAGAAAACATAGCTCACCGTGTGCTGACGTCATGAGCTGCTGTAAATACCTAGAGGCTGGTTTAAATATCAAGAGTAAAACTCCTGCAATGTTGATTCAGACTGGAAACGATCACCAGAATCCACAGAATGATCTTACTGTCAATGCGCAGCATGCGCAATATCGTCGATATTGGCGTTTGAAATGGACAGGCGGGGGATATCAAACATGCCATCACCGTCAGCGAATAGAACAGAAATCCAAAGACCGTTGTAGCAATGATGACCCAGGCGATGCTCGGCTGCTCGGTCCACATATTGGCCCCGAGCGCGATCCCAAACAGAAGAAGGGAGATCTGAAGTAACACCGGAAAGGATTGCACGACAGCATCAAAATACCATGTGGTGATACCGTCGAACGTCTCTTGCCTGCGCTTTCCTCGTTCCTCCTGCGAGCCGCGGCCATATCTGTTGGACTTGTAGTACCCGAGCCACTGTTTGCCTAGTACAGCCCCGAATGCAGCGAGCAAGCTCATGGACAAGCTCGCGTATGCGATCATTTGGATCCATATAGTCGTCGCCGACGGCGACCACGTAGATGCAGGCGCAGAGCTTGCTTCAGCGAGGTTGCCTAGCCCAATCTGTACAAGCTGCGCGAGAAGAGCATGCGTGGTCTCGTTGGGGTCGGGACTGAGATTAGACTCCATCGCTACGATAAAAGATGTGCTGACGGCGGAGAAAAGACCAGACTGATCAAACATCAATCTCAAAGTGAGTTAAAGATAAAGCATGCGACACCTACGAAGACCAAGACAATGTCCATATCGCTGGTGTATCGCTCAAGGAACTCCCCGTCATGCTCCTCCGCGACTCTTTTGTACACCCCCCAGAAACGAGAGCGATGGTCCTTGCCGCTCTTCGACGCAATCGTCGAGTCTTGGAGAACATCCAATACTTGTTTCATGACACTTGCTCTGTGTGTAGGATGTTGTCAGCTACGATCGCTCGACTGACTTTTCGCTCACAATTCGCTTAGAGTTGGCTGGTCCTTCTCCACCACGTCCTTCTCGACCATGTCCTTCTCAACCATGCCCTTCTCCACCATGTCCTTCTCCACCACGTCCTTCTCCGCCTCGCTGAGACAACACATGAGCTTATTTGACATCGGCATTGATAGGGACTCACGGAGCTAGATCACCGTCTGGTGCAACATTCAAATTGGGGGTACTTTCCTCTACGTGAAGTCCTAATGGTTGGGAATGCCCAGTGTTCGAGCTGCAGTTCTGGTGAGGAAGGACACAGAAGTATCAGAGCAGAAACACTTACATCCCTGATGGCAGCACCACCGAAGGTTCACCATTTGTCTCCTCCCTGTCTTGCTGTTAGGTGAGTGGTAAATTCCACGAAGTCGCAACTCACTCGTTTGTGGGTCCTACGGTGTCATTTTGCGCGGGAGGCCGCTCACCATTTTGAGCGCGCTGATCCTCGGCATCGTCGGTGCCTGATAGCTTTGACATGAGGAAATATAATTATATTGGATCTCAAACAAACCCAGTGAGATTTGGGAAGAGTAGGAGGTGAGTGGGCAGAGAAGAGTGGTGGGACACAGCAAGAGCCTTGGGCAGTGCGACCATGACGAACACGTGCTTGACAGCGTTGACGCTGGGAGTGTTTCTACTCCCGCATAAATATAGTCAGATCAAAAGAAGAAAGAAAGTCTGGCTTGCGCAACATACTTGATATTCACCCTTCACGTAAGGCGTCTACCCAAAGGCTACCCGCTTTTGGCGCAGCCAAGGGAGTGAAGGTTTAAGTTGGCATCAAGCCAGACGTCGTACGGGTAGCAAGTGAAGTCCAAGGTGTAGTACGTTAGATAAGATGCATATTTGTTTCTAGGGGGGGACAATGTCAGCCTGAGAGAATACTGAGTCAGTGAAAAATTACTTCACCTTTGTCGCTGTGTGATACTTTGCGCAGGAAAGCTATGTACATGTGATCGAAGCAGAAATAGCAGCTGAAGGCAAGTGAAGATTGAAGATATCGACGTGACTGAGTCACACCTTACATGTGGTAGTCAATATTGAATATTGAACGTTTGATCGGGGTTAAACTTGTTTATCCAAGTTGAATCGATTCGCGACGCTGGTCGAAGTTTTTGCCTCGTGACTCAGCGTCACCCTTAGAGGCCCCTCTTTCAATCTGGATATAAGTGTTGAACGGATGAGACCCCTTTCGTTACGTTGCACTCTTGTCCTTTGAGCACCATCTGCTCGTGCACTTCCTGCACCGTTTGTTTTCGTCACATTGAATCTTCGTTTCACTCAGCTTGATCATACTTCAAAGGTACATGTCAGAACCCACAATCTCAAGCACCAATGCCAGCAATACGGCGCAAGCACAATCATCTCTTAGGGGACCAGGAATGCGCGGGACTTCGGTTGAAACCGACACTGATGGAACGCATCTACCCGAACAAGACATGGCGAAGAGATGCCTCGATGTCGTCCAAGATTTTAGAGCCGGAAAAGGTACCAAATTTGAAGCAACCTATGTCATTGTCGGCATCATCAAGGAGTGTTTACCCATTGAGTCAACCGAAGAACCCTCTAATATCGCGGCTATCTACCTCACCATGCTTGATGAGTGGGAATCAGAACAGGATCGAGCTACTCGACGAGGATCGGGAGCCGCTAGAGAACGACGTTCGGTTGAACCAACGTCAAACTCACGCAGTGAAGAAGAGCCTCGAGGAGAGGATCTCGGGAGTCAACGAGCTAGCATCGAGCCAGGAGAACCTGCTCGAAAGCGAGCTAAGCTCGACTTTACCTGTCTCGAACTTAAGCCGTCAGCGCTCCAGGAACCAAGCAAGCCCCTATCAGCCAATCTTAAACAGACCATCCGGATTCTCCAGAACTGGGCGCAGGACCAGAAACAAGCAAAGCTCAAACTCATGTACCATGAACGGAGTCCTGAATTCCATGAGTCGGGATGGGCAGACATTGTTGCAGGAAGAAGTATCAACCTCGACGCCATCCATACAATCATCACTACCTCACGTGCCGTCGACAAACACACAGAGAGCATCGGAGACGTCGAACTCACATACGGGATCTCGGAAACGGCCACTAAGAAGATTACCACGCAAGGACAATGGAATGCGGCGTGGAACAGGGCAGCACGAGCCCTCAAGTTCGCTTTCCCTTATCGACAGGCTGAGCTCAACGCCTACTCGGAACACATCAACGAGCAGTTTGACCAACAACTGGAATCATGCCATGGACGAGTCCTCCGTTATGACAAATCTGTCAGATTCAGAGTTGGAAACACTCGCAGGTACGAGCTGTCAGACTTTGAGTACTTCAAAGACATCTACAGCTCCCATTTCTCCGCTGGAGGACGACTTCACAATGATGCGGGAGAATCCAGTAAGTCCACGGGACGTGAGTCCTCGGCATCGGTCAAACGGGACCCTTGTCGAAAATGGAATAACGGAGACTGCACGCGCAGTGCAACCAGCTGCCGATATGCCCACATCTGCAACTTTGAGCAAGATGGGCAAATATGCGGCCGCCGACACGTTAAAACGAAGCATGTCGAAGATGGAAAGTCCAAACCAACCTGAGGGACCGTTGAAACATCCACGTCATCGCCGAGGGTTGATATGGTCACCAACAGACATCTCATTTAGTCCTACTGCACGCTCCTCAGAGTATGCAGAACCAGTTCCAGCAGCACCTTCATATCTCGCCGATAGTGATGCGGCCCATACAGTTGCAAATCACCCAGATCTCTTCAAGATAGTCACGCCAATCAACGTTGATCGGTTCGAAGAACTTTTAGCGGGTCACCCTAACCAGCCTTTTGTTCAATCTGTCTGTCGAGCCCTGCGTGAGGGTTTCTGGCCGTGGGCAGACGCATCAGACGACTCGTACCCATCAATAAATGATAACTCAATGCGAACTTGCGCGAAGACGGACGAACAAATCAAATTCATTGAAGATCAACTCAACGAAGAGATTCGTTTGGGGCGAGTCTCTCATAGTTTCGGGACTGACTTGTTACCAGGAATGTATAGTGTTCCAATGCACACTGTACCTAAACCGAACTCTGACAAGCTCCGCCTCGTCGTCGATCACACTGCGGGGGACTTCTCACTAAACTCAATGATTGACTCGGATGCTATTAAGGGCACCAAGCTTGACGGCTTACATTCGCTAGGAGCATCACTCCTACAATTTCGACGGGAGCATCCGGATGAAGATTTAGTCTTGTTCAAGTCAGACGTATCCCAGGCGTTTCGAAGATTACCTATGCACCCGCTGTGGCAAGCCAAGCAGGTGCTTACGGTTCGCGGTCAACGTTATGTTGATCGAAATAACAACTTTGGAGGGCGTGGATCCCCCAAAGTTTGGATTTCTTTTATGTCACTTGTCGCATGGATCGCTATCCATCAAACCTTGATCGAGGCCCTCAAACTTTATATGGACGACTCATTCTCATTTGAGTTAGCTGGTCGTATGCTGTACTATGCGCCGTACCAGTGTCAATTCCCAGCTAAACAAACTCGGCTCTTGCAGCTTTGGGACGAGATTGGACTCCCTCACGATCGTCCAAAACAGCTCTTCGGCTCTCCGCTCACAGTCATTGGTTTCGACATTGACCCAAACGCTATGTCGGCAACGCTACCACCACACAAAAAGGAAGAACTAGTCCTACACTTACGACATTTCGCAGGGAAGAATTTTCGATGGACGCTTCGCGAATTCCAACAACTCGCGGGATGGTGTGAGTGGGGCTTTAATATCTTCCCTTTACTTAAACCAGGTCTCTCCGCTGTTTATGAGAAGATACGCGGGAAGACGAAGCCTCACGCAAGACTTCACGTTAACAACGCCATCATCAACGAGCTCACGTGGATGGCTTCTCACATTGATCGCCTCCCTGGCTTGTTATTTTACAAGTCACTGGATTTTGACCCTCGTTCAGATGATGTCGTAGTAGCCTATACGGACGCTTCAGGACTGGGCATGGGTCTATGGTTCCCTCACGACCATTTTGCAAGTCAGTCTCCACTACCTCCCAACGCTCCAAAGGACACCATCTTTTTCTTCGAAGCCCTCGCCGTCTGCTCAGCAGTGCATGCCATTTGCAACATGACTGAAACCCCATCAAGGATGCTCGTCTATACAGACAACACTAACACCGTGGCAATGTTCAATTCACTTCGCGCGCATCCGCCCTACAACTCTATCCTGCTCTCCGCAATCAATGTTTTACTCCAATACGAGGTAGACTTGCGCGTGGAACATGTCAGTGGCTGCGAGAACTCAATCGCAGATGCGCTATCACGCTTTCAAAACGAACGAGTTTTGGAGTTGGTCCCAACGGCCAACTTTTTTGATTTCGAACCCCCTCGAGATGCGCTGGGGGGAGTCGAAAAATGATGCACGTGTCGTCATCGTCCAGGCAACCCGTACGGGAAGCCTGGACATCTGAGCGTCTCTTATACGAGCGCTCTATCGCACTCGGTTTCGCGATCGAGTCGACAACGGCGTCAGCCTATGACTCTCACCTCAACTCCTACATCACGTTTTGCCGACTACACCACCTTCCAATCGACCCTACAACAGACACGCTATCTTTCTATGTTGTATGGCTCGCGCACCATATAGAACCACGATCAGTTGATTCTTATCTATCTGGCATCGCTAATCGCTTGGAAGATTCTTATCCATCGGTACGGGCTGCACGCCGTTCGTCACTCGTCGCTCGTACTCTCCGTGGCTGCAAACGGCGCATGTCAAAACCAGTTCAAAGGAAATTGCCTTTGAACGTGGATGACCTTCAACGAGCACGCGCTGAACTCAGTTCACCAGGACACGATGATAGCCTTTTCCTTGCACTATTATTCACCGGTTTCTTAACTTTGCAACGACTAGGAGAACTGACGTGGCCAGACGCTGTCAAACATCAAACATATCGGAAAGTACCTCTGCGACACACCCCTCGTCATCACTGCCAATTCCGTCTCCTACACGCTGCCTTATCAAAAGACTGATAGTATGGGGACTGGCTCGACCATCCTCATTCTCTCAAATTCGGTGATCGGACTCGATCCCCTGCCTTTACTCCGTCGCTATTTCAAATATCGCGATACCGCGTTCGCATTCCGTCCCGCACTGTGGCTAACAAGTAACGGGTCCATACCAACTCGTAGTTGGTTCCTCCAACGTTTACGCAAACATTGTGGAGCAGCGCTCTCCGGTCACTCCATGAGAGCTGGGGGAGCAACAGCATTAGCGATCGCGGGAATGACCCCAGATCTTATTCAAGCGGCAGGTCGGTGGTCCTCTGATGAATTTAAAAAGTATATACGCCAACATGCGTTCTTACTAAACGCTCTCCTTCACGGCTCAGCTCGCGCGCCTTCAAATACACACAACGACACTTCTTGATTCACTCATCAAACCATCACCAAATCAATTTCTATTCTTCATCGTACTCTACTCCTCGATTCTCACTGGCGTCAAGACCACAAAACATACAACATAACAACATATATTAAAAAAAAAAAAAAAAAATCACTAGCCCTTTAGTATCTCTATCTTGCCGGTTTCCCGTCACTCATGTTTTATTTCGACCTTTTTTCTGCTGAGGTCTGCTCACCCAAAAGCACCCATCCTCCAGACTCAGACTCGCACTCTATCACATTGCCTCGTCGTGTACTTTCTAGTTCTCGGTTCGCAATAAAATTTGATCGGGTCCCCCGAGCACGGAGCTGGGGGACTCCGCTTGCCTAACAAACCGCGAGACCTTATCCTGGCGTAAAATTGATTCAACGCTCTACATATGCATAAGTATGTACTCATGCAACATATGCATATACAATACTAAATGGTAATATCAGACAGCATTCAGCCAAGCCTTTCGACGATACCAGAGAAAGAAAAAATATAGATACTGTAGAGATACGACACTAGCTTCGTCACGTGCAGCACGTGACAAAGTCACGCTTAGTGTCACAGCTTCGAATTACCCTGTCACCTGTGACCACATAAAAAATAGCTTCGGAAATCGTGATTTTGTCAAGGCTTCTTGTCTGATTCATATCTTATTGTAAAGTTGAGAAGTAACAGGTAGAATCTAGCTGGGCATTGTTGTTTTTTATATGTTTTTTTGTATGTTTTTTATATGTTTTTCTGTATGTTTTTACCACGTGTCACAAATTAGCTTCGGCCCCCAAAAAATTGGTGTGACAGTCACACCAAATAGGTTCGATTCGTTGATGGCTGTGACCTGTGACGAACCTAGTGTCGTATCTCTACAGTAGCATGCAGTATCATAATGATAGTCACGTAGGTGGCCATGTCCGGTGTAAGGGCGTTCTCCCCACCTCTCCCAAGCAGGTTCACCGATGCAGCGCACAGGGCCATGTCTGTTGAAGGGACGGTCTCCGCTCGCCGTGCAGGGATGTCGGGCAGAAAGTCAGGCGCAGATACGCACCCGGAGGATGAAGGAGATCTTTGGTGCTCAACTTCAGCAGTTGAACCCTCTGATTCCGTGACATCACTTTGAGAATGCTCTTTCTCGTTCCGATAGAACCAAACTGGGACTGATCGGTACAGCCATTCTGTCCATGCTGCGTTGTAGGTTGGTTTGGGGTCGACATACATGCACCAGGGGAGCCGGGGTGCGTGAAGCAAGAGAGTTGGCACGCGACAGAGAAGGTTTTGGCATGAGTAGCCCATTGCCTGCCGGGGACTCAGTCTTCGAGCTCCGCTCGGATTCAGAATTGGCTCGAGAGAAAGGCGTCGGTGGCGATGGTGCAGGCAGAGTCAACTCAAACGAAGCAGGAAGTGGTGATGTTTCCCTCAGGTGCTTGGGTGGTACAGGCGTAGCAGCCCATGCTCCGGGAAGTCTCAGGGTGTTCATCGCTGTGTAGTTCGGATTGGAAAGGCCACCCTCATTGACATTGACTCGTATGGGAGTGACATCCGCCTCGCGCGTCTCTACCTCATCCTCAGAAGATGAAGGGAGAGCAGAAAGATTGGAGAGGTCATGGGGTGGAGACGGGGTGCAGAAGTCAAGGATGGAAGTGCTTGACAAAAGACGACACGGCGGAGTTGTGAACACAAGGTTGAGAATGACAAAAGAAGATTCATCCTGAGGGACGATACTGGCCAGTGACGACGTTCCCGGCGGAGTGAAAGAGGATGGTGTCGTCTGCTCTTGGGGCCGAGAGGATTTTAATGAATAGTCTGGAGTAGGAGGTGGGAAGGAGGTCGCTGAAGTTGAGGAAAGAGCTCTATGGAGACGTGCTTCATCATCGACAGAAACGCCATGAGGTGCCTGAACGGGTGAGTGTTGTCTTGGTGGAGAGGATGGTGGAGACACTAGAACCTCTGTCTCTGTCTCGCTGGGAGCATCGTCGGGGAAAAAATTCAAAGGTCGTATGTCTGGAGCAGTCAAACGCGGAGCAAAGTCCGATACAGATTCCTCATCACTCGCTGCAGAATCCAGATAAGGTATATTGAAAGGATAAGGGAAATACATATCTGACCCAACACCATATCCTCGTCCCCAAATGCACCGTGCATGCTAGCCTGATGTTGAATACTTCCCACTGACTCCGTAAACTCCATCGATCACTTGTGATGACCCTTCTTGAACTTCTCTTCATTGTTGGCTTTAGGAGCAGAAGAAGCAAAATTGCCGCTGCTGAAAAGACCATTCCTCTTAGATGTTGAGGGCACTGGAATCAAGCTCGACCTATTCGATGCCCGGCTGGATGGGCGAGAGCTCGAGTCGGCAATGGCGAAGTGATGGTCCGCATGCGATTATGTGAGGAATCAGGCTCCTTGTTTCTGCGTTCGGGTCGTGTTAAATGAGATGACACAGAGCCAGCGCTATCTTCTGACGATTGTTCAAAGAGTCTTGTAGGGGGTGATTTTCCGCTGGGAGGCGTGCTGCGGGAGTATCAGAGGGTATCGCATAAGAAGCAGATATTCCAAATTCTGAATTTGGACCATAGCTATTGGAAGAAGAAGCAATGTTCTTGGGACCGAAAGAAGAAAGAAAGTGACGGTCTAGCTTGCACAATATCATCGCTTGATATTCGCCCTTCACGTAAAGCGTCTACTCAAAGGCTACCAGCTAAGCGCTTTTAGCATTATTGGCGGGCAATGAGGCCAAAGGAGTGAGCGTGTTGGCGTCAGGCCATGTATGGCCATCCGACGTCGTGCAGCAAGTGAAGGTCAAGGTGTGGCAAATGCAGATACCAGATGACTCATAAGTTCAATCCGTATGGTAATTCGTAGGTGGCAGCAAAACTTGATCAAAACTAAGGAACTTTTCCCAGTGGCTTTGCGCAAGGGATTGGAATGCAACAAAATACTGGAAAGCAACGCGCCTGTATTCCGGTACCTCCATGCCTCCATCGTGGTCACTTGCGACCTCACACTTCAAAACCTCAGTCCTATCTGACGGAAATTGACCGGAAATGACCGCCTCACTCAACGCTTTGGTGACGGGCACCAGATAGAAGGCGGGACGTGTCCCAACCATGGTGATGCAAGGCATAGTCATGGCATCAAGTGGATGCAGACCCATCTCTCGCCGCCTGTTATTGTTGAACTGGTATGTCGCAATGGCTCCTGCGACCATACATGCTTCGACATTTGAAGGTCCCATCAGCGTCTTGGCCGCTAGTAGAACAAGCAAGCTGTTTGATGGATCCGATACAAGGCATACACTTATGCATGCGACTTGGTTGGTATCATCGCAGATCAGCAATGGGATAGTGTACTCTCTGAATAGGCAAGTCTGACGCTTTTGGAAGCCAAATCTGTCGAGAACTTCAGAAGCCAAGCTGACAATCACCGGCTCATATTCAGCCTGCCTCGGATCCATGGCAAAGTGGAGACGTGCGAGAAGATGAAAGGTGGCGGGCGACACTTGGGCGTAAGAGGACACCTCATCTTTGGTGAGCCCGGAATCAAGGCCTACCAGGGTTAGAGGGACATCTGTCTCCTGGGGAAAGAATTGATGTGCTGGTATAGCAGTGAACATTATATTGTATGCCATGAGCTCGTTGTCATCCCAGTCGCAGCTTGACTTTGCAGAACGAATGAGATTGGCCATCTAGGGGTGAAATATTATAAACAAGGATAGTCAGTCAGTGAAAATCACTTCACTTCTGTTGTTTTTGCAGCTATCGTGTAGTGTTCTGTGCGATGTGATGGAAGCAGCTGAAGAAGGCTGAGCATGATTTACCTAGCAGGGTGGTACCACTGACGTCACAACTGTCTTAGGTGCCGCACATATTCATTGAGCGCTCTCACAAGTACAAGCATTCAAAAAGCTCGCATACGTAGTATAGCTATCTGGCTACAAATATACATAGATAAAAAAAATCCTATAGCTATTTTTCCGTCTAGATGCTGAGCCAAAGCAAGGGAAAAAGATATTGATGTATATAGATGAGTATGAGACGACGAAAAGAGTGCTTGAGCGTCAGACATGAAAGTGTCGCAGTTCTGTCAGTATGAAGACACAGTCTGCTACTGCTTGGTCTCACTCTCCGGGTTTGCTGTGTATGGGGGTAATGATGTCGTCGATAACGAATGTAAGAGGACAGGATCAGGCCGCGATCCGAGACTTTTCTCGGCGGTTTTTTGCTCCCAAACAATGTCGCTGGCGATGAGTCCGGGGGTAACGGGCCGTGACGACGTTGGGGTGTTGGCTTGGGAGCGGTTGTGGACGAGATGCGCACGGACGAGGTGACCGGCGGCGAGAGCACTGAGAAGCGAAAGTTCACCAGCCATGACGGAAGCAGCAATAATACAAGCAAGGCGTTGTGCGTTATGGCCGGGGGTAGTTGGGTGTGCGCCCTTGAGGCCGAGCATCTCGAGAACAGAGCCCTGGGGACCGAGAACGGTACCCCCACCGACAGTGCCAACCTCAATCGAGGGCATAGATATAGTCACAAGCAGATCTTCACCGTCGTTAGTTCTACCAAAAGTCGTCAGTATCACGCAGTCAGGTGATGTTAATGGCGACTTACGGCTCCATGAGGGTCATACAATTCGAACTCTCCACGTTCTGCGCAGGGTCCTGACCAGTAGCCAAGAATACCGCAGTAAGGATGTTCGCGGCATGGGCATTGAAGCCACCAATCGAACCAGCCATAGCACTTCCAACCAAGTTCTTCTTCGTGTTGAGATTGCAGAGCGCCTCAACCGTAGTCTTCAGCACGCTCTTGACAACCCTCCCAGGAATGACAGCCTCAGCCACCACACTCTTCCCGCGTCCCTCAATCCAGTTGATGGCAGCAGGCTTCTTGTCCGTGCAGTAGTTGCCTGATAGCGCAAGCGTGATCATTTCCGGGTAATGCTTCTGAATAACCTCAAGCGCCTTCTCCGTGCCCTTGGAAATCATGTTCATGCCCATGGCATCACCAGTGCGTGTCGCGAACCGAACGAAGAGTGTACGACCAGCCATGGCAGTCTTGAGGCGTTGAAGCTTGGCGAAACGCGACGTTGACTCGAATGCCTCACGGATGATCTCAAAGCCTTCCTCCGAGTCGATCCATAGCTTAGCTTCTGCAGCCATGACGATGGAAGGGAAGTCGATGGCAGGTCCACGTGTCATGGCGTCGTTGGTGAGGACCGTTGTGACACCTCCACCCGCGTTGAGAGCCTTGCAACCACGCGAAGTAGAGGCAACGAGTGTACCCTCAGCAGTAGCCATGGGGATATGGACAAGCTCGCCATCGATGTTGAGTGGGCCGGCAATACCAAGCGGGATAGGAATGTAGCCGACAACGTTCTCACAGCACGCGCCAAGAACACGAGAGTAGTCGTAGTTGTGCATGGGGACATCCGAGTACTCAAGGGTCTGAGTGAGAGTTGCACGGGCTAGGCATCATATGAGCACTCATGTCCACGAGAAATGATGAACATGAACTTACAGATCAATGCGCGACGGATGGTCACAGCCCGCTCAAGGTCACCAAGTACCTTCTCCAATGCATACGCCGCAATCTTTCCGTTCTGCGCAAGCATGACAACCTCCTCGTCATTCAACGTCGCAAGAGCAGCCGAAGCAGGACGAGGCCCATTCTCAAAGATCTCAATGCACTGCTCCAATGACCGGACAGGGAACTGAAGCGGCTGGTCCTCTCTTGGTTCGGGTGCAGCTTGTGCGCGGAGTTTCATGTCGAGCATTTGTGCAGACACACCACTGGCAGCAGGAATTGCAATGGGTGCGAGGACACGCATAGGGCGGATAGCAAGGGGACGGGCAATAGGCTTCTCGGAATCTGAAGAACTCGGCGAAGGCGGCTTCGAATCACCAACCATGAAGGACGACCGTCTGCGTCCAACAGCGGTCTTAACCCCAGGTGTCACAATTTCCTCATCATCCTTCTCGCGTTTCTCAGCAACAACCGATCTGAACCGCACGTTGTTGGGCTGTAGTCCACGCATGGCACCCTCAGCAATGCCCTTGAGAAGGTAACCGTTGAGCGCGACGCTGACAGCAAGCACAATCACGATCCACTTTGACAGAATGGGGTCGCCGACGAGTGTTGTCCAGCCAGTCATGAAGCTCTCGAGTGCCTCCGTAGATCTGAAGAGTGCGCGGGGACGAACAGGACCAGGTGGTGTGACACGGATATATAGGGGCGGGGCAATCTTAACAAGGAGATCGGCAGGAGCAGATACGATGGCTTCTTCTTCTGCCTGGAACGTTATGTCAATAGCGGCAAGGTTGGCGAGCACACTAGCAATGGCAGGAGACGTAATGTCGACTTTGTGCGACACAGAGTACTCGCTGACCGCAGAGTCAATCAAAGTCTGAGTTTGGTATCTCGAGATGGTTGCGGGTGTGAGAGTGGTTGCGAAGTTCAAAATGTGCAGCGTCAGGAAAGATACGATCTATTCGAAAGAACATCAGAGAGGGGAGAAGGTCAAGTACGGCAGTTACGTACGAGAAGAAGCTTCAGGCGTGCAAGAGGGTTCTCTTCCTTAACTTCTGGCGGTGGGCTGTTCTTCTGTCTGAGCATAGAACCCTTGACACCCAATAGGGTCTCTGAAAGCTGGCGGCTAAGGCTGTTGTCCTGGACTTGAGGTGGCGAACGGACGAGAGCACTTGGTTTGCGTTCAGTAGTCAGATTATTTGAGCTCCGGGACCTGGTCATGTCACGAGCTGCTTTGATCCTCCGGACCTAAACAATAAGATGCCCATGAGCGTTGTTCAGAACAATCACAACAAGAGTCATTGTGACCCTAACCCCAGTGCCAAAAGAAGGAAATCACATGACAACTCACCTCAACCATAATTGCCAGCATGGCAGCATAAAAGGTACCGAATAGAACACAATCCAATGTCAGGGTAAGTGCGGCAAGCGCACAGAACTCCTTCAGGCCACCAACTTTACTTTTGGCGCCCATAGCGAGGACTGCAATCTCCAGTGCGTAGTCGCGCAATATGGCATTGCCACTGTTTTCAATTGCTTCCATGACTACCTCGCCGGCGGGTTTCATCTGCCCACGCCACCTGCCCTCTTTAACGGGAGATAACAAATGAGGGTGATTGAACACTGCAGCCGCAAGACGGAGGGGTTTATCGAAGCCAACCGTGCACACAAAGAAGGGCAGAGCTTCGGTGAGACTGATTGGATCCAGAGGAATCTCAAGGTAGTGCGAGATGGGGAGAGCGAGCATGAACGCGAGGATGGATGATGACAAGATCGCAAGGCTGAGCTTCAAGTTGGAACCAAGAGCACGAGCTGAGAAGAACAAACGAATGAATGACGCGTGCATGAGGATGTAACCAACAAGAACGAGCAGAATGTCGAGCGAGTCCGCTTTCTACATTGCATGTGAGTATGACGAAACATGGCAGAATATTTTTCGGCCTACTGACCTTGGTAAGCTCCCAGAAACGGACGATTAGAGCTCGTGCAGCGTAAGCCATCCATTTACCACCTTTCATTTCTCCGATTGTCTCCGTGACATGCGTCTCTATCTGGTATCTGACTCCTAGTTCATCAGCCGTAAAGGTGGGTTGATGGTTCAACGCGTCTATAAATGCATCGCTAGCGCCAGCAGCAAAAGACAGCGTAACCATCTTTGAGCGCGAAGTCTGGAGAGATGCGGTGGTGAAACATGAAGCGGGTAACAAAGATTCGCCAGTGATTGGATAATAGCATAGTGACGTGTAAGTCTCGCCCGATGGGGTGGAGAGCTTGTGAGCAATATGGTGTGTAATATTATCAATAGATTGTGATAAGGATACGAGGTCAACGGGGGCGGAGTCCGCAGCGACCTAACCATAAACGCGTTACTATGATGAGACGACAACAAAATTAGAGGAGACTGACTGCGACCGAAGACTGGGCGGAATCTAATGAAAAGATTAATTGTTGTAATTCCACTGGACGAGAGTCTGCTGTTTTAACGCGTTTCAAATACCAGTCTTCGTCGACGCCGACCCACTCGCCATCACGCAGTAGTGCATGGGCTGGACGGAGTGTTGAAGGAACGGATGGGGCGAAGAATGAAGAGTGTTTAATTGCTGAAAGGACCTGGAAGTATGCGAGAGTGCCGACGATAGCGAAGAAGACGATTGTTTCAATTGGAGCGAAGACGGTGCGTCCAGCCAGAGGCTGGAGGATGGACCGCATTGTGATCACCTAGAAGAAGGAAGAGGTGAGAGGGATGGGATGGAAATTTAACGCGTTAGAAGCTGTTAAAAAGAAGCCGAGCTCTGTGAGTAATTGGCTACGAAGCGAAAGAAAGCGGAGTCGAGATTTACGGAGAGCGGATACTGACCGTGGAGGACGACACGCTCGTGCAAGCCAAGATCGCGGTGAGCAAGAGTCGGGGAACGACTGCCTAATGTTATGGCAGGTTACAAGGGCAGTTGGCCAGTCTCAATAGAATGAGAGGCCTTGTAAGGATGATTGGGACAGGGAATGGTACGACCGTCATTTCTCACTTTTTATTTACATTGCATGCGGTAATGTAATCGGCTAATTATGGCATTTTTCAAGACCCCAGTCACCACCAAAGTCGGTTCGGTTCTCTTTCATCCCTTTTGCCGCACTGCTCTTGCGCGCTCCTCCTCCGGCCCTTTCTCCTTGACCCGAGCTCGCGACAGACCCGGCTCCAACCTCAAGCTAATCTTGCCGCTCTATTCGCATAAAGGACACCCACGATAGCCTACTGCGATTGTGCTTTGTTACCGTGGAATGCAACCATTCCTCTCAAGGTTCGACCTTTCCCCAAGTCATCGAGAATGGAACGTGATAAACCGCCACATCATGGACGATCACGACTACTAGAACGTTGGACACCATCTTTAGCTATTAGCTCGTCCTGTCAGTGCCAGCTCATCAACCTTCGGGGTCTCATCCAGTTCGTCTCAACACGGTGATTTGAAGAGATCCGGAAAGTCGTGCCTGTGGTGCACAGTCTCACAGCACTAATACTTACTGCCACTTTCAGTGTACCACGTACTTGCTGTCTCAAACTGAGACAAGTCGCTAGCCATTCGTATTTTTCTAGATTAGACAGAAGGTATCCTAGGGTATCCTACGCATGTTGTACGCCCGCTCATTTTTCTCCTCCGCATCTTCCCAACCGAACAACTTATCTTGTTATCAACGTTGTCAACAACACAGCAAATTAGGTTTTCATGTTCCTCCATGTTCTTGCGCTCTAGAATTTTACATTATCATCACAGCTTGATAACAACCTCCATCAAGCCATCCTTCCATATTACATACACAACCAAGTATTTCTCGGTATATGCATATATCACTGGCTATGCTTTCTTGGACGTTCCTTGTTTGCACCCAGGGCCACAGACAGACACCAGGCAGTACTACTCCACTCAGTTTCCACATATGATGCTCTTTTGCTCTCATGTCTCGCGATGGTCTCTCGCACGCCCTTAGAGCCGACCACCACTTGCGTCATGGCTCTCTTTTTTAGGCAGTGGCCAAGCCATGTCTATCTGGCCAGACTGAGTCTGCCAGTCCGCGGCAAGACACGATGATAACAACGTTCAAGTACGTTATCCTTTCTAATCTCTCAATCCCGTCCCTGGGACTCCCCACCAGTGGGCCTTCATCGCTCGTATGATGTTCGGTAGCTAACCGAAGCGAATGAATCTTAATGATGCTTCTTCAGCGTTCGACTTGCAGTGCTTTTAATCAATAAATATTAAATCGTACCACTCCCTCTGAACCAGTGAGCTACCAGCGGACCTGCTCAATCAAACGTGCCACAGCACGTATTATTATATCCGGTTATTAAACGACTCAACGAGCCTCGCCCAATTGACCGCGCAGATTATTAAACGATTCAGGTTCATTGAGTGAGTGGTCAGTCAACCATCCTTACCGTAACTTAATCACTAGGCCCTTCTGGATCGCTTCTCAGCTCTGTCATGGTCATCCGGATCATGCCAGACAATGAAAGTGCACTACGGTTCCCAGGGTCCTCGGATTCGCACTGACTGTAACCCGCTGGGGATGAAGTAACATCCTAGTGGGTCATCGCGACGAGTCTACTTAATATCATGTGGCAAGTTTTCCTTTCAATGAAACAAACGTCACGCTCCGTGAGACTCAGTGACGTTTTGACTCAGATGAATTTGAGAAGGCTCGCTGGATGAATCCACCCAGCTCTTATGTGCGGATCACAGCATCCGTTATGCTTTTGACTTGCTACCCCAACCGCCGTAAATGTTCCTGTGCTGATCTATGTTATATATACGTGAGTGTGTGAACTCATCTTATCTCTTGTCCGTCCGACAGCGGGATCAACGGCATCGTGCTATGTAGTCGTGACGGCGCTGCTTCACGCGCTGCCAGCCTGCGATCACCTGCGCCTGTCTTGATTGACATCATACGTACATACTGTTTCTGAATTTAGCAACTACATCATGAGTTCCGCGCGTGCGATCCATGTATATAGGACTCAATCGTGTGACAAGTCCATGTCAAGACTCGAGGGAGACCATCCGACCCTCGGCAAAGTAACGCTGTCATCCACAGTTCAGAAAAGTCCATAAACATTCTAAGCTAGTACCTTCTAAGCTTAAGGCGATAGCTACCGGACATACACTGACCGTGACCCGGGATGGGCGCTCGTGATTTTAGCTTTACACAGCTTCCGTCGTGCTTGTACCGCCACGAGACCTGGCAGCATGGCTTCGAAAAAGAAACGGAGTTGGGACTGCTACTATGAATATTCAGGAGGTAAGGTATAAAATATAAATCAACCAAAACACCAGTTTGTACGCGCTACAGAAAGTCCTTGCAATCACAGACTAGACAAATTAAACATGAGATGGGGTGGTGACTGTACGTGACATTCGTTCTATGATCCAGTGCCACAGAAGAGAGATGCGACGCTGTGTGTTGCGGTACCACACGTGAAGCCAGTGGTCTCCAACGTGAGCATCATCTGCCAATATGGGCCTCGTGTAAACTAGGACCAATATGGTGAACACAACTGGTATTACAACTAAGGCGGTCACAGCAGGAGAGTTGATGAGCATAGCCGCAGTAAACAATGCCATTCTGTCAAACAATGAGCCACCGACCCGTGGAATGTAGCCAGAAACGCACCCCCAACTCAAAAGTCCCAATGGCAGACTGAGCATAAGGGCAAGGCCCTCGAGGCCTAGCATAGAACGTGGCATGTCTTGCATGTAATAGGCCTGTAGACGTAAAGGATACAGTCAAACAGTCAGAAAAGAAACTTACCACTTCTTCAGTGGTGCCTCGTAGACTGTCATTGACTTGTCCAACCAAGAATAGTGTGGATACTAATGAGCCAATGGTAAAGACAGCCGACATATATGCTAAATCAGTCACGAATGATTGACTCGTGACAGATGGAACCGCGAGAAAGCTGATATTAACAGCAAGCATCACAGTAGACTGACACATCATTGATCGCATGACAATACAAAGCAAAAGTACGACTCACAAATAACGCGTATCCATTCCATTCAGTGGTGAGTCTATCGCGAAATTTTCTCCACCGCGGCCAGATGATAGCTTTATCAACCCATATCCTATTAACACTCCGCCATTGAGAACGAGGGACATTGAACAAAAACACATTCATGACGCTAAAACTGAACGGTGGTGGCTGGTTGCCAGATTTTCTATACAACGATCGGTCTATGTCAAGTCGGGCGCCTGGTTGTCCACAAAAATTCTTAAACTTGGCATTACCTAGCAAAGTAGTCAGGAAACGGCATCGCAGACCACAAGCTGGAGCTCACAGAAGATTTTCATCCATCTAGCTGAAATAGACATGCATATCAGAAACAAACAGCCGACTGTCCGTGATTGCCTTACCTGCGATCCATGCAGAGTGCTCGCGTTCCTTGTTAGCACTATCTGGAAAAAAAAACATCAACAACAACAACTCGCATCAGGGAATGATTCACTCATGAGAGGATCAATAAGCCCGAGCATGCTAGTAACCTGGTCTGCAGTAAAAGGTACTAGGGATGTTTCAAAAAGTATATGGTCTACCACGAGTCAATCTCTTATGGCATGAAACACTTATTGGTCTTTACACACCTGCTTGAGCATGTATGAGAAGTTCTTTGAGTTCCACGACAACATCTTCCGGAAGGAAGCGTTTGTATGGGAATAGTTCGATATGATTCCTGTCAATATCATGATCTCTAAATCATGTGAGGTAGAAAAGGGCTGTTGCAAAGTGTGAGGTCGTGTACTTCTGTCAAGTGGGGGAAACATTCGTACTTCGAGAGGTCATACGAACCAGTACTGTGCTTCTAGTGCATACTCTGGGAGCGATGCAATTACAGGAGCTCGAAAGGAAAGTATTTCGTGGAAAGAACTTACTGATGTGGCTCTTGCGCTTTACACCTCGAACACGACGCATGAGGGAATGAGATTTGTGGTCTTTGAACCAGAAAATGACACGTCTTTCGTGGTCGGCAAAGTAATAGCCCCACGATTCTGCGCCATCCTTCACTATGAGCTCCAACGCGAGTTCGACAGATGGATGCAAGACAATGTTTGCATCGCGCGCTTCCTCGTACACCTTCTCAACAGCTTTGCCCAATTTGATAGCAGTTTCAGGATCTCGAACATCGGCATCAGTGAAAACTCTCTGGTGTGATTTGAGTAAAGACGCGTAGGAGCCGGCGGTAGACGCACTTTATATGGGTGATAGAAGAACAAAGACCCTTCTGGGTGTGTGAGCGGCTCCCATCCTTCTACTGCAGCAAGCTCCCTACAGGTTCATTTAAATCTTGTCACTGGCTCTCTCACCAACATGCTTACTCTGAGCAGTCCAAAGGACCTTTCTGAACCAAGAATACCTCAAACTCATCTTTACTGCAAGTAAGGGTTAGAGCGGCAACTTGCTCGAAATAAATTTTGCTTACATTCGCACATTCCTCCCGTATCGTTTGACCTGGTTTGGTATAATGGGAGTTAGAGTGATATCAGGGGTCTGTCCAGGTGCCGCAAGAAGCAGTGGCGTGGTGATGCCCACTTCAGTGAAACTGAGGTCGAGGAAAGAGCTCGACATCAATGGTGCAGAAGAGTTCGGGGGAGAGTCTGTATTCAAAGCTGCGTCGTTCGACCCTCCATGAAGCTCGGGAGTTGCCATCTGAAGATTCTGAGTGTTCATTTCAGGTTGGGACCCTTGGCTGTGTAGACTCTGTAGAGGTGCCTCAAGCAACGGCACTGCGAGGCTCACAGGAGGCGTCGGCTCGGATTGGTTAGTTGCTGGCTGAGAGCTTAATGCTACGGGCGGCCCGGGCCGCTCTCGAAAATTCCCTTCCTTCCTATACACGACAAATTGACAGTGTCGGATCAGTCGCAGGAGGACAGAGAGGAGACTCCTGTATGACCGAAATGCAGTAGCTTTGACGATGCGCCTCAACCAGGAGATGAACATGCGAATGTCACTTCCATGCATGATTGATCAGATCAATGGAGGCAAGTGCAAAAACTCAAGACTGTCTGCTAGCGTCGGACGAGAAGGCAGAACGATAGTCTTGGCAGAAGGGATAGGAGAATTAACAAGGGGAAAAAATATGTAAGACCAGGAACTGTTTGCTGCCTTTCTTTTACGTTCTTTGTATTAGCGAAGTAGATATTTTAGGTGTTACCCACCGGCTACCTACTACTGATACTTTCCCATCCTGTGTAGAATATGATTTAGTGTATGTCTTAGCTGAAGCTCCTAATGTAGCTCTCACCTCTTCAAGTTCGTTACAATACTAAGTGCTATCGCATCCATCTTATTCCCGTGCGCTTTGCTTGCAGTCCCTGTAATGATTCACAAAAAGTTAATTCTGAGTAGTAGTGCTATTATTACCTATGGTCTGTTTTGGTTGTTCGCTTAAGTGTCCTTGATCTCCGCGCATCATCGTCCTCATGGTGTTTCCGGGCGCGTGTTCCTGTGGTTGACAGTGGCGCCCAGTTTTCTACCGACCACTTGTTCGCTGTGATGTGATCGGGGTTTCAGTGAAGTGAACAAAATAGTGTGGCGGGTATTGCCAGCAGTTGCCCAATATGGTGTAAGTGGTGGTCGACAAGCCTCGCGCTAGTAATGAATATCAATCTGGAGCAAACAGAGCTGCGAAGTCCTGAGTGCGGCAGTGATGAAAACCCTGGGGAAAACGAGTATCACATGAATAAAAAACACCAGATACGCACCACAGAAAGTCTCACATAAGATCCAGACTGCACATATTAGACATGAGAGCTGATGGCGACCGCAGCTTGAGGTGAACCTTGTTCTGTTATCCAGGTCCTCAAGTTGAAAAATGTGACGATCGTTGGCAGCCAGCACGAGCCAAATCACTAGGATGAATATGGCGACCTGAATTGACGATATGATCGAGAAGGCAACAACGCTGGAAGTGCGGAGAATCGGGATGGACAACGCTGCAGCAAAAAATATCAATCTGTCGAAGAATGAGCCACCCCCAAATTAGAAGAGCAAACGGGAGACTGAGCATTAGGGCAGGGCTTTGAGACCAAGCACAGAGTGCGACATTCCTACCATGAAAGAGGCCTGTGGGTGTAAAGAATTCAGTCAAATGAAGGAAAAAGAAATTTACCATTTCTCAAGTGGTGCCACGTAAACTGTCATTGATTTGTCCGACCAAGAATAGTGCGACTAATGATGAGCCAATGGTACAGAGGGTAGACAGATGTGCTAGAAGGATCGCGGATGGTTGACTCACGACAGACGGGACCACGAGAAAGCTGATATCAACAGCAAGCACCACAGTAGACCGAAATGTCATTGGTTGCATGACAATATGGACCGAAAGTGCGACTCGGACTCACAAATCATCAGTAAACCGATGAGGCCTTGATATTGTACCCGTGCGAATTATATAAGGGCAGAATGCTGCTCCTGCTAAATATCGCCATTTATACTATAAGAAATTTGATTTCTAGATACATCGCCTGCAAATCTAGAGTAAAATGAGTGGTACACGACAAGGTTATGATGTTCCTCAATTGCAGCCGACGAGGGATGGTAGCTCACATATGCCAAATATTCTGAGCATTGTCATTTTACCTCAATCACACTTTGCGCCGCAAGCTCATCCAAGGCAATCGCGTGGGAGGTACCTTTGGCACTCGTCAACGAATGTATAATAACGTGAGATTTCATAACTAAGTCTTGATTTGCGGCCATTAAGACCAACGATGCACGACAGCGCAAAACCCTCCACCTATTTAACGGCTCTCATTTTTCCCTGTTTATGCGTTGAACTGAACTGCTATTCAAGATCTTCTCATGAGAAGACCGTTTGGCGAATGCCTAGAAACCCAGAGTAACATGAACAGTCAACGACAATGTAACTACACTCCTCCCTTGCAGCCGGTGAGTGGTGGTAGTGTACCGGCACGAAATATTTTGACCATTGCCATTTTGTCTTACTCATGCTTTGCATTATAACTTCATCCAAGACATTCTGGTAGGAGGTGCCTTTGGCACTCGTGAACAAATGTAGAATAGTGTGGGACTTCACAACAAAGTCGAGACCAGTAGCCATGAAGACCAGCAAGGGATGTCAGCGCACTCCTCTGAGTCCTCTTGTACCTCTTTGATGTCTCTCGTTTTTTGTTATGTGTGTTTTAAATTATGAGATTATGCAAAACCTTCTTGTAGGAAGTGCCTTTGGCGCTTGTCGAAAGATTTAAATTAGCATTGTCTTGCGTAAAAAATTTGTTACATGTCTCTGTCGCAGCAGACAAGACATGACGGCAGCCTCCTCCCAATCTTGTTGATCGTTCGGGATTTCCTTGATTTATGTTTCCACCTGAGATGGTATTCATAACCTTTCTGTGGGGGGTGTCCTTTGGGACCAGTCAACAAATCTAACTTAGCTTTAGGCTTGGTAACAAAATTGTGACAAACCGCCCATTGCGGCTGCAGACACGCTCCTCTCAACCTTTTGGATTGTTTTTATCCTTGAGATTTTCAAGCTTTTTCAGGGCTTTTCCAAGCGCATTGCCAACACGCTGCAACTTGAACGTGGATATCAAATTATTACTGTCCCAGTAATAGCATCAGCCTGAGTGACTCGGAACCCGGTGAGATCTTGTTTAGAAAACACGAGAACTGAGAGTAAACTCGATGTATATGATACAAATCTCAGTCAGCCTAGGCAAGTACCTATCGCTTCGGAGTGAAGTGTCCTGTATCTTACCAAGGGAACGTGTTGTCGAACGTGAACCTCGCTTATTCTCATTATCCAGTCGAATATCAACACCAGCTCTCGCACCAGGCGTGCTGATTTACAGAATTGTGGCAAGACGGAAAAACCTTGTACGAATAATCGGTGGCAACCTGGCAGATCTCTCATTGAGAATTCATCCTCGTTCAACAAGTTGAAGTTATGTACATTTGTTTGAAGCCTGCGTCACCGTGAGGGTGCTGTATCATATGATCATAATGAGAGTGGTCACTGACATACTCAGTCAGAAATACATGTAGTTATCTTCTTCATTCTCACCAGAGTCCTCCATCCAATCATCCGGATCATCGTTGGCACACGGCGGCTCTTCGTCATCGCACTCCTGTTCCGTATCTTCCCCATTCTCTTCGCTGTCTTCTGCATCTTCCTCCCCACCTCCGTCATCATCGTCATCACCTCCACCATTCTCGTTGTCATCATCGCAGCGACGAACATCGCTTTCCCAGTCCCCATTGTCATTTTGGCCATCCGCGAGGTCCTCGCGGGTGCAATCTCTTGTTATCTCCCGTAGGATGGTGGGATGCCCAATTCCGTGGTGCGTATAACGCATGAACATATCCCGGTCAACGAATCTGAACAATCAACCATCAGCTCGAATTAAGGGCAGCAAATGCGAGATCGGGCTTACATTCCGACGTAATAAGCCTCCCAGTCGTCTAAATCACCACACTGACGTGCAAATGACTGACCTTCGTGAAGGGAACTGGTTCCGCGCCCAGAGGCAAAAGCGGGAATCAAATGTGCACCTCGGATAACCTGACTGGGATCAAGAAATCCAAAGGCATCGCGGTCGGACTCTTCGACGAAAGCGACTTTTGGAAGTCGAGCGCGGTTCATTCCCGACCGGTGGTCGGTCAAGGGTGCTAACCATCTGACGTAAAGAAGCTCGATTTGGCGCCTTTGGATTGGACCCTCCACGTTGAGCCATACCTCCATGTGATAGATGCCCAGAACTCGGGCGTACCAGTACGGATGTTTCGGGTTCGTTTCCCCAGATAATACCATGACGTCAGAGTGAGTCCGAGGATTGATAGTGTCGAATTCTCGCCGAAGGTCGTAAGTGGTATAATGAACCTGTAAAATTTAAAGTCGCATATCAGTACAACTCACAAAATGCATAACATACCTGCATTGTCTGGACAGAATATAACCTGTTGTCTGCGATGATGACTGAATTGCGCTCTTCATCTGAAAAGGTATGGTCACAAAAGGTGACATCTAACTTCCGAAGTCGATACAATATATGGTCTTTAAGTTTCGGAATGAACTCCTGCACGTTGTCGTGAGCACAATAAACAAGGAGAAGAGTGGTACATACTGTCAGAGCTGGATCGTGATCGTGATCTCGAAGAAAACCGAAGATGTGCAATGGATTATTGCAGCTGAGCTGTGGTATGTAGTGGTGATCCTTAATCACTGGAGGCAAGTCAACCAGCGCTTGCTCGCTAGTGTACAAACAGTGACCTGTCTCCGCTACACGCCGAAGAACACGACGACGACGCTCGTGTTTAGCAAGTTGAGCCGGGGTGTCGAGTTTGCTGGTCAACGGATAGAACACTTTTAATGCTCTATGTGCCAACTCTCCCTAAACCGAAATCAATCCGACATAATAAGATTAGTAGACCTTGAGGTAGCAGGAATTCACATACGATTTGCGATGTAAATGAATCAGTCGTCCCAAAGAGTCGGATTGATCGTAGATAATCCCCCATAGCGTGAAATTTGTAAGTGTTCATATTAAATTTTTTCACCTTTCGGCCACCACCCCCCGCATCTGGATTATTGGTACCCGAGTGTTCGCGCGCAACGTTACGCTCGCGGGCAGCCTTTTCTTTGGGTAATTCCACTGTGGTGAATGCAGCACAGGTGAAATCCTGGAAATTGCGCAGTTGGCGGGAGAGCTTCTTGAAAACCTCATCCAAAACCGACAAGGTGGTTTCAGAATGCACCTTAGTTTGGCGAGGGCGTGCCATTGGGCAAACCTATATAAAAGTGATTGTACTATCACATCGTGGTCTGCTGGGAAGAGCCCCTCGAATACTGGCATGGCGCACTGAGATGGATATGTCAACAATGCACTCCGGTAACCAGCACGACAAACCTGTAAGATGTCCTCGAAATCGCGTGCCGCTAGCCTCTTCATTTCTGACGTGTTATTTGAAAATTTGCGGATCACTCCATTGCCATATGATGGGACACGGCGAAATCTTATTTTAACATAGTTAATTTCAAATAGATAAGGAGAGTGGTGTGCGACACACCTCTTGTCAAGTTGTGCAACCAGGTTGTCACCCCCCGGAAGCGCATATAGTAGACGAATGAGATGAGTAAAAAGCGCTTTCCATGTACCTAGTTCGCATTCATGCATGAAATCGACCACTAGCATCCGAAAAGCGTCAAATCCGAGCGGTCCAAGTTTATTTGTGAATGCGTTCTACTCGAGTCAGGAACTAATCGGCGCGTTATTCCTAAAGAACTCACCACGGTCGGCACCCACGACCCTTCTCCAAGAATTCCCTGAACCCTCGACCCATCAACAGTATTTCCCGAGGAATAGATAACTTCGCGGGCCCGGGTCACGCTCTCTAGACAGTAAGTCCTGAGGTCATTTAGGCGGTCCTGCATGTCACTAAATAGGCCCAGGAAATCGAATGAGGCTTTCCGCATGAGACAACGTGGACACGGGCAAGAGCCCATGTCCTTGATCGTTGCTATTAAAACCCTGACACATCAATTAGTATTTGAATTGCGAAATAAAAATAAACGAACACACTTTTCCGGATAATCAGCCGAATAAGTGAATATACGTGGAAATACCCTTCTCAGAATGCCATCTGGGCACCGGAGTACAATGCCGTGGCGGTATGTGTCACAACCCCTTAAACAACTTAATGCTAGGGCAGAGACTAGGACTCAAACAAAGGATATCACGATAAAAGAGATGAGATTGAGCAGGTACGTTTGGGCTGCTACACAATGTAGAGACGAAAGGTTTGAACTAAAGAACTACTACTACAAACATCCTAACTATATACAACTATTCAAGAGGAGATACAAACTGAGTTCTAACTACTAGCCAATCATAAAATAGGAAACGGAATCGTACGATGTGATAAGGTGAAAAGGAACTATGATGTCATGAGGCTGTGAAGTTCTGGAAGGTTCTAGGAATCACGTGATATAGAAGCGTCTATTCTTCTGCGTCATAGAAGACGTCTTCTTCTACTTCCGTTATTGTAGTGGTAGGGTTAGGGTTAAGGGTTGGAACATATGTCGGGCGTTTAGGAGTTAGCGCTGGGAATGGGCGCTTAATACTTGTAGTCGAAAGGAAAGAATAATGGTTTGTGTTTGGAACTCGTGACATTACCCCCCCCTCTAGGTTGAGCGTCATCGCGAAAGACGGAAGGTCAAATGTTCTTTTTTCTCCATTCTTTGAACTCCGATGTTTCTAGAATAGATCCTCGGATTCTTTTAGAAGCGGCTGCCGTGGGATTTTCTTTATGGAATTCTGCGACAAGAATCGGGGAGTTTTTTAAGTTTTCTTCTGGCTCCCATGTCGACTCATCTGTCGGATATCCTTCCCATTTTACT